GTAAGCGTCGAAGGCGCTGCTTCGCAAAATTATATGTAGCAACAATTTTTTTGGCGGGGTTTTTGGTGAAGTTCTTGGACGATTAGGAAGTGAACTGAAGTTTGAATTCCTAGGTTTGACGTTTACTTTTGTTTTTAGGTACTGTAATTATTATGTACTAGATCTTGTTATACTGATTAGGCAGGGGAAAGAGGGTTATACCCTACCCTACCTTACCCTACCCTACCCTACCCTACCCTACCCTACCCTACCCTACCCTACCCTACCCTACCCTACACTACCCTACCCTATCCTACCTTACCCTACCCTACCCTACCCTACCCTACCCTACCCTACCTTACCCTACCCTACCCTACCCTACCCTACCCTACCCAACTCTAACTTACCCGACCCTTACGGTACCCTTACAGTACCCTTATCTTACACTACCCTATTTATGTTTTGCAGTACCTTTGCTATATTCTATTCTTGTCTTAGGGTATTCTTACGTTACAGTTCCATGGTCTTACAGTAGTGTACCTTGCATTATCTTGTTCTACCTTACCATATCCTTCTAGGCCTCGTCTTCTTTCTCTGCCTTGCCCTAAAGTATTTACCCCACCTTCATTTGCCTAATTTTTAGTTCATACTACCTTGCCATACCTTGTTCTGCCCTACAGTTACCTTACCTTGTCTTGCTTCAGCAGTAATGTTGTCTTGTCCCATCTTTACTCTAGTTTATTTGAATCATAGCTTGTTTAAGCTTACTGTATTCTGTGCTGCTTTACCCTACGCTTCCATGTCTTGTCTTATTTTTCAATCTTAACCTACATCTACCTTATTCACTGCTACCTTACCTACTTCTTGATTTTTAAAGCATATTATGTCAACTTCTGCCCTAATTCATGCCCTTCACAAACTATTTTACTCTACAATCCCCATTACTAGACTATTCTCAGCTTGTACGATTGTGGGAAATTTTTTGGCTGTGCTTGCATCTAAACAGATTTTGATTCGCATGCATTAAATTGAAAGGGAAAAACTGGAACGGCTTCGAATTTCACTTAATTCCAGTATTAAAAGGCCTCCAAATACTAAAGTAGCGTGGTGAAGCATGTTTGACGTTTGCACGAAACTAAATTGGATAGAATTGTTTGAAAAAAGTTTTGGGAAAAAATCAGAGTACGAAAGAATGGCACAAACATTCAAACCTAAAAAGTTTTGGCGTTTTTAAGATTTTTGAAAAATGGAATTTGAGTGGAAGATTTGTAATGTATTTTACACTGAAAAACTTTCACCAAACTTCCATTTTTAAAAAGTGTTAAAATGGCTTAAAAACACGTTTTAAACACTTTTCAAGAGTGGAAGTTGACTGGAAGATTTGTAATGTATTTTGCACTGAAAATCTTCCACCAAACTTCCAACTCTAAAATGTGTTGAAAACGTGTTTTTTGCTCATTTAAAAACATTTTAAAAGTGGAAGTTGAGTGGAACATTTTCAATGCAAAATACATTGCAAATCTGCCACTCAACTTCCACTTTTTTAAAAGTTGCATTTCGAGCGCTGAAATAAGTTCTCATTGCTTGAAACGTCTTAAAAATGTTTCTACACTCCCTTGCCTTGATTTGCCCTGCCCTATCTACTCTGCCCCCCCCCCCCTCCACTCCGGCCTTTTTTATGAAACATGTACATCTGCTCTCCTCCCTCTTTTGCTCCTTCAACAATCTTCTTTGCTTAATTACGGGCCATTTCTGGAGGGCCTAAATAAACTCGCTTAATGGGCTAAAACAAACCGGCTGCCTGTTCGCATTTTTTTGTAAAACGCATTATCAATGGAAAGATTTCGAATGGCGGCGACTCAAGTCAAACATCTTGTCAAGAAGGTAACGTATTGTATGGTAATGGGTACTGTGACTTTTTATCGGCTAGAGGTTACTGTATTTTGTTGTTAAGATAGTGTCACCCCACTTACTGGGGTTTTGAGCAGTGATTTTGCTCCCAAAACGTCGTTTTAAAAGCCTTTTTTAAATCAATCCGGTCGCTATTGCAGATTCTGAAAGCTAGCGACTAGGGCCGGGCGCTGGGAGAGTAGGCGGGGGTATGGAACATCCCCTTCCCCTCCCCCCCCCCTCAAAAAAAATTTCGAAAAAAGTTGAACGTGGGCCCCCCCCCCTGTAGATTTTTTCGACCCCTGACCAAAAGACTCCGCCCCCCCCCCTGCCTGCAACTATAAGTACTATTCTTAGTACTATTTAGATTGCACTATTTATAGTACCCTTTAGATCAAAACTTCCAAAACTTTTATTGACCTAGACATTCATAAGTTATGAAGCCTATCAAAAAGCTATTAAAATCAGTGAAGAACACATTTATCAGACAACTGATTTTAAATCAGATTTATAGGTTATGGCTTGGATTCTTATAGCTGTTTTTAAATGTGCTTCACCTTCATATTTATGGCTTTTATAACATATATTTTCATGTCGTAGTTTAAGGTGGCATTTTTTAAAGTTAAAAAATTTTTTGAACACGTTTGTTATATAAATAGAGTTAGGCTTACAAATTATAGGCTTAAGGGGTTTACAATCAGAGGCCTAACGGCTTAGTGGCGTAGAAGCTTTGGGCTTTAGGTTTTAAGTTTGTAGACTTTAGGCTTAGAGGTTTAGGCTTGGAAATTTTATGTTTAAAAACTTGGATTCAACAACTTTAGACGTAAAATCATTAGATTAGAAGATTATTAGGCTTAGCGTTTTTAGACTTAGAGGTTTGATGCTTAAAAGTCATAGGCAGTGCCGGGCGGGGACTTTTGGTCTGGGGGCGGGGGTGAAAAAAATCGGCACAGGTAGCTAGCTACTTGTGCTGACTTTTTGCAAAAAATTTTTTTTTTAAATCCACAGGGGGGACCACGTTCAACTTTTTTCAAAAATTTTTTTCTGGTGGGGGAGGCCCCCCTCCGTCCACTCCCTCCCCCCTAGCGCCCGGTTCTGGCCGTAGGCTTTAGTCTTTCAGCATAAAGCTTTTAGGCTTCAGTAAAGTTTTTTTTTAATTTAATAGCCATCACGACATTTTACTTCCCATATTGTACTATATTATACTTTTTTTTGTTTCTTTTCTTTTTATCATGTTAATCACAACTTGTGATTATAGCGCTTTAAAAAAACGCTATTCCGGCATTTCAAAACACCACTTTCTTTTATAATTACAGTGTTTGGACGGCGATATTGAACATAATAAACGTGTAGTTTTGTAATTGACACGTTATTTTGAAAACTGACGACAATTTTCGTTAAAATGTATGAATCTTGGGAATTAGTTTAGGCCTCCTTATACACAATTTAAAAATTATTTTTAAGTAATAGCTTTAAAATCAATGGGGGGGGTGGACGAGGGGTGGGGGGGGTATCAAGGACCCCCCCCCCAAAAAAAATTTCGAAAAAAAGTTGAACGTGGTCCCTCCTGTGGATTTTTTCGACCCCCCGCCCTCAGACAAAAATCCCCCTCTCGCCATTGACCACATACTCTAATATTTACCTAAAATTGTTCTTTACACTGTTCTCAATGTTAATTTCCGTTTAGTCTGCAACGGATTTGAAAAAAAAAGTTTTTCATTGTCCCAGCCATAAAAGCATCAGACATTTGGTTGATATAAACGTTTCCTTTTCGCTTACAAATTTATGGAAAAACCTTTTGCAAGACAAGAGGGCGAGCAAAGTTTTGGCATCGATCCTACTTGTGGGGTAATATTCGGTCTTACTTCAAGGTTGAAGGGACTATTGGTGTTTACTAGTAAATGTAACTAGATCTATATTGAAAAAAGGAACTTATCTTGGCTTGAGACTTACTGTAGACGGTTTGAAACTTACTGTGAATCGATCTGAAGCTCACTGTGGGTCGATCTGAAGCTTACTGTGAATCGATCTGAAGCTTACTGTGGATCGATCTGAAGCTTATTGTGAATCTATCTGACGCTCACTTTGAGTCTATCTGAAGCTCACTGTGAGTATATCTGAAGCTCACTGTCAGTATATCTGACGCTCACTGTGAGCCTATCTGTAGCTCACTGTGAGTCTATCTGAAGCTCACTGTCAGTATATCTGACGCTCACTGTGAGCCTATCTGTAGCTCACTGTGAGTCTATCTGAAGCTCACTGTGAGTCTATCTGAAGCTCACTGTGAGTCTATCTGAAGCTCACTGTGAGTCTATCTGAAGCTCACTGTGAGTCTATCTGAAGCTCACTGTGGATCGGTCTGAAGCTTACTGACAAAGATACGGCTTATCATAACTTAACTACTTATATTATCATACGATATTGTAGCTTTACTTGGACTTTACTACAGAGTATTGTTGAATTATCTCGACTTTACTACAGCAAAATACTTTGCTTGGACTCTAATATGAAATCATTTGCTTAACACATACTACAGCGTGCTTACTGTGCAATAAAGTTGCTGTAAAACTTCTTTACTTGAACCTTACTACAAGATACAGTATTGTAACTTCAAAGTGTTTTGCTATCTATTATACTACGTAGCTTTGACACTAACTTCTATTGTTTCTACTACGTAATGGTTACCCTTACCACTACCTTTTCTACTACGTAGAGATCACTCCTACCCCTACCCTCTCTACTACGTAGAAGTCACCACTATCTCTACCGTTCCTGCTACGTAGCCTTGATTACCCCTACCCTTTATCTACGTAGCTTTGAGCTTTTTCCCTATTGTTTCTACTACGTAGAAGCCACTCCTACCCCTAACTTTCCTTATACGTAGCTTTTACCTAACCCCCTCCCCCAGCCAACTCTTCGTCGTTACCTTACGACCTATCTTTTAACCTCCACTCTAACTTTCTACGTACTTTGTCCCAACCCCACACCACTACGTAGACCTTAAACCCAACCCCAGCCTAACTCCGTACCCCCCCCCCTCCCCCACCTCGACCCCCGTCTACTCCTCTACGTAGCATATTTTTCATGGCATTGTAAGTTTCGTCCACCTAGAAGAATACATGTCTGTTCGGATGAAAGCAAAACAACAACTTAAGCACGAAGTAAGAAGGCCTCGCAATTCGATATTATTCCGGTGGGGTGTCTTGTTTTGATCAACTGCCTCCAGCGGAAATAGGCATTATAAGCGTTGGTCGGGTGTGAACAGTTTTTTTTCTTTTTAGACACGTTTTCATAGTTTGAACTTGTTTTTTGAAATTTTTGAAAGAATAGTCCTAGCCCAAAGCCCTAGCCCAGAGCCCTAGCCCAGAACTTTAGCCCAAAGCTTGAGCTTAGAGCCCTAGCTCAGTGCCCAAGCTCAAAACTCTAGCCCAAAACCCTAGCCTAGAGCCCTTGCCCAGAGCCCTAGCCCAGAGCAATATCCCAAATCTCTAGCTTAGAGTCTTTGCCTAGAGCCCTAGCTCAGAGCGCTAGCCCAGAGCCCTAGCCCAGAGCCCTAGTCTAGAGTCCTAGTTCAAAGCTCAAGCCCAAAGCTCTAACCCAAAGCCCTAGTCCAGAGCCTTAACTCAGAGCCCTAGCCCAGAGCCCTAGCCCAGAGCCCTAGTCCAGATAGTCCAGAGCCCTTGCCCAAAGCCATAGTCCCAGAGCCCTAGCCCAGAGCCCTAGCTTATCTGGTGCAACGAAATGTTATTTCCTATATATATTAGTAGTTGTAAAACGGTTTATAGGCAGTAGGCTAGCTTATTGTTTTTTTACTGTGTAAAAGTAAAAAAATTTGAAAAAAAAAATCTTGTCATTTTTAGCTTGTAAACAAAGTTTTTGCAGTTTTTTATTTTTTTTTCTATTATCAAATTAACAATTTAGTTTAAATTTTAACAGTGTTTGGTGTAAAATACGTTGCATTTGGAACAGTTGTTTTTAAAAGTGAATAGTCAGTTTTAAAAAAATTTTATTAGAATTCTTATTTCATTTAAAATAACTTTTTTTAAACTAGAATTTTTAACGTTAATACTCTAAATTTATAAAAAGGTTACAAGTATTGCATTTTCAGTCTTGGATGGACTCCGAACATCGGGTGATCCTAAACGTTGGCGGCGTTCGACACGAAACATACCAACATGTGCTGAAAAAGATTCCGGCTACACGGCTTTCACGGTAAGTAGTAGTTTTTTAGTGTACACCCGATTCACGTGTGCCGACCTAGCCTTTTTCAAATATTCTTAGTCTAATTTGTCAGCTTGATTTCCGGCCCTCAGGCCCATGTGTGACGGCGCGGCCCCTTTTGTACAGACTTGATTTGGCTTAGCCCGACTAAGCTCTTATCAAAATTGCTTCGTCCCGGCCCCTGTCACTATAAAATCAGACTTGTTAAACACTTTTAGAAAGTCAACTCTTTCGTTGCGAGACCTAAGCTGGGCCCCTGGGGCTTGTTTTGAGTGTCGGCTTTCAGGCCTACACGTACCGGCCAGATCGTGATCGAATGATTTAATATACTTTTTTCAGGTTAACACCAAACCTAGCAAATTACGATCCTGTTCTAAACGAGTACTTCTTTGACAGACATCCAGGTAGAGTAATATTTGTCATTTTTGTGTTTTGTAAAGAAAGTTTTTGCCATTTTTTATTTTGTAAAGAAAGTTCTTGCCATTTAATGTTTTGTAAAGAAAGTTCTTGCTATTTTTTCATTTTTTGTTTTGTAAACAAAGTTCTTGTCATTTAATGTTTTGTAAAGAAAGTTCTTGCCATTTTTGGTTTTGTAAAGAAAGTTCTTGCAATTTTTTTTTATATTAAATCATTAGTTTAAAACATTTTTACCTACCACCCCCATTCCAGGTGTATTTGCGATGATATTAAACTACTATCGCACGGGTAAACTGCACTATCCAGTCGACGTCTGTGGCCCTCTATTCGAAGACGAACTCGAATTCTGGGGCCTAGACTCAAATCAAGTAGAGCCATGTTGTTGGATGACATACACCCAACATCGTGACACACAAGAAACATTGGCAGTAATCGAAAGCCTGGACAATGATATGGATCCACAGACGGCCGAAGAGATCGCCAAAAAGTTCGGCTGGGAAGACGACTATTATAATGGCAGTTTGTCATGGTGGCAGCGGATCAAGCCTCAGGTGTGGCAAATGTTCGACGAGCCGTGGTCGTCTCGGTATGCTAGGGTAGGTCAAAAATGTTTAAAAATTTTATAAAATAATTTGGGAGGGTAATTAGGGGTGGCGGTGCTAAAATTTTTTTTTGGCTTTTTTCTGAACTTTTTATACGTAAAAAACATTTTTGTCGCAAAAAAAGAACTTTTTATTTAAAAAAATTGTTTTAAAATTACAATTTTACGACTATTTTTTTCCCTTATATTCTCTTTTCCTCCACTCCCCATCCCTCCATTTTTCTTCAAACAGAGAACAAAGCGCTCTTCCGCACTTGACTTTGTAGCCGAACCGGTAGTGTGTTCGCTTTTGGCGCGAAAGCCGGCGGGTTCGACGGCGGGCCGGATGATTCCACTTTGGTGGTTTATATTTGCTACTCTTGAATAGGTTTGATGACAATTAACCAAGCTGACGGCTTTTTTGATGTTTTAGGATTGTTTTTGGTTTGTAAAATACGCTGTGTGAATTGATCGGTTTAAAAAAAGTAGTTTTTTGACAAAAAAATTTAGAAAAACGACAAAAAATGACGATTTTTTGTTTAAATATCGTTTTTTTAACACAAAAGTACTGTAATTTTAAAAAAAATTGTAAATTGTTAATGTCATCCACAAAACAAAGACATACCTAACTCTTATGTTGCTTTTAGGTAGTGTCAGTGACCTCAATCTTCTTTATAATCCTCTCAATCGCCTGTTTTTGCCTTAAAACCGAACCTCGAATGCGGGTGCCAGATTTAAACATTAGGCCTATTGATATGATAAACAAGTCCGATCTACCGATACATGACACTGGGCAGTACGACATACAACGGCATCAGGATCGTTTCCCCAAACATCGAGGGTTTGCAGTTGAGAAAATTAAAACGAGGTAGGGCATAGTGAAGGCAGGGTAGGGCAAAGGTCTGTAAGAGAATAGTAATGTAAGACAAGGGTACTGTAAAGCAAGGGTAGGGTATGGAAAAGTTATTGTAACATTGTAAAAAATGGTACTGTAAGACAAGGGTAGGGTATGGCAAGGGTATTGTAGGGTAAGGTAGGGCAGGGTACTGTAGGGTAGAGTAAGGAATGGTAAGAGTATTGTAAGACAAGGGTACTGTAAGACAAAGGTAAAGTATGAAAAAGTTATTGTAAGAAATGGTAGTGTAAGACAAGGGTGGGGTATGGCCAGAATACCGTAAGATTACAGTAAGTCGAGGTTAGGGTATGACAAGGGTACTGTAAGAGAAAGGTAATGTAAGACAAATATAGGGTAGGGTAGGGTAAGGCGAGGGTATTTTTGTTACAGTATGACTTTACTATACCTCCATTTTCAGAGCCCACCCCCACTTTTTCTACCTCGAACTCATTGCCAATATTTGGTTCACGTGGGAGATCCTAATGCGCCTCATTTTTAGTCCAAACGCCTTGGACTTTATCAAAAGTCCGATAAATATAATCGACTTCATAGCTACTGCCTCATTCTACGTGGACTGGTTTCTGGAGTACTATTTGGATGGGAATCATCGTGACACGATTGAATTCTTCAATATCGTCAGGATCTTCAGGCTTTTCAAATTGACTCAACATTCCAGTGGCTTGAATATCCTCATTGAGACTTTTAAGGCCTCTGCTAGGGTAGGTTTGACATTTTTGATGACTAATTTTTTCGAAATTTAGGTATCAAACATAACTTTTTTGAATAAAATCGACCGAAAAATAAATTTTCAACAAAAAAAATTTTTTTTACAAGTTTTCGACCATTTCATATCAACATCATTCGCCTCGCAAAAAGCAGAGCATTCCAAAATTTGTCATTGATCAGCCACTGAAAGATCAGAGCTGAAACATGAGCTAACCTCAAACTTGGGTTATTAAACCGAAGACTACCTCAAGCTCATTGCCTAACTTAAAACGGTCACTTGGTTCTTGGATGAGAAAGTGACTTTTTATGCGCTTTTCTCTTTCTCCGCGCTCTCTTTTGTTTTGCGTTGCTTTTGTATTCTCCCTTTAATGACTTTCATTCTCTGTCCGCTCTCTTTGCTCTTCTTACTCTCTCGCCGGCTCTCTCTTGATTTTCGTCCAAAAAAAAAGAAGAGAGATAATAAAGAAGAGGAGACGTGTGGCGCGCAGTTGGAGATAGAAAGGAAACAACAAGGGAGTGGGAAAGAAAGCGCTAATTATAAGAGAAAGCGTAGAAAAAGAGAAAAGCGCAAACAGAGGGTCTTACTCAATCAAAAAACAAGTGACTGATTTATCTTAGTGAATGAGCTTGGATTAGTCTTCGGTTTAATAACCCAAGTTAGAGGTTAGCTCGTGTTTCAGCTCTGAACTTTCAGTGGCTGATCATTGATAAATTTTGGAATGCTCTGCTTTTTGTGGGGCGAATATTGGTAACTTAAAATGGTCGAAAATTATGTAAAAAAAATGAATTTATAATTGAAAATTTCATTTTTGGTCGTTTTTATGCAAAAAATTAAGTTTGTTACCTAAAATATTTAAAAAATCATTTTTATTCTTTGATTTGCCCAAAAGTTATATTTTGTTACCTAAAGTATAGCAAAAATAATTTTTAAGCCTGAAATTTACAAAAAATTAAATTTTGTTACCTAAAATTTTGAAAAAAGTTAATTTTAATACCTAAAAATTGCCCAAAATTTATGATTTGTTACCTAAAATATTTGAAAAAAATTATTTTTATACTTAAAATAGCCAAAAATCGTGGTTTTTTATTACATAATTTTCAAAAAGTCATTTTTAATACCTAAAAAACATTTTTGTCTTGTCGCCTAAAATATATCAAAAAACCATTTTTAAGCTTTGAATTGCCTAAAAGTTATATTTATTACCTAAAATTTGAAAAAAATATTTTTAATTCCCTAAAATTCCAAAAAATTTTGGTTTGTTACCTAAAATATACCAAAAGTTACTGTTGAGCCAAGAACACTCAAAAAATTGTACATTGTTACCTAAAAAATTTTTAAAAAATAATTTTTACACTGTTTTTTGCTAAATTTCATCAAACTTTTGAAAATTATTACCTAAACTTCGAAAAAAGTAAAATTTGATACCTAAAATGTCAAAAAAATTTTTTTTGTTACCTAAAACCTCAAGAAAACATTTTCAGGAACTGTTATTGTTGATGTTTTTTGTTTTATTGGGTACTGTAATGTTCGCTTCGTTAATGTATTATGCTGAACGAGTTGGCAATAATCCGGACAACCAATTCGAGAGCATCCCCTTAGGCTTATGGCATTCGCTGATTTGCATTACAACAGTCGGGTTTGGTGATATGGTAAGTTATATTATGTAATTTTTGCGTTTTTAGGCTGGGCGGGGTAGGGTAGGGCAAGGCAGGGTATGGTAGGGTAAGGCAGAGTAGGGTCGGATAGGGTAGGGTAGGGTAGGGTAGGGTAGGGTAGGGTAGGGTAGGGTAGGGTAGGGTAGGGTATGGTAGGGTAAGGCAGAGCAGGGTAGGGTAGGGAAGGGTACTGTAGAGTACGGTAGGATGAGATAGGGCAGGGTAAAATAGTTCGAAAAATCCAATTTTCTACAAATTTCAGGTACCTCACACATATTACGGCATGGTAGTCGGTTCATTTTGTGCTTTAATGGGTGTACTCACGATTGCTTTACCGGTACCAGTAATCGTGTCTAATTTTGCCATGTTTTATTCACATGCCAAAGCTAGGTGAGTTTTTTACTAAATTATTTTTAAAAATGAAAAAAAAAATATTAAAATTTTTTTTTTTTGAATATGCAAATTTCCACATCACAACCACTAACCGTATTTTACCAAATCACGCTTGTTTCAAAGCAAAAAATTAAGAAAGAATAGAACGTGCCTCATTGGCTCAGGGGCAGAGCGTCTGTCTAGTAAACAGAAGGTCGCTGGTTCGATTCCAGCATGAGGCAGCTTCTTTTTTGGGCTTTTTCTTGTAAAGTGACGGTTGCTTTTAAGAGTAGCAGTTTAGTAAAAGGCTTATTTTAAATTTTTAAAACTATTTTTAATTGATTTAACGGGATTATTTAGTTTAAAAATATCATTTTTGAGCAAAAATCGCAAAAAATGTGGAGAAATTGGGATTGTTGCTGCCATTTAGTTTGAAATAGTGTAAAATACGTATTCTTTAAACATCTGTTTTTAGGTTAAGGTATTTTACTTTAAGGCAAGGAAGATTTTTCATCAATAATTTAGAAAAAAGTCACTTTTTGCCCATCTATTCCGCAAAACCTCTCGTATTTTCAGGTCGAAACTGCCAAAACGAAAGCGACGAGTCCTTCAACCGCACGAAATCAAGCCGATTGTTGGTCGCACCACCACCGCAACTCTTCTCAGCACTATAGCCAACAGGAATAACAATCAATCACAGGCTCAAACTCCAACGAATCCGATGACTCCGTTCGCCGCGGCGCAGAATCTGTTCGTTCAGAATGCGCCGAAGCGGAGAAGTTCGAGGTCGAGTCTGTTGGGTGCGGATGGGCCGAATGGGGAGAAGAGGAATAGTACCAGCTCCAACCACAACCACAAACATTCCAGGGACAATGGCAGGGCCAATGAGAGCGCCAACAAACTTTTGTAGATTTTTTTAAAACTTTATTTTCGAAATTGGCCCAAAACTTCTAGGCCAGGCTCTTCTTTTTAGTCTGAAAGCCAGGTCTATATTACGGTATTCTTTTTTACGCAACGAGTATTGTAACGGCCACAGTATTCTTTGGATACTATAAGCTAAAGTATTCTTTCGAATTCAGAAAGTGCTGTATAGTACCGTACTCTTTTGTACTCAAAGACTACTGTAAAAGCTACAACACTCTTTTTGTTACAAAAGGTAGTGTAGATTACAGTACTCTTAGAGAATACTGTAGATAGTACTCTCTCGTACCCAATGAGTACCGTATGGAGTACTCTTTTGTATTCAAAGTGTACTATAGAAGCTGAGTAGTCTTTAATTTACAAAAAGTACTGTATGTCACAGTTCAAAGAATACTGTAACTTCTATGGTAGACTTTCGAGTACGAAAGAGTACACTCAACAGTACTTCTTGAGTACAAAAGAATACTCTTCGTCTCTAAGGGTACCGTATACTCTACAGTACTATTTCGTACCAAAAAAATTAATGTAGAAAATATAGTACTCTTTTGGCTATAAATACTCAGAAAAGTACTGTACATTCTACATTACCTTATCCTTTCAAACCAGTATTAACATTGCAAGACTAGTACAAAGTACAACACCACAATTATATCTCATATCAAATTTCCTCCCTTTCCCAACGTTTTTCATCCAAATTTCTAAATATTGTTAACCCGGTTCTTTTTTTGAATTTTTATTAAAGTTTAACCTCATTTGGCAATGGTTTTAGTCGATTATAAACATCAAGCCGTTTTTTACTATCAAATTACATTTTTAACAATTAACTTACATTTGGAGTCACTATCAAACCTTAAAAACAAAAAATGCTATTTTAAAAAAAATTTCAATAAAAAAATCTTAAAAAAGTATCCCTTAGCTCTTCTATTGATCAACCTAATCTCAAAATTGAAATAAAATGTGTTCCTATTCCCCTGCGGCATATCACAGCCCATTTCATAACTTATTTTTAAGTTACTTCCACGCGGGATCGAACCTGCATTCTTCTGAATAAAAGGTTAAACCACAACCGCTGCGCTAGTCAAGCACACGTTAGAATTTTTACTCCTAATGCGATTTTTAGTAACCTGCTCATCATTTACAACATTTTTTTCAGCACTACACCACATTTTCAAAAAATTTTCTTACAGTAACTTACTACCGTAATTTCAGGCTATACGATAATTTTGACGCCATAATAAGAAAAATTTATTAACAAACAACAGGTTTTAATACCAGTATACCACATAAATAAACTCTTTTCAACAATATATTAAATTTTCCTACTTTTTCTACTGTAAATTCCTACCGTAGTCTTTTGTTCTGTTTCCTATGTTTACAGTCATATGAAACAACAAATCCACCAAAGTACTGTAGAGCACGTATTTTACACCTTATAAATCACGCTTTGACCCGTGTACATGCTATCAACCATGTTATACACAATCCTCATCACTTTGTCGCCTTTTGGATTTTGAATCTGGTCCTTGTTCATATACCGTAACCCAACAAAATCCGAATCCTCTGTAATGTAATCTGAGTCAGGGTAATGTAGGCCACATCTCAGCGTTGGCTCTTCTTTACACTCAATAATTTGTGGACACATTCTCTCTGGATAGACGGTGGTTTCGATGGGTACTGTGAGGTCTTGTTGTACTAGGGCTAGCATAGCGAGGAATTGTGGTGGTGCCAGGCTTATTGTTTCTGAAAAAAATGTATTTTATAAAGTTTTTTTAACTAATTAGGGTTTTTTAAGGCTATTTAGTAGATATATGCGTATTTGAAAAAAAATGAAATTTTGGGTCCCACCACGAAAACATGAAAATTGCCAAAAATGGCTGCAAATAATTTTAATTAAATAAACAATTACTAAAAATAAAGATTTTAGGAAAAAAAACCCAAAAAGAAACGTATTTTACCAATTAAATTCATAAGAATTGGGTCCCACCACGAAAACATAAAAATTTCCAAAATAGCTCGAAATGATTCGAAATGACTTAAAAATGCTTAAGAATAACAATTTGAAACATTAAATCCATAACTGACGTATTTTAAAAATAACATAGCACCAAAAACGGTCCTACCACGAAAACTTGCAAACCTCACTCTTCTCCGCCGTTTCCTCTAAACACTGCCGCGGAGTGATCCACATAGACTGTACCATCTCCTTCTCGCAATGGTAAACCTCTTCATTAAAGCTTTCGAGTTGGGCCGTGTAAAATACTGTATCGAACCTTCTTTTGTAGGCATTTGGAGTTAGCCAGCGGGCAAATGGCTTCAAAACGGACACATCAGCTGGATTTTTGGTTGTGAATAGTTGACTGAATAATGATGGATCTTTTGTTATCTAAAATTTGTCAGTATTATAAACTTTGAAGACTTAGAGAAAGACTTGACCCAAAAGTAAGTTTTTTGAGTCAAGTGTTACCTTCACACAAAAATTGAAAAACCAATGATACTGTTAGCAGCACATGCCATAAAAAGTCCGTTGAATGACCTAAACTACAAAAAACACAAAAAATAATGACGCTTTACCTTATCCCTCCACTCATCCAAGCTCTTATCCTCGCCAGAGGTGATAACTTCATTTTCACGCAGTAAAATCCCAGCTTCTTCAAATAATTCCCTCAGAGCACATATTCTAAAGCCCAAATCTACATCCACATCCATGTTGGCGTCTTTAGCTGGACTAAAATTGCTCAAAGACTTGTCGAAGTTGGAATCGGCCGGTTTTTCCAAAAGTCCTCCAGGAAAAACCATAGAGTTGGGCATGAATTTGGCTGTTGGACCTCGCTTCATCATCAAAATGTGCTTCAGAGACTTGTTTACTATAATATCAAAAAGATTTTTAGTATTGAAGAGGTTTGACATTGCTTTAGATTGAAATTATATTAACATAGGCATCAAATTGAAGAAAAACCTTATTTTCAATGTTTCAAAACAATCCAAGCCAATTTAGAGGGAAATAAAGTTCAAAACACGCATGTTCAACATTGTTCTTGCTGTTCTACCCATTTTATTACCTAAAATCAAAGCCAAAACATCAAAAATCTTACTCAGAATAACAGAAGCCGCATGTTTCCAGTTGATCTTGCTCATTCTGCCAAAATTGATGTGATTTTGCTCTTTGTTCACATCAACGCACTTGAAAATATGAGGAAGAGGGTCCAGAAATAATTTATTTTATCAAAAAATAAAAATAAACTTGCAATAGATAGCCAAAAGTTAGCGAGAAGGCCGAAAAGCCCGCGAAAACTATGTTTTTGAACTTTTTTCAATGTTTTTTTGATTGAAAAACGTTTCAAATTCAATTTTTTTGATTGTAAAATACGGCGAATTTAGTATTCATTGTTTTCTTTTAAAATTCCTATTACTATTTGTAACAAATTGTGCCTATAAAACACGTTTTACATTAGATATTCACCATGATATCGAGTTTCAACTTGAATATACGTGAAATATGTCTTGCGAACACCCAAGATATTTACAGACATCCAGTTTAAACATTATTTTCTTTCAAAAATATGGTATTTAAGGGTGAAGGCGATATTATCATTGCCATTGTGAACGGAATGCTATGTTTATAATCACATAAAGTTGGGGAGGTCAATGGCTTTTTCGATTTTTATATAATTTAAAGTTTATGACATTTTGCTTTCATTTGTAGATATTGAGGTTTTTAAAACGCTTTAAAGTTTTTTAAAATAAATTTTTGTTAGACTTAAGCATGGACTTAGGCTTAAGCTTACGCTTGTGCTTAAGCTTACGCTTGTGCTTAAGCTTAGAATTAGGCTTAGGCTCACGCTTAAGCTCAGGCTTAGGATCGAGCTGGGGCTCAAGCCAAGCTCAAGCTCAGGCTCAACCTAAGGCTAAGACTAAGTCTCAGGCTAACGCTCATGCTAAGGCTCATGTTAGTTAGGCTTATAATTAGGCTTAGTATTACCTCTAATTTCAAGTTTAGGCTTAAGCTGCGGCTTAGTTTTAAATTTCGGCTTAGCATTAGGCTTAGGCTTAATTTTTTACTTTTTCTTTTTTGATTATGTTTCCTTCTCTAGCCGTTCTCTTCAATCAAAACGCTCTCTATTCTCTCTTCATAATTCCTTTCTCTCTCTGCAAGCTTTCTCATTCAGCCTACTCTCTCACTGTACTCGGTCTCTCTCTCGTTTACTCACACTACCTCTCGCCAACTGATTCCAAATGTAGATCCTTTTATTTTTGAGCGTATCTACTGCCTCCTGTGCGTTGATATCTTCTCGCCATGTGATTCGAACTGATTGGGGGGAAATTCCCCGACCCAACCTTTCCTCTTTCCTTGCATTCACCTTCAAAGGTAGTCGTTTTTCGAATTGCAACCGCACTGATAAGGCTTGTTTTTTTGTGTTTTTTGGTCCGTTTTGTACAGTGAAATGTTGTGGAGGGTGGGGAGGGTTGGTATTAGGGTTGTAGGGGGTTTGAAAATGATTTTGTATTATTATAGTGAAGAGATCGCATGGAGCGGGGGTGGGGAAGACGGGGGTGGTAAAATTTAAAAATTTAAATTTTTTAAAAAATTTTTTTAAAATGAAAAAAAATTTTTAATTTAAATTTGTAAAGAACGTTTTTGACATTTTATACACTGTAAAGAAAGTTCTTGCCATTTTTTATTTTGTAAAGAAAGTTTTTGCAATTTTTCATTTTGTAGAGAAAGTTCTTGCCATTTTTTGTTTTGTAAAGAAAGTTCTTGCTATTTTATGTGCTGTAAAGAAAGTTCTTGCTATTTTTTTGGGTTGTAAAGAAAGTTTTTGCCATTTTTTGTTTTGTAAAGAAAGTTCTTGCCATTTTTTAATTTGTAAAGAAAGTTCTTGCCATTTTTTGTTTTGTAAAGAAAGTTGTTGCCATTTTTTATTTTGTAAAGCAAGAAATAAGTTAGTATTTTGTTATATTTTCTTATCGTTCTGACTTATTGTACAGTTGATTATGCCTTCCGTTTGTCAAACAAAGTGAACAAACAAAACATATGGATTTGTTGTTAAAAAAGGAATTCAATACCGGGAACACATTTTTCAATCTACGCAAACGTTCTGTGTATCATTGTCATTTTTTGATAACATATATGTTTTTAGTTTTGAAAAACTAGGTTTTGGATTGGACTTGAGCTTGGGCTTGAGTTCATGCTAGCTAATGCTGAGGCCAATGCAAAGGAAAACCGGAGTGGGGGGGGCTTAGCTTTGGGCTTAGGCTAAGGCTAGACATGAGAAACGGGCCGGGCCTGGCCCAATTTTTTGGCCCGGCCCGCGGGCCAGGTCTGATTGTTAGGCCCGGCCTGATCGAAATTTTGCTCAGTGCCGGCCCGGCCCGATAGTAGGCCCGGGCCTAAATTTTTTTACGTGGAAACGGGCCGGGCCCGGCTCATTTTTCAGGCCCGGCCCGATCGAAATTTTGCTCAAGGCCGGCCCGGCCTGTTTCTCATGTCTAGCTAAGGCAAAGACTCATGTCCTTGACTGTGGCTTAGAATTAGAGTAGGGCTTAATCTTAGGCTCAAGCTGGCGCTTAAATTGGGGCTGGGGCGTAGGTTTATTCTTAGTTTTCAGCTGATGCTCTTTGGTTTTGGTTTAAGCATACAATAATAATTAGGCTTTTTTGATTAATTGATTAATCACACTTGGTCTAAATTATTATTACTCTCTAGTTTTGTATTATATTACACATCAAATCAAATGTTTTGATTTTTTTGGTATTTTTTGGCTGTTGAGATCAAGCAACCTCATTAAAATTGTTTTTGGTAATCTGATTTTAATAGCTTTGTTCAATTTTTTTGAAAGTTTTGGGTTTGTAATAGGGGTTTTTCATCATTCTGTTTAATAATGATTTGACAGAACAGATTTGTGTTTCCATTTTATGTTATATAAAGGAAGTTTTTGTCTTTTTTTTGTATAAATAGTTTTTGTCGTTTTACTGTTTGTAAAGAAAGTTATTGCCATTTTTTGTTTTGTAAAGAAAGTTCTTGCCATTTTTTGTTTTGTAAACAAAGTTCTTGCCATTTTTTGTTTTGTAAAGAAAGTTCTTGCCATTTTTTGAATATATTGCTATATGAAAATTTTGGATAATAAGTTTTTATTTTTAAAAGTTTTTACAAGACAACCGGTCTAATTTGTGCATTTTTTAAAACTTTGTAATTGTAATTTTAATATGTAGTACTAAGATTAGGTATTTTTTTGAAAGTACAGCTCCTGTGGGTGGGGTGTTAAAAAAAATTTTTGAGAGGACTAAATTTTTTTTGCGTTTAGGTATGTAATTGTCTACTAATTTTTAATTTTCCTTACTTTTACTATAATACTCCCGCGTCAATACGTAACAACGCTACTGATAAGTTCAGTCAAGTACTTTTTTGTATTACCAAAGATGTGGAAATGATTTGTTGAAAATATAATAATACGAAACTCCTGTATAACGAGGAACTTACAAGGAACCCTCCCCCAAAAAAAAATTTTCGAAAAAAGTTGAACGTGGTCCCCCCTGTGGATTTTTGAAAAAATTTTTTTGAAAAAAATTGGCACAAGTAGCTACCTGTGCCGATTTTTTCGGCTCTCGCCCCCAGACCAAAAGTCCTCGCCTAGCCCTGCAGAGTGCATTTAAATCTTCTTTATATCAAAAACTTCTTTATGACGAACAATTTTTAAATCTATAAGCAATTTGCTATACTGTAATATTACTGTATGACATTTTCCCTTACCTTTTTCATGAAAATTTTAATTTTTTTAATAATTTTTGTCATTTTCAGCTCCCATATGACCTCAACACAACCATTATGACATCCCAAGACAACCTCCAAGTACCTCGGGATTCGCTAGCAACAACAGCGACAGATATTCAAGATGCGGATATTCGTCTATACCCAAAGAGATTCTTAATACTAGGCTTGTTCGTACTACTATCAGCTTCGAATGCCTTACAGTGGATCGAATACAGCATTATTACGGAGATTGTTGCACATTACTGGCAAGTACCGTATGATTGGATTGATTGGACTAGCATGATCTACATGTTAATGTATGCTATATTGATCTTTCCTGGAACGTAAGTTTTTTTTAAATGCGTGAAAAAATTGTAAAAAAAATTTTTAGCGGGACATAAAAAATTGAATTAGGCACTGGAAGTAAGCTGAGAGATTGAATTAGGGACTGGAAGTAAGCACTTGGACTTGGAAGTAAGCTGAGGTCTAGAATGAGGTTCAAGTCCAAGCTTAGGCTTGGGATTAGGCTAGACATTTTGCTTGGGATTAAGTTAGGACGTAGACAGGTTTAGACTAAGGGGCAGGCTTAGGCTTAGCCTTAGGCTTAGGCTTAGGCATAGGTTTAGGTTTAGGCTTAGGCTTTGGCATAGGATTAGGCTTAGGTTTTGGTATAGACGTAGGCTTAAGCTTAGGTTCAAACTTAGGGTTAGATTTGGGCTTAGGCTTAAGGTTAGGCTTAGGCATAGATTTAAATTAGACTCAGGCTTAGGTTCAGGCTTAGGCTTGATCTGAAGCTTAGAATTAGATTTAGTTTTTGGTTTACGTTTATGTTTAAGCTTAGATTTTGGCTTAAGCTTAAGTTTGAACTCGAATATAGGATGGGGCTGAGACTTAAACAAAAGCTTAAGTATAGGCTTAAGATTAGGCCAGCTCAAGTTGAAGCGCAGGATTAGGTTTAAATTTAGTTTTGGGCTTCGTCATAGGCTTAAGCTAAACTTTAGGCTTATACATGTAACCATTAGTTGTTTTAGACTTAGCTATTGTACAACTAAATTTCTATAAATTTTAGATGGTTCCTAGACCGCTTCGGCCTTCGAGTCTCTATACTAATTGCAGCGGCTGGAAATGGTCTAGGATCATGGCTGAAAGTACTGTCAGTAGCACCAAATGGCTTTTGGCTAACATTCCTAGCCCAGACCATTGCCGGGGCTAGTCAAACCTTTATCCTAGGCATACCAAGTCATTTAGCAGCCACATGGTTTGGTTCAAATGAAGTTTCGACCGCTTGTGCCGCTGGCGTTTTTGGAAATCAACTAGGAATTGCGATTGGCTTCATTCTACCACCATGGCTGATCGAAAACGGCAGTAGAGAGGCGGTCGGTCGAGATTTGAATGTCATGTTTTTGATATCAGCTGTTGCCAACACAATTATCTTTCTTATGATTGTCTTTTGTAAGTTGTTTTTGAAAATTTAGAGGATTACAAGTATTTTTAAAAAGTGGAAGCTAAGTGGAAGATTTGTAATGTATTTTGCACTGAAAATCTTCCATTCAATTTTCATTTTTAAAATACCTTAAAATGACTTAAAACACGTTTTTAACACTTTTTAAAGGTGGAATTTTGGTGGAAGATTTTCAGTGCAAAATACATTACAAATCTTCCACTCAACTTCCACTTGTAAAAACCTCAAAAATGATGTTTTTAGGCGATTTTAAGGCTTTTTGGAAGTAAAAGTTTGGTGGAAGATTTTCAGTGCAAAATACATTACAAATCATCCACTCAACTTCCACTTTTTTAAAATTATCAGAACGTTGGGTCCAATAATGAAAGTGCCATAAAAATCAGCTTGAGGGTAAAAAATGGCAAGAATTTTCTTTACAAAACAAAAAATGGCATGAACTTTCTTTACAAAACAAAAAAATGTCAAGAACTTTCTTTACAAACTATAAAATGGCAAGAACTTTCTTTACAATTTATAAAATGGCAAGAACTTTATTTAACAAACAAAAAATGGCAAGAACTTTCTATACAGTACATGATATAGCAAGAAATTACAGTATTTCTCATTAAAAGCCGAAAAAACTGAATCTTCTCGTATAACATGTCATTCGCAGCCTGCGGAGCCAAAAAAGTGGCATTTTTTTACAAAATGGGTAGAATAAGGTAGGATAGGGTAGGTTAGAATCTATAAATCAATTTTTTTTATTTCAGTCTTCTCCGACCAGCCCACCACCCCTCCAAGTATCAGTGCTCACGTTCGCGCCCAACCTTCAGAAGAAGAAACTGGTTTTCTGGTCGATTTGAAGACCTTGTCCAACAACTATGGCTTCATATTGTTGTTAATCAGCTATGGCATTAACGTTGGCGTATTTTATGCCATTTCAACGCTGCTAAGTCAGATGATATCCGTTTATCATCATAACGTTGGCACTGAGACTGGAACGATCGGCTTGTTGATGGTGGTTGGTGGCATGGTTGGCAGTGTCTGCTGTGGATACATGTTGGATCGGTTTCATAAGTACAAGTAGGTTTGGCTCTTTTTTAAATGGTTTTTTAGGGCGGGGTAAATTTTTTCGGTTAGGGTGGAGGGGGGGGTTTTTTGGTTCTGGGGAAGTGGAATGGGTTACTTTTAGGGCAGGGTAAATTTGTTAGGTTAGGGGTAGATATTTTGGGTGGGGTAAATTTTATAATGCTAGACGTGGTGGACTATTTTTGGCAGGGTGAAGTAAAATTGGTTATTTTTAGGGTAGGGTAAATTTGTGAGGTTAGGGGGAGGAGGTGTTTTTTTGGGTGGGGTAATGTGTTATACATAACTTGTAGGGCATGCCTAGGAATAATAGGGTAGAGTAGGGTATGGTAGGGTAGGGTAGGGTAGGGTAGAGTAGGGTAGGGTAGGGTAGGGTAGGGTAGGGTAGGGTAGGGTAGGGTAGGGTAGGGTAGGGTAGGGTAGGGTAGGGTAGGGTAGGGTAAGGTAGGGTAGGGTAGGGTAGGGTAGGGTAGGGTAGGGTAGGATAGGATAGGATAGGGTAGGGTAGGGTAGGGTAGGGTAGAGTAGAGTAGGGTAGGGTAGGGTAGGGTAGGGTAGGGTAGGGTAGGGTAGGGTAGGGTAGGGTAGGGTAGGGTAGGGTAGGGTAGGGTAAAACTTCTAATTTCGTATTTTCAGGTTGATAACAGGCTTAGTATACCTACTGTCAGTGATTGGCATGTTACTAGTCACCTTCACAATCCAAATGCCATTATGGATGACATTTTTCACTGCCACTTTCTTAGGCTTCTTCATGACTGGTTATCTACCGGTCGGTTTCGAGTACGGTGCTGAGCTGACATACCCAGCCAGCGAGGGTACCACCTCAGGACTACTCAACTTCTTTGCTCAAATCTTTGGAATTGCGATGGTAATTGGCATGGGACAAGTTATACGAAGGATTAGTGTTTTCTGGTGCAACATCTTATTGTCAATATTCTTGTTCATTGGCATGGGACTGACAGTTTTGATTAAAGGAGAGCTTAAAAGGCATAATACTCACATGAGTCAGCTGGAGAACGCTGCTTTTGATGTAAGTCTCACTCTACCCTACCCTACCCTACCCTACCCTACCCTACTGTACCCTACCCTACCCTACCCTACCCTACCCTACCCTACCCTGCCCTGCCCTGCCCTGCCCTGCCCTGCCCTGCCCTGCCCTGCCCTGCCCTGCCCTGCCCTGCCCTGCCCTACTCTACCCTACACTACCCTACCCTACCCTATTCGTATTGTACCTTAGATTACCGTATCTTGCCCTATCCTGTATTACTCTACTGTACCGTACCATACCCTATCTTGTCTCACTCAACCTTAATTTACCTTACCATATTATAATCTGTCCTAATTTATCTTGACCTCGCTTGCTACCTTCAGAATTCTTCAAACGGCTTTACTTTAATATGATTTGGCCTACCCTGACTTGACATGCCCTCAACCTTAGTTTTAATCTTATATCTCAGTTTCTACTGTATTGTAGCTTTTACTGTATATAATGACTGTTTTCAGAATTCAAACTTTGCGACAGAAGAAGCGAATTCAACTACACGAACAGATTCTCGAACACAATCAACCAACTTTTACTGACACTTTACTTGCCAATATCTCTAGTCGTCGCTTATTGTACATACCACGGAAAGCACGGGTCTATTACATCACGAGTTTTATTATAACATTGTTTTTACTTCTTTATAACATATAAATATATAACTATTAAGAATACTGTGGTAAATTTATGTAATTGGGAGGGTAGGGTAGGGTAGGGTAGGGTAGGATAGGATAGGGTAGGGTAGGGTAGGGTAGGGTAGGGTAGGGTAGGGTAGGGTAGGGTAGGGTAGGGTAGGGTAGGGTTGGGTAGGGTAGGGTAGGGTAGGGTAGGGTAGGGTAGAATAGGGTAGGGTAGGGTAGGGTAGGGTAGGGTAGGGTAGGGTAGGGTAGGGTAGAGTAGGGTAGGGTAGCGTAGGGTAAAAATTATATCGACATTTATAAAATAAAGGCTTTTATTCATAGTACAAACTTTATTATGTATATTAGTATCAAAAGAACTGTTACAATGCCTCCAATGGCACATCTCTATGTGGTCCACTAGCCTGACTATGATGCCGACTATCAGCCGAACCGGTTCTTTGACTAACTTCGCTAACATGGCCATGTTCATCCTCACTAATATCAGAAATGACATCATTTTCAGTATCAGCATCGTGATTTTCTTCATTACGAGTACTTTCAGTACGTTGAGTACGACTGTGAGTACTGTGCTCATGAGTACTATGGTTAGTACCGGGTCGATGATGAGTACTACGCTCAACGCGAGTAAGACTATGAGTACTGTTTTTAGTACCAGGACGATCATGAGTACTATGTTCAACATGAGAATGAGTACTGTGCTCCGTACGATCAGTATTATCGCCAGTGCTTGGCCGACTGTGGTCGGTGCGAGAGTGAGTACTATGCTCAGTACGGTGACTATGTCCACTACCAGGTCGACTATGACCAGTACCATGTGACCTAGCACTATGTCCAGTATTAGGCCTACTGTATTGAGTACCGTGCTCAAATGTGCTCTCTCGTACTGTAGTAGTATCGTGCACGCCATCCGATATAACTTCATCTGAATGTTGTGATACTCGTGATGCCCGTCGTACTCCATTTTGAGCCGAATGTGCTGAGCGTGTACTGTGCCGTGACACAGGCCGTTCCAAGGCTAGTTCAGGTAGTGGTACTGGTACCACATGGGGCTCGTTTGGTTCTTCTTTCTTTGGTTTTTTGACTTTTTTGACTATCTTTTTCTTCTTTTTTTTCTGTCGCCTCCGGCTTTTTGCTGAAAAAATGTTATTTTTTGAAGTTACAGTAACCTTGTCGTACTGTAAAAACATAAAACGTAACCATTCATACAGTAAAACAAAGCTTACTGTACAGTACTCAATAACTTACTGTATTTTCTTTTGTTTTCCTTCAACCACAATTTCAGTACCATCAGGTTTTGGTACTGTCTTAGCATGTACCTTCTTGGTTGTTAAGCTTTTAGCCCGTTTCTTAGGCTTAGGACTCTCACCAACAGTCGACACACTTTGTACTGTAACATCACGAGAAGTCGACCGAAGCTCGTTGGTCGATTTGGATCGACTCGGCAGGCTGGATTTGGACGTTCTGAAATTTTAAAGTTACTCTAGCCTAACTCTAGTTCTAGCCCAGAGCTCAGAGCCCAAATTCCAGGTTTTAGCCCTAGCCCAGAGCCCTAGCCCAGAACCCTAGCCCAAAGCCCCAGATTTTGATGCTTCTATTTCATCCTACCTTGCCATACATTCGTGCTATCTTTGTTGTACTCTTGCCTTACCTTTGCCCTATAGCCACAACCCACAGCCCGGCTAAGAGCCCTAACCCAGAGCTTTCACCCCAGTTCTAGCTAATCGAATACTACCAGGGGTTTGCTTTTTTTAATTTTTTTAAGCTCCAGCTTCGCTTCGGACTACAAACTTTCAAAAATTAGTTTTGGCTTCGGCTTTGCGCTCCAGAGCTCAAAAACTTTTGACAAGCTACGGCTCCGCTTCAACCTTCGGCTGTTCTAACATTTGAGCTGCGGTTCAGTTCCGAACTCGCGGATTCGTAACCATTCTGCAGCTAGCTGAGTTAAGCCGAATTCTGACTATTACATAAACATTTTTGTATAATAGATTACATAAACTAATCATGTAACGTCATAGCCTTAGAGAAATTGCAAAAAAGTGCGTTACATCAGGTTTTTTAACGTAATACTGTAACATTCGGCTCGGTGTAAAACGACCCAACAAATTACTTCGAGGCTATCTTTGCAATTTCTCCCTACCCTACCCTACCCTACCCTATCCTACCCTACCCTACCCTGCGCTGCGCTGCCCTACCCTACCCTACCCTACCCTACCCTACCCTACCCTACCCTACCCTACCCTACCCTACCCTACCCTACCCTACCCTACCTTACCCTACCCTACCCTACCCTACCCTACCCTACCCTACCCTACCCTACCCTACCCTACCCTACCCTACCCTACCCTACCCTACTCTACCCTACCCTACCCTACCCTACCATACCCTACTCTACCCTATTATTCCTAGGCATGCCCTACAAGTTATGTATAACACATTACCCCACCCAAAAAAACACCTCCTCCCCCTAACCTCACAAATTTACCCTACCCTAAAAATAACCAATTTTACTTCACCCTGCCAAAAATAGTCCACCACGTCTAGCATTATAAAATTTACCCCACCCAAAATATCTACCCCTAACCTAACAAATTTACCCTGCCCTAAAAGTAACCCATTCCACTTCCCCAGAACCAAATCTACCCTACCATTTAAAACACAAATCTTACCTTGAAGCCAAACTCAGTCCAGAATACTCCTTCCTAGGCAGTCTAGCCACCTGTTCATCCCGATAAGCTTGACCATAAGGTACAGCCATAAACCCTCCAGAGCTGGCTACATACTCATGATTATTCTCCAACTCATTAGTCGTCTTCACAAGTGTACCATTAATAGTGTACAGCTTCTTGGCTCCACCAACCAGCCCCACCCGTTCACTAATCGCATCCAGTAGTGCATTGATGTCATGTATGTGTCGTATGTTCAGTACGACTACGATACCTTTGTGAAACTTGTCGCCGTTACGGTAGACTCGAATTCGTTTGGCTACGGCTGGTGTTGTTGTGGTAAGTTGAGAGGATGTAGGCTTCTTGGCTGTGCCATTGTGACGACTTGGCGATCGCGATTTTGACTTTTTCCGAGCTTTTTTTGGCGATTCTGGCATTCTGTAACAGGTTTTGTTAGTGAATACAGTCAAAAAAATATAGCCTCTACTTGAGGTATGAGCGTAAGCCTGACTTCAAGCTTGATGTTCTAAAACTTTAACATACGATCCTGAAGCTTTTAAGCCTAATTTTACCTTGCATCTACATCTTCTAATTGCTAATCTTATCTAAGGCTAAACTTAAGGCTACGGCTGAGGCTAAAGCTAAGGCTAAGGCTAAGGCTAAAGCTAAGGCTAAGGCTAAGGCTACGGCTAAGGCTAAAGCTAAGACTAAGGCTAAGGCTAACGCTTACTATAACTTAAGTTTAGACAATGTCTAGAAATGAGCTAAAGCAAAGTCTTTGGCTTAAGATCAAGCTTAGGCTTACACTTAAAATTAAATTTAGGCTATAGTTTAGACTTGAATATAGGCTTAAACGTAAAGGCTTAAATTTAAGCTTACGGTGCAAGTTCGAACTTGCTTCGGCTTGCCTTGCCCTCAACCCCCCCCCCTTCCTCTCCTAGATACTAGATATGAGAAACGGGCCTGGCCTGAGATTTAAGCCCGGTCTGATCGAAATTTTGCTCAGGCCCGGTCCGATCTCATGTCCACCCCTGTCCCTCCCCCCCCCCGCTCGCACATTTTTTCAGGCCTAATAAAATAGTCTCACAAAAATTTATAATCTCATAAAACCAGTGAGCGTATTTTACAAAATAAAAAAAATTTTACAAGCAAAAACTTTGTTTCCACAAAAAAACCCCTCGGGCACTTTAAAACATTTGAAACAAAGTGGAGCTCATTTCAAATAATTTAAAATTATTTCGGTTACTAAGCAAAACTATCATGTGAGAGGACAAAGAAAAGCATGTTTATGAGTACGTTAGTAATACTATGCATAAAAACCCCTAAAGGGATAATGCGAGTGGGATTTTACTCAAAAATTACTTTTTACCTAAAGGAATGTCAGGTAATTATAATAGTAATAGTTGAGTTAAATTTAGAAAATTTGTGACTTAATTAGGTATGAAAAATGTTTTGTAAAGATAGTTCTTGCCATTTTTTGATCTGTAAAGAAAATTCTTACCATTTTTTGTTTTGTAAAGAAAGTTCTTGCCATTTTTTGCTTTGTAAAGAAAGTTCTTGCCCTTTTTTGTTTTGGAAAGAAAGTTTTTACCATTTTTAACTTACAAAGCAATTTTTATGACATTTTAATTTTAAGAAGCAAATTTGTAAAGATTTGAAAAAGTACAAGCTGAGTGGAAGATTTTCAATGCAAATTACACTAAAAATCTTCCACCAAACTTTCATTTTGAAAAGTCTTAAAATGGCCTAAAAACATCATTTTTGAGGTTTTTACAAGTGGAAGTTTAGTGGAAGATTTGTAAAGTATTTTGCACTGAAAATCTTCCACGAAACTTCTATTTTTAAAAAGTGCCAAAAACGTGTTCTTAGGTCATTTTAGGATATTTTAGAAGTGAAAGTTTAGTGAAAGATTTACAGTGCAAAATGAATTATGAATCTTCCATCCACTTTATTAAAAGGGCTGTTTTGGGCTTTGTAAACAAAGTTATTGCGGTTTATGTCTGATCAACTCAACTTTTTACCTCAAATTTAAGCCTTTTTTTTACAAAAATAGAGAGTGCCTTTATAAAATGCACTTATCATTTTGTTGTTGGCGAAAAAAACCTTTACAAGACAAAAAATGGCAAGAACTTTCTTTACAAATCAAAAAATGGCTAGAACTTTCTTTACAAAACAAAAATTGCAAGAACTTTCTTTACACTTAATTTTTTCAGTTTTAAAACTTCAAAAATTTTAAAAAACTTAAATTTCAACCCATTTTTCAAACCAAAACCCACCACCCACGCTCCAACAAAGACAGTAGAATTGTAAAGCAAAAACCAGCTTTTTGTCACAATTTTGAAAAAAAAATTTCGTAAAACAGTTTGCCGCCAGCGGCCTTCCAAAACCATGGCGATGAACAAAAGCCCTCCATTCAAACATAAGGATGCTATTATAGCATACTATAACATGTAATTGACTGCTTGACGACATTTTTTCAGTTTCTGTCTATACAAGGTTTTGTACTTGGCTTTGGGACATTGAAAATGGCAAAAACTTTGTTTACAAAGCAAAAAATGGCAAGAGCTTTCTTTGCAAAACAAAAAAATTGCAAGAACTTTCTTTACAAAACAAAAAATAGCTAGAACTTTCTTTACAAAACCAAAAAATTACGTATGTATTATATTTATATATAGCTTTAGAAGGACGGGCCAGGTAAAATTCGCAATAATTTTGTTTACAATGGCTGAAAAGACAAAATTTATGGATATTTAGTAGTTAAAAATGCCATAACTTTGTTTCCAATAATGAAAATGTTACAAAAATTTGCATCAAAGTAAAAAATTGCAAAAACTTTCTTTACGAAGCGCAATATGGCAAGAACTTTTTTTACAAGTCAAAAAATGACAAGAAATTTCTTTACAAAACAAAAAATTTTAAAAAGGCTTTGTGATGTCATAAAAACCTAAAACACACATGCTTATAATCATTTCTACTGTAATTCTACTCATTTACTACCCATAACTATTATTATATTACAGTAATACATTAGATTCTGATCTTCTTCCGTCTTCTGTAGCCATTGGAAGTTGGCGTAGGGAAGTCGGACTCGGGTGGAGCCGTACTAGTCTCATGATGCGCTTTCACAACCGGAGCCTCAGTCACCACAGCATCATAGCTGTGGGTATGTGGCTGAACATCATCTTCATGTGAATCCTCAGGCTTCTCGGCTTTGCCGGCCGGGATCTTCGTAGCATCGCCGAATTCGGCGTTGGATTCGGCGGACGGCGCTTCATCGGCAGTACCTCGTTTAGGACATTGACAATAGGTAGCGTCCTTTCCGGGTGAACCGGGTAGACCATCGGCACCATTTTCGCCAGGTTTTCCATCGCGGCCGCGAGAGCCGGCTCGTCCTGGTGATCCTTGTGGGCCTGGGTTGCCTGGTTCGGGGCGTTCGCCGGGCTCTCCTTCTTCGCCTAGGAAGCCGGGTGGTCCTAAAAATAAAAAATTTTAAAATGTTGGTTTTAGGTTTAGATTGTCATATTTTTATCGCTAGGCAAAAGTTCTTGGAAAACTTGAAAAATTTTGGGTCTCACCACGAAAACTTGAAAATCGTCAAAATTGTGAATAAATGATAGAAAATAGTTTTAAACTTTAAAGTTAAGCTAGAAAATGTCATATATTATAAAAAAATTGCAAAATTATTATAAAATTCAAACGTTTGGGTCCCACCACGAAAACTTGAAAATCCTTTATCTTGCAAGTTGCAAATAAATGAACAAAAATCGTTTTTAACTTTAAGATTAGGCTAGAAAATGTTATACTTTAAATAAAAACATAAAATTATGACTTTTTTGGGTCCCACCACGAAAACCTGATAACTGTTCAAAACCCTGTTAAACTCCAAAGAGCACTTACCTGGAGGTCCCTTAACACCAATGATAGGCTTAACTTTTCTACCATCTCTACCATCATGACCAGGCCGCCCCAACGTACCAGGCAGTCCAGGTGGTCCCGCCTCACCTGGCGCACCTTGTACTCCAGGGTAAGCGTCCTGACCGGCTCTTCCATCATAGCCAGGTTGACCGTTGTCGCCAGCCGGACCAGCTGCGCCTTCTTTGCCTTGTAGACCGGGTGGACCGGGTGGGCATTGGATACAGCCGGCACGCCGAGGGAAGTTACCAATTAGGGCTATTCCAGGTGCACCAGGTCTGCCATTATCACCACGTGGGCCTGGTTCACCTGCTTTGCCTTTGGCTCCTGGTGGACCGATTGGACCTGGTGGGCATTTGTTTGAGTGGGCTTGGCATTCACATTGAGCGGAACGTCTCTCACGGTGACCGATTTGTTGCAAGAACGTTCTGTGATCGTTCTTGTTGAGATTATAATGTCCATAGCCCTGACGACCTGGTCCAGTTTTGAAGCTAGTACTGTCTGGCACGTTCAGCATGCCACTCCAAGCATCATCAACCATGATCTTGAAGTCGGTCAAGTCCAACATGATCTCATTGTGAAGGTTGTTGATGTCATTGTAAATGTAACCGGCTGCACAAATGGTCAAGAATATGAAGGCAGCACTGCCAATCGAGGTGATTACTACCACCGTTTGAGACGATGAGGTCATGGCTAGAAAGGTAAAGTATATAAGCTGTTATGGTAAAAGCTAAAGCAGTAAAAGTAAGGTGTAAAAACTATAAAAGTTAACTTTAAAACAACTTTTAAAGTAAGATACGATAAGAAATGGCAGCTCAATTTCTTAAAAATCCAAAAACAAACAAAAAATTTTAAGAAAAATGCCACTTTTTATAAGATGTTAACGTACGACTAAATTAAAAACAACTCTTAATAGCCTATCGTAGCCTTGGCAATACTGCCTAAAAATATTTCTGTGTTTTACAGTACGATACTTAATTTACAGTACAAAGTTCTGAGCCAAGTCATACAAAAAATAACAAAAAAAAGTCAAAAATTTGAAGAAAAATACTATTTTTTAAAGTAAGTTAACATTGGATTAAAAAAATGCTTGTTAATGATAAACCAAGGTCTTGTCTGTTCGGCCTAAAAATATATTTTAGTTTTTCTATACCATACTAAAGTTACAGTACAAAGTTCTGGGCGAAGTCATAAAAAATAGCTAAAAACGTCAAAAATTTCAAGAAAAATGCCATTTTTTAAAATATCTTAACATTCGATTAAACAAAAAAGGCTTTTTAATGATAAATCAAACTTAAAACTTACTAAACCTTTTATAAAACTTCTCAAAACTCCTCATTAACCTCGACTTTTATACCTTCAAACCGGTTGGATTCTCACTTTTTTCTAAAAATCGCCCTCAAATCTCACTTTTTCACCCAAAACCCACTCCCATACCTGACTTTTCACTAAAACTTTTTTCGAAAATGGCCTCGGGCAATTCCAGGTGATTTCTCACCTTCGCTACATATGTTTTGAAACCTATTGTTGGTGCGAAATCCACTGAAAATCGCCATCATATAACGCGGAATGACCAAACGAAGAGAGAGTGCGGCGATCGGAGAGAGCAGAGCGACGGGGTTAGAGAAGGCGGCGGGATTAGAGAAAGGGTTTCGAACGTTGATAACGTGACTTGAAACAACGTTTTGGGGGGGGGGGGGAGGAGGTTTACAAAAAAACAAACAATAAATGGAGGGATGTGTTGCTTGAGGGCGTTTGAGTTTGAAAGTTTAAAAAATTTAAAAAAAATTGATATTGTGGGTGACAGCTGAGGGTTACAGGCTCTTTTGAGCTATTTTAGTACTTTAAAGCGTTGGTACCTAAAATATTCTGATACCAAAATAACTACCAGACCTGTAGCTACCTACCACAATTTATTTCAAGCCTTTAAAACTTCATTTTCTAATAAAAAATTTGATTTTTCTTTAAAAAATCGCTAAAATCGAAGAAATTTCAATATTACTGTAAGATTACTGTAAAATACCAACTAGCCTTGTACTCTAAAATGGATTTAGAGCAAATATCGTTATGTCCGTACCAATATTTCATCAGTAAAAGCCGCGAAAATCGACGAATAAATGTGTTTTTGGCAACTATTTTCTGTATAATCCTGATCCATTTTCTTCATTGGCTACGGTTGGTACAGTATACCTGTAAGTATAAAACTTTGTTTGTACATTGTAATAGGTATTCTTTACAAATCTGTCAATGGATTATGGTTTTTAATTTATTTTAAGAAATTTACAGTAGTTTAAACAGGAACCTATTAATTCTTTTGCAAATTGTTAAAGATTGATGCCATTTCTCAGTAAAATCTAATTAAAAAAGCAAAATTAATGAGAATTCTGGCGTTTAAGTTGTAATGTATTTTAAGAAAAATGTTTTTTCTTTGATCTTGAAGGTGTTTTATACTGTGGTATTGCTGTTGTAATGAAAAAACTTACATTACACTGCTTTCTAAATCTCAATATAATACTAAAAAGATATTATTTTCAGCAAGCCGTAGCCTTGTCTATGCTGTGCATCGATGAATTGAATATACATCGATAAAAAATATGTTTGTATGATTATAAAGAAGTACAGGAACAACTGGATGAATAACAACTGTATATATTATAGTAATAGATGTTACATTCTGTTTAAAATAAAAAAATGCAATTAAAGACGGATGATAGTCCACAGCCTTAGCCCAGAGCCTGAGCCCAGAACCCTAGATTTAGCCCTACCCTTAGCACAAAGCCCATAGCCCTAGTCCAGAACTTTAGCCTTGATTCTGAAACATAAGCCACAACATTTTTAAAATGATAGTTGAGTGGAAGATTTGTAACGTATTTTGCATTGAAAATCTTCCACCAAACTTCCACCTTTAAAAAGTGTCAAAAACGTGTGTTTAGGCCATTTTAAGGCTTTTAAAAAATGGAAGTTGAGTGGAAGTTTTTCAGTGCAAATTACATTACAAATCTTCTACTCAACTTCCACTTTTAAAAGGGTAGTTGTAGGCGTTGTAAACAAAGTTTTTGTAATTTTGTAACGTTTTTATAAATCTTAGAGTCTGGTTTACTATGTATCTAAAAACTTCGTTATTTCATTAATTGTAAACAAAGTTATTGCGCGTTTTATCAAAAACTTAGCCTGTTTGGCCACTTTTTTCCTCGGGTCAACTTTCTGTTCTCAGTTCATTAAATTTTTATTTTCTAGCACTAGTTCTATTTTTTGCTTAAAACTAAGCCTAGGTCTAGCTTAACTTTTTTTCAAGCCTAAGCTAAAGCCCAAGACTAAGCCTAACATTTTAAAATACAAAAACTTTGTTTTTTATAGGTTGTAGTAGCAATATAGGATATTTTACTATACAATCAACTACAATAAGTGAGTTTAATTCGAGTACATGTATTATAAAATGTCATTTCAAATCTGAAGATGTTTCAAAATGGCTTCTTCAACACCAACTGCGCCCAGTCCGCCCAGGTTCTTGATTTTATTCTCCAATGGTTCCACTTGGTCTACAGCAACTTCTTTGCTGACTTCTGGAGAATACTCAGAGATTTGTTGCTTGTCCACATCAACAATGGCAACTTTGCAAGATGTTTTGCCCAAGGACGTATTGAAAGTGGCAATCAACTTGAAGGTATATACCTCGACATTACCATGAGATGGCTCTACTTTACAGTCAACGTGGTAGTTGTTGGGAGGGGATTCTTTGGACAGGTTTGGGTCGCTCCAGAACAACTCGTAGATGGCTTTCATACCTTCTTCTGGGAAGTACTGAAATGATGTTTTTTAAATTTAATTTAAAATTTTAAAATATTTGCTAAGCTATGTTTAAAAATAGCATAACACCCTGACAGATACCCTAAACTGACCTAAAAACCCTAAAATAAAGCCTAAAATAAGCCTAAATTACCCCCAAAACGCCCTAAAGCACTGCAAAATGTAATTTCAAACACTTAAAAAGCCTACATAACTCTTTTTTTAAACTTTCCAAGACATTAACAAGCTTTTTTAAAAAATGGAAGTCAAGTGGAAGATTTGTAATGAAATTTGCACTGAAAATCTTCCACTCAACCTCCACTTTCAAAATGTCTTAAAATTGCTTAAAAATGAGTTTTTAACACTTTTTAAACGTGGAATTTAAGTGGAAGATTTGTAATGTAATTTGCACTGAAAATCTTCCACTCAACTTCCACTTATAAAACGTGTTAAAAACTCATTTTTAGACGTTTTAAACCATTTTAAAACTTTTTTAAAAATGAAAATTTTGTGGAAGATTTTCAGTGCAAATTACATTACAAATCTTCCACTAAACTTTCATTTTTAAAAAGTTCAGTTTTGGGCTTTGCAAACAAAGTTTTTGCTATTTTTAAAGTTTTACATAAAGAAAAACATACCCGTTTGTTACCATACAAAGTCAATTGATCTGGAGCCTTTAAATCATATTTGTTGCCGAGAGAAAAGTCAGGCTTGTTACCAACACCAACCGACCAACAAGCAGAAGTGGTCGAAACAGCCAAAGCAAAGAAAAGGAGGGTCTTCAGCATGGTCCTTGGCTGAAAATGGTATGTTCATTATTGAAATGAGTTGAAAAGATATAAATAAAGCTCTAGCCCAGAGCCCTAGCCCACAGCCCTGGCCCACAGCCCACAGCCCTAGCCCGGAGCCCTAGCCCAGAGCCCTAACCCAGAGCCCTAGCCCAGAGCCCTAGCCCACAGCCCTAGCCCAGAGCCCAGATCCCACATCCCAGAGCCCAGAGCCCAGGGCCCTAGCCCAGATTAGTAGCCCAGAGCCCTAGTTCAAAGCCCTAGCCCAGAGGCTTAGTTCGAGAGCCCTAGCCCAGAGCCCTAGCCTATTACCGTACGCCTAAGTTTAAGACTAAGCCAAACCATAAGTCTAATCTAGCGTTTGTTTTAAGCCTAAAGTTAAGCCTACACCTAAAGACTTAGTCTAAGCTTAAACTTAAGCCTAAGCGTAAACCTAGCTTTTTTTTCTAAGGCTGTGGTTTAGTCTAAGGCTATGCTAAACGCCTAATTTTATTTGAGCCTACCACATACCTACTATAAGCCTAGTCTAAGCCTAGCTTACATTTTGCCTTAAATTAAAGATTCAGTCTAAGCCTAAGCTATCTTCCGTCTTAGCCTTAGCTTTAAAAATGTTTTTTTATTTCTAAACCTTCACTATTACACTACCCAATCATTCTACAAAACCCCAATATTCACGAAGACGCAACAACTTTCCGACCACTTGTTACTGTTCGTATCTTGTAAACGAACGTTTATATACAACAAATATTATGAAAAAACTTAAAAATAAAAGAAAAAGCGGGGTTTTCTAAGGAAATTCAAGGTCGAAGAAAGTTTAAAAAACCACTTCAAGTGTAATAACAATGCCAGTTATACTTACTCATTATACTAACATTGATATTGATGTTTATTTATTATGGTAAGATCGAGAGTAACGTTTATATATTGGTGTATTATTAATTACTGTGGTTATTTATAAAAACATTGACGATTCTGCGAATCAGCTGTACAGAAATTTGTTGCGTTTTAATGGGAGGGGGGGGAGAAGGGGGGGGAGGGGAGGGAAGAAGAGGAGAAGAGTATGGTAAGGGGTCGGAAGAGAAGAGGGTAAGGGAGTAAAAGACATGAAGAAGGGGGGGGCGGGCTACCGTTGCTTTTCCTAGAATCCCTTTGCCATTTCATTTGTAGACCTTTGATAAATAGGGTAATTAACAACGTTAAGAAGGTACAGATAGTGTTACTGGTCTTTTACAAAAGTATGGTTTACTGTAGTAACTTAAACGTAATTGGTTTTACTGCTTCTGTAAGATATTTCTGATTGTAAAAAAAAGTTTTAACACTATGGTAAGGCTATACTAGACTAGAATAGAAAGCTTAGAATAGGCTTAAGATAGAGGCAAAAGTAATACTATGGTAAACGCTAAAGTAGAGTAAGCTCAACTAAGGATATAATTTAGTTAAGGCTAAAGTAAATTTAAAAAAGAAAGACGGCTAAGCTTTAGGACGCAAGCTAGATGCTAAGGCTAGATTTTATAGCCAAAGATAGAGTCAAGCTTAGGGCCACGGGTAGTGCTTTAGATCTGAGCTTTGGTCTTTGTTTTTGAGCTAAAACTCACGGCTAGCGCTCTGGGCTAGAGCTCTGGACTAGGGCTTTGGTAGAATTCTAGGCTGGGGTTCTAGGCTAGGGCTCTGGGCTAGGTCTCTGGGCTAAGACTCCCGGCTAGCGCTCTGCGCTAGGGCTAAGGCTCTGGACTACGGTTCTGAGCCAGGGCTCTGAGCTAAAACTCTGGGCTAGAACTAAGGTAAGGCTAGTGGAAGTTCTTGAAAAATTTTTAAATAACATTTCAAATCTTTTCCTTGAGTTTCAAAAAATTATATTTTGAAAAAGTTTTACATTTAAAAATTTTTTTATTTTTAAAATATTCAAGTTCATTTATTCACTTGATATAAATACGATATTCATCACATTCCATTGAAATAACCTCATTTCTGATCAAAAGAGCGTACTTGTTTCTGTGGCCGAATGGCTAACCTGTTTGCTTTTCGTGCGAAAGGCAGTTGGTTCGGATCCACGCGTTCGATACTTGCTGGTTTGAGTCATTTTCAGTGGCTGAATCGGACGAAAAATACGCAAAATCAAAGTAAAAGAGCCATTATTCCGTAGGATCACGTTGGTCGGTGAGGTGGTCCTCCCATGGATCTTTACATTTTAGTTTTTTGTTGCTTAATATGTTTACTAAAGAATATTGTATACATTCGTATAGATAAGTATTATGTAGTTTTAGATAGCCTAAGACACAGTAAAGTAACATTACAGTAGGTTACGGTAGACTACCGTATGCTTTAAGGTAGCGTAGAGCATGATAGCATGAATAATTCTAATTGGAGCAGTAAAGAGTAAAGTAGGTAATTAATAGCGCGGGGGGGGTAATTATTCAATAAGAGATTAAGGTTACAATATGAAAAACAAAGCAATTTAGGTTACGGTAGAATTGAGGGTAGGGATACGGTAAGAATAGACGGTAGGGTTACTGTACGGACAAAGAGACAAAGTTAAACTATGATATAGGTTAGACTTAAAGTAGGTAGGGAAGACGGTAGGTCAAGGCACGACATGACAAGGCACGACATGAAAAGGTAGGGTAGGATAGGGTAGGGTAGGGTAGGGTAGGGTAGGGTAGGGTAGGGTAGGGTAGGGTAGGGTATTGTAGGGTAGGGTAGGGTAGGGTAGTTAAAAATGAAATTATAGTATCTACTTATCACTTGCAAAAACTTTATTTACAGCTTCAAAAATCATCAAAAACGTCAAAGTCAACTTAACATTGATCACATTTTGTCACCTAATGTAAACTTAACGTCCCGCTTCTCACTTTTCTTACTATGATGAGTACCACTAGTACTACTGCTACTATGACTAGGAGTACCAGAAGTACCCGGCAGTGGTGACAAGTCTTCAAAGTGTGGTACACTGCCTTCTGGTACAACTACAGTACCGTCTGGTCGTTTCTCTAGTGCCATTTCGTCCTCTGGTCGATGATGAATTTGAATATTGTCGTCGTTTTCTTGATTGCCATTTGGAATCTCAATTTCGAATTCGTCTTCAGATGAACTGGAAGAGCCTGGCACACTAACGTCAGCTGGCAGCTTGCCATCGGATTGAATGTGGCTTAACTAAAATGGCAAGAACTTTCTTTACAAAACAAATGGCAAGAACTTTCTTTACAAAACATAAAATGACAAGAACTGCACTTACATTACTTTCCATAGCAATATCATTTGTAGCTACAGTAATTTCGGCCGCTTTTTCTAACACAACAATGATCTGATTGTGTTGGAAATGAACAGCATCGTCCATCGGCGTCCTGCCCCACCTAAAAAAAATAAAATCAAAATTTACCCTACCCTACCCTACCCTATCCTACTTTACCCAACCCTACCCTACCCTACCCTATCCTACTTTACCCAACCCTACCCTACCCTACCCTACCCTCCCCTACCTTACCCTACTCTACTGTAACATACCATACGGTCTTTACACCGTATCGTAATCATGCACTTCTTTTTCTACTGTAACCTCTGTCATTTTTTCCTACAGTAACCTACACTAAGTAAGTTTACTCAACATCATAATTCACTCTTGTGTGTACAGTAACCCGACTTTACGATTCCACTGTTAGCCTCTTTGACCTTTTGCCGTAACTCTGCATTGTCATCCTACTGTAACTTGACTATAACTTTTCACCGTAACCGTACTCTGGCTGCTACCAAAACTCTACTTCCTTCCTACTGCAACACTACTAGTACTTTAGTATTCTTACCCGTGACATACTGTATGCTTTCTACCTCAGCCCCTATGTTAAATAGGTTCAGAATCATGGAACGTATTTTACCATACTTAACTACATTCTTTTATTATGTAATAGATTTGGATGAACTTACCGATCCTTGGCGTCTATCTTGACTCTAGCAATATTGACCAGAAACTTGACCACATCCAATTGACCTTCCGCTGCAGCAACATGCAACGCTGTCCTCTTGTCATAGTCGGAACTACTCATGTCAACCTTTTGCATAAACAACCGTCGCAATGTGTTCATATCACCGGTTCTGGCAGCGAACAACAAAGATATTACCTAAAATTCAAAATTTTTTTAAATTACAAAAATTTTTGAGGTAGTGGGGTAGAGTACGGTAGAGGGTTGAATAGGGTACGGAAGGGTGAAATATAAGAAAACTTTTGTGTTAAAAGGACATTTTAAAATGAAAAAAACACATTTTTTGCCATTTTTTAGTCTGTGGACATAATTATAACAAGTTTTAAAAAATGGAAGTTGAGTGGAAGATTTTCAGTGCAAAATACATTAAAAATCTTCCACTCAACTTCCACTTCTAAAAACAGTTAAAAACGTTTTTTTAAGCCATTTTAGGACATTTGAAAAGTGAAAGTTAAGTGGAAGATTTTCAGTGCAAAATACATTACAAATCTTCCACTAAACTTCCACCTTTTTAAAACGGTGGTTTTGTGCTTTCAATACAAAGTTTTTGCAATTTTCTAGTAGCGTTGTATAACTCAGAGTCTTTTATACAAAATATCCAAAAATTTTGCCATTCCACCCATTGTAAACAAAGCTATTGCGGTTTTTACCTGATCTCTCTCCTGCTCGCCCACTCTTTTCCTCGGGTCAAACTTGTGTGTGTCCAAATGAGCCAACGAGTCGTAATTGTGAAGCGAAAACCTTGAAATCATCTCTTTACAGAACTCCACACCACGACACGTATTACCGTACTCGTCCAATGCTGGAGAGTACAAGCAGATACCCATTAGGTTAGGTACCACTACCAACATGGCACCCGAAGCACTGGATTTGGCTGGCAGACCCACGTGGAAGGCGAATTGGCCGCTGAAATTGGGATTTGTAATGGTTTTTGGGCAGTTTCTTGGCTTGGAAAGTAAGCTAGGATATTTTTTGGGTAGTGAAAGTTGAATGGAAGATTTGTAATGTATTTTGCACTGAAAATCTTCTACTCAACTTCCAATTTTAAATAGTCTTAAAATGGCCTAAAAACGTATTTTTGACACTTTTTAGGAGTGGAAGTTTGGTGGAAGATTTTCAGTACAAATTACATTACAAATCTTCCACTCAACTTCCACTTCCAAAAATGATCAAAAACGCGTCTTTAAGCCATTTTAAGAAATTTTAAAAATGGAAGTTCGGTGGAAGATTTTTAGTGCAAAATACATTACAAATCTTCCGTTCAACTTCCACTCTCAAAAAACTTCAAAATTTGATTATAAAATTAAAAACTAATTTTTCAAATATTAATAACACAATTATGCCATAATAAAAAGCTTTTCACTACCATTTTTAATTACTTTGACTGTGGTAAAAATGTAATAAGAGGTGTTATTGCTTTGAAGACATTAGACATCATACCCTTTATGATATTAAAAATGGCAATAAATTGTTATAACATTGTCATATCTGGCATTATCATCAATAGGGGTCATTGAAGCTATAATAGTATAAATTTACTTAATTTTTTACTGGTCGATATTATGATACTAGGTAGTGGAATATACCAAAGCCGTATACTGATAGCTTTTTACATTACTATGTTTAGTATGTTGGTAAGCCTTTGCCATTCTGTGCCCTCAAACCAATTTTTATGCCACTTTGAAAACTAGAACCAAAGTTATGCCCCTTTAAAAAAGTGAAATTTGAGTGGAAGATTTTCAGTACAAAATACACTAAAAATCTTCCATTTAACTTAAATTTTTAAAAAGTCTTAAAATGGCTTAAAAACATCATTTTTTAAGGTTTTTACAAGTGGAAGTTGAGTGGAAGATTTGTAATGTATTTTGCACTGAAAATCTTCCACCAAACTTCCACGCCTAAAAAATGTTTAAATCGTGTTTTTAGGCAATTTTAAGGCATTTTTGAAGAAAGTTAAGTGGACGTTTTTTAGTGCAAAATACATTACAAATCTTCCACTCAACTTCAACTTTTTTAAACTGTCACTTCAAGTCATATAATAAAAATTATTGCCACTATAAGACTTGTAAATAAAGTTCCTGCCATTTCAGTTCAAATTCACCGTCTCAAACGACATTATTCTAATCAAAGTAGCTGTTTTGATACCTAAAGATGTGAAATTTAAAGACTTTTCGTACTATCGGATAGCACCAGCCCTCGAGCTAGCTGAAGAACGGCTGAGAACGTTAGAAATCATACCAGATTACGTTGATTTCACATACGCATGGATATTTGATGAATGTACTGAACATGGTGATACTGACACGCTAGTACGACTAATACTTAATGGTGCTATTGATGTCATTATTGGTCCGCCTTGCCCTACTTGTGGGTTGAAATGAATTTTTTATAGCTTTTTTAGTCCCACAAAAGCCTATTTTTGGCAGTTTTAACCATATTTTTAGCCATATTTTGACCTTTAAAAAAGTGGAATTTTGGTGGAAGATTTGTAATGTAATTTGCACTGAAAATCTTCCATCAAACTTTCATTTTCAAAATGTCTTAAAATGGCTTAAAAACACGTCCTTGACACATTTTAGAAGTGGAAGTTTTGTGGAAGATTTTCAGGGCAAAATACTTTACAAATCTTCTACTTGACTTCCATTTTTTTAAAAGAAGTGTTTTAAGGCAAAGAAAAGACTGTAAGGAAATTTATTGCTATTTTTCGTTTTGTAAAGAAAGTTCTTGCCATTTTTTGGTTTGTAAACAAAGTATTTGCAATTTAAAAAAAAATTAAAAATTTTTGAAAAAATTTGAAATTTTTTTTTCATCAGGGTTAGACGCAGGTAACTTAGCAGCAGTTTATAACTTGCCAATGATAACTTGGGGGCCTGGCACTTCGCCTTCTCTTACTCATATCCATCGATTTCCTACCGTATTCTCGGTTACTGACACTACAGTAGGGTAAGTTAAGTTTGTAAAGAAAGTTCTTGCCATATTTTGTTTTGTAAAGAAAGTTCATGTCATTTTTTGTTTTGTAAAAAAGTTCTTGCCATTTTTTGCTTTGTAAAGAAAGTTCTTGCCGTTTTTTGCTTTGTGAAGAAAGTTCTTGCCGTTTCAGATTCGGCCAAAGCATGTGTGCTATGTTATCCTATCTCAACGCAACTCGAGTAGCAGTATTATACGAAGCCAGTTCTAGTAAAGAGAACAATGTTTGCTACATAATGCAACAAGAATTCGACAGTAAAAGCTGCAACATTACAGTATCTTACAAAAGCAGCTACAAGTTGGGCGACAACTTTGATGAAATCTTATTCAATCTTCAGTCTTTGACCAGAAGTAAGTCACTCCTACCCTACCCTACCCTACCCTACCCTACCCTACCCTACCCTACCCTACCTTACCCTACCCTACCGTACCCTACCCTACCCTACCCTACCCTGACCTTCTTACAGTACCTTTGCCACACCCTACCTTTGTCCTAAAGGGGGACCTCCCCCCCCCCAAAAAAAAATTTTTGAAAAAAGTTGAACGTGGTCCCCCCTGTGGATTTTCGGAAAAAACATTTCGCAAAAAACCGGCACAGGTAGCTTACCTGTGCCGATTTTTTAAACTCCTGCCCCCAGACCAAAAGTCCCCGCCCGGCTCTGTCTACATACTACCATGCTTAGCCTTACTTTCTACGCCACTTTCTTACACTTCAGTAAAACTTTATCACTACTACTGTAACATCTTTTCAGTAGTAGTAGTATGTGCCGAGACCCTGCAAAGCCAGCTGGACTTCTTTGCCCGGGTCATCTCATTAGGAATGGCAAACCCGGACTACCTCTACGTGGTGGCCGATATGAGTGGACCATGTAAGTAGTACCATCAGTACCATTTTGAATTTAGACCATAAAGCTCAATGTAGTGACTACTCGGCCGACTACAGTAGCATCGCCGGTGCTCTACCGTACATCTTCCTAATGAGTATGGGACGCAGACTGCGTGAGCCTTTCGTCAACCTACAGTATGACCCTTTTAATACGACCCTCAACAACTTCAATACCAACTTCACCAACGAGATTGCGGACAAGTTGAGAATGGCACCATACAACTGTACCGATTGCCCCAGGCACTTCAAAGTCGGATGTTATTCGTATCAACTGGCAGATACGTTGTTACTGTACGGTAATGTACTCAATAGAACGGTAGTTACAAGGAGAAATGGGGTTTATGACTTGGCTACGGCTAGAGATGGCAGATTGTTGATGAACATGACCAATATCACCTTTATGAGTAAGTGGAAAGAAAGTTTTTGCTATTTTTAGTTTTGTAAAAAAAGTTCTTGCCATTTTTAAATTTGTAAAAAAAGTTCTTGCCATTTCGTGTCTTGTAAAGAAAGTTCATGCCATTTTTAATCCAAATACCGAATTTTAAGCTTTTTTATCAACGAGAAAGAAAGTTATGACTTTTCAAAAAAGTGGAAGTTGGGTGGAAGATTTGTAATGTATTTTGCGCTGAAAATCTTCCACCAAACTTCCACTTCTAAAAAGTGTTAAAAACGAGTTTTAAGATCATTTTAAGACTTTTTAAAAATGGAAGTTGAATGGAAGATTTTCAGTGCAAAATACATTACAAATCTTCCACTTTACTTTCACTTTTTATAACCTTCTAATTTTTTGTTCTCTAAAGAAAGTTCTTGCCATTTTTTGTTCTGTAAAGAAAGTCCTTGCCATTTTGCTCTCTAAAAACTTATTTTTAAGGTTACCGAGGAGATTTCACATTAGATGCGAATGGTACCAGAAACCCCACCTTTTACCTAAAAGGCCTAACAGACAAAATGGAATATGCCAACATACTGAGAGCTCTGAAAATTCAGAATGATGTGGTAAGAATATAAAAATGTTTATGTGATGAAGTATTGATTAATTTCATTTAGAAATAAGGGTTGCAGGCTGCACAAACCATTTTATACGATGAAAAGTTTAAAAACGGGTATTGCAGCGTGCGAAATCCATGTTATACGACGAAACATGTCTTACCATTTTTAAAATTTTAAAAAAATTTTTATTTTTTTTATTTTTTTAATTAATTTTTAAAAAATTTTGTAATTTTTGCCCATTTTTGATCAATTATAAGTGGTTGCAGCCTGCGTAAACCATGTTATACGATGAAACATGTCCAAACGTAACAAATTAGCTGTGACTTTAAATTTAAATTTTAAACTTTAAAAAACGTTAAAAAATCTATCTTTCACAAAAAAAAATTTTTTTTAATTTTCAGCACATTACCAACGTATTTCGAAATGATAGTCTAATATGGCGCTTTCGCCCAAACCAACAACCAGTAAAGTCCATCCCAACCTGCGGCTTCTTAGGCGATGCCTGCTTCATTGGCTTCCTGAGACACTACTGGATATTCATAGTAGCTGTGGGTGTACCATTACTCACACTGGTACTACTCGCCTGTGTGGTATGGCTTGGTATTTGGCATAGTAAGCGGAAAGCCACCAAGATAGCCAAATATGCGTGGAAAATTGGACTGGCCGACTTGAAAGAGATTACTGTAACTAATTTGGACAAGTCTAAGGAGACGTTATTGGACTTTCATAGTAATAGTACGGTAGTTGTGAGAGATGGGAATGAGGAGATTGAAGTTAGAAAGAACATCTTCATGCTGAATGGTAATACTGTGTTGGTGGAGGTACTCAAACCTAGGATAACATTGAAGAAGGAAGATGAGAAAGAGGCTAGAAATGTAAGTTTTATTTATTTTAATGGGGGGGGGGTGAGGGGTAAAAGTGGGGAGGGGTAAATCAAGGGCTTACGGTACGGGATACGGTAAGAGTCACAACAAAGTTTATTGTAAAGTATAGAACAAAATGTTATGTTAAGATGTAATGCAATGGATAGGGTATACAGTAAAAAAAGCTACATCAAGAGATATGGCATACGGTACAAAAAGGCATGAAGCAAGGAGTAAGGTATAGAATAGCGCAAGCGGTAAAGCAAAGGGTAAGGTGTACGGCAACGCAAGGTAAAGCAAGGAGTAAGGTATACGGTAAGCTATACAAAAAGGCGTATGGTATGACATACGATACAGAACACAATAGCATCTACGTAAAAGGTTACGGTAAGCATTGAAATAGAGCAGGTACGGCAGGACGAGAGACAGTAAAGTTAGATACAGTATGAGGTACAATAAGCTAGGGTACAGTAAACACCGCCAAGTTAGGTAGGGTACGGTAAGATAAGGTACAGTGACGTAAGATACAGTAAGGCAACGTACAGCCGGGTGGGATACAGTAAGGTAGAATAGGGTAGGGTAGGGTAGGGTAGGGTAATGCAGGATAGGCTTACTCTAACTTGATTTTTCAGCTCTACCACCTCTGCCATGCCAATGTAAACACATTTATGGGTCTCTGTCCGGACCCCTCCGACCATATTTGCATCGCTTGGATACACTGTAACCGAGGGTCGATTCAAGATGTCATACGACAAGAGAACATCACAATAGACGCTGTTTTTACTCAGCTATTCATGTTGGACATAGCCAAAGGTCTAGAGTATATTCACCACAGTAACGTGAAATACCATGGTAATCTGAATTCATCATGTTGTTTGGTCGATGACAGATGGCAGATCAAGCTGTCACATTTTGGCATGAAGAACGCTAGAAGGGTGGTGGAAAGGCACAGAAAGGGTGGATTATATAAAATATCAAAAAAAAATTTTTTTTGAAAATTTAAAAAATTAAAAAAAAATATTTAAATTTTGAAAAATGCCATTTCAGCCAACCTATGGGTAGCGCCAGAGATTCTTCGTAACAAAGACCACATCGGTTCGAAGGAAGGTGACATTTACAGCTTTGCCATCGTGTCATCAGAACTTATGAATGTCAGTTTGGCATGGGGTATCAATCATAACAGTGATAGTGATATTGAAAGTACGTTTCTAAACTACTCCCAACCTTGTCGCTCTATCTTAGCCTTACGCTTAGCCTTATTGCTTTATCGAAACTCGACCATCCCTCAGGGTTTAAATTGGTCTCTAGGCTCAAGCTGTGCTTTATGCTTAAGGTTAAAATTAAGCTTAGATTTTGAACTTAGGCATTGATATGACAGGCTTAAATTCAGCCTAATCCTAAGCCTATGCCTAAGCCTAAGCCTAAGCTTAAGTATAAGCATAAGTCTAAGCCTGAGTTTAAGCCTAAGCCTACGCCTAAGACTAAACCTAAGCTTAAGCATAAGCCTAAGCCTAAGTTTATGCCTAAGCCTAAGCACAATCTTAGCCTCTTCCTACTTTTAGACGTGATCCACACAGTAACCGCCATACCTTACAACCAAATACCCTATCGACCACAAATACCCTACCCTCTACCTCAAGACCTCAGCCCATCTCTAGTAGCCCTAGTACAAGATTGTTGGCAAGAAGAGCCAAGTAATCGTCCAAGGATAACATCAATAGTCAACAGATTGACTTTAAGTGGCAGAGGAAGGAAAATTAACCTCATGGATCATATCTTTCATATCCTGGAGAAGTATGCTACAAGGTTAGAAGAGGAAGTACTAGAAAGGACAAAAGAACTGATTGAAGAGAAGAAGAAGGCCGATGGGTTACTGTATCGACTATTGCCTTTGTAAGAATACTCTACCTACCCTACCCTACCCTACCCTACCCTACCCTACCCTACCCTACCCTACCCTACCCTACCCTACCCTACCCTACCCTACCCTACCCTACCCTACCCTACCCTACCCTACTCTACTTTACCCTACCCTACCCTACCCTACCTTGCTGTACCCTACCTTATGCGTGCCTTACTGTATCTTTCCCTATTGCGTCTTATCTTCCTGTTATTTTTTCTGCTGTGCCTTACCCTACTGTACCATGACTTACTGTATCTTTCTTTCATTTACTTTACTGTATTCTACCTTACTGTACCTTACCTTATGGTACACTACCCTACTCTAGCCTATCCCACTTTACCCTGTTTTACTGTTCCCTATCTTAATGTACCCTACTTTACAGTACCTTCCCGTACTGTACTCTAAACTACCGTAATGTAGCCTACCTTGCTGTATGTTATCTTTCTCTAACATCATCTGCCCTACAGTACCCTACTTTATCCTGCCCTATTTGTCTTTCATTGAACTACTTTTCCCATTAGCCCTACCTCAAACCATTTTCAGACAAGTAGCAGAAAACCTAAAGACAGGCCACAGTCTAGCCCCAGAAAACTACGACAGCGCTACCGTATTCTTCTCTGACGTAGTATCCTTTACTGCACTAGCAGCCAAGTCGTCACCACTACAAGTGGTTAATATGCTCAACGATCTCTACACCAAATTCGACTCAATCATTCAACACTTTGACGTATACAAGATGGAGACCATTGGTGATGGTCTACTGGTCGTATCTGGCCTACCACACCGAAATGGCATCGCTCATTGCAGTGAAATAGCCAGAATGGCATTAAAGTTTCAGTTTGGTTTGGAGGACTTTAGAGTACCTCATTTGAGGAGGGAGAGGATTCGATTAAGGATTGGCATTCATACTGGTAAGATTTTTGGAAAAAATTGCAGAAACTTTCTTTACAAATCAAAAAATGGCAAGAACTTTCTTTACAAAACATAAAATGGCCAAAACTTTCTTTACAAATCGAAAAATGGCAAGAACTTTCTTTACAAAACATAAACTGGCAAGAACTTTCTTTACAAAACAAAAAATGGCAAGAACTTTGTTTACAAAACATAAACTGGCAAGAACTTTCTTTACAAAACAAAAAATGGCAAGAAATTTGTTTACAAAACATAAACTGGCAAGAACTTTCTTTACAAAACAAAAAATGGCAAGAACTTTGTTTACAAAACATAAACTGGCAAGAACTTTCTTTACAAAACAAAAAATGGCAAGAACTTTGTTTACAAAAACACTATACTTTCGGATTTAGGACCATGCGCAGCTGGCGTAATTGGCCTAAGCATGCCGAGGTATTGTGTATTTGGTGATACGATTAATAAAGCTTCTCGAATGGAAAGTAATGGGCGCCGTAAGTTTATTACACCGTGCTTTTATGAAAGCTATATCGTGTAGTTAAAAATATTTAATTTTTTAAATTTCCGATTTTTAGCTATAATGAAGTAGGTTTCTTTATAACGAACAATCAAACATCTTAAGTACGACACTCAAAGAACTAGTTCAAGTCTTTATAACCTGGGTGTCGCGCTAACCAGGAACTTTTCGGTATGGATTCTGTTACAAAGCGCAGTTAAAAACTTGTCATTATAAAAAGAATGTCGCGCTATTGAGATATCAAAGACATTTTACTGTATACCAAAGAAATTTTACTGTATATCTTTAGCGGGTCATGTTCACATATCTGGTGATACAAACAAGTACCTGACTGAACTTATTGGCGGATTTGTTACCTGTCTACGTGGAACCATTATAGTAAAAGTAAGGGAAATATAAACCTATAAATCTCTTCCAGATTTGTTTCCAGTCTCCTTCTCTAATTTTTTCTTTACCCCCCCCCCTCCAAATGATTTTTTTACAGGTTGCGCCAAAAGTTCTGTTACCCCATCCCCAGGTTTTTTTTGCTAGCCCCTCCCCCATCCCCTTATCTGCTATGAAATTTTAGCATATAAGGAGAGGGTGAAAAGTTTCATGTAAAAAACAATGTAAAAACGAGAAAAATTTCAGGGCGTGGGTGAAATGGAAACCTACTGGCTACGAGGAACAGTGGAAGACCAGAACCGCCTTTTACCACCTCATGAGGTTAAAGACAGTTCCGATGAGGAATATTAAAATTAAATATACTTTTTTATAAAAAACTAGAAATAAATTTTTAATAATATAATTTGGACATTTAAAAATAAAAAAAAAACCTCCACGCTCAAAATTTTTTATCTGACTAATTTTCAAAAGCCACCCACCTGTAATCATAAAGCCCACAAGAATACATCAAAGACAGCACGTCACGGCACGGTCGACTTTCAATTACTCTTTCGTTTGTTATTGGACACACTCCTAGAAAACAAATGTATATAATGTTTATTTTACCCTACTATAACCTACTCCAACCTACCCTACTTTACCGTACGATTCAATGCAGTAACTGAAACCCCACGACAGTGTGCTCTATGCAATAAAAGCCTACCCTACCCTACCCTACCCTACCCTACCCTCTACCTTACCCTACCCTACTCTACCCGACCTTCTTACCTTACTTACTCTATTTTAGACTACCTGCCCAACCCTAAGTTACTGTACTCTTCCATGCTTTGCATTACTATTCCTTTACCTTGGCCAAGTTGTAACTACCGTATTTTACCCTACATTAATCTGCCTTACTTTTGCTTTACCGTACCTTTCTATGCCCTTCCTTAAGGTTATTTCATCCTGCCCTATACCTGTTTTAATAAATATATGACTAAAATAATGAGTCCAGGGACTTTTGGCGCACCCTGTAATTACCTTATCTTGCCCTGCCTTACAGATACTTTTCTGCCTTATCCTGTACTTTTTCCTGTCTTTCTCTACATTTGCCTGCCCTTGGTTACAGCCATCTCACTGTGCCTTACGGTTCTCTTAACCTTCACCGCCTTATAGTTATTCTATCCTATCTCTTTCGCTTCTCTCAACCTGTCGTTCCTTCACTGTACGTTATCCTACCTCATCATAACAATCACCGTACTAAAACCGTAGCCTTTTCCGCATATCCTGCCCTCTAACCTTCCAGTACACCCCACCCTCGAAACCCACCTCCATTAGCCAATGTAGCGGCCATAACCGCGGCACTCTCGCAGTTCGTCTCCAATGACATTAATTGTAGATAGAAGTCCATTAAATCTGTCAGGCTATTCATTGAAGGTGGAAAGCACTTATACTCATTTAGGTAATAGCCTAAGGCAAAATTACGGTCAGATGCCATTCTTTCTGACAAGAATACAGCATTATTGAATCCCATATATTCTCCACCACAGATGCGACGGTAGGTATTCAAAAACTGAAAAAAAAGTTTTAAATTTCAAAATTAAAAAAAAATTTTTTTTATTGACCGGTCGATAATTTAAAATTGACTTAAAATTGATTTAAACTGATAAAAAACTACAAACTTGCAGGTTTTTTTAAAAATTTTAAATAATTTTAAAAAAAAATATTTATCGACCGGTCGATATTTTAAAAATGGCCTTAAAACCAGTTCAACCTTTAAAATAATTTTTGCAATTTCAAACTTTTTTACATTTCAAACACAAAAAAGAATTTTCAATTTATTGACCGGTCGATAATGTAAAAACTTTCCAACCGGTTGATAATTTAAAATTGATCAACACAAACTTACATGATCAAATCGATCAGCCAAACACAAATTCGGCTTCATCAAAGAAGCGATTACTATGGCACCGGTCGATATCAATGGGTTGTGAGGTATTTCTAAAACAATATCAATGTCAATCTTTTTTAAACATTAGTCAAAATGTAATTCAAAATGACTTAAAATGTCATGGTTTGCTTTATAAGCCAAAAAATGTCAGAAAATGTCAATTTAAAAATGAAATTAAACTAATGGAAGTTGAGTGGAAGATTTGTAATGTAATTTGCACTGAAAATCTTCCACTAAACATCCATTTTTAAAATGTTTTAAAATGGCCTAATAACCCCTTTTTTACACTTTTTAGAAGTGGAAGTTGGGTGGAAGATTTCCAGTGTAAAAAACATTACAAATCTTCCACGTAACTTCCACTTCAAAAAAGTGTTAAAAACTTATTTTTAAGCCATTTTAAGACATTTCAAAAATGGAATTGAAGTGGAAGATTTTCAGTGCAAATTACATTACAAATCTTTCACTTGATTTCCATTACAAGAAAAACTTTAGAAAAGGCTAAAATGGCAAAAGCTTTCTTTACAAACCCAAAAATAACAAAAACTTTGTTTACAAATTTAAAAAACGAAAAAAATCAACTTACTTTTACTATCCAAGCAAATTTCATTGTACAATCGACCAGACGGTTCTTGGCCGACAAACTTGTGAACATAATCAGCGCCCAACTCGGAAGCAGCTAACGCATAATTGAAGGCTTTGCTCAGACTTTGAATACAAAAAGGTTGATTCGCATCGCCAAATGAGATTCGTTGCCCATCGACCGTACAGATCGACACGGCCCAAGTGGCTGGGTCGACTCGTGCGAGCTGCGGAATGTAGGACGCGACTTGGCCGTCTTCGTTTCGTTCGCACTAAAAAAGAGTAGGGTAGAGAAAGGTAGAGTACGATAAGGTAGGATGCAGTAAAATAGAGTACAGTAATGTATGGTACATTAAGGTAGGGTACAGTAAGGTAAAGCACAGTAAGGTAGGATACAGTAAGGTAGGATACAGTAAGGTAGGGTACAGTAAGGTAAGGTACAGAAATTTATGATACAATATCATACGGTGAAGTAAAGTGCAATACAGTAAAGTGTATCACAGTAAGTTAAATTACAGTAAGGTACAGGAATGTAAGAGAGGGTACAGTAGGGTAGGGTGCAATATATTACAGTAAGGTATGGTAATGTAAGATCTGGTGCTGTTTTTATAGTATAGTAAAGTAAGGTAAAGTACAGTAAGGAAAGGTACAGTACTATAGATTACGGTAAGGTATGGTACAATAAGGTAGAGTAGGGTAGGGTAGATCAGGTAGGGCAAGGTAGGATAAGGTAGAGTAGGGTAATGTAGAGCAGAGTAGGTTAAACGTACAATTCTGTAGATATCTTCGATGACTTTGCAAAAACTTGTCCACGACGGAACTGTCAGTTGATTTTGTATTGTTCTTGATATTAGTGGTAGGCTCTCTGATACACATCTGAAGTACAATACTTTAGGCTATCGTTTCACAAAATTTTAAAATATTACGTAATTTATAAAAAAGTTATGACGTATTGAAGTCCAAATTTGTTAAGAACGGTCAAAAACAGCTGAAAAAAGCTTTTAAAGCTCATTTTTATCCTATACCTAATACAGTTTTAATAGTACCATACAAAAGCTGGTACGAAAAAACGTACTGATCTATACCTGATAAAGTCCTCCTTGCTTAACTTCCAGTGCTTTGGATCTTTGGCTTCTTTGGCCATTTCTTCCGATTCTTTCTCGATGTGACAGATCTTATTCATCATCGGTCGGAGACGAGGATCGTTCTCTTGAATGCCATAGCTTTTTAAAATCTAAAAAATGGCAATAACTTTCTTTACAAAAGAAAAAATGGCAAGAATTTTCTTTACAGAACATAAAATGGCAAAAACTTTGTTTACAAATCAAAAAATAGCAAGAACTTTCTTTACAAAACAAGAAATGGCAAAAATTTTTTTACAAAGCCCAAAATGGCAAGAACTTTCTTTACAAAACAAAAAATGGCAAGAATTTTCTTTCCACTTACTCCAATCAACTTCCCAATAGCACCTTCATTCTTATTCGGAATTTTAAACAATTCAAACACCATCTCTTCGGCCGTTTTGTCTCGGCTAAACTCATTGGCCAGCCCGTCAGCGGTGCGTTTCAACGCATCGGCGATGGAATTCCGCCGATTCATAATCTTCTGATAAGTCGACACTAAAATATAACAAAATTAGATTCATCTAACCCTACCTTACTTTACCCTACCCTACGTTATCTTACCTTACCTTAACCTACCGTACCCTACTCTACCTTACCGTGCATTACCCTACCCTACCCTACCCTACCCTACCCTACCCTACCCTACCCTACCCTACCCTACCCTACCCTACCCTACCCTACCCTACCCTACCCTACTTTACAATTATATTCGTCTGTTTCGCTCTAACGTGCCCTACCAAGCGCTGTTATGCCTTGATTTGCTCTACAGTACCTTATCCTGCCTTTGCACGCGCTGCCGTGCCATTCCTTGTCGGGCCCTGGTCTGCCTATCTCTAATATGCCCTTTTGTGCGTTGTCCTGTTTTGCCTTACTTTGCCCTAGGCAGAAAAAAATCAAAAATTTACCTCTAACCATGACACTCAAAACCGTATATCTCTAGACAAAACAAAACCTACTTGAATTGGTCGAATGTACCGGTCGCATGGTTGTTGATGTCTATGGTATGGTTTTACTGCCAATATTTATGTTATACCGAATGTGAACCAACCAAACGAATAAAACTTTGGCGGTCATTTGACGTGAAAAGCACATTGAAAAAGGTGAAACGGAAAATACTTTCATTGACAAAGTTTGTCATCAATCAACAACGTCATCATTATTTTTTATTATTCATCAATGAACGTTTGTGGTTATTATTACTATGTGTAACAAATATAAACAATGATTTGTGAGTTTGATTATGAGCGTTACATTGAGTAAAATACCGTATTTTACGGAATATAAGCGTTCTAAACTAGAGCTAGGGTTAAGGAAAAATGTACTGCTCACTCTATCCCACTCTATTCTACCTTATTGGTATCAATATAAGAAGGTATATATTGTTCTAGACATGGGAAACATGACAAGCTAGCCTTTTGAGCCAAGTCGGGCTTTGATTTTTAGGCTCGTTTCCGATGTCTAATTACCTTAAAGATAACACCTACAATGTTTATTGATTTATTTATCTACTTTACTTTCTTCAAGCGTCTACAATTACAACTTGGGAGATATAGATTAGATTAGATGATTTTTGATGCCTTAGTTTGTAACGTACAGTGCTGATGCGCAAAGATGTTCAAGGTTCAGATGAAGACTAACAGAGCTATCCTTTATTTCACTGTTTCTCGCGCCACTGAGCCGTGGACAAGGTGCTCCATACGGTTTCTGATGTTCCATCATATACTCGTGTAGGCCAAGTATAGATGTGCCTAGTCCCCGTGCACTCAGTACTACCCATTCCTCAAGGCGACTGGGTTTGGCGGGGCTCGGGGTCGAACCAAGGCCTTCCGAATAGCGAGCGAGCGACGCCACAGCCATCAACGCAGCAATAAATCAACAATAATATTAATATAAAACCTATATGAGCGTAGATTTTGATATAACGTGTGACTCCCTTTAGAAGTCCCATTATTGTTCAGCGTGCCCACTGGCCATGCCAAGTGGGCACGTCAAATCGCCGTTCCGATTTCTCACTGTGTTTTTCTTGTTCAACGTGCTGGGGAAAAGAGTTGAAAAACGGGCAAAGCCGGGCTGACTTTTAATTTCTGAGCCCACCTTTAAGTCTAGGTCAGACCCACTTTTAAAGTCCAGCCTAGACTCGAGTCCCATTGTTTAAGCCGGCTTTGTTATCATTTCTTCTAAGGTTGGCTAGGTCCGTTTTTCACTTTCTATTATACTGGCAAACGTACGTGATCAGGACCGAGCGGGATTCTTCCTGTCTTCCCCCCTTGCACAAGACCCTGTACGTGATGCAGAATGCCAAATGCTTCGTTGTCGTAGCGAAATCTAAAATGTTTTCGGAACGGCTAGGGCTCCGGACTCTAGGCTAGAGTTTTGTACTAGGGCTCTGTGTTGGGGCTCTGGGCTAGGGCTCTGAGTTAGGGCTCTGGGCAAGGGCTCTGGACTAGGGCTTAAAGCTAGGACCCTAGACTAGAGCTTCGGGCTAGGGTTCGGGACTTGAGCTATTATTTAAGGCTCTGGGCTATTTATCACAAGAACTTCCTTTACAAATCTATTTTTACATAAGAACGACATTCTTTTTAAGAGCTCTTAAACATGTTTGTGTCTTTTGACGACAGTGATAACGCCACCTACTTTTATGACATTCCGTGAAGCTAATAAAAGCTGAAAGGGCACACCTGTTTCATGAGGTGGATGAGCTATGAGTTCACTTGAAATTTATTTTTAGTGGGTTCGGGGCTTCGTTTGCGATGATTTAACGCGATTTTTGGTCATTTTAGGCGTATTTTTAAGTGGGTTTATTAAAAATACAAAGATTAGGCTTACTTTTCTTGCATTTTTATAGATTTGAGGCTTAAGTTGGCTTCAATTTTTAAGCTTAACTTTTTTTTTAATTTTAGGCTTAACATGATATTTTAGGCTTATTTTGAAATGATTAGGCTTATTTTAAAACTGCTTAGCTTATTGTTTAATCCTTAGGCTTATTTTAAAATTCTTAGGCTTACATTAAACTTTTCACCTCTATTTAAAACTTTAGGCTTAACTAAGAATTTTAGGCTTAATTTGAAAATTTTACATTTAAATGAAATATTTAGGCTTATTTTAAAACCTTTTAGCTTGCTTTGAAATTTTTAGGTTTATTCTTTAAAAAACAAAAAATGGCAAGAACTTTCTTTACAATGTCAAAAATGGCAAGAACTTTCTTTACAAAGCATAAAATGAAAAAAATATGCTTTACAAAATTTGAAATCTTTAGGTTTATTTTGATATCTTATAACATATTTTAAAATTTTAGGCTTAATTTGAAATTTTAGGCTTACTTTCATTTTTTGGTTAAATTTTAACTGTTAAGCCTCTAAGCCCAAGCCCATAACTGTTTATTGTGTTGGTTGAATGTCTTATCGCTTTATTATAAGAGTTTGTGTTTGAGCAACAGATTAAAATCCCAAGAAATTTGGTCGCGGAAACTTCAAAGAACCTTGGGGAAAGTGCGCGAGGAATTTCAATTTAATCGCTTTAGGGCCACATCTGCTTGTAGGCCTACAACAAGCGGATTTAACAAAAAAGAGGGTGTTGGGAGAGGGGGGGGGGAGGGACAAAAAAATGGGTAGTGGATAGGACAGGGAACGGTAGAATGTTAGGTATGGTAAGGGTGAAAAAAGCAGAGCAGGGTAAAGCGGGTGTGGCTGGAATACGACATGTTAAAGCGGGATAGGGTAGGGTAGGGCAAGGGTAAGGCATTCTCTGTTGTGGAAAGAAAGTTTTTGTATTTATGTTTTGTAAAGAAAGTACTTGCCATTTCTTGCTTTGTAAAGAAAGTTCTTGCCATTTCTTGTTCTGTAAAGAAAATTCTTGTCATTTTAGGTTTTGTAAAGAAAGTTCTTCCCATTTTATGTATTGTAAAGAAAGTTTTTGCCATTTTTTATTTTGTAAACAAAGTTCTTGCCATTTTTTGTTTTGTAAAGAAAGTTCTTGCCAGTTTATGTTTTGTAAAGAAAGTTCTTGTCATTTGCCGCCTTTAAGTTTTTTTTTTCATTTGAAAATTTTTTTTTTATACGTAGAAACTTTGTTTCCACTTAAAAATCAATCAAATTATCCGCCAAACTTTTCCCATCAAGAAACGGAACAAAAACCAATTAAAAATCGTTTAAAGCACGATTAACATATCAATTTTTCTCACATTATATTATCCATCACTTTCGAAATTAGAACACCATTTTTCAAACCCATACTAATTTGAAGGCTGATTTGTTGATTTTTTGCCGTTTTTTATCTTGTAAATAAAGTCTTTGCCATTTTTGGTCTGTAAACGAAGTTCTTGCGATATTTCGTGTTGTAAAGAAAGTTCTTGCCATTTTTTGTTTTATAAAGAAAGTTCTTGCTATTTTTTAACCACAAACAGATTTCTAAGCCATTTTCATTATGTTAAACACAGTTAAAACCTTTTTAAAAAAGTGGGAGATGAGTGGAAGATTTGTAATGTATTTTTCATTAAAAATCTTCCACTAAACTTCCACTTCTAAAAAGTGTTAAAAACGTTTTTTTAGGCCATTTTGAGGCATTTCAAAAATGAAAGTTGTGTGGAAGATTTTCAGTGCAAAATACATTACAAGTCTTCCACTTGATTTTTTAAACTCCATTTTTATTTTATTTTTTGGATTGATATTTTATTATTACTTGAAATGGCTGATAATCTGTAAAGAAATATATGGTTTTTTTTACTTTTTTTTTGTTTTATTAGCAATTTTTTTCAAAAATCAAGGTTTTTTTCTGGCAATTTGTAAAGCTTTTTAGTTTGGACTTTGTTCTACCTTTACTTTTTATAAATAAATAAAGCTTCTATCAAACGGTTGTGCTTTGACAAATTCCTATTTTTTTCGAAAAAAATTGCGAATACTTTCTTTACAAACCAAAAAATGGCAAGAACTTTCTTTACAAAACAAAAAATGGCAAGAATTTTCTTTACAGAACAAAAAATGGCAAGAACTTCTTTTTCATTTCGGGGTTTTATTGTTTTTACTCAAAATGTAAATTTAAACAAAAGACGATGAGATCTCAGCTGGAGATCTGTCGCTTTACGTTCTTTATGTGTTATAAAACTCTTCGATCCTTGTTTTTATTTATAGTATAATAGGATGAGAGGAGGGGGGGGTCTAATTTGAATACATTTTTAAACTTATAGCCTTTTTATGGGTTGGGTATGATCTGGATTAAGCTTAGGATTGGAACTACGAATAGGACTAGACAGGGCTGAACAGAACTTACTAGGGCTAGCATTAGAGTTAAATGTAGGGCTAGGGCTCTAGGCTAGTTTTCTGGATCAGACATGAAGAACTGCCTGGCTTGGCCCAAAAAGCCCGGTCCGTTAGCACAAAAAAAAGTTAGGTCAGGCCGGGCTTGATAAATGAGCCGGACCCGTTTCTCATGTCTACTCTGGGTTAGAGCTTTGGGGCTAGGGCTCTGGGCCAGGGCTCTGGGCTAGGGCTCTGGGCTAGGGTTAATGCATATTATAGTAGAGTTAAATATTTGAAACCGAGTGAGTTTCGTTTCGACCTTATAATTTATTCATTTTCATTTTGCACGCAATTTCAAGTTCTTTTTTAGTTAACATAGACAGTTTTACTACGCTTTCGAACATTTATTTCAAGTTTCAAGTGGGGATTACTTTGTTTGAAGTTTCAGTAAAAAGTTGTTTTTTTTTTAATTTTAACTTTTTCGGAAGAAACTTTGTTTACAAAGCAAAAATTGGCAAGAACTTTCTTTACAAAATAAAAAATGGAGAGAATTTTCTTTACAAAACAAAAATTGGCAAGGACTTTCTTTGCAAAGCAAAAATGGCAAGAACTTTTTTTACAGATTTTGAAATTTAATTATAGGTTATGTTTTGGGTATTTGAATTCGAGCGGACAATGAAAGGGACAAACTAATAAAAAGCGCTTTAGTGAGGAATAATGAGTGCGAATTAAATGAGAATGACCACTTGACCATGTAGTTCTTACTCGACCCACCGCTTTATTAATACGTTCAGTTATGTTAATGGGCATAACAAAACGTATTCTTTTTATATTTCAATGTAAAATTAAACCTAAAACCAATATTTTTCGTAAAAATTCGTTTTTTAAAAGTGAAAGTTGAGTGGAAGATTTGTAATGTATTTTGCACTGAAAATCTTCCACTCTCCTTCCAAATTCAAAATGTCTTTAAATGACCTAAAAACACGTTTTTAACACTTTTTATGTGTGGAAGTTTCGTGAAAGATTTTCAGTGCAAAATACATTACAAATCTTCCACCTAACTTCGACTCTTAAAAAGCTTAAAAATGATGTTTTTAGGCCATTTTAAAATTTTTTAAAAATAGAAGTTAAGTGGAAGGTTTTTAGTGCAAACTACATTACAAATCTTCCACTGAACTTCCACTTTTTAAAAATGTCATAACTTTGTCTTTAGAAACAATAATGGTTTAAAATTTGGTTTTGTAATAGAAAATGGCAAGAGCTTTGTTTACAATACAAAAAATGACAAGAACTTTGTTTCAAAAACAAAAAACGCAAGAACTTTCTTTACAGAGCAAAAAATGGAAAGAAGTTTTTTTTCATGCTTATCGTAGGTTTAAAGACAATTTTAAATTATACCTTATATTTTATCATTTACAGTTTGATACGACTTCATTCTTTTTTTTAATTTAGGACCAAGCCTCATCCCCCCCCTTCTTCCTCCCAAAGGTCCCTCGAGCTCTTTCCGCCCACTCTCGAAATAAATAATCGAGAGTTGCGCGCGAAAAACAACCAAATACAATACGAATTGGAGAGCGAAACAAAGAAAAATTAGAATGTTAGAGCGAGGAACCCTCTCATTCTTTTTTACAGAGTAAAACACATTGGACTTTGCGGTGGGGTTTGGCGAGGGTACTCCAGGGAAACGGATGGAAATTAAGGATTTTTTAAGGGGGGGGGGGGGAGATTTGTGCAAAAAAGGCTGAACTAGGGCTTTTAAGAAAGCGAATGATAGGTTAAAGTGGGTTATTTGTAAGGGTAAAGCTAGGCTAGGGTAGTGCTAGAGTGGAGCAAAAGTAGAGCTAAAGGAGAGATAGGAAAAAGCAAGGTAACTTCTTAAAAAGTGTAAAATTAGGGATAAAGTAGAGCTAGAATAAGGCTAGGGTAGGGTCAAGGTAAGACTAGGGTAAGGCTACAATGTTGAGCTAGGTGGAGCTGCTAGACTAGACCAGGAGCATGGCAAAAAAAATTCTTAAGAAGGGCAAGACCATAGGTAGAGTAGAGCTGGAGGAAGTCAACGATAAGGCCAGGATAGATCAGGGCCCAGGGACGTCGTTTGGGGGAGGGGGGTAGGGGAAGGGGGGGGTGGTTCCCCCTTCCCCAGAGCCAATCCGAAAAAAATTCTACAGGTAGGTACCTGTACGTGAAAAAACGAAAAATAAAAATTTTGAAAAAATCGGTCCACAGGTAGGACCTGTGGACAAAAAAATTTTTTTCGACTTCCCCCTCCCCCCAGAGAAAATCCGTAGCGACGTCCCTGTCAGGGCCACACATAAAAATGATCGAGAATAAGTGAGCAGGGGTAAGGCGATAGTAAGCCATAGTCCTAAGCAGGGGCGTTGCTACGGATTTTTTTGGGGCGAGGGGGGAGGAGACTCAAATTTTTTTTTGGTTCGCAGGTATCTCACTGTGGAATTTTTTTCGGTTTGGTTCTGAAGGGCGGGGGTGAATCGCTGTACCTCCCCCCCCTCTAGAGACGCCCCTGGTCCCACGGTTAAGGCATGGGTAAGGCAAGATTTAAAACTATGTTTAGGGTTAAGACTTGAGCTTGAAGTAAAGAAGGATATGTTTTGAACTTTTTTTAATCTTATGCTCAAAAAGTTATTAAAACTATAGGGTACTTGGCTTAAAATTGGTTCAAAAGCTAGCGGTTTTAAATTATATTTGAAATTTCAAAACTGGTTCAAGTGTCATACGTATATATGAAAGGGTTTAGTCTCGGGAGGCGCCAAAATAAATTTAAAAAGGGCTAGACTATATTAGACTATATCGTGCTGGCTTCTATTTCCCGGGGCTAGACTATATCGTGCTGGCTTCTATTTCCCGGGGCTAGACTATATCGTGCTGGCTTCTATTTCCCGGGGCTAGACTATATCGTGCTGGCTTCTATTTCCCGGGGCTAGACTATATCGTGCTGGCTTCTATATCGTGCTAGGTCCGGGATGAAAAAAAATTGGCGGCCTAACTTACAGCGCATGTGAACCAGTTGGACTAGGCCTGATTTTTTTACAGGTCTTGTCATACGAGGTTACATAAGTCATGTCTACATCATTTTTTTGGTAAGAACTTTCTTTACAGATCAAAAAATAGTAAGAACTTTCTTTACAAAACATAAAATGGCAAGAACTTTCTTTACAAATCAAAAAATAGCACGAACTTCCTTTCCAACTTAATTTTTGTTCATTTTTCAATTTCAATGTCAATTCAAAATAGTGTGAATTCAACTGACACCCGTATCATGTCCTCCCCAAGTGAGTATAACCTCATTTCCTCCGCCTGTTTCTAACATTTTATTGTTTTTTACTCTGTAATCTAATCGTGTTTACTTTTCTGAATTTCGCAAAAACACGCCTCAATGTTGTGTTAGCTCGTTTTTTGCATAAAAAAGTGGTCGGGGGAGGGGAGAGTGGTCGAGGTATTAAGAAGTGGCGAAAAAGTGGTCGGGTGGGGCAAAAAGTTGGGAAAAAATGCTCGGGGAGGGGGTGGAAGGGGGTTGGTAGAAAAAATGGTCGAGGTGGGGAAGGGAACAGGCAGGGGGGTTGAAAGGGGATGGTAACGGGAGAAAGGGGAGGGAAAAAGTTTCACGGAAGACGACCTGGGTGACGGTTTTTTTGAGTAAAACTTGTTGAAAAAGCGTGCCGCCGGGGAAATTGAGCTTCTTCTTTTGGGTAAGAGGGTTAAGTGTACTTTTATAAAGATAATTGGGTGGGGTAAGCGGTGGTTGGCTTTTATTTAGCTTGGGGGCGGGGAGGCGAGAGGCAGAGGTTGGGGGTATAGAAAAAAGTAGGGCAATTTTATCAGGGTAACGATATCTGAGGTTTAGCTTGCAGTAAAACATAATTTGTTGGGCTAAATCTAGGGCTGGAGGTGAAGGTAAGAAAATTTTCAAGTCTATAAATTGGGCTGGGGTAAAATATAATTTGACTTTCCTTGAGATTATTGAGAGGAAGATGTGAGAGAAAGGGAAGGTAAATGAAAGGAAGGGGAGAGAAAAGGAAGATAAGGTGATGGGTGAGAAGGAAGTTCTTAATAATTGACACTAAAGAGAGGGCGGAAGGGGGAGGGGTAGAAAAAAAAATTTTTTTTATTTTTTTTTAAATTTTGAAAAACGGCAAGAACTTTGTTTACAAAACAAAAAATGGCAAAAACTTTCTTTACAAACCAAAAATGGCCAGAACTTCCTTTACAAAACAAAAGGTGTTTTTTTTTGAAATTTCGAAATTTTCCCTTTTCGGATTCCAAAATAAATCATGTAAAAAGCGGGAAGAGAACCATGGTTACGGCGAAATTAACGTATCTTCCCGAAAATATAAAAGTGCATGTTTTTCTATTCAAAATTTTGTTTTTAAATAGTATATTTTATTTAAAATGACACAATGCGTTAGTTCGATTATAAAATTCTATTTTTTTTGGGTTTTATGACACGTATTTTTAAGTGGAAGTTGAGTGGAATATTTTCAGTGCAAATTACACTAAAAATCTTCCACTAAACTTTTATTTTCAAAAGTGTTTAAAACGTGTTTTTAGGCCATTTTAAGACATTTTAAAAGTGGAAGTCACTTTTAAAACTAATATTTTTAGGTTTCTAATGAACTTTTACGCCATTTTTTAGTTTTGAACAAGCTTTTTATAATATTTTATGTTTTGGAAACAAAGTTTCTTCTACAAAATTTTTAAAATTTTTAAATTTTAAAAAATTTTTTGAAAAGTTTTAAATTTAAAACCAGGATTTGCATTAGTTATTCGTAATCCGCCTTTTACGAAAAGTTTCGTAAATTTATTCCAAAAAACGACTTCATTTGGGCGGGTTAACACTTTCGAAAGACGGAAATTTGTTTATGCATCAACAAATACAGCATGTTTAACCTGAATTTGGTGTCGATCTGATTATTCTTTGCTGCTTTTGTTGTTTCTTTGATGTTTTTGACATTTTGGAAGGGTTATGACATTTGTTTTGACACTCTTTGACATTTTTCTAGCGGTTATGACATAAATTGTCATATTTCACAAGGACAAGGTATGGTAAAGTAAAGTAAGGTAGAATAGGGTAAGTAAGAACTTTTTTGTAACATATGGCATGCATAGGGTAAGGTAGGGTACGGGAGGGTAGAGCCCTAGCCCAGAGCCCTAGCCCAGAGCCCCAGCCCAGAGCCCTAGCCCTATTTCTAGCTTTAGCCCAAAGCTTTAGCCCAGAGTCTTAGCCTAGAGCCCTAGCCCAGAGCAAAAACCCAGAGCCGAGAAGTTTAATCTATAGCCCTAGCCCCTAACCATTATCCCTAGCTTTAACTCTAGACTTACCGTTAGCCGCAACTATAGCCTAAAAGCTCTTTTATAAGCCCTAACCTAAATCATCACCTAAGTCGTAGACTAAGCTTCAGTTCTAGTTAAAGTCCAAGCCTTAGATTGAGCTTTAAGCCTAAGTGATTAAAAAAAAGATATGCTATGAAAGAATTGTGCGGCTTTACATAACATTGATGATATATTGCCATAGCCTTAGAGAAATTGCAAGAATTCGTATTACGTTTTCTTATGTAACATTGTTCACTTTTGTAATATTTGCCTCGATGTAAAACGACCCAACAAATTACTGCGAGTGTTTGGATCTTACTCTAAATTTCTTCGGAGCATTTTTAGACGTTATGACATATTTTATATAATTTACGACATTTCCAGGCTTCTATGTCCGACTTTGGGGACGATGATCCCTACACCGTGGACCGAGGCTACAAAACCGACAGTTATATTATGGCTGTTAGTGGAGCCTACGTGGAGCCGGTAGAGCCATCTTATAGCAGGGAAAAGGTTCAGCCCGTCTCGACTGGTAAAGAGCTTTTGATTCAGGAAACTCCAAGAGATTACGGTGCTTTGAGTCCAGATGAAGTTGAATATTACAGGAAGGATTCGTTTTGGAAAACTTGTCGGTGTGTTTCTTACTGTAACGTTATTTTCTTAATTTTACCCTACCCTACCCTACTTAGCCTTAGCCTTATCCTTAGCCTTAGCCTTAGCCTTAGCCTTAGCCTTAGCCTTAGCCTTAGCCTTAGCCTTAGCCTTAGCCTTAGCCTTAGCCTTAGCCTTAGCCTTAGCCTTAGCCTTAGCCTTAGCCTTAGCCTTGCCTTAGCTTTACCTTAGTCTTGCCTTAGCTCAGCCTTCCCCTGCTTTGCTCTGTTCTTCCCTGCCCTGCCCTGTTCAACCTTTACCTGCCCTTTTATATTATAGCCTGTTCTATGGTACTCTATCTTACCTTACTGTATTTGCTCCCGTCTTACTCTACCTTACTCTGTCTTATCCTACCCTTCTTACACTTGCCCTACGCGAAAGTTCATTTGTTCAAAATTTTAAAAATTTAAACTTTCAGCTGGTCCTGTATAGTATGTTGCCTCCTTCTTCTCATCTTCCTCATTCTCCTCACAGTATACATACTGTTGATATCACCTCGTTGCATTGAACATGACCATGATTGGTGGGAAAAGTCAGTGGTCTACGAGATATGGACTCCATCGTTCAAAGATTCAGACGCCTCAGGGAAGGGCGACTTCATGGGTATTGTTGAGAAGATGACACAGATACGAAGGCTTGGTATCACCGCTTTGTATATCAAGCCGTTTTTAAGTCATACTGATAAGAATGGCGCTGCTGTTGATGATTTGGATGATGTGGCTCATGAGTTGGGGAATTTGAAGGAGGCTACACAAATGATCGAACAGGCTCATAGCTATGGGTTTAAGGTAAGCATATATATGTGGCTAGGGTATGGTTGAGTTGGTTAGGGTACAGAAAGGGTAGGGTAACATGTCTATCAGAAGGCTAGAAGACCATTTTTAGAAGTTCTGGCCTATTTTAAAACTTTTTGCAAAAAGGAAGTTGAGTGGAAGATTTTCAGTGCAAATTGCACTAAAAATCTTCCACTAAAATTTCATTTTAAAAAAGTCTTAAAATTGCCTAAAAACATCATTTTTAACGTTTTTACATACAAGTGGAAGTTTGGTGGAAGATTTTCAATGTATTTTGCACTGAAAATCTTCCACAGAACTTCCACTTCTAAAAAGTGTTTAAAACCTGTTTTTAAGCAATTTTAAGACATTTTAAAAATGGAAGTTGAATGGAAGATTTTCAGTGCAAAATACATTACAAATCTTCCACTTAACTTCCACTTTTTAAAAAGTGATTTTTTGGGTTTTTAATCAAAATTCTTGACAAATTATGGTTTGTAAAGAAAGTTTTTGCCATTTTTAATTGATTTTGATGAGCTTTTAATACATTTTTACTCAATTTCAATTAGTTTTGTCATTTTAGGTAATAATAGACTTCCCAGTAGCAGCCACCTCTCTGAAACATCCTTGGTTTCTGAAGTCTTCTCAAGCCTCAGCTCTGGAGAATCGAGAATATTCTGATTATTATTTTTGGAAGAAAAATTATGAATCGACCGAATTCATAGCCAAATACGGTAACAATGGCGATGTCTACTATCATATCGAGAATCGACCAGAATTGGCAGTGCTGAACTATAAAGAACCGAATGTATCATCACACATTCAGAAGTCGATTTTTGAATGGATTCAGCGAGGCGTGGATGGATTCCATTTGAAATATGTTGATTATTTGGCTAGGACTACTGATGGCAAATATCCGGTAAGCTTTATTGAAGTTTAGTGTAGGGTAGAGTAGAGTAGAATGAGGGTACGGTAGGGCAGAGTGAAAGGCCGAAGGTAGGACCTACGGTAGGGCCTAGGGTAGGACCTAAGATAGGGCGGAGGGTAGGGCCATGGTAGAGCCAGAGTAGGACAAGGATACAGTATGGTAGCATAAGGCTATAGTAAGTCCTATTTATGACATGGTAGGGCTTGGGTATAGTAAGGAAAAGGGCCAAAATAAGATGTGGTAAAGTATGATAATCGTAAGGCATGGTAGGGCTTTGGTTACGGTAGGAATAAGAGACGGTAGGGCTACTTACAAGGCTAAAGCAGAAGCTACAGCTTTGGGCTAGGGCTCTGGGCTAAAACTCTGCGCTTCGTCTCTGGACTAGAGCTCTGGGCTAGGACTCTGGGCTTCGTCTCTGGACTAGGGCTCTGGGCTAGAGCTCTAGGCTAGGGCTAGAACTTTAAGCTAGGGCTTGGACCGGCCAAATGATTATTTTTCATTTTTTCAGAATTGGAATGGAATTGTAAAAGCCATAACAGACTTGAAGAAGACGATAAAGACAAAATTACAAGAAAGAGAAGATCTCAAGGACAAAAAAATGTAAGGGTTTTTATTTTTGAAATTCTATGAAATTAAAAATTTTTTTAAATGTCTTAAAATGGCTTAAAAACACGTTTCTGACACTTTTTAGAAATGGAAGTTAGGTGGAAGATTTTTGGTGCAAAATACATTACAAATCTTCCACTCAACTTCCAACTCCAAAAATTGTCCAAAACGTGTTTTAAGGCCATTTTATATCTTTTTAAAAATGGAAGTTGGGTGGAAGATTTTCAGTGCAAAATACATTACAAATCTTCCACTCAACTTCCACTGTTTTAAGACGGCCGTTACAGATTTTAAATTATAGATTTAAAAATAGTTTACCTTCAGATTCTTCTTCGCCTCCATGGAGAACATTGGAGAGATGGAGAAAGTTCGTCTAGGCCAAAAAGCCGGTCTAGACGGAGTACTAAACACTGAACTGTTAAAGATTGCCGTAGGCAATAGAATTTGTGAAAAGACTCCAGACTCAATATCAGACTGTTCGAATGAAGTCATTGGTGACATTCTACAATTCTACCAGACTTCTGAAGAGATATGGCCTTTGTGGCAGTTTGGTGACTCTGATACTGAGCGATTGGCTAGTAGAACAAGGTCAAGATTGCAGGCAGAGCTGCTTCAGATGGTACAACTTTTACTGCCTGGTACGCCAATTGTGTACTATGGAGATTTACTTGGCGCTAAAGAAGTTAAAAGCATGGTAAGTTACCCTACCCTACCCCTGCTTTTTTCTACCTTATCTTACCGTACTCTGTTCTATCCTACCTTACCCTAACTGTAGCCTCGCTACCTGTCCCCACCGCAACTTTTTCTTACCGTGCCTTACTTTAAGCCTACCTTACCGCTTTACTGCTTTCTTCTACCGTATCAAGGGACAAACTTATTACCATACCCTACTGCCCCTATTTGAGCACAACCCACCTACTATAGGCAAACTCTGCATTACCATACCCTACTGCCTCACCTCACCTACTATACGTTCCCTTTTCCAGGACGACCCCCAGCGCTCAGCTATGGCCTGGGACGACTCTTCAACAGCCGGTTTCTCGGACGCATCGGTATTCCAATGGACGGCCAGACTACCATCGGAATGGAAACATGTAAATTTCGAAAAAGAAATCGACAACCCAAAGAGTCGAATTCGAGTTTTGAAACGATTAATTCAGTTGAAAAACATCCATGACATTCTGTTTGACGGCCAAACCTACTTGAGCAAGCCCGTTCAGAACAGCTTTTCACTTTGCCGGTTTTGGAAAAGTGAAAATGACACTAACAAAGAGGTGTTCGTTCTGTCCGTCAATTTTGGATCACGGTAGGCGTTTGGATAACCTTTTATGTTGAGAATAACCGCAATAACTTTGTTTACAATGGGTGGAATGACAAAATTTTTGGATATTTAGTGAAAAAAGCTCAGAGTTTTATAAAAACATTCAAAAAACGCAAGAACTTTATTTACAACGCTTATAACTTCCATTTTAAAAAAGTGGAAGTTGAGTGGAAGATTTGTTATGTATTTTGCACTGAAATTCTTCCACTCAACTTCCATTTTTTAAACGTTCTAAAATGGCCTAAAAACACGTTTTTAACACTTTTTGATATGGAAGTTTGGTGGAAGATTTGTAATGTAATTTGCACTGAAAATCTTCCAGCAAACTTTATTCTTAAAAAGTGTCAAAAACGTGTTTTTAGGCCATTTTAAGACATTTTAGAAATGAAAGTTGAGTGGAAGATGTTCAGTGCAAAATACATTACAAATCTTCCACTCACCTTCCATTTTTAAAACAGCATTTTTTACTTGGTTCAACCTCAAAAACAGCAAAAACTATCCCTCCAAGCCTAAAAAGTTTTATTTCAGGCCAGTGAACATCTCAATTCACGACATACCGCCATTCGTGTACGCAGTAAAGCACATGAACCTTCAAGCCCAGAACGATCCGTACTTGGAGGCTCGAGTCTTGGCGGTTTCATCAGCCGTTCATCCTGAAAACTGGTATCCACAACAAAAATTCAACCTCGCTTTGGGGCAATATGAGTTAGGGGTGGACCAGGGTATTCTTTATCGGTTTTTTGTTACCTAAACGCCGTAAGATGACGTTTTAAAATGGCTTTTGTAAGGATTATGGGGACGAAAAAAGCTTATTTCTAATCATTTTTAGGCCTTTTAACTCAATTTTTTGCATTTTTTAAAAATTTTTTGAAATTTTTTTGAAATTTTAAATTTTTTAAAATTATTTTTACATTGTAATCTCTTCATTTCTAGTCGGTACAATTGTAAACGGGTCTTTTCTATGAGCAAATAACCTTAATTTTTCTAAATTTTTTTTATTTGTTGCAGTTTTAAGTTGATGCAAAAAGAAAGGCGCATAAATTCAAAAATTGATTGACAAGGTCTTCAGAATGCGTTTTGTCGATTTTTTGGCTCTTGCATCAACTTTAAACTGTACTATAAGCGGGTGTAATGATAAAAACTGTCTTGTGCCAAACTTTATATTATACTGCCAAGTGTTTTCAAAAGTCGCTTTCAAATAAACGTTTAACAATGGAACGGTAATATTTGATTAAGTAGGATAGGGCGTGGGTAAAGCGAGGTTGGGGCGAGGGTAGGATTGGGAGTAGGAAAAGCCGGGCCTACTTTTCAAGCCCAGCGCTCAGACCAAGCCTAAATTTTGAGCCCAGCCCGTTACCCATTCTTTATGCTTAAAAACTCTTAAAAATATGTTTTATTTGCAATTTTTAAAACAGTTTAGTTAAAATAAAAAAATTCCGGACCGGTCTGGAGCTTTCTTTTTGGTCCGGGTTCGCAGGTTATTGAGTTCGGTCCGTGAAAATTTTTGTTTCGGTCAGTCCGGTCCGGACACATTTCCATGACCTTCGGAATGCACCGTAAAACGCTAATTCCTGCGATTCAAAACAGGCGACTTTACTCTCTGTAGCTTGACGATGGGATTCTGAAGTCAATGGTGGAAGAAAAAAGGTAAAAACGACACGACACCATGCCAAAGACCTTGGAGTATGCCACACTACCGTGCAGAATGAACTGAATCATCAAAATCGAAAAAACAAGGAGTATCGTCTGGTAAAATCCGTCATTCTTTTCTTCACAACCTAGCTCAATGGCTTAACTGTACAAGAGTTTGTTGTACAAGGGTTCCATTGTATTTACTTACATTAAGTGTTTTTAACTTCCGGTCGTTCCCGTGCAAATGATCTTCTTAGATCTTTTGTTCTAAGGGTGTGCCTCTCTTATCATGGTGATTAGAAGTTAACAAAAGCTCGTCATTACTGTTTTATATAGGCTTGTAGGTCTTCCACTGTCTTATATAGGCTTGTCCTAGCTTCCAGCTTGTAGCTTGTACTACCTTTCAACTTGTATTACTTTCCAACTTGCACCATCTTCCAACTTGTACTATCGTCCAGCCTACACCATCTTCCAACCATGACAAAACTTCACCATCTCATATATCTTACCCTACTTTTCCTATTGTTACCTAAAACTCACTGTACCGACTACATTTCCGGCCCAATCGCCGACTTCTACATCAATGTCACCTTTCCCGGCTGGAAACACAACGAAAGGTCATTCATAATCGACACACGGTACGAAAAAGATTTCATTTGGGACGAAAAAAGTTACAGTAACCAAGTGGGCTACGATAACACCTACAATCCAGACGAATCCAACACACATGAGTCACAGTTCCTCTTCAAGGACCAGGTCTATATCGATGGCCAATGGTGCAGATTGACTGGTAGACAAGGCACAGACTACCTAAGCCTACTACCATATAAGAACGTCAATTGGCTGATTGGTAGTATTGAAACCTCGAGCTGTGGTACCAAACCGACCAATGCTTTTAATAATGAATTGAGAGCTGGTGTGATGGGCTTCATCAATAATAGAGAGTATAATAGAGATTCGATGGGCTACAGACTAGTCAAAGACTTCCAGAATCCAGAACTCTGCCTACACAAAACTACTCGGGATGACCGGTAAGTAGGCATAATTACTTGAGGTAATAACAGGATAAGTCTACGTAACTACCTGTGGCAATCAACGAAAAATTAGGCACTTTTGTAAGCATATCTAAGCTTCGAGTGACATGTTATACGTTAAAAACGATACTTTTAAAACATGGGAGTTCAATGGAAGATTTGTAATGTAATTTGCACTGAAAATCTTCCACTCAAATTCTATTTTTAAAATGTCTCAAAATGGCCTAAAAACACGTTTTTAACACTTTTTAATGGTGGAAGTTTAATGGAAGGTTTTCAGTGCAAAACACATTACAAATCTTCCACCCAACTTCCATTTTTCTGAACTCTCAAAAATTTTCTTTACAAAACAAAAATTTTATAAAAACTAGCTTCCGAGTGTAAAAAAATGCAATATATATAACTACAACAACTTATTTCAGCCAAGCCGACACCGTAGTAGCCGTTGGAGCTACACTATCCGAAGATCGTGTCATAACATCAGTTCGAAGTGAAAGTGAACGCAGAATCTGGTCTTTAATCCTAGATAATGTTGTTTTCAACAACACTGAAGTCGAAACTGGTCGAATTCGTGCCATAATCGACCCATCATACCGCAATATCGACATTCCGACCAAGCAATTCGACCAAATTTTGAGAATTTTAAAACCTGAGCACGACGAGATTGGAGACGAATACTATGTGGATTGTTGGCAACAATTTGAGCTACAATATACTATAAATAACAGTACTGTCACTGTACCATCTTCGTCTTTGATGCAAAAAGTGAGAAAGTTCGGAAAAGACTGTCATTTGTTGTTATCACCAACCAAGAATGCCTTAAGATTGGGTGTGCCGTTCTTTTTTGATAACGGTGTTTGTTTGAAGTTTAATTGGGAAGGGAGAATCACGTTCTACGATGCTTCGTTTATTGGAAACAGCACAGTATTCGGCGACACATTCGGCGCTTATTATCGATCATATTAAGATTGATCCAGTATATTGATGTAGATCAAATAAAGCGCATTCTTATAGATTTTTTCATAAGATTATACTTTTCCAATACAAAGAATAACGTTTGTTTAACATAGTTTTAGCGTTTCGTAAAGATCAAGTAAGATTTAACAAAGTTATAACAAAAATGATGTTATCCATGACCTATCAAACCATAAAAATTCAAATTTTAATCAAAATAATCAACAATGTCTCCATACTGATTACTAATAGGTCTCGGGCACTTTGATACATCTAATTCTGTCACAATCAACTGTTCAAACATATCCGCACAATCCGTTTCGCCAATCAAACATGTCCCCACAACCTTGTTATCTCGTATGACAGTCCTTATCACATAGTCATTAACATATTCCAACTCTATTTCTCCATCTTTGGCATCAAAATCGCCCAGTAAAATGACTTTTTGGCCGGCAAATGTTGTTGTATGAGCAAAAATGTCAAAAATTTGGTCCAATTCGAGCTGATGTTCGATTAGATTTAGGGCTGTAAATTGGCCAAACTGGCGGGCTTGGGTCCATAAACGCATCTGAATTACATAAAAATAAGATATCAGGCTTTAATTTCATGTCAAAAAATGTAAAATATGAATGAAACATATATCATATAATTGACTTTTTTTCAAAAAAAGTAACGAAAATTGATAAAATCTTTAAATTTTTGTCATCTTTCGTTTTGTAAAGAAAGTTCTTGCCATTTTTTGTTTTGTAAAGAAAGTTCTTGCCATTATCTACAATTCTGTGTAACTTGATACGATTTTAAAAACTGTACAAAAAGTTATGGCAATTTGTAGGTAATGGCAGATTTTCAGTGAAAATTATAATAAAAATCTTCCATTTTGAAAAATGCTCTTTTAAATAATTAAAAAGGACTTGTAATTAATAAAATAAAACCTTACCTGCCTCCACAATTTACTTTGATGCTCCCACTTCACCGTGCACACATCTCCACATGCGTATACGTCATCTACGGTGGTTTTCATGTGTTCATACACTATGATTCCACCGTCCTCGGCCAGTTGTAACTGAAATTTTGAAATGGTTGGTTTTGTAGCAGTACTTTTAGACCTAATTGCAGATAAAACACAATTTAAAAAATTTTTAAAAAAATTTTCAAATTTTTAAATTTTTAGAAATTTTTAAGTTTAACAAAATTTTAGGTCATCATACCTCATTACAGCTTTCTTTCCACATTTTTGAAGCCGGCCATACACCCATAGCTTCTATTACCAAGTCTACCGTAACCTCCGTTCCGTCACTTAATTTTACAGTAATCTCATCATTGTTAATACCGTATCCAGTAACTTTTGCACCTCTTTTTATGTCAATCTTTCTATGTAGACCATTTTTTGAATCAGCACTATTTTTGTTACAAGCAGTACCACTAGTACCACCAATGGTTCCAGTAGTACCACTAACAGTACCAACAGCCCCACTTGGTTGATGAAGACTTCCAAGCCAAAACGGTCCCAACGAACATCCCAAAACGTCTTTTTTGCTACTAGTATCAGCTTCAGACGTCTGGTACCGTTGATACTTTGCTTCGTCCTTCAAGTCCGGTTCGATTCGGCCAGTTTCAAAGCCTCTCTCTAGTCCAATTGCTACCTGAACATCAAAAAACATGGATCCAACTGATACCTCTTTCAGAACCCAGGTTATCTCCTGGTTTTTCAATTCAAATCTAAAAGAAAGTGCTTAAAATAGCAAGAACTTTCTTTACAGACCAAAAAATGGCAGGAACTTTCTTTCCACTTACGCCAATTCCATGCCAATACCACCATCACCAACTATGGCCACTCTCTTCGCCTTACACAGTCTTTTTTCCAGCTTTGCTATCGTATCCGTGTCGCGAATCGTCAAAATTTTGTCGCATTTTTCGAAATTCAAAGTCTTTGGCTCTGCCCCGGTGGCTATTACCAATTTATCGTATTTTAGCTCTTCTCCTGATGATAACTTTAATGTTTTAGTATTTGAATCCCATGAAATTACAGTATCTTCTATCACGGTAACCTTAGAATATCGACCGGTAAAAGTAGAAGCTGATTCGATTTCGACTTGGAACTTCTCCATCACTATTCCTGCCTGAAAACGCTTTATTTAGATGTTTTCATTAGTTGTAAACAAAGTTTTTGATATTATCTGCAATGTAAACCAATCCCTGCAATGTAAATAAAGTTCTTGCCACATTAACATACCTTTTCATAGTTTGTAACCCTCTTAACATAGCCATTCTTTCCACAAACTAAAACAAGTTCAGTTGAATCAGGTAGTTCTTCTGAATCCGCTAGATGTTGAATACAGGAAACTCCAGCAATTCCTCCTCCTACCACAACAATTCTACTTCCATCTTTCATCTTTCTTCAAAAAATCATGTCATTTAATCAAAAACTTCAAAAAATATACAAAGACTTGTATACATCAATATTCAACATGAATAATATTAGAAAAATAATTTATTCTAGTCAAAAGTAGAGCTCAAATCGCTAAAAATTGCTTAAAAACATTCACAAGGCTTGAATAACATTGTCCAACAAGCTACTAGCACCAATTCTGAACAGTTTTGGAGTCAGCCAGTCGTTTCCAAGCACAATTTGAACAAGCTTCACAAACTCCAAGGCTTCTTGAACAGTTCGAATACCACCTGCCGGCTTAAAGCCAATTTTCTTGCCAGTTTGAGTGTGATACTCTTTGATTGCTTGCAACATAACATAGGCAACTTCTAGAGTGGCATTTACAAATTCTTTGCCGGTCGAGGTTTTGATAAAGTCTGCTCCACCCAAAATCGAAGCCCATGAAGCTTTGTAGATTTTCTCATGAGATTTCAATTCTCCGGTAGCAAGAATAACCTGTAATTAACAAATTGATAAAGTTTTAGAAACATCTGTGAAAATTAAAAAAAGTTCTAATAAAAATAATATAACCCATCATCTATCTACCCTAATTTAAGGGTAACCAAACAACTAATAAGAAAATTTAAATATTGCTCAAACATAATCAAAACCAATATTTAGTTTACATATAGCAAAAATTTCAAAACCTTTTGTCTCATATTTAAAAAGCTACAACCAAAACCATGTTATCCATGCCTACCTTCAGATGCGCGCTCTTTCCAGCAGCCTTCAATTGTTCAATTTCGCTTTTTACTGTCTCCCAATCACCATCCAAAGCTGCTGCTCTGTTGATAACAGTATCAAGCTCGTTAGCTCCATCTTCAGCAGCCAATTGACATTCAAGAACTCGAGACTTCAAGTGGTATTGGCCAGATGGAAAACCTCCAACAACTAAAAACAAGATACACCAAAATAAGTGAAAAACAAACCTGAAGCAATTTGAACATCCTTCTCGTTAAGCTCGGCCAATTTCGCTTTTACATCCAGGATTCTGGCTGGATAAACGCATACCGCTCCACATTTTAGTGATGGGTCCTGGAAAACAGTCAAATTAAACGCAAAAATGGGCATTTTTAGGTGAAAAACCTCAACAAAAATAAAGTAAAAACACAATAAAAGCTTTAAAAACAAATATCGTGCTTAAAAACATACAATAACTTACCTTATCGTAAGCTCAACAATATTTTTCAACAAAAATAAAAATAAAAAAGACTTGACACGACAAAAATAAGAGTCAAGACTTGCCCTGATAACAAAATTCTGTCCAACTTACACTTTCGACCGGTCGAACAGCACGAGCAGCTAATTTCTGAACTCTGTCCTTGGTATCATCACCGGCCAACGTTGTCAAGTCGATGTAACCGATAAGACTTCGAATTTCGTCTTTTGAAGCCGATTTGGCCTCAGTTTTGGCTTGTTCAACGGTTTTTTCAAGCTCCGCAAAGGTTACTGGAGCTGTAAAGTCGAACTTGGCCATGATTGGAGTCTAAAATGGAAGTAATATAATTTTACAATGGTATAGATTATAATATATAAGATAGGGGTTTTAAATTTGAATAGTTTTGGGGAAAATAAGCAGGAAGCGGCTAAAAAGGACCACAAATGAAAGCGAAACTAAACTTTTGGCTTTTTGATCGCCAAAAATTGATAAATAACCTCGCGAACTGTTTCAATCAGACGGTGTAAAGTGAGAAGAAGATAATATTATGCGAGTCATAAGCATTGGCATACTTATTACACCACAATTTTGAGGTTAAAGTAGTCCTATCAAAGCCGGCATGGATAACATAACTCCATAGCATTTATTGCCAATTTTTGTTGTACATTGTTTCTGTGTTTATGTTTTGAGTGTTTTACAGTTTACTTTTTGCGCAATCATGTTGAATTCGGCTTTTATATCCGCTGGAAAAACCCGTTTCAAGACTTTCGATCTGTTGCATGTTCGAACTGTTATTTCAACGAAACCCGGAGGTATAAAAAGTTCAGGATGGAAATAAAATAAAGTTTATGGCATATATTAACATATTTTTAAAAGTAATTATGTGTGTTGGTTAATGAGCTTATGTTTTGGCCGTTTTTTAGATTGTAGTATATGGTGAATGGATTGGTGTTGGTTGTTTCGTTTGTGGTCAATGGCAATGGTCAGTAAATTTAGGAAGATGGTTGGTATATAATGAAAAGACATTGCCAAATGTCTTAAGGATGATATTGTGCAAAATACGATTTATTAAACTAATGTAATATGGATGAACAGGTAAATTTTCACTATTTTTTGTAAATTTTTAGCTATTTAGGTTCACGTCAAAGCCCACAGAGTTGGAAATGACATTATTATACGTCGACAACACGTTCAGAACTATCAAAAGATCAAATTCCATGTTGCAATCGAAAAACTCAATTTCCTCGTACCAACAACATGGATCAAACGCCTTCAGGAGTTATCACAATGTCGCCTTACGTTGATCGTCTATCACCACGGGGCTTCGGACAATGTTTATCCAGAAAGTACCCTTCCCACCCTTGGTCATTACTCTTTCGTCGTAAAAAGTGCGAGACTTGCTTGTTATCGCATCGGATGGCGTAATATATCCGCCTTCAAAACTTGTCTTGGTCGAGGGAAAGGTAGAGTATATAAGGCGGTTACCTTGAGGCAAACGGCATCATACGTTGATCTACATTAGGAAATATGAACGGATACCTGAAGTTGGCTATTCTCATTGGCTTCGTCACCTTGTGCTTGTCGCATCCTCGTGAGTTTTTTCGCTTTTTGATGTTGTTTTAGGTAATATAAGTGCTTTGATTTTATGGTTTTTTTTTATTTTATTGACCAGTCGATAAATGCTGAAATTTAATCGACCAGCCGATAATTTTTGAAATTTTATCGACCAGTTGATAATTTTTAAAACATTTCCCGAGTTTTTGTATAAAATTTTTTACCATGCTCCACTTCAGAATTCCGTGTATTGAAATGCCGCACCACCGACGGTCAACTCAAGGCTGGACCAGAACAGGCCCACTGTAACATGATCATCAAGGACTCGGAGACCGAACTGCCCGGTCGTCCAGCTCCAGAAGGCGATGGATGCTTCTACGAGACCGTGAACGGTGAGGAACGTTTGTACTGCGACTTGGTTTGCCCCAAGGCTCACACCGTCTTCAACGCTCACATCGAACAGGGCCACAAGTCGTGCTTTAACTTCTACACCTACCAATTGGAGCGTCGCGCTGACGAATGGTACATCTGGAGATCTGGAAAGTGCTTGAACTCCACTGCCACCTTCACTGTTGGCTGCAAGTTCGACGAGCCTTTCAACACTCAATTCGCCAACGACAACGAGGTCTTCGCTCGTTTGGCCGCTAGACGTGTCGCTTAAGAAGGGCATGGGTTTAAGACTTGTCGCTTGAAAGGGCATCGGTTTGAACTTCTTTCTCTGAGGACAAGGATATGTATTTTATTTTTAAACGTGCAATATTTATGTTATTTATTATACACCAATAAATATTATTTTATCTATCATTTTGGCTTTTGAAAGGCTTTCGGGTAGGCTACAATAAGGAAGGGTAGGGTTACAAAGATGAGGGTAGGGCAGGGTAGGCTAGAGTAAAGTAGGGTAGAGTAGAGTAGAATAGACAATAGTAGTGTAGAGTAGGTTAGGGTAGGATAGGGTACGGTACGGTAGGAAAGAGTAGGGTAGGGTACGTTAGAGAGGTAGGGTGACGTATGGTAAAGTAGGACAAGGTAGAATAGATTAATATATTAATTTTTTACCGTATATTATATTACCATGCCTCACACTATCCTATCAAGACAAAGCCTATCTTACCCCACCCTGCAAAAACCCAGACTACTCTACTCCACGCTATCCAACTCTACTCTAACTTACATTACAGTGCATTATCTTTTTACGATGTTCACCCTACCTACGATACTTACCCTTAGGGAATTGAAGCATAAAAATACAAATGTTTGGTTTACTACGACATATTGTAGATATTTATTAACATTAATTTAACAATAACAATTGATATGTACATTCATGTCTTTGCCGGTCAAAAATTGATCATATTGTTGTGGGAACTATAATAAGGTTAGCTCTGGGCGGGTCTTATGATATAACGCAAGGTATGGCTAATTATACATACATTTGCATATCTAGACCACACCATAACTAATGATGAATAATAGGCGTAGCACTGGGAGAATCCGTTAATAATTGCGTTTTGTTTTCAAACATGGATTCTTTTTTGTTTACTGATACCATACCATTGAATATGATTTGGTTGTAAATGGCTAGCTTTTCTGAAAATGGGAATATATGGCAATGACATTGCTTTAGACTTGTAGGGTACGGTAGACTGGGTAAGGTAGGGTAGAGTAGGTTAGGTAGCGTTGGATAGTGTGGGGAGGGTAGGGTAGTTTAAGGTAGGAAAAAGTAGGGTATGGTAGGATAGCTTACCATCAACTCTGGCGCAGCTATTTTTGTACCCGTCGTATCTTGCCAGTCCTTTATCCCACAAAAATACCATGTAAAACACAAAACCAGTGATCAGAAACACCAGCCCAATACTGGCCGTTTTAATATCCGCCGTTACCGTGGTAATAACCAAAGTAATACAAATGATCAAGAACACGATAGGCAGTATAATAGGCACTCGTATACGATCAGGATGAACTTTTACATTATAGTAACGTATATAGAGTAGAGCGCACATAGTCAAGGCTCGCTGTACCCACATGGCAAAGGTTAGGTAGTTGATGAGTTTGTCTACTTCACCTACTAACGCGAATAACATGGCTAGTAGGACACTGTAGAAGATGGCTGCACGTGGGGAGTCATGTTTCTCGTTTACTACGCTTAGGAATGATGGCATTTGGCCTTGACGTGCTCCGGCGAATAGGTACCTTAATATTGAAAAGTTATGTTTAGCTTATAGGGGGAGTGGATGGGATAGGGAGAGAGTAAATGGCAAAAACAAGGTGGAGTAGGTAGGTATATCATTATTTGGGTAGGAGGGTGGGCGGATGGGCGGGGTAAAAAAAACTTTTTTATATTTGGGGGGTGGGGATGACCAAACATTTTTTAAAAATAAAAAGAAATGTGTGTCTTACCTGCTAGAAGTAAAAATTGTGCTGTTTAAGCTACCAATCAACATTATACTTGTTAAAAATGGCATGGCATGGCGAAATGAACCCATAGTACGGTTGGCAAAAGTCTAAAAGTTTTGCTGAGATTCGTTACGTGATATCACTAGACCTGGCTCTACAAGTCTTTACCTTTGCTCTTGCATATAAAAGTTTAGCTTGACCTTTTCCGATGCTTGTTTTTACCCTGAACTATACTCCTAGCGACACCCCTACCCATGTTATTATTTCTAATACTCAGTCACGTTTCTGAATTTAAATTTAAGGCTATTTGGCTTCAGAAATTTGAAATGCCAATTTTGATATTACCTGAGCAACGGCCGGTGTTTTGAGTACTTCTGGAATGCTGAGTACAACAAAGTAGGAGAGGTTGGTAGCGCAGTAAACAAAGGCTATGATGAATATTCCAATGGGGATGGCTAGTGATAAGGTCCTGAAAGTTTTGGTTATAGTAATGGCTAGGGTATGGCAGGTTAAGGCAAGGCACGGCAGAGCAAGGCAAGGGTAAAGCAAGACAAATCAAGGCAAGGTAGGAGAGGGTAAGGCAAGATAGGGTAAAGCAAGGCAGGATAGGGCAAGATATTTTAAAGAAGGGTAGGGTGAGGCAAAATAAAGTAGGGTGTAGTAAGATAAGTTATACCCCGATGAAACCACAAAACTTTACCTAGTAGGATTAGCCACCTCCTCTACCCCAAAATTCAGCACGTCCCAGCCGTCGTACGAGAATAGCCCTTGAAAGAACGCGTTGACAATCATACTCGGTTCATAAGTTGAATTTGCGAATGGGTCCTTTAAATTCTCAACTTCTCCTTTAAATACCAACATGTACATGCCAACACAAATGATTGTCATTGTGGCTAGGATCTTGGCCGCCGTCGCCGCGATTTGAAACCGCGAAACAAAGGTTCGCAGCGAAAAAAAGTTGAGAAAACAAATCAGCCCTGAAATGGTTTGTAAAGAAAGTTCTTGTCATTTTTTGGTTTGTAAAGAAAGTTCTTGTCATTTTTTATTTTGTAAAGAAAGTTCTTGCCATTTTTTGTTTTGTAAAGAAAGTTCTTGCCATTTTTTGTTTTGTAAAGAAAGTTCTTGCCATTTTTTGTTTTGTAAAGAAATTTCTTGCCATTTTTTTGTTTTGTAAAGAAAGTTCTTGCCATTTTTTGTTTTGTAAAGAAAGTTCTTGTCATTTTTTATTTTGTAAAGAAAGTTCTTGCCATTTTTTGTTTTGTAAAGAAAGTTCTTGCCATTTTGTGTTTTGTAATCAAATTTCTTGCCATTTTTTGTTTTGTAAAGAAAGTTCTTGCCATTTTTTGGTTTGTAAAGAAAGTTCTTGCCATTTTTTGTTTTGTAAAGAAAGTTCTTGCCATTTTTTGTTTTGTAAAGAAAGTTCTTGCCATTTTTTGTTTTGTAAAGAAAATTTTTGCAATATTTTTGTAAAATGCGCCAAATTTATTTTTAAAATTTAAAATTTTCAAAAATTTAAAATTTAAAACTCACAAACCAAGCTGAAACTGGCCAAGGTTTTGGCCATATGTTGCGAAACGGCTGATTCTAGGTTAATATACAGCCCTTCAAATAGGTATTCACTGAATGTTAAGGCTTCTACGGCTACCACAGCCGGAAATGTCATCAAACAACCCGTTGAGAGAAACGAAAAAGCGATAGGGAACCTTAAAAATTATGATTTTAGACTTGAAATACCCTACCCTACCCTACCCTACCCTACCCAACCCTACCCTACCCTATCCTACCCTACCCTACCCTACCCTACCCTACCCTACCCTACCCTACCCTACCCTACCCTACCCTACCCTACCCTACCCTAACCTACCCTACCCTACCCTACCTTACCCTACCCTACCCTTGCCTACCCTTGCCTACCCTTGCCTTACCCTTGCCCTACCCTTGCCCTACTCCTACAAATGTCACTTACCATCCAACATAGCACAAATAAGCGAAATCAGCACCAGAATGTCGTATACTGGTGCCCAGCTCAATATAACAATAGGCTCCCAACATTGATATCAGAGCACTGAGGAACCAAACCAATAATGACAGTCCTACTGAGTTGGTATACTGTAATATTGCCGTTGGGGTTATGAATAGGCCTGACCCGATGATATTACCACAGACGAAACTGACTGCACCAAGCAGTCCCATCTTGTTCCGGTCGGAACGGGGCTCCGACATGGTTGCTGGTACTGTTTTGGATCTTTTGGTACTTTTTGGGGTCTGAAAATGAAAAAATTAAAAAAAAGGTAAGAACTTTCTTTACAAAATAAAAAATGGCAAGAACTTTCTTTACAAAACAAAAAGTGGCAAGAAGTTTCTTTACAAAAAAAATAGCAAGAACTTTCTGTACAAAACAAAAAATGGCAAGAACTTTTTTTACAAAACAAAAAAAAATGGCAAGAATTTTTTTTACAAGACATAAAAAAGCAAGAACTTTCTTTACAAAACAAAAAATGGCAAGAACTTTCTTTATAAAAAAAAATAGCAAGAACTTTCTTTACAAAACAAAAAGTGGCAAGAAGTTTCTTTACAAAAAAAATAGCAAGAACTTTCTGTACAAAACAAAAAATGGCAAGAACTTTTTTTACAGTACCTAAAGTAACTAAATTTTTAATGATAATTGTAAACTCGCCCTTCTATTAAAACAAACAGAAAACTAAAGCCAAACAAGATCCGGTTTGGGTATTAAATCAGTTTCATTATAGATATTAAAACTTTTAAAATCAAACAATAGCAACTACGATAAGCATCAATTTTGATAAGACGATTAGAGATTACTAAACAGTTTTTGGAACTATCTCAGAAAAACATTTTTAGACCCTACCCTACCCTACCCTATCCTACTCAACTCAACGTTCTCATACCTTTCTATACTCTACCCTTCCCCGCTTTAACACACTTTGCTCTACTTTACCCTAACCATGTTTTTCCACTCCTTACATTACCCTGCCTTGCTTTTGTCTATTAATGTAATGTATTATATCTTATCTTACCCTAAAATGTTTTGCTCTATCCATCTTCACCCTACCCTAACCTACTCTATCCTCCTCTAGCTTGTATTACTTTACCCAATGTTTTCTTACCCTACCCTACCTCAACCTACTCTACTTTTCTCTAACTTTACTTATATCACCTTATCTTACCCTACATTATCCCATTGTTAACATATGCTTTTCAGTTGAACAAAAAGTAAACATTAGTATAGGATTAGTTTTTGATTTTTGACAAAACATGCCTCACTTACAAGGTTTTTTTTATTTTTTTGAAAATCTACACAGTTATATTGTTTATGTTTGATAAACAATGTGTTTATTATCTCTATATCGTTCTAAAGATTCTAAAAACAAATAAAAAAGCATTAAAAAATGAAAAAAACTAACAAAAATGATCAAAAATAAGAAAAAATTATCAAAAATCGGTAAAAATAAGGAAAAATAGACTAAAAAATCATTAAAAATTGATAAAAATGACCCTTTACAGTGATCATTACTGTCATTTCCTATAAATTAAAATAGTAAAAGGTCAAGTCATTGTGATAAAGATCGAATAAAAACAAAGGAAAAACTTTTTTTTCAAAAAAAAATTAAGAGAGATTGATCCGAAAATAACTTTTTGGCCATTAATCGCCAAAACAAAAAAGGAGCAAAGAGCTGTTACAAATGTGATGCAATGTTTAATATAATATAATTCGCAGCTTTTTTGGAATTTTGATTTAAATTTGAGATTTTGAGAGTTAAAAATCATTTTTAAGGTTAGTGAAAGGAAGTTCTTGACATTGCATGATTTGTAAAGAAAGTTCTTGCTACTATGTTTTGTAAAGAAAGTCCTTGTCATTTTCGGTTTTGAAAGAAAGTTCTTGCTATCTTGGTCTTGTCAAGAAAGTTCTTGCTATTTTGGTCTTGTAAAGAAAGTTCTTGCTATTTTGGTCTTGTAAAGAAAGTTCTTGCTATCTTGGTCTTGTCAAGAAAGTTCTTGCTATTTTGGTCTTGTAAAGAAAGTTCTTGCTATCTTGCTCTTGTAAAGAAAGTTCTTGCCGTTTTTTGATTTAGTAAAGAAAGTTGTTGCCATTTTCTGTATTGAGCTCATATTTTGTGACATTTTTGCATTTAGAAACAAAATTATGACATTTTGCAAAAGTAGAAGTTGAGTGGAAAATTTGTAATGTATATTGCACTGAGAATTTTCCGCTATATTCCTATTTTTAAAAAAGGTCTGAAATGGCATAAATCTTCAGTTTTTACAAGTGAAAGATCGATGGAAGATTCTCAGTGCAAATTACATTACAAATCTTCCACTCAACTTTCATATTTTTTTTGGCTTTTTTATGTTTTGTAAAGAAAGTTATTGGCATTTTATAAACTATAAACACCCTTTTAAGCTTGAGATCTACATTAAATGTTATAAAACCCTGTAAAAAGCATAAAACGCAAGCTGAAACGTAAAACATGGTTAAGATGTAAGCCTAAACCTAAAATAGCATAAAGAAAACAGTAAATATGGTGTGATAATTTTAAAAAAATTAAAATTCAATTAAAATTTAAAAAAAGAAAGAGTAGGTTTTGCATTATAACGGGTGCAAATGTTTTTTTTCTTTTATTTGAGTTGTATTTGCATCGAAAAAGCACTCGCTTTTCGGTTTGAGCGCGCTTTTTCCTATTGCCAGCTGGTTGGAAAGAGGAAAATTCAAAAGGAAAAAGGCTGATTACACACAAATTTTAAGTTTTTAAAAACTTGGAAAAGGAGGATAGGTTAGTGTAAGGCAATACAATCTGCTGTACTGTAGAATATGACAAAGCTGATGTAGGGTAGAGCAAGCTACTAAAAGACAAGGTATATATAAAGTTACTGTAGGGTAGAATATGGCAAGCTGCTGTAGGATAAGGTAGGGAAATCTACTGAAAGGCAGAGTGTGACAAGTTACGGAAAGCTAACGTATGGTAAGTGACCGTAGGGTAGGGTACGGCAAGATATTGTAAGGTAAGGCAAGACAGGGCAGTGTAGGTGTATGTCGGGTTGAGTAGGGGTAAGGCAGGTTAGAAAGAAGCAGGGTAAGGTAAGACAAGCTACTGTAGGGTAGGGTACGGCACGCTACTGTAAGGTAAGGCAATACAGGGCAGTGTGGGGGTATGTTGGGTTGAGTAGGGTAAGGCAAGCTACTGTAGAATAAGGTAAGGCAGGGGTAGAAGGTATAGGGTAGGATAAGACAAGCTACTGCAGGGTAAGGTATGACTGACGTATGACGAGCTACTGTAAGGCAGTGTAGAGTTGGGTAGGGTAGATAAATTAAAAAATCGTTTTTCTCACAAAATTATTCAAAAATTTTATTTTTTTCAAAACTTAAATTTTTATTTTTGTAAATTATTGGTTGTGTTACAAGTAGATTTGGTGACATTTTGTAAAAGTTTGGTCCTGAACTTCTGAGAACAGTTTCTTGATAGTAAGTGTATTTTGTAAACTGTGTATTTTGAATTTGCAACTTTTTTCTGGTTTTTAGTACTATATAGTATAATGGTATCATTCAGTACAAAAAATTTTTATATTTTTTTTCCATTATTTAGTATACAAATTTTTTAAAGTTAATATTTAAAACAATTTTTTTGTAACTTTTTTGTACTATACAGTACCATGATACTATATAGTACCGATTTTTTTCAAGTTTTTTAAAGTACCCTCTACAACAAGATTTTCAAATATTTCAGAGATTTTTTGTCAAAACCTTTGATTAAAGATGCAATTGTGTGATTTGAATCAAGCTGCCGTGAACTCCATGATGAACAACATGTGGAAGAAGCGGAGGGAACAGAGAAAGAAAGAAATTCAAGAGGCCAAAGAAGCCGATTCGCCGACCAAAAGTGACCCGAACAAGAGTGACCCTGCGGTGAGTTTTGTAAAGAAAGTTTTTGCCATTTCTTGTTTTGTTAACAAAGTTTCTGCCATTTCTAGTTTTGTAAAGAAAGTTTTTGCTATTTTTTGGTTTGTAAAGGAAGTTCTTGCCGGTTTTTGTTTTGTAAAGAAAGTTCTTGGATTTTTTTTATTTGTAAAGAAAGTTCTTGCCAGTTTATAATTTGTAAAGAAAGTTCTTGCTATTTTTGTTTTGTGAACAAATTTCTTGCCGGTTTTCGTTTTGTAAAGAAAGTTCTTGCACTTTCAATCATTATTTGCTTTCAGCCGCAGATCCAGACTGGAGTGAACATGAAATTATGTTTTGACAATCCCAAACCCAATCCTCCACCACCTTCTTCAGCCTCATAACAACATCGTTTGTCATCAATTTCGTCTTCTTTTACTGGTATAATGTCACAAATTGGTTGATTTGGAGATGTTATTTTACTTTTTGTTTCTGTATGTATACTTATACTAGCAATAAAAATTTGTTTTTACATTTTGAATTATTTTAGATGAAATGACAAGAACTTTCTTGACAAAACAAAAAATGGCAAGGACTTTCTTTACAAACCAAAAAATGGCAAGAACTTTCTTTCTTTACAAAATAAAAAATGGCAATAACTTTCTTAATGACATGTTTTCTGGCCTAAAGCCTAAAGTCTACTAATTCTACTGCCATTTTCTGTTTTCACCGTTACAGTTTTTCGTATTTTTACGTGATTTCTTTTTTGTTTTTCACGTCAAATAATTAGTTCATCTTTGATGGATCAACAACAACATTATCTTTAGCTAGATGTATGGTAATGAGATTTTTTTACTGTTTTAGTTAATGTTATTAGTTGCTATGTTAAGCCCTAACCTTAGCCCAGAGTCCTAGACCAGAGCCCTAGTCCAAAGCCCTAGCCCAGATCCCTAGCCCAGAGTCCTAGACCAAAGCACTAGCCCAGAGTCCTAGCCCAGAGCCCTAGTCCAGAGTCCTTTTACACTCGCTTCACCACTCTCGTCCTACCCTTGCCATACCCTCGTCCTACATGTGGCTACCATAGCCCTATCCTCGAACTACCCTTGTTTTGCTCTCGCTCTACTCCTACCTTAATCTTTTTTTAATTGAATTTGAAACGTCCTACCCCTTTCGTATTTTTGTCCAATCTTACCATATCTTCTATCCTATCATAACCTTTTTTTTCTTTTCTTACTATAGCCATAAGCCTTTTTTTTCCCCTACTATGTCTTACTGAAGGCGTAGTGTTTCAAAACTTTTTTGTTCTTCTTAATGCCATTCTTTAAACTATCTATACTGACTTATCAAACACATAAAAACACGGTCCGAAATGCCTTTAATTCTTGGGAAAACCTTGGGTTCTTACACAAATTACTTGTAATACATCACAACACGGGACAGTTTGAAACCGCCTCAAGGCCGTTCAAGGTCTTCAGTGCAAACACTAAACATGTTACTCTTACTTTTCTTAATTGGAAAACGGTAAATTACTGATAAGGAAATGGTAACAAAAAGTCGTTACAATTTGACTTGCAAAAGGAAAAACGGCAAGAACTTTCTTTACAAAACATTAAATGGCAAGAACTTTATTTACAAATGAAAAAATGGTAAGAACTTTCTTTACATGTCAAAAAATTGCAAGAACTTTCCTTACAAAAGATAAAATGGTAAGAAATTTTTTTACAAAATAAAAAATAGCAAAAACTTTCTTTACAATACAGAAAATGGCAAGAACTTTCATTACAAAGTTAAAAATTGCAAAAACTTTCTTTACAGAACAATAAATGGCAAGAACTTTCTTTACAAAACAATAAATGACAAGAACTTTCTATACAGAACAAAAAAGGGCGACTTCTAAAACGACCAATATCAAAAAAAACCTTAGTGCTCCAGGACAGCCAAGAGCTTCAGCTCTAGGCAGCCAATTCAATCCCGCCCCACCAGGTCCAGCCGATGACCAAGTACTATTTGGATCATCAGGCCCTGCCGATCAACCAAGTTAGCTAAGAAGAGATTTTTTTGCGTGAATCGGCAAGAACTTTCTTTACAAAACAAGAAATAGCAAGAACTTTCTTTACTATACATGAAATGGCAGGAATTTTCTTTACAAAACAAGAAATGGCAAAGACTTTTTTATTTTGTCTTTACGGCCACAAAACTTTAAAAAATGTTTTTGTACCTACATATGTTTACTTTACTGTTTTACCTCTGTATTGCTGTTTATATTACAACATTGTGCATTCTTGACTAGCCACTTTACTAATTAGTAGTTGAAACGTTACAAGGTAAATAAATTGACTAAACCATTAGTAAAACAAGCAAAACATACTGTAAAGCAAGGAAAGGGCAGTTATTTACAAAAACCGTAAATTCTTGTAAAAATAATTTGGCAGAGAGACAGTGTTTAGAAGTGAGAGAGTGGTAGACAGCAGAGAAGGTTAAAGGAAAGCACGGCAGAATGTTAGAGAACTCGTAAAAGGAATAACGGCAGAAGGAATAACGGCAGAACGTAAGCGTGGATTTTGAAGGAGAAACAAGAGAACGTTAGAGAGCACATTAAAGAAGAAACAACAGAACGTTAGAAAATCCATAAAGTAAAGCACGGTAGAACGTTAGCGCGCAAATCAAAGAAAGAACGGCAGAACGTTAGAGAGCATTTGAAAAAAAAAAGACAGATAATTAGAGAGCACGTAAAACGAAAGAACGGCGGAACGTTAAAAAGCACATTGAAGAAATAACGCTAGAACGCTAGTGAACACATTAGAGAAATAACGGTTGAACGTTAGAGAACACGTAAACGAAAGAACAGTAGAACGTTAATGCGCAACTCATAGAAAGAACGCCAGACGGCTAGCGCGCACGTGGGCGAAACTTAAAGGTTCAGAAGTTTTAAACTAGCCAAAAGACAAGGTTAAACCCCACCCAAATGAACGGTTACGGACCGTTCCTAAACTACATGACCTTCCCTACTATGGTCTCTCGGTTTGACATGGTTTTTCTTTCCCTGCCCTCCCCTAGCCTTCTTTCTTAAGACTAGGTAATCCCTTTCCTTACTGAACTTTGAGAAACCCCCCCCTCTCTCTCCCTACCCCTCCTCTAGCCCTCCTTTCTTAACATAAGGTTAAACCTTTCCCTACTAAACCCTAAGAAACCCCTTCTTTCCCCCACCCCTCCCCCCGCCTTCAAAAACATATATAAACCCCACCCCACCACCACCAACTCCGTACTCCAACTCGGTCTTCAGCACCGCCGCAGAGTCCCCACCAACCAGAAATGGATTACGAAAACCGCATCAAGGCCTACCGCTTCGTGGCCTACTCCACCGTGGCCTTCTCGGTCATCTCCGTGGTCACCGTCTGCTTCACCCTACCCATGTTGCACAACTACGTGCAACGCGTCCAGGACAGCATCGACCGCGAGCTGGTCCTCTGCGAAGGCTCGGCCAAGGACATCTGGTCCGAGGTCGCCCATTTGAAGAACATCCCAATGGCCGCCAACCGTACCGCCCGTCAAGCCTACGGCCAAGGAGGTGACGCCTGCTCCGCCTGCTGCTCCGGAGGACAACCCGGCCCAGCCGGACCACCCGGTCAACCAGGACGCCCAGGAAACGCCGGAGCCCCAGGCTCACCAGGACAACCCGGAAGACCAGCCGTTGCTCCATGCGACTCCATCGCCCCACCACCATGCAAGCCATGCCCAGGAGGTCAGCCAGGTAACCCAGGCCCACCAGGACCACCAGGAGACAAGGGACCAGACGGACAACCAGGACAAGGCGGTGGCTACCCACAACCAGGCCCACCCGGACCAAAGGGACCCCCAGGACCACCAGGACCAAACGGAAACCCCGGTGCCCCAGGACAGCCAGGTGCTCCAGCTCAAGGCGGCCAATCCGGACCCGCTCCACCAGGCCCAGCCGGAGACCAAGGACCACCCGGACCACCAGGCCCAGCCGGTCAACCAGGACAACCAGGAGGCCCAGGACAGCCAGGACCAAAAGGACCACCCGGTCAACCAGGACAGCCCGGAAACGACGGAAAGCCAGGAGCCCCAGGACAAGCCGGTGCCCCAGGACAAGGTGGAGAACGCGGTATCTGCCCCAAGTACTGCGCCATCGACGGTGGAGTCTTCTTCGAGGACGGAACCAGACGTTAAGCACCAGCTTAAGCGAATTTGTGTTTTTTACCAGTCATCGGTATGGAACACACGGTACCGTTATCGGTACCAAGTATCATTAAGTACCATTTTAAGGCGCTTGACGGGTTTGGAATCTCTTTTTGGGTACCAAACACCGTCTAGTCCCATTTTAATCTGGTTTTTTTCATTTCTCATCATCTCGCTAAAACACTGTCACTCTTTTTTCATCCTGCCCGGTCAATGCCCTAAACCAATGATAACACCCCTCTTTTCAGACCTTGAAAAACGGTTTTCATTTGTTCTGTGGCGTTTTTTCATTGTAATTTTTTGAATAATAAACTTGAATTTTGTCAATAATCGGATATTGATTTTTTTTTAATTTTTAAAAAATTTTTAATTTCAAAAAAAATTTAAATTTTGAAAAACTCCAAAAAATAAATTAAGCCTAATTACCCAAAAGACTACAGCCTGCTCTAAAGCACCTATCTTTCCGTCGTTTCCGGGCTGTCCTACTGTAATATAAAATCCTATATCAACATAAAAATGTACAAAAAACTGTTTTTAACGTAACAAAAAATGACAATGTTTACAGCATAGTTTAAAACTCTAAAAATTTTTGATATAACAAAATATTGAAGTAAAACAACTAAAAATTTGAAAATTTTTCAACTTTTATTAAACCAAGCCCTACTGTGACTTTTGAAAACTGACCAAAAACTTGTCAAGCCGAGCGTAAGAATATTGATGGGACTAGAGCTTAGGCTAAGACTCAGGCTAGTTCTTAGGCTGTGTTTTAGGTTAAAAAACAAACAAAAGCTCCAACTAGGGCTAGGATTCTGAACAGCGCCTAGATTTAGACGCTAGGCTAAAGCTTAGGCTAGTGCTTATGTAAGCCTGGGCTCTGGGCTAAGGCTCTGGGCTAGGGATCTGAGCTTTTGTTGTGAGCCTAGGTCTACCGTAAGGCAGGACTCACTCATATATTAATTTACTGCAAGATTTACTGTATATTAACCAAATATACCAATAATAACATCGAAAATCTGCGTTTTGTTTGATTTTTTTCGTTTTTTCACGCTTTTTTTAGCCTTTATGCCATAAAGTACTTGGTAAATAAACAAAACAGACTTTATTTTACTATGACACATACGAACGAATTCCCTTACTTTCATATTTTGTTAAAAAATTTCAAAAAAAACTTGAAACCGTTCGTTTTGTGATCAAAAACCCTTTCGCCAGGCCACTTCCGCGTAGGCGAAAACGCACTTTTACCGTAAATTCCAGCGTTCCTCCACTTTGTAATGTTGTAAAAGTAAAACATTGTACTTTTTTGTAAACAATCCAATTAACATTGTGCTCCTGAGAGTTTTGCTTTAAGTAAAACTGTACAAAAATTGGTATGGCAGCCCGGAAATTTGATTAGAACTACGAAACAAAGTAAAGTCAGACTAAAATCAACAGTGGTTCTTCGGTTCTAAACAAAATTTTCGCAATTTTTTGATTTGCAAAGATTTTGCCTTGTTTTTAGTTTTGTAAACAAAGTTTTCGCAAGTTTTACATATTTAAAAAGAAATTTTTATGTTTCTTAGCTAAGGCTGTTAAGCCCGTTAAGCCTAAGCTACTTAGGCCTAACCTTCTAAGCCTAAGCCTACTAAGCCTAAGCCTACTAAGCCTTAGCCTACCAAGCCTAAGTAGGCCTACTAAGCCAAAGCCTAATTTTAAGCCTAAACTTAAGCTTTAGCCTAAGCCTATTCAGCTTAAGACTGATAGTCCTAGGCTTACTGAAGCAAATTCCCTTACAACTTCACAGTTTAATTTAAAAATGTCAAAAACTTTCTTTACAACACAAAAAATGGCAATGACGTCAATGACAACCATGTAAACCTGAACTTTTTTTGATCTCCACAACAATACAGCTCCGTTCGCATTAAACCATTTGTAAAACCAAAACGGTTTGACAAATGACAAGGAATTTCTTTACAAAACCCCCAACAGTCATATGGTTTGCCCACGCTTTTTTACACTGAAATTCTACAGTGCCTTACTGTCTTCTTGGTAATGGTTTTCAGTTGGAAAACTGGTTTGATTCATCTAAAACCGTTTCGTTTGTTTACGGTTTTGTTGATAGATAAGAGTAAAACAAAGTAAAAGGTCATTCACAAAAGATATTCACAGAAAACAGTAATAAAACTCAAGGAAATGTCTCAAGGACAAAGTTACAACCGTTTACAGACTTAATGGAGCCTAAAAACCGAAAAATGTGGTGAATAGTTGAACAAAAATCTATATTTATATACTTCAAAGACCAGAAAATTTTTTCAAAATTCGCCAAAATATGCAAAAATAAACCTAAAATAATCCCTATTATTCAAAAATTTCAAAAAACCACCATAAATATTTTAAATATTCAAAAAAATGGCCAAAAACCCGGCCAAAACCTCGAAAACCTTAGGGTCAGAGAAAACTCTCTTCATTTTCACGCGCAAACAGCCGCTCTCACGCTTCTCTCTTGTTTTCCGTTGCAAAAGAAAAAGAGCCGGGAAAAAAGGCCCTTTACCCGTGTGACTCCGTGGCGCAACGGTAGCGCGTCTGACTCCAGATCAGAAGGTTGCGTGTTCGAATCACGTCGGGGTCAAAGTCGTTTTTTGGCGTTTTTTGACAGTTTTAAAAGCTTATGAAGTAAACATAAAAGTCAACCTAATACACATTGTTAATCTGTACACTTTTTAATTTTTTCCAAGTGAAAAGACATTGAAAAAGACTATAAATCAAGAGAAAATGTTAAACACAGCAAGAAAAGAGCGAAAACAATGAAAAAGCTTAGTAAAAGTATACCATAACAAAGCATATCAGTCTACAAGAATAAGACGCCTATGCCTACTAATCCTAAGCCTGGTAAGCCTAAGTCTGCTAAGTCTAAGCCTACTAAGCCTAAGCCTACTAAGCCCAAGCCTACTAAGCCTAAGCCTACTAAGCCCAAGCCTACTAAGCCTAAGCCTACTACACATAAGCCGACGAAAACAAAGCCTTAGCCTAAGCTTCATACCTACTCCTTCTAACCCTAAACCGACGAATCCAAGGCATAAACCTTTTAATCTTAAGCTTACTAAGCCTACTAAGCCTATTCTTCGGAAGGAAATGTAAATCTACTACCAAAGAATCCTTACAGTACAGTCATTTCAAATTTTATGCTTCTCCACATTCCTTGCTTTACTTTATTTCCACAACAACTCGATTAAAGCATTACTGTTGTTGTATAGTAACAGATTGTAACCTTTGATTACTATTCGAAACCCTTGTGTTATCTGATTAATTGGTGTTTTGCTCGGCGTTCCGAACCGTTTACAACGTTCTGCAGCAACCGTCTGATTGTTACACTGTTGGTTACATTACTTTGTTTTCTCACGTCGCTGAGGGTTGTTGTTGATTACTGTGTGTTTTACTGTGTTTTTCGTTTTACTGTGTCTTTCTCTGTCTCTCTTTGTTTTCGTGATGTCTTTAGCCCTAGGGGTTGTTTTGTCATTTTCAGCTGACAAACGTGAGTTTGGGGTTTTAGTCTTGCCTACTATATATTGTTTTAACCTTGCCTACTACAAGGTTGACCCTCCTTTTTGAGTAAAGTTTCTTGAAATGACCCTCCCCTTTTGGTGTTTACCCTAGCTTTTTGTTTTTTACCCTTCCCTTGTAATAGTGTCTCTAACCTTCAATCTCTAGACCTACCCTGCCTCTATTATCTTGATATTGACCCTCCCCTTTACCTATGCACCCTAACTTGCTCTAGCGGACCCTACCCTACCCACCTTTCCTTCGGTATAGACCCTCCCCTTCAACCATTCACTCTACCCTTCAATATCTTGCCATGACCTGCCCTATCTTACCCTACTTTACCATTTTTCGCTTGCTATTGACCCTCCCCTTTACCTATTCACTCTACCCTGCCTCTCTTTCTCTTGATATCGACCCTCCTCTTGAGATAGTGACCCTCCCCTTTAAACATTCACCCTACCCTACCATTTCCTATTCTACCCTCCCCCTCTTCCCTCAATGTAGGCCCTGCCCTGCCCTACCCTACTCTATCCTACGTTACCCTACCTTACCCTCCTCCCCCCCCCCTCTGCCCTCAATATTGGCCCTCCCCTTTCCCCGTTAACCCTACCCTACCTTACCTACTCTTTTTACCTCGACATAGGCCCTCCTCTTTGCCCATTCACCCTACCCTCCCCCCACTCCTCTGCCTTTAACCTTACCTGCCATTTTTCGTAAAGTAACAACTCCCCCCCCCCTCTTAACCATATAAAAGCCCAGCTGTTCCCACCGTCAAACATTGTCAGTTTCGTCGTTCCTTCACCGTACCGTGAACCAACCGACGTCGCTAACAATGCACGACACAAAAATCGTAATCGGCGTCTCCACCGCCGCTTCGGCCGCCGCCATCATCGCCTGCCTGGTGGTGGTGCCGAGCCTGTACTCGTCCATCCAACAACTCAACGACCGAGTCAACTTCGGAGTCCAAAAGTTCCGCGAACAGACCGACGACGCCTGGACCCAACTCATGGAGGTCCAACTCCAGGTCACCCCACCATCCAAGCCTCGTGAGAACCCCTTCAACTCGATCTTCCGCCAGAAACGTCAAGCCAACGGCGGCCTCCCAGCCTGGTGCCAATGCACCCCACCAAAGGTGAACTGCCCACCAGGCCCAGCCGGACCTCCAGGACCACCAGGACAACCCGGTCAGCCAGGTGCCCCAGGACACGCCGGTGGACCAGGTCAACCCGGTGCTCCAGCCGCTCCATGCCAACAAGCCCACCAAGGCTGCCAATCCTGCCCAGCCGGACCACCAGGCCGACCAGGAGGCCAAGGACCACCCGGACCACCAGGACCAAGCGGACAACCAGGTGCCCCAGCTCGTGGTGGCGGCCAAGGACCACCAGGCCCACCAGGACCAGCCGGAGACGCCGGTGCTCCAGGTCGCCCAGGAGGACCAGGTCAGCCAGGACACCCAGGACAGGACGGAGTTCGCGCCAGTGTTGTGCCAGGACCAAAGGGACCATCTGGAGCTCCAGGACCAGCCGGACAACCAGGACCAAACGGAGGACCAGGCCAGCCAGGAGGACAAGGACCACCAGGACCAGCCGGACCACCCGGTCAGCCAGGACACCCAGGAGGCGACGGTACTCCAGGATTGCCAGGATCTTCAGGCCAGCCCGGTCACGATGCTGCCTACTGTCCTTGCCCTGCTCGCACGGCTGTCCTAGCCAAGCGCATGATGAAGAGACGTCGTTTCCACAAGGCCTAAGCTTAGTCCAAGGCTTAGTCCAGCTAGGTTTATGTTTAGTCCGAAAAGGGCTAAACTTAGGCTTAGAAGGGCTAGGCTTAGTCCAATGCTTAAGCTTAGTATGTGTAGGCTTAGCCTTAAGTAGGCTAGGCTTAGTCTTAGTAGGCTTAGGCTTGGACTGGGCTAGTGAGGAGGACCTTTCCGCCGAATTGTTGTCCCCTTACTATTACGGTTCTTTTGTGTATAATAAACTTTCATCACAATATCGGATCTAATTTTTTTTATTTTGAGAAATTCGAAATTTTAAAAAAATTTAACAATTTTCAAAAATATTGTAAAAATTTCAAAACATTTAAAAATATTAAAAAATCGATGACGAAATGTCAAAATAAAAAATTGAAGAAAAATCAAAATAAAAATTTTGTACAATTAGGTAACAACACGCTAAAACTTTAGAAAATCAAAAAATAGATACTAAATTACAAAACAGTCCGTGAATATCAAAAAAATCAAAAAAATTTTAAAAAATCGATAACGAAGTGTCAAAAAAATTAAATATTTAAGTAAAAAAAACCGAAAAGCTTTAAAAACTTATAAAAATAGGTAAAAAAATAACAAAACAAGTCTTCAAATCTTTAAAAAACTATAAAAATAGGTAACAACAAATATCAAAAAACCAATAACGAAATGTCAAAAACGTAAAAAAACCAAAAAATCATAAAAGTAGGTAACAAACGGCCAAAACCCGTAAAATATTATAAAAAATTCAAAAAAAAAATCAAAAGTCAAATTTAAAATCAGTTTATTCTTGATTGAAATGAGTTAGTCCGCTCGCCATCGAAGCCAGGAATACAAAGTTCACACCGGCCAAGTAGACGAAGTAGCCTTCATCGTATGTCACATCCGAATGCCTGCTTATCACTGCTCGGAGTTCTTCTGAAAAGAAGCTAGATCAGGCTTTGACAAGGGAAGCTTAGGTTTGTAAAGACCAAAAAATTCATTCCTTAGGCTTGTAGAATAAGGTTGATAAGGTAAGTTGGGCATGGTAAAAAAAGGCATGGTGGGGCAGGGTGGAATAAAGAAAGGCAGGGTAGAGCAAGAAAAGGTATATTAAGACAGAGTACTTTAGGGTAAGGTAGGGCAGGGTAGGGTAGGGTAGGGTAGGGTAGGGTTGGGTATGACAATTATAGGGTAGAGCAATTATAGGGCAGGGTAGAGGCGGAAACCTTACCATTATCATCCGAAAACTGGCTGTAAAACCAATACGTAGCCAGGTATCCTGTTATTGTAGCCAACAAATGAAACATGGCAGTGTAGAAGAAGCCCTTCCGACCAGTAAATAGACTAATCGTTCCCCAAATCAGCGATATCAACGCGAATACCACAGTTATAAAGGCAAATGATACCGTTAAAGAACGAAATTTACCAGCGAATATGCCCTTAAATTAATAGAATCGGATTTAAAGGTGTTTTGAAAGTGGAATTTGGTTGGAAGATTTGCAATGTAATTTGCACTGAAAATCTTCCACTGAACTTCCACTTTTAAAATGTGTCAAAAATGTGTTTTTAGACCATTTTAAGTGATTTTAAAAAATGGAAGTTGAGTGGAAGATTTTCAGTGCAAAATACATTACAAATCTTCCTCTAAACTTCCACTTTTTATAAACTTCATAACTTTGTTCCTAGAATAAAAAATTATTCGAAAATTGGCTCCGAGGTAAAGCATGATCAAAACTTTCTTTAAAAATCAAAAACTGGCAAGAACTTTCTTTACAGAACACAAAATGGCAAGAACTTTCTTTCCAAACCATAATATAAAATAATATAATAAAAATATAAAAAAAACTTTATTTCCAAAACAAAAACCTACATCAGCAGACGAGAAACACATGTTCGTCAGTCCAGGAACGTCGTTGTCGGTGGTGCAAACATACGAAAACAGTCCAGCATAGCCGAATCTCTTGATGTAAACCCATTTCGGCCAAAACAATCCCACCAACATCGCGCCCAAGCCCAATATAGTCAGTATGAAGTAGAGTACGATCAGTATAATATTAAGAACATGGGAAATGGCCGGCTTTTCAGTTCCGGAATCAGTTGTAGACATCAGTTAGAACGACCAGTCGAGAAAATTTAAAAAATAGTTCGAACTTTCATTTTTTCAAAGGATTTTGAGTTGGAAAGAAAGTTTTTGCTAGTTTTTAGCAGTTTTAAAATGAGGAATAACTTCATCTACAATATTTTGTCCATCGTCAAGTTATTTTTCTATTTTTTCGATAATAATGATGTGTTTTCTAGACGAAGCGACAAGTTTTCTGGATTTATCGCTTTTTCCTTGAAAAAATCGAAAAAATTCAAGAGTTCCTGCCATTTTTAACAAACCTAGACATATTTTTATTATCACTACCTTTGTACATATCTTTTCATCTACTTTTACTTTCTACACTACATCAATTCACCCAGGAACATCAATATTTTCACCATCAACTCCTTCGCACCTTGGACAATATACGTATTCCAATGTAAGTCCCCAAACTAATGTCCTTGTGTTTGTTGAACATGTTACCTAATTTACGCGACCTTGACTCGGTTTTTGGCAAGTGAATCAGCTGGCTATTGTGTTTAGGATCATGGTTATGCAATCCCGAACCGGTTTGCATATTATTTTAGGTATTGGTGATGGAGAATCGGTGTTTTGGTGGGTATTTTATGTGTTTTCTTCTGGTTTTAGGTATTAAAAGGTGCTCTGGAGATTGGATAAGGTTTTTTGTGAGGTTTTGGAGGGATTTGGGGCTTGGGGTGTTGTTTATGGCCGTTATTGTGATTAGCTTATGCATTGAGGTAGAAGTTGATGTTGTGAGTGATTTCTTGCTGAAAATTGTTGATTACTAAGTGGAATGGTTAACAATAACAAAACTGGACTAAAAGGCTTTTTAATAAGTGTAAAATTATAAGGTTTAGGCACTTGGCAGCTACGAGAAAGATGTTATTCATCTGCATGTTTGTATAGGTGGTTGTTAATATATAATTGGTCATAACTCTTTCCAAACCTATTCGTTTGAATTCACTTTTAATCCAGAAGTTAAAATAGCTCTTTTTTAATCTTCTACAATAAAAATTTTAGGTAATAAAAACTTTTTTAGCAGTTTAGATCAAAAACAATCGATCGATAACCTGATATTGGCCATTTTCGTTACCCAAAAGGTGACGTTCCAATGTTTTTGAATAAAACTTGTGTTCCTCGTTTTTTTGGCCATTCTTCTTTGACTGACAGGAACGTCGCGTCGCTTTCCGTTTCCTGTGTCCGCGCGGCGGCGATTCGAACGTTTAATGGGCGTTTATAATGAGCTGGATGTCTAAATACTCCAAAACGACCAGTTTTCAATGTTTTACTGGATGTTTTGACCTTGAGGGTTATGTTCAGTGGACTTTTAAGGTCTAGTTTGGGATAAGAATGTTGGTATGATGTTTGATTAATGTAGATCAAGGGAAAGCTGATGTTATAGTAACTGTCTGATGTTGTACTTGGCCAGTTTGATTGCTTTTCATAGGGAAAAGGGGAAATAAGCAACAAAGAGGACTGTAATGTTAAAACAAAGGTGGGAAGGGCATTTTTGCGTCTTATCTGATCTTGTTTTAGTGAGTTTTTGATCGTTTTCCGGTCAATTTTTTACAAAAATTTGCCATTTTAAAAAACTTTTAATTTAATTTTTAATCAAAATGCTAGAGGGTTACATTTTAAAGTCGTCAAAGAATATACGGTGAGTTGTGAATTTTTTGATTATTTTTTGTTACCTAAAATATTAAAATTAATTTCTACCCAAATGCTTTAATATGCATAATCTCAAGTGTGAATTAGAATAACCATATCTTCGCTAGACTCCCAGCTCTATGTTTTCGTTGAGGGTGCCAGTGGAACGTCGCTTATGTTTCAATTTGGGGACGAAATGGGGGCGGAGCCGCCGAGTTAAGTGCGCGTCCTTTTTGGCACGATTAAGCGAGGCCAGGGCCTGGCCCGCGAATCGCATGTCTGGGTCACCTGGTGATTTGAGTGACAATGGTATTTGAATTAAAATTTTGGTGGGAAATTTGAACTATTGTTGTGGGATTTCGAATTTTGGGGCTTTTAAATGTGTTAAAGGGGGCTATGATTTTTGATCGTATTTTAGAAATTTGAAAATGAAAATGGGTAAATTTGGGCTTAAATTGAAGAAAAGATAGTAGGTTAGCTATATGTAACAGGAATCGTAAGAACTTGCTCAGATCTAACTAGTGACACTTATTTTTTCAACAAGGATTATCAAGCCTTGATGGATAATATAAATCTAATCTACCTACAACAATATTTATCAAAATCGACCGGTAATATATTCACAAATTAATATAAATCACCAACACCCCATTTCTCTGATGAATAATATAATATTCCACTATAAATGTAAAAGATCATATTACGCAACGTTTGTGACTTACATGTAGGTTCGCAATGACGTCGTTTTTATATTAGCCAAGTGTTATTTACCTCGAAAAGGGTTGACAATAAGAAAAGGTTGTTTATATAAAACTCGGGTTCGCATCTGTCCTAGGGTAATATAAACACTCGCACTGGTTGTAACAGGTAATGCATTGAAGAGAATTGGCATCAGATACTGTTTTGAGATATTATAGAAGATATTAAAAGTGGCTAGGTAGTTTTTTTTTGAAGGCATGGGCAGGTGGGATCAAAAAATGTTATGGTTAACATAAATTTTTGGGGATTTTTTGTTATTTTTTATCTTTTTCTTGGTTTTTGAAGTTTAGTTTAGTTTGAAATTGATGTTTTTGAAATCCACGGTTTCTTTTACATCTATAAGAATCAGTTTTGTGAAAGTCACAGTAGTCAAAACTACTACAATATCTGGTTTTCTATATTGCACTAGGTAACATTTTTCAAATTTTAATTGGAAAATGTTAGAATTGTGATTGATACTAACCTTCCTGCTATTTTAATTAGTATTTTGATAGATAATAACCTTGTATGCCATTTTAAGTAGAGTGTCGATTTAAATAAGCCAACAAAGGGGCTAGTAGAACATGGCAGGTGCATACACATGTTCGTATGTTCCTTGACATTTGCACTAATTAAAGCTGCGCTTCGAACATGAACGCTAATTAGGACAAGATTTTTGATGAATTTTGCTTCTTGTGATAGACGTTTGAGGTTATTCTGCATTGCTTTGAGGCTGTTTTTCTTGATTCTTCTTTACTTTGATGTTGTTCTTCCTGATTTTGCTTTACTTTAAGGCTGATGTTCTTAATGTTCTTTTACTTTGAAGCCATTTTTTCTTGTCCTTGAGCATATATAGTTAATATTAAAATCCTACTTGATAAAAAATTTAAAAAAATGTATTTTTAGATCAGTTTTGATCTAAAACAACATTTCTTGACCAATAGCTGCCATTGTTTATTCAAAAGGTGAAGATTTTATTTATTCTCGGCATTTCTCCGCCGTTCTTTTGGTCATTGTTATTGTGTTTATTCTTGGTTCCGGACCGATCAGGAACTGTCACTTTGTGAGGTTTTTAGAGCTGTTCAAATATGGGTGGACAAACAGGGGTTTTAGGCTTATTTTGGCTTGATTTAGGCTTGTTTAGGCTTATATTGATATGATTTAGGCTTGTTTTTGTTTTATTCAGGTTTATTGTTTGCTTTAGGCTTACCTTGGCTTGATCTAGGCTTATTTTGCCTTGATCTAGACTTTTTTTGGCTTTATTTAGGCTTTTTGGCTTGATTTAGGTTTATTTTGGCGTGATTTAGGCTTATTTAGGATTGATTTGTGATTACATTGGCTTCGTTCAAGCTTACTTTGGCTTGACTTAGGCTTATATAGGCTTCGGGTGGGCTTATTTTTGCTTGATCTAGGCTGATTTTGGCTTGATGTAGACTTATTTTGGCTTGGTTTAGGCTTATGTTGGCTTACCTTATCTTTATGTAGCTTGTCCTTCTCCTAGCTAAGTCTCTGAGCGCAGGGTAGGATAAGCTAGGATACGGTAGGATTTAGTACCGCAATATACCTTGACATTGATTTTTTATAGACAAAATAAGCCTAAATGAACTTTAGAGCTTAAACCACTTATACCATTCATCTTCGGTTTTAAATTTTTAATTTATGACCAACCCTCGAAATTGTCGCACTATTGTCCAAGTGCCAAACCCATTGGTTTGGCGATCGTATTTCACTTGCGCTTTCCCTCTCTTTACCAGTCCACTTGTGCCCCCTTTCTTCGCATCCACCCCAAATAACTGACCACTCATTACCTCACCGTGTAACTCGTTGTGAGAGCGTCGGCGGAGGGGGTAGGGGCGCGTTATGAACAGGCACTGGCTTTTTAAATCCCGATTGCCCCACTGCTGGAATGCGACGACGCTGCGGGATTTTATGAACAACGCTTGTGCCTTTTGGTGGGACCTATCTATGGGTTCCATGATGCCCGATAACTTGACTTTTGGGGGTAACTGAGGTTGTTGTTGGGTTGTTTGACTGGGGTTGATGGGGTGTTTAACTGGGGTTGATGGGGGTATATTTCACTGATGTTTGGCTGATAAGAGAAGGGGAGGCATTTTTGGTTGATATGGAGGGTTAGGGTAGGGAAGATCTTACTTTTTAAGACTACTGTAGTCGGGTTTTGAAGAGATTGGATTTTTTGGAAGGTCTGAGCCAAAAAAAAGTAATACACTGGAACTCTTCTATAAGAACTCCTCTATAACAAACTCCTCAATAACGAACTTTTCTATAACGAACTACTCTATAATGAAACTTCTCTGTAACGAAACTTCTCTATAACAGACTATTCTATAACAAGCTCCTCTATAACGAAACTCCTGTATAACGAATTGCTTGGGGATTTAAAAGTAGTTCGTTATACAGGAGTTTTGTTATAGAGGTGTTTGTTGTGGAAGAGTTTATTATAGAATAGTTTTGGTATAGACGAGTTTGTTATAGAGTAGATTGTTATAGACGAGTTCGTTACAGAGAAGTTTGTTGTAGATGAGTCCGTTATAGTGGGGTTTGTTATAGAGGAGTTTTACTGTATTGTCATACCTACCTACTGATAGTCAATAACAATTTGTCGTGATATATTACTTTAGAAATTGTTTCAATTTCTACTTTGAAGTTTTCAATAATAACAAAAGCACTATTTTTAAACCTACAGTAGTAGAATTTAAAAATATTGGAATTCTGTGAAGATATCAGCTAAAAACAGTATATTATCCTACTCTCTTACAATTAATGGCAGTTCAACATTTCTTTTTCAAACTTTAAAAAATGCCATAACTTTTCAAAGCATATGCCAAAACCAAACTAACCTCAGCGACTTCCTAGAATCCGAACCGCATCCCGAACTTTTTACAGCTTTTTATAGATCATTGAGCAGTAAAAATAGCCAAGTCGTACGGTAATGGGTATTGCTCGGGCTCAATACCGGTGTTATGGCTAGGTTTATGACTTTCTTATTGTCTTCTTTTACTATGTAAGTTAGAGATGGGATTCTGGAGGGATTTTAAGTTGATTTTTTTTGGAAATTTTGAGCGTTTGGTTACTGTAATTTGAAATTTTTGTTGGAAGTGAGGGAAATTTGGGGATTTTTGAGGTTCTTGGCGACTTTAATGCCGTTTTTAAAAGTTACTGGAGGTAGTATGGCTATGATATGTATATTCTAAGATTTTCGAAGGTTTTGTCAGTGATTCTGGTTGAATTTCAATTCATTATATTACCATAAATTACCGTAGCGACGTTTCAAAAATTTTTCACACGCGGTTTTCCGCCAAAAAACAAAAGTTTTCTTTCATTTTTTGACTTTTTCTTTGTCCCACAAGTGTTTTTTGTTGCCGAAATTAAATTCACCGTGAATGGGTAATGTTTCCGGCGGTGCTCACCCCTTCCCTCTACCTCTAGTTGACTCATAAATATGGAAAAAGCGCCAAAAAGGCCGGGCCTTAATTGGTTCCGAACATTTTCGAAACACCTTTAAAATGCCTTTTGAGATGTGTTGTTCATTTAGTGATTCTTAACGATTTAAAGGCATGGCTGGTGTTGTGAGATCGAATAAAGGCAGGGTGGATAAGTTTAGGAGGAGATATAAGGAGATTTGTAAAAAATAATGGAATTTTTGGGAAAGTTGGGTGGTCAAGTGTAATATCGCTTAATTTACAAAGGTTTCATGGGTTTTTTGATAGTTTTTAGGTTTGTAAAATACGCTCCCTTACCTTGTAGTGTTAAATTTTTATTTATTTTGCTTTTAAATTTTTATAATTGACCAAATTTCTGTCGGAAAATAAGTTTTATGACATAGGAGGTCAATTGTAATATCACTTGATTTACATGGATTACAACGTTTTTAATAGGCTTTAGGATTGTAAAATAAGCGTTCCATACTTTTACAGTTAAAATTTTGTTTATTTCACTTTTAAATTTTAAAAATCAACCAAAATTTCAGACGGAAAATAAATTTTGTGACATAGGTGGTCAAGTGTAATATCGCTTGATTTACAAGTTTTTCACGGGCTGTTTGATAGGTTTTAGGTTTGTAAAATACGACGTTTACATTTTTGTTTTTAAAATTTTAGTTTCTTTTTTTTAAATAGACTAAAATTGCAGCTAAAAAATTAAGTTTTGCACAAAGGTGGTACTATAATATCGCCTTTTTTACTTGGGTTCCAACGGTTTTTAATAGGTTTTAAGCTTGTAAAATACGCAGCGCATGTTTTTAGAGTTAAAATTTTATTTATTTCGCTTCTGAATTTTTATAATTCACTAAAATTTTAGTCGAAAAATAAATTTTGTGACATTGGTGGTTAAGAGTAATATCGATTGATTTACAAGGGTTTCATGGGTTTTTTAGTAGGTCTTAGGTTTGTAAAATACGCGTTTTATATTTGTAAGGTAAAATTTTATTTGCTTCACCACCAAATTTTAAAAATCGGCCAAAATTTCAGTCGTAAATAAATTTTGTGACATAGGTGATCTAGTACAATATAAAGCTGGCAGCATGGACTTTAATGTTTGTTTTTGAAGTTTTTTGGCTTTTATAGTTAGAAAATAGAATGTAGAACGTTTTTTGTCACCAGGTTTTTAGCATTTTTGCGATTGTTCATTAGAAATCACGTGGTTTTCGCTATATATCAAGGATAATATAGGGAGGTCTAAAAAAATAAATAAAATTCTTTCAGAACATAATATCAGCAGATCAAACGTCCACCGGACGATAAACTACGAAGCAGCAAGATTCTGAACGCCACAATATACGACATGTGCGACTCGACCTTAGAGACAACCGGCTTCACCGATGGTCCTCCAACCCTCTTCCCCGCCGAACTAGAAGCCGGATTCGAGGAGGAAGAGAAGCCAAAGCCAAAAGAAACCACAATATATTACTATTGGGAACAGGATCCAAGTTTGTTCAGGACTACGATACCAGTAGCACCACACAAGCTGACATTGGCACATCTGAAGTGCGCACTGAACATGACCAATATCAAGTGTTTTATGATGAAAATGGATCCGAATGTCAAACAGTAAGTGGGTTTTGGGGTGTTTTAGATATTTTAATGAGGTTTTTAGACATTTTTAGGTAACAGAAGATTATGTTTTAGATTTTAAGCTGGGAAATATGGAGTTTTCTTATGTTTTAGTAATAAAATTGAGTTTTTATGGTTTTTTAGGTAACAAAAATTACTTTTTTTGCTATTTTAGATAACAAAACTTAATTTTTTAAAGTTTTAGGTAATATTTTTTCGTTTTGTACACTTTTAGGTAACAAAAATTCATTTTTCATTATTTTAGGTAACAAAACTCATTTTTTTCTATTTTCAGCAAAGTAAAAATGGACATTCAAGATGAAGACCAGATTCTGGAGCCGGATGAAGATGGCAACTTTATTTTTTATTTCATGAAGTTTGACGAAGACCTACAAGGAGGGACCTTAAGACGGAGTAAATACAAAAAACAGGCGGTAAGTTTGTGGTTTTTCGGTAAAAAACTTGATTTTTTATAATTTTAGGTAACAAAATTAAGGTTTTTTGAAATTTAGGTAATAAAATTGAATTTTTTTAAATTTAGGTAACAAAAATTTGATTTTTTTGTATTTTAAGTTTCAAAAATTGATTTTTTGCATTTTAGGTAACAAAAATTAATTACTTCAAATTTTAGCCAAAGCCAGTGATGGTACACCCGAAAAAACCAGCTCAAATAATCCGCCCACCCCAACCCAAACAATATCAGAATCCAGAAGTCATCTCGGACGATTCCTCCTCATACGACGATGATTCCGGTGACATTACCTCAATCTCACGCATCTCAGAACGTCGCCGTACCCGCCGACCCAGAAACCGCCGTGCCTGGAGTCCCAGCTTCATGAGCACGACCATGGAGACGGATGTCAGCGTGAGCGTGAATCTCTACACCGTGAGCTTGAATCCGATTCCAGAAGTGCCGTTCGGCTTGAACGTTGTGGTCCGCGAGAACGGTAAACAACAAACCCTCACGGTGGGATCGTTGGCTCCAGGAAGCTGTGTAGCTCTCGACGGTCGAATCCTACCAGGCCATATTATCATAGAAGTCAACAAAGAACCCTTGGCCGACTACACCGCCAAACAAGGCCTGAAGATCCTGACGGACGCTGTAGATCGAGCTACACGAACTCGAGGTCAAGTTCAGTTGACATTGGCTTCACCGATGGAGCTCCCGACCTATTTCCAGCCTCCAGACGAAAGTATCCACCCGATCGACACAGCCGCTTGGGTACAGTGCACCAATAGAGCCATTGGTCTGGACACAGAGAATCAGCACTACCGTGACTTTACTGAATCCTACAGCCAAGGATTCAAGGGCTACGGACGCGGCTTCGAGTTTGGTAAAGGAGAATATGGCAAAAATGATGCTGATTTCGGGAAACATGGTGCTGATTTTGCCAAAAATGGTGCAGATTTTATGAAAAATGGTCCAGAATTCAGCCGGCATCAGAATTCAGAATCCAAGTTCTACAGTATCGAGAACATGGACTTCAAACAACCCACCGGCACCTGGCCCTCGTCCGGCGTCGGCAGCTCGATCGTCAGCTCGAATCCGGAACGGTACGGCCTAGAAACGCCGGCTACAGTCATCGTACAAGCCATGCTCGATCCACGCCACGGCGTACCCAAAACCAACGATAATCAGCACCTCCTCAACATCAACAACGGCTTCCTAGGCCAACACATCATCAACTGGCTCTCGGACAACGTGAATGGTTTAGATGATTCGGAAACGTGCGCACGGTACGCCGAGAATCTGATCAATAACAAGTTCTTGGTACCTATCACAACATCGAAAAGCTTCAGTAGGCATGGGTTTTACACGGTCAACTTTGATTTACTGCCGAGGAATGGTCATAACACACTGAGGAGAGGGGTACTTCAGGAGATCAAGCCAGCCATGGACGATACGATCATGGACAGGAAGGGCAAGGGCTGCTTCTTCTTCTGCATGAAGAAGAACAAACGGAAGTAGACATTGTGAAGATTAATATCATACTGTATAGTACAATATTTTCCGATTGTTATCATACTGTAGAGTACGAAGTCTTTAAACTACTAGGGAATTGCACCAACTCTCCAAATGTCTCTCGAGATACAGTGACGTCGTTAGGGAAGGGGAGAGTGAATGGGGGTGGATTTTTTTGTAAAGAAAGTTCTTGCCATTTTTTGTTTTGGAAAGAAAGTTCTTGCCATCTTTTGTTTTGGAAAGAAAGTTCTTGTCATTTTTTGTTTTGTAAAGAAAGTTCTTGTCATTTTTTGTTTTGGAAAGAAAGTTTTTGCCATTTTTCACCTTGATACCAAATTTTGTGGATCCACCCCCCCCCCTCTCCCCTAGCCGTCGAAAAAAGACCTTTAGCGACCTCCCTGAATAGAGACAATTCTCTTCGCCGATTGATATCATCCTGTATAGTACGATCCTTTCAGATTTTAACTATTAGGTTGTTTAACTAATTCTGTGCCCCATTACAAAGCAAATTTTTTGAGGTAGAGGGTGCAGAATTATTTGAACTTATTAGGGGCTCAAAACTATTTGAAAGACCTAATAAAACGATTGTGAAATCTCATACTTTTGTTGTATTTTCAACTCTTTTTCTATATGAATTGACGGGTCAATTTAAAAAATTGTTCATACTAGGCCATTTTTTCGTATCTTCACACCGATTGTACAGTATTTCTTAGCTTTTTTGTTTGATTTTCGTAACCAAATAAACAAATATTGTAATAAGTGATAAGAAAGTTTTTTTTTATTTTTTTAATTTTTGAAGAAAGTTCTTGCCATTTCTTGTTTTGTATAGAAAGTTTTTATCATTTCTTGTTCTGGAAAGAAAGTTCTTGTAATTTTTTAAACCAGCTTAAGTATAACAATACAACAAACTTCCAAATCGACTATCAAAACCACAACAATAAGCCCTAACACAACATCGATTCATTTATTGAGATCGCTTACGATTGGGCGAGACGGCTGGGCTCTGCATGGGGCTGACATAATTGGGCATGGGTGATCGAGGCAGTTGTTCTTGGCTTAGGGCGCCTGGTGCTGGCAAGTACGCAACTGGTTGGGCGTATTGTGGATTGGCTGGTAGGGCTTGTGGCGAGTGGACCTGATTTGGGTTTGACTGGACTTGGACTGGTTGCTTATTTGGAGCATGGTTCGGTTGTTCATTCCAGTTTGTACTGGTTTGGGTACCACCTATAACAATATCATGTATGAGTACTGGAGCACCCTAAACCCAATGTAGCACCATTTTAATTCTCATCATAACACTTACCATTCTGTTTACTACTTGCTCCAATACTAGTATAAGAACCACTTGAACCGCTGCTACTAGGACCAGTACCACCTTGCAAGCCCCGTCCTCTCATGCCAATCACATTCAAGGTAGCCGGCTGTTTGTCCCCCTCCTCGAACATATTCTCGTAGCCGGCCTTCAGCGGGATCACCTTGCCCACCGTCTTCACATCGAACCCGTCCAGCTCGGTGACGAATGTGAGTACGAACAGGTAGAACGTGATCAACGCCGCCCATTCGATGCCATGATTCAGTACCAGCGTCTTGTCACGATCCATATACAGTGTCAGGGTCTGGTTGATATAGTTTGGATCTCGCATTGTCATGCCTATCGAGCCATTGTCCTCCTTCTTATGCAGCGGCTGGAAGGTCATACCTGCTCGGGCTGAAAGAAAATGCGATTTTAGTAAAGTATGGTAGGGTAATAAAGTTGAGGCAATTGTAGGCAGGTGCATTGCTATAGACCCGAGCCTAGGGTTAGGAGTCTAAGGCTCTGGGCTAGTGCTTTGGGCTAGGGCTTTGGGCTAGGGCTTTGGGGCTAGGGCTCTGGGCTAGAGTCTGGGCTAGGGCTATAAAAACTTACTGAGTAAAATGACAGTGAACATAAAAGCGATGACAACTCTCGAAATGATGACAGACTTGTAGTTTGGCTCCAACTTCGGTCGTAAGTTGAAGCAAATGACAATATAGCCCCATTGGTAGAACAAACCAGACATCAAGAACAAGCCATAGCCTCCTTTGTGTACTACTGTTACGTTGCTGTCCTAAAATTTTAAAATTTCAAAAAATTTTAAAAAATTCGAAAAATTTTAAATTTTTAAAAAGTTAAAAACAAACCTGAAAATTGGCTATGAAGACCAGTCCCACTCCAATCATTAGTCCAAAAAAGTTTTGAATGACCATGATAAGGGCCCATGTGCCGTTCATTGTCATAAACGTGTGGATGTGAACGCTCATCGTGGCGTAGACGAAGTATGCTGTGCATAGCCCTAAATAATGTCTATTATAAGCCTAAGCCAACATTAAAACAAACATAGTCACAAAATTTTTATTCAAAGCTATATCTACTCTAAAAAACCCCCAAAATCCAAAAATAAAGGCCCTGCAGCCTGCGAAACCCATGTTATACGATGATTCTTCATGATTCTCCTTTACCTTTTAAAACTGCCATTTTCTATATGATGTATCTCAAAAAATCGACTCTTTTCAATCTTGTTATATAAAATACAGTCCCTAACTTCATAAAACAGTCAAAAACCTACAAAAGAAAGCGGCGGTGTTGATGAAAAAACTGAAAAAACAGCGCTCGGGCGGGTAGTTTCCAATATCACTGAACGAGGGCAGATAATTGGTGGTGTGTCTACTGTGGAGGGTGAGGTAGAAGCTGAAAATCATTTTTATGCTTAAAAAAGCCTTAGAACATCCATTTTTGATAAAATATGAAAAACCGCAAAAAAAATTAAAACCCGCAAGAACTTTCTTTCCAGCTTTTTTCTGCCGCTTTTAATGCAATATAGATCGAAAAAAAGACTTTTAAGACTATTCTAAGGCTTATTAAGCCTAAACCAAGCCTAAAATGCCAATTTTTCATAAAATTTTAAAGACCGCAATAACTTTCTTTACAACCAAAAATTTTAAAATTTCAAAAAAAAATTAGAAAAAAAAATAAAACTCACGATCCAACCACAGCACAACAGAAGGCAATCGTACTCAGAACTGGAAAAACGTACGAATAAATGGAAAAAGTGGACAGTTCCGCGCCCCCTTTGGACTCATCTTCGTTGGGTACCGCGGTTGTTTCCGGCTGCTGAACCGACTGCACCGACATTCCTCTAGACAGTGTAAATGAATGAATGGCTTTTTGATTTTGGCTCGGTTCTGAGCTTGGAATTTTAAAATTTAAATTTTTTTTTAATTTATGCAAAATTTTTGAAATTTAAAATTTTTTTTTATTTTTTTTTTTTATTTTAAAAAAAAAACTCAAATTTTAAAACCTCAAAAACTTTTTATTCATCATCTTGTGTATTTTCAACCGGTCGTTCCGGACCTATATTGTTTTAGATAGCTAAAACCTTGGAAACAAATCATGAGCAAGCCAAAACCTGAGAAGCCAAAGCTTGATGTGAAGGATAAGGTACGTTGACATCAATCAATTGAGAAGGGTCTTTTTTAGCCCTAGCCCAGAGCCCAAGCTCAGAGCCCTAGCCCAGAGCCCTAGACCACAGCCCTAGCCCGGAGAATTAGCCCAGAGCCCTAGCCCAGGGCCCTAGCCCAAAGCCCTAGCCCAGAGCCCTAGTCCAGAGCCCTAGCCCAGAGCCCTAGCTCAGAGCATTTGCTCAGAGGTCTAGCCCAGAGGCCTAGTCCAGAGCTCCAGCTTTGATCACAGAGCCCCAGCTCTAGCCTATCCGACTCTATCATACCCTAAATTGCCTTGTCTTAACATAATCTACCTTTCCCTATCTGATTATAATCCTGTTTACTTTACTCTACCGTAGCTTGGCTTACTCTACTTTACTCTAGTACAGCATTCTAATTCTACCCTTGGTTTTCACTCCCCTACCTCTCTCAGAAAAAACTAGCTTTTACTCTGTTTCAGGAAGCAATTTCAAAATCAGCAAAAAAGAAGGAGCCGGCTCGAAAATCCACCATCAAAGCTCCAGACAGAAAGGTTATCAAGGTCGATAAGGCGGCGGTAAGTGCTAACTTAATTTTTTTAAATTTAAATTTTAAATTTTTTTTTGAAAATTGTAATTTTTTTAATAAAATATTTAAATTTTACAAAGAATTTTTTTAATTTTGAGTAATAACAATATATTTGACTGTTTTCAAGGCCAAAAAGGAAAAAGAAGAGAAATCAAAGCGACGAGCCCAGTGGCCTCCTTAGCTCAGCGGTAGAGCGTTGGACTTTTAATCCAACGGTCAGGGGTTCGATCCCCCTAGGTGGCTTGACACTTTTTGGTCTTTTTTCGACGTTTTAAAAATTTTTTGATTATAAAGTCGGCTGATGAAGTATTATATTAATCTAAAAAATACGTGTTTTGTTTAAAAAGGACAAGATTTTACGTTTTTTAAGAATTTTTTCTTCTAAAAAAATTGAGTTTAGGCCAAAAAACGTGGGTTTTTGCTCGAAAACGGAGTTTTTGAGTTGAGTTTGGCCGGTTTTAAGCTAATCTAAACCCTAATTTTCATTTTTTATCAACGCATTTTAAAAAGAAAACCTTTCAGCCAGAGGAAAAATCAAAAACCTCGGAAAAGAAAGTCAAACCAAAGCCGAGGAAGCCACCATCAAAGCCAGAAGACGATAAGAAGCCGGTCGATCCGAAGGAACAGTCCAAGTCCGACCCGAAGAAGAAGAAAAGTGGACCAAAAGATGACAAAAAAGGAAAAGATAAGAAGGACAAGGATAAGAAAGAGAAAGATAAAAAGGAAAAGGACAAAGACAAGAAGGAATCTCTCAGTCCCAAGCCCAGTACTACACTTGTCACGGACTTGAGGTCGGCCAAGAACAAGAATAAGGGACCTTTTGCGCCGTTGACTCCTCCCAATGCACTACCTATGGCGTAAGTAGTTGAATGCTTTGGGTTTGTTTTAGGGTAGACATGTAAAAAGACCAGGCCAGACCCAAATCTTCGACCAATCCGGGCCCAATTCTTCGGCCAAACCTAACTTTGGTTTAGGTCGGCCCTCTGGCTTATATAGTCCGTTTCCAAATGACTAGACCTGAAAGTGGATAGTTAAGCCAAAGCGAAGCTTAAAAGGATCTGGTGAGGCCGCGCCTAGACTTTTTTAAAGCTGTATTGGCCCGACCCATGAACCTTGGTTTGGACCTCTGCTCTCCGGCTCGGACAATCTAGCCCGGTCCTTTTTCAAATTTGTTCCGAGCCAGCTAGCCACAGCTCTAACCTAACTTTAGATCATCTCTACTCCGGCTCAAACCCAGCCCCAGCCCCAGCCCCAGCTCTAGCCCCAGCCCCAGCCCCAGCCCCAGCCCCAGCCCCAGCCCCAGCCCTAGCCCTAGCCCCAGCCCCAGCCCCAGCCCCAGCCCCCAGCCCCAGCCCCAGCCCCAGCCCCAGCCCCAGCCCCAGCCCCAGCCCCAGCCCCAGCCCCAGCCCCAGCCCCAGCCCCAGCCCCAGCCCAACCCAGACCAGCTCTAGCCTAGCTTGACCGCAGCCTTGCCTTAGCACAAGTCTACGTTCAAAGCATAAAATTTAAATTTTCAGAGACGACGAGAACACTCCCACTGAGTACGAAGCCGTGGCAGCACCGTATCGTCCCTTTGTTGCCAAAATCAGTACTCGCAAGATTGTCCTGGATCAGCCGGCTGAAGAGAAGACATTTGAACAACTGCTTCAAGAAGCCTACGAAAATGAAAAAACGGCCAACGAAGCGTCGATCGAAGAGGACAACAAGAAGTCAGCCTCATGTTACTTTAGTGTTCTTCCTGGCTATTATGTTGGACTATAAATAAACTTTTTCTAGATTTTTTGTATCCTGGGATTTGGAAAGAAAGTTTTTGCATTTTAGAATTTGTAAAGAATGTTTTTGCTATTTTTTATTTTGTAAAGAAAGTCCTTGCCATTTTGGGTTTTGTAAATAAAGTTCTTGCTATATTTTACATTTTTGTTTTCTGCAACCTGCAGACTTTGGGGCGCACATGAGGAAAAACATTTTTAGCGGAAAATAAAAAATGAAGGACTATACCTGAAAAACAGCTTTGTAAACTTGATTCTCCATCGTTTATCGTGATGTAAATTTGTATTTTAATAAAAATTTTATTTATCTTTTAGCTTTTAGTTGGATTTTTAGATAAAAACGCTGTTTTTTTCCAAAATTCGATCAAAAAACTCATTTCGCGACGCTTTTCCCCATATAACTTGATGTTCCTGCTTGTTATCGATCGTTTTTAATTAAATAAAGCTTTGTTACAGTTTCAATTTTTGATTTGTAGATGAACAAGACGTTGTACTATTGAATGCGAGGGAGTTTATCAGGTTTTGTTAACAGGTTAGAGCTATATTGGGTTAAGAGATCTCTACATCGACATATCTTCGCTCGTTTTGAGGTGTAAGTTTTTTTTTATGTTTTTTGAGGTTTAGGAAGTTCAAGATTGAGATGTTTGGGTAAAAACGATGGAGAAGGATCTAATTGGTTTAGTTTTGAAGAAACAGATCGAATGAATCTACGTTATTGCTCTGAAATATTGTTCAGAATGTTGACATAGACGGAAAGGTTTATATTGAACAGAAACTGAAATATTTAGTTTTTTCTTTACGTTTTAAGTGTTAAATTGCAATAATTTATGTTTTAGGCTCAAAATGCCGTTTTACGCGGTAGCCAAAGGCCGAAACGTTGGTATCTACAATTCGTGGGACGATTGTAAAGCCCAAGTTAATGGATTCTCTGGCCCTGTGTTTAAAAAGTTTAATTCTCAAGCAGAAGCTCAAGATTTCGTCGATTCGAAGAGATCTGCAGGTTCCAATGGGTATCAACGTCAATATCAAGGAAACTCAGGGATAGAGGTGGAGAGTAAGTTGATTTTGTTATTGTTTTTTGGTTTTAGGTACAAGGCAGCTTTTTCTTCAAAAAGGGGTCAAGAATTGGTAGTTTTAAGTCATTAGGTATCAAATAGAAAGTAAATTGTTAAATTTTAGGTAACAAAGTGAAATTTTTTGAATTTTAGGTAACAAAACCCCGTCAAATTCAATTACCAACTCAAAACCATCAACAGCTGGTTATAATACTAACAGAAGAGCCCTGTTTGGCAGTGCAAATGTGTCGAGAGGTCCATTTACGATACCTTCAAACCGAATGACTGTTCAAGAGCCATCTTCAAGTCAAAGCACTGAGAATGACAGAGGACCTGTGAGGAAACGGTTCCACCACCCGAATGGTGACTATGGAGGTGCTAAAAAGGCCAAATTTTCGTAAGTTCTATGCTTGTAAAGAAAATTTTTGCCTTTTTTGTATTGGAAAGAAAGTTCTTGCTATTTTTTGTTTTTTTAAGAAACTTTTTGCAATTTTCTGTTTTTTAAAGAAAGTTCTCGCCATTAAAAAAGCTTTTTTTTCAGAAACCCTCATTCAGATGCACCTACAGTATGGACAGATGGGGCATGTCGTGGAAATGGCAAGAAACGTGCTAGAGTAAGTTAATATGGCATTTTTGGTTTTGTAAAGAAAGTTCTTGCTATTTTTTGCTTTGTTAAGAAAGTTTTTGCCATTCTTTGCTTTGTAAAGTAAGTTCTTGTCATTTTGTAAAGAAATTTTTTGCCATTTTTTGTCTTGTAAAGAAAGTTCTTGCCATTTTACGTATAACAGACCAATTTTGTCTTTTTGCGGCCTGCGGGTTACATCTTATACGAAAGCTACCAAAAATAGCAAGAACGTTCCTTACAAGAAAAAAATGGCAAGAACTTTTTTTACAAATCAGAAGAGTTACAATTTCATTACTTAAACCTACTAAAATATCCTTTCAGGCAGGCTGGGGCGTGTTCTGGGGTGATGGTCATCAAGACAACAGTTGTGGCCCACTAATCGGCCAAGAACAAACCAATAACCGTGCCGAATACACGGCCGTCATCGAGGCTCTGAAGACGGCACAACGCAAAGGCTACGACAAGCTCAATATCAACACGGATTCGAACCTTCTAGTCAAGTCCATGACCGAATGGATGCCAAAATGGCGACGGAATGGCTGGAAAACAGCGGCCGGTGCACCAGTCAAGAACAAAGACTTGTTGGTGGCCATCAATGAGCTGTGCCAGAAGGTGAACACCCACTTCCAACATGTAGATGGCCATTGTGGCATTCACGGCAACGAAATGGCCGATCGACTGGCCTGTCGAGGCGCTGACGAACGACAGGACTTGTAATAGTATTAAATGGTTTATGTTGTACATTAAAACTCGAAATACACTGAATTTGAAAGCTTGAAGGAAAAACGGCAGGAACTTTGTTTACGAAACAAAAAATGGCAAGAACTTTGTTTATAACACCTCTAAATGTAAAATTTTGAAGATTAGTGATCCTAAAGTAGTTTAAAACAAGTGGAAGCTCAGTGGAAGATTTGTAATGTAATTTGCATTGAAAATCTTCCACGCAACTTCCACTTTCAAAATGTCTTAAAATGACCTAAAAACATGTTTTTAACACTTTTTAAAACTGGAACTTTTTGGAAGATTTTCAGTGAAAAATACATTACAATTCTTCCACTTAACTTCCATTTTTTAACAACGAATTTTTCACAAAAAATTAGTTTATTTCCAGTAGCTGTGTATGACTATGACAAAATAATGTATACAGAACCCATAGACAGTATGTACATCGTCTTCAGTGAGGCATGCCTTCTAATTTAGCTATCAAAGCTTCGGCATCTTCCTTGGCCTTCTGGTCCTCCCGACTGGTCGATGCTTCCAGCCCAGCGGATTCGGCCAAAGGTGCTTTGCCCAATTCCCCGGCGGTGACTTCCCACAATATTTTATCAACCTCGATTTGGGCCTTCTCGTCCAAATCCTCGGGTTCAATGGCTTCCATCGTATCTTCGATCATCTCCTCCATAATGCCGGCGGCTGTGAGTTCGCGCGACATGTCGCGCATCGTCGCCATTATTTCCGGTACTTTGACTAGTTGTTGCATCTTCTTCATAACCTCAGTGGATTGACCAATGGCGCCAGCCATTCGAATCGTGCTAAGTTGGTGCTGCATCGTCATTATGATCGAATTTATCTGGGTTGCTGACATGTGAAGTCGATTTACTGTCTAAAATGAGGTTTATTAGATGGTTTCTTCATTTAGCGTAAAATTTAATACCTGAAGACAAAATAAAGACAAAAAATACATAGATTTCGCTATAAAAACAATATTAATCATAGCATTAATAAAACCTCTCAGAAATGATAATAATACCTGACCAACATATCTAAAAGTAGCTTTTAAATCTTCAGAGCAAACACCTCTAACTATTATAATGCAAGAAACTCCAAGTTATTGCCCACGGTTCAAGAAAATTGCAAAAGAATATTAACCATGATGTTTTGCTATACCATCGGCGAAAACTCTCCGTATTACTGACAAGATCTAACCGAGCCTTCCGAAACCTTTTATAAAACCTTTCTAACTTTCTTCTAAACCTTTTAAAACCTCACCTTTCTGGATTGTATCATTCCTTTGGCCAGAATCATGCAAACATCCTTATCTCCCTTCTTGGCGGCTTCTTTGATCTGTCGTTTAACCTAAAAGCCAAATAAACCAGCAAAACCCGACTTACTTTGTTCTCCTCAATCTCGATTCGATGAATTTGACGTTTAATCGAGCTGATTTCATGCCTCATCTTCTTCTGCAGCTCCCGCACCTTCTCCTTGGGGTCTTTTTTGGTCTGCCCAAATATTCCCATGATCTTTGAGGACGCAATTTTGGAAAAGTCAATGAAAAAGCAGAATAATCAAATAATTTAGAGACAAAAGATTAAAATTTCGATGGAGGACAAGTAAATACGGCTAGATTGACGATAAATATTTGTCGAAACCGCCGAATTTCCGGGAGAAAAACAATTTTTCGAAAGAAAAATAAATATGAGTCAACTGGTGCGGGATGCCAAAAAGCGGCAAAAATGCGGGAAGAGATGAATTTTAAAAGATCAAATTGTGAAAATATAAATGAAAAAATGTTAAACTTTAATATTTTTAACACTATAAATTTAAAGTAACACGTTTTTTCGTACTTTTTTAAGAAAAAAACCATAAAATAAGGCCAAAAACGAAGTTTTCTTTAAACTTTTCAAATTTTTGTTACCTAAACCAGCTCGGATTTTTATGAAAATTTGAGTGAAGGGGGATAAAAGTATGGGTAACACATATATAATGCAAAGAGGTTTCTTTTCTAATCGCAAATATATGAAAAATGCTGTATTACGCCACCAATTTCAGCCAATTTTCGAAAAATCACTTCCAGAATAGGGTAGTAAAAATCAAAAAATACTGCCAAAACAAAATAGATAGGTTTATTTACATACAAAAACAAATTTCGTCATATAATGACAATTTCTCTCATTGGTGGTGACGTTCATGTTTTGGTTTCAAACACGGAGCAACAAAGTTGAAAAGAGCGGCCATAATCAACAATCCAGCAGCAGCGGCGGTGGCAAAGAAGCTTGTGCCAAAGTAATTCTCAGTGCCTACTTGGTCTTTCACACCTGAGGCTTTAAAATAAAAATAGCCCTTACTATAAGTAAGTTGTTCCTTGAACTGTTCCGGATCCATAAAAGTCTTCAAAAACCATCCAAAAGCCGTGCCAACAGCAGCAGCACTGATCAAGTTGAAGATGCCCCCAAACATGAAAAGAAAACCACCAGCCGTGCACAAGCCAAAAGCCGCCATTACCACACTCAGAACTGCCATTCCACCGCCGCCACAAAAGATATAGAACGAGATTTGGATGTCGGTGGTTGTGAAACTGCCATCCGCTGCTTGATCAACATTCTCGTTCTTAATCGCCTGAAAAGTGTGATCTTTGACGACATTTCTTATATAACACAATGAAAATGGGCCCAAAATGGAAGGAACTTTCTTTACAAACTAAAAAATTTCAAAAAGTTTAGTTTCAAAAGTAAAAACAACACTTTTTTTAAAGTGGAAGTTGAGTGGAAGATTTGTAATGTAATTTCCACTGAAAATCTTCCACTCAACTTCCACTTTTAAAACATCTTAAAATGGCTTAAAAACACGTTTTTAACACTTTTTAAAAGTGGAATTTGGTGGAAGATTTTTAGTGCAAAATATATTACAAATCTTCCACGCAACTTCCACTTTTAAAAACCTCGGAAATGATGTTTTTAGGCTATTTCAAGACTTTTTAAAGTGGAAGTTCAGTGGAAGATTTTTAGTGGAATTTGCACTGAAAATCTTCTACGGAACTTCCATTTTTTTTAAATGTCATAAATTTGGATTTAGTAATAAAAGAGACTCAAAGTTTTAGAGTGTGATAAATGGCAAGATCATTAATTAAAAACTCCACCTACCAAACTCTTTTGCGTTCTCTTACAGAGTCTATCATCTTCCTCCAAACAAACGAATCCCTTTCGAATTGAGACATTCACACCATCCAGATTGTACCAATAAGGGGTTAGTACTGCAAAGACCAGTAGTGCTACAGCAGTACCACCAGCTGCACCAGCCACAAGACCAGAGATACAAGAACAACCACCCATTTCACTTGGCGAAGAGTAAAAATAGTTTTGAAAGGTTTCGAATTTTGGAATTTTTAAATTTCAAAAAAAATTTTAAAATTTCAAAAAAATTTTGAAGTTCAAAAAATTTCAAAAAATTTTAAAATTTCAAGGTTTTGCCATTTTGAAAAGTTTTAGCTGTGCAGAATAGCCGATTGTTCATGTACCTCAAGCATTGCGCGTGGTGTACAAAAATGGCGAACGAACTACGCCTACCATCGGGCCGGGCCGATGCAAAATTTAGGTCAGGCCGAGCCTGGAAATCCCGGAAAAACATGTCCCGGCCCGGAAAAGCCCGACCCGTTTCCACGGAAAAAATTTCGGCCGGACCGAGCCTGCGCAAAACTTAGATAGGGCCGGGCCCGGCCTGAGCAAAACTTAGATCGGGCCGAGCCTGAAAATCGGGCTCGGCCCAACCCGTTCCCTATGTCTAATGGTGTAGCGGGTAGTGCGGCTGTTGTACTATTGGTCTTGACGGTACTAACCCCCTAGAGTAATAAGTTCGGGTTCTGGACTAGGGCTCTGGGCTAGGGCTTTGGGCTAGAGATTAAAAATGCACATTTAACTGAAAAAACTATGCCGTTTCAACCGTGTTGGTGTGGCCCGGCTGATGGCTTGGGACACTTGGCGACGAAGTTTAAAACAGCCACTACAACCAGCCATCCAATGGCTATCGCGGTCATAAAGAAACCGTATCCAAAGTAGTTTTCGGAGCCGGCTTTGTGTCCTAAGTCGGTGTAATCTGAAATTTTAAAATCTTAAAATAAAAAAAAATTTTTTTGATTCAAAAAAAATTTTGTATTTATTTTATTTTTTATTTTTATAAGGCTTATGTGGACCTATTTTAGTTAAAAATGCCCATTTTTTCTAGTAGAGGCCTTCCTGCAGCCTGCGGAGCCATGTTATACGATCAAACATGTCCCTTATTTCCAAATTTTTTAAAATTAAACAATACAGTTACTAGAGACCCCATACATCACTATACTATTCTAGAACACCCATTTTTTCTAGTAAAAGCCCTTCTGCAGTCTGCGAAGTCATGTTAAACGATCAAACATGTCCCTTTTTGAACTTGCAAAATTCCAATTTCTCCAAAATTCGAAACTTTTAAAAACCATTTTTACTCCTCGCCAAGCGAAATGAATGGTTGCTCTTGTATCTCCAGTCTAATGGGTGGTGGAGCAGGTGGTACTGCTATGGCACTATTGGTCTTCGCACTACTAACCCCTTATTGGTACAACCTGGAAGGTGTGAATGTCTCAATTCGAAAGGGGTTCGTTTGTTTGGAGGAAGATAGTGTAATTTGCAAAACGGCGCAAAAACGACTGGTATGTTCGAAATTTTTCGTTATATTTTTGGTTTGTAAAAAAAATTTTTGCCATTTTTTTGAGTTGTAAAGAAAGTTCTTTACATTTTCTCTCACAAAACTAAATTTTGTGTTATTATTACTTCTGAAAGCCACGATATGACTTTTTAAAAAAATAGAAGTTGAGTGGAAGATTTTCAGTGCAAAATACACTAAAAATCTTCCACCATACTTCCATTTTGAAAAAGTCTTAAAATGACATAAATACATCATTTTTGACGTTTTGACAAGTGAAGTGAAGGTTGGGTGGAAGATTTGTAATGTGTTTTGCACTGAAAATCTTCCACCAAACTTCCACTTTTAAAAAATGTTAAAAACGTGTTTTTAGACCATTTTAAGACATTTTGAAAGTGGAAGTTGAGTGGAAAATTTTCAGTGCAAATTACATTACAAATCTTCCATTCAATTTCCACTTTATAGAAAGTGTAGTATTGTCTTTTGCAAATGGTTTTTTTTGACATTTTTTGGTTTGTAAAGAAATTTTTTTCTATTTTTTGTTTTGTATAGAAAATTTTTTTTATTTTAAGTCATATTTCGATGTGTTACACATGAAAATGTCATCAAATGTCATCATTTTCAGGCCAAGAAGTTCGACAATGCTGAGCAAAAAGGCGATGGCAGTTTTAGCACGAGCGGCATCAAAACCTCATTCTACATCTTCTGTGCTGGTGCAGGAATGGCTGTACTGAGTGTGGTTGTGGCCTTAATCGGTTTGTTTGTCCAAAGTGGCCTACTACTGATCGTTGGTGCCTTCCTCAACTTCCTTGCCGCTGGAGGTGTTGGCACATCTTTTGGGTGGTTTTTGAATACTTTTATTGATCCTCAGAAGTTGACTGACAAGCTTATTACAAGTAAGAATTCTTTTTGAGTTTTTTTTGCTTGTTTTTAAGCTTTAAAATGCGGTTTTTTTGTTAAATTCGGGCATGTTCGATCGTATAACATGACTCCGCAGCCTGCAGAATAAGTTTTGTTAGAAAAAATGGGTGTTTTAGAATAGTGGTGTGATGTATGGGTCTCTATTAACTTTCTTGCAAAATTTTAAAAAATTTGGAAATAAGGTACATGTATTATCGTATAACATGTCTCCGCAGCCTGCAGAAGGGCTTTTTTTAAAAAAGCACGGGCGTTTTGGCCAAAAGTAGGTTTATATAATAATAATATAACTAAAATTAAATTTTTTTTTATTGAAAGTTTTATGTTAACTTTTTTTTTTTTAATTTCAGATGCCAGCCATGTGAAAGAGCAAATGGACTCTGGAAACTTCTTTGGAACTAGCTTCTTTGCCACCGCTGGAGCTGCTGGACTGCTAATTGTAGCCGCTATTTTCAATATTATTGCTAATTTGGCCACACCATCAGCCGAGCCACGCCGTAGATAAGGGGAAATGCCATTATTTGATAACATAACATGTTATAACATTGTTTTTAGCTGTAGAATAAACTTTTTTGTATTAAAATCATCTTTTTCCTACCCTACCCTACCCTACCCTACCCTACCCTACCCTACCCTACCCTACCCTACCCTACCCTACCCTACCCTACCCTACCCTACCCTACCCTACCCTACCCTACCCTACCCTACCCTACCCTACCCTACCCTACCCTACCCTACCCTACCCTACCCTACCCTACCCTACCCTACCCTACCCTACCCTACCCTACCCTACCCTACCCTACCCTACCCTACCCTACCCTACCTTACCCTACCCTACCCTACCCTAACCTACCCTACCCTACCCTACCCTACCTTACCCTACCCTATCCTACCCTACCTTTCCCTACCCTACAGTCCTACAGTACTCTGCCCTAATATACCTTTCCCTGCTCTACATTGCCATGCCCTAGACTGGTCACACCCTACCCTTGCCATGCCCTGTCTTTGCTATGCCCTACCTTTGCTAAACCTCCGCCCCCCTTGTCGTACCCTACCCTTGTCATACCTACCTTTGTCACAACTTACCCTTGCCATGCTCTACCTTTGTCATAACATACGCTACCTTTGTCATACCCTACCTTTGCTAAACCCTATCTTTACCATACCCTACCCTCCTTTTATCCTACCTTTGCCATACCCTACTCTTGTTATACTTAAGTCATAAGTTATTATTACCATACTCATAGTTTCTTTACTATGTCTTACCTTACACTTTCTCACTTTACCGTACCCTTGCAAGGCCTTCCTCTACCGTACACTATTTCAAAAAATTTTTTTTTTTAATTTTTAAAATTTTAAAATTTAAAAAAAGTCAAAATTTTGTTCATTTCATATTCTTCTGTTAGTAATGGATGGTGGATGGGTGCTGAAAACGTTAGGGATTTTGTTGGCTATAACCGCACTTTGCGCCCTATGTTACGCGACATTGTCGAGTCCGTGGTATCATATTAACAGGATGAAGTTGTCGCTGGTGTACGGATTCTGGTGCGATGATAACGACATTGCCTGTAGCTTGAATTTACTTTTTTTAGTAAGATTTTTAAATTTTTATTAGTAAAGAAAGTTCTTGCTGTTTTTGTATTGAAAAGAAAGTTCTTGCCATTTTTTGTTTTGTAAAGCAAGTTTTTACCATTTTTTGTTTTGTAAAGAAAGTTTTTGCGATTTTTGTTACCTTTCGTATAACATGTCACCCGCAGCCTGCAGAACGCTTTGTGGCACAAAATAAGCTTTGTAAAGAAAGTTCTCTCCGTTTTTGTTATCTTTCGTATAAAATGTCACCCGCATTTTGCAAAAAAGACAAAATTGGATTGTTTGACGTAAAAATGGCAAGAACTTTCGTTACAAGTAAAAAAATGACAAGAACTTTCTTTAAAAAACAAAAAATAGCAAGAACTTTCGGCGCTACTCTGTTTAAAGGTCCCACGCCACCCAATAAAAGGTCCCAATTTTTGACCCAATAGAAGGTCCCAAAATTTTAATTTTATGAGAACCGAAAATCGGTTTTATTGGTTGTTTCATTCTTATTTTTTGCAAAGACCATGGATGGTCGTGTCATTATTGTTGGTCCGTGACCATGTCTTGACGTAGGTTTTGCCTGAGACAATCAATGTCTGATGAATGGTTCTCCTGAGAAACACTTGCCGATGATGGATCCCCCCACTTGATCGTATCTCACAAAAATGCTTACACGGTAAGTATAGTTCTTTACATATTGGTTCAAACTTTTTAGTAGTGGTCCCACTTCTTAGATATGGGTCCACTTCTTTGATATGGGTCCCACTTCTTAGATATGGGTCCCACTTCTTAGATATGGGTCCCACTTCTTAGATATGGGTCCCACTTCTTAGATATGGATCCAAACTTCTTAGAATATTGATGTCAATTTACTTTTTCGAAACCGTTTTCAGGTACAGCAACCGCGATTCGATTTCGCGATTTTTTTACAATGAAATTTGTAAAAAAATGCAATTTAAGTGAATAAAATTTGCATGGGACCTTCAAATGGGTCATGGGACCCTATAATGGGGTGGGACCTTTAAACTGAGTAGCCCCGAACTTTCTTTACCAACTCAAAAATAGCAAGAACTTTCTTTACAAACCTAACAATGCCATTTTCAGATAGACCAATTCGAAAAACAAGAGAACAGTCTAATCCCAACCCAAATCTACATTACCTACCTTGCTATGTGCATTGCTTTGGCATTCGGCGGGGTTGCATTCATTTTGGTTTCGTTTGGAATCTGCACTTTTAGCCCAAAACTCTGCTTCTTTGGCGGAATTTGCAACATTTTAAGTGCAACGGCCGTCCTGGCATCAGTGGCCAACCTGCTCGCCTACTTTAAAGTTACGAACGCCGTAAGTAAGTTGGTTTCTTTCAAATTGATATTTAAAAAATTTGATGAGGTGGGGACAAAATACAATGAGCGTAAGGTAGAGTGGAGCACGACAAGGCGCGGCAGTGCAAGAGAGCAGGGAACGGCACGTCATTAAAAAGGCACGGCACAACAGAATAAGGCAGAGAAAGGCTGTGTGAGGTACGGTAGAATAGACCTGGGTACAATAGGGTACGGTAGGGTAAAATAACGTATGACAGTGCAGGGTAGGGTGGTGTACCGTACGGTACGGTAAGGTAGGGTAGGGTAGGGGTAGGGTAGGGTAGGGATAGGGTAGGGTAGGGTAGGGTAGGGTAGGGTAGGGTAGGGTAGGGTATGGTAGGGTAGGGTAGGGTAGGGTAGGGTAGGGTAGGGTAGGGTAGGGTAGGGTAGGGTAGGGTAGGGTAGGGTAGGGTAGGGTAGGGTAACGTAGAGGGCAGGGTTGGGTAGGGTCAAATCTAGTAGAAAAATCTTACAGTTGCCATTTTCAGACGCCACAGACACCCGCGATCCCATTCATGACAGTTTTGGAGTCAACTTCTGGATAGCCCTAAACGGAGCCGTTCTGATGATTTGCGCTGCCATTTGCAACATTTTTGTCAAATTTTCTACAAAAAATGAAAGCACTAAAGCTAGGAAATAAACCGTCTCTAATAAACTTCAGAATTTGTGTTGTTCGAAAAGCGCGGAGTCGAATCAAGATGCTTCCGAATAGCTAGCGGCGCCACAGTCACTGCGCTCAACGCACATTGGAGAGGGATTAAATAATGGGTAATGAAGAATAGAGGCTCGGGATAGGAATGTGAGAATGAAAATGTGGGGATAAGGATGTGGAGATTACGGTGAGGATTAGGGATGGGGATTTGGGGATGGGAATGTGGGGTTGAAGATTTGGGGATGTGGTAATGTGGAGATGTGAAGATGTAGGGATGTGGAGATAGGGATGTGGGGATGAGGATGTGAGGATGTGGACATGTCGGGATGTGAGGATTGGGATGAGGATATGGGGATTTGGGGATGTGGAGATGTGGGGATGTGGAGATGGGGATATGGGGATGTGGGGATGTAGGGATGTGGGGATGTGGAAATGTGGGGATGTGGTGGTGTGGAGATGGGGATATGGGGATGTGGAAATGTGGGGATGTAGGGATGTGGGGATGTGGAGATGTGGGGATGGGGATGTGGAAATGTGGGGATGTAGGGATGTGGGGATGAGGATGTGAGGATGTGGACATGTCGGGATGTGAGGATTGGGATGAGGATATGGGGATGTGGGGATGTGGAGATGGGGATATGGGGATGTGGGGATGTAGGGATGTGGAAATGTGGGGATGTGGTGGTGTGGAGATGGGGATGTGGAAATGTGGGGATGTAGGGATGTGGGGATGTGGAGATGTGGGGATGGGGATGTGGAAATGTGGGGATGTAGGGATGTGGGGATGTGGAGATGTGGGGATGGGGATGTGGAAATGTGGGGATGTAGGGATGTGGGGATGTGGTGGTGTGGAGATGGGGATGTGGAAATGTGGGGATGTAGGGATGTGGGGATGTGGAGATGTGGGGATGGCGATGTGGAAATGTGGGGATGTGGGGATGTGGGGATGTGGGGATGTGGAGATGGGGATATGGGGATGTGGAAATGTGGGGATGTAGGGATGTGGGGATGCGGGGATGTGGAGATGTAGTGGTGTGGAGATGGGTATGTGGAAATGTGGGGATGTAGGGATGTGGGGATGCGGGGATGTGGGGATGTGGGGATGTGGAGATGGGGATATGGGGATGTGGGGATGTGGGGATGTGGAGATGTGGAGATGGGGATATGGGGATGTGGAAATGTGGGGATGTAGGGATGTAGTGGTGTGGTGATGGGTATGTGGAAATGTGGGGATGTAGGGATGTGGGGATGTGGTGGTGTGGAGATGGGGATGTGGAAATGTGGGGATGTAGGGATGTGGGGATGTGGAGATGTGGGGATGGGGATGTGGAAATGTGGGGATGGGGATGTGGAAATGTGGGGATGTAGGGATGTAGTGGTGTGGAGATGGGTATGTGGAAATGTGGGGATGTAGGGATGTGGGGATGCGGGGATGTGGGGATGTGGGGACGTGGAGATGGGGATATGGGGATGTGGGGACGTGGGGATGTGGAGATGGGAATATGGGGATGTGGAAATGTGGGGACGTAGGGACGTGGAGATGCGGGGATGTGGGGATGTGGGGACGTGGAGATGCGGGGATGTGGGGATGTGGGGATGTGGAAATGTGGGGATGTGGGGATGTGGAGACGTGGGGATGGGGGATGTGGAAATGTGGGGATGGGGACGTGGAAATGTGGGGACGTAGGGACGTAGTGGTGTGGAGACGGGCATGTGGAAACGTGGGGATGTAGGGATGTGGGGATGCGGGGATGTGGGGATGTGGGGATGTGGAGATGGGGATATGGGGACGTGGGGACGTGGGGATGTGGAGATGGGAATATGGGGATGTGGAAACGTGGGGATGTAGGGACGTGGAGATGCGGGGACGTGGGGATGTGGGGACGTGGAGATGCGGGGATGTGGGGATGTGGGGGATGTGGAAACGTGGGGATGTGGGGACGTGGGGACGTGGAGATGTGGGGATGGGGATGTGGAAACGTGGGGACGTAGGGATGTGGGGATGTGGTGGTGTGGAGATGGGTATGTGGAAATGTGGGGATGTAGGGATGTGGGGATGCGGGGATGTGGGGATGTGGGGATGTGGAGATGGGGATATGGGGATGTGGGGATGTGGGGATGTGGAGATGGGAATATGGGGATGTGGAAATGTGGGGATGTAGGGATGTGGAGATGCGGGGATGTGGGGATGTGGGGATGTGGAGATGCGGGGATGTGGGGATGTGGGGATGTGGAAATGTGGGGATGTGGGGATGTGGGGATGTGGGGATGTGGAGATGTGGGGATGGGGATGTGGAAATGTGGGGATGTAGGGATGTGGGGATGTGGTGGTGTGGAGATGGGGATGTGGAAATGTGGGGATGTAGGGATGTGGGGATGTGGTGGTGTGGAGATGGGGATGTGGAAATGTGGGGATGCGGGGATGTAGGGATGTGGGGATGTGGTGGTGTGGAGATGGGGATGTGGAAATGTGGGGATGCGGGGATGTGGGGATGTGGGGATGTGGAGATGGGGATATGGGGATGTGGAAATGTGGAGATGTAGGGATGTGGGGATGCGGGGGATGTGGGGATGTGGGGATGTGGGGATGTGGAGATGGGGATATGGGGATGTGGAAATGCGGGGATGTGGGGATGTGGAGATGCGGGGATGTGGGGATGTGGGGATGTGGAGATGGGGATATGGGGATGTGGGGATGTGGGGATGTGGAGATGGGGATATGGGGATGTGGAAATGTGGGGATGTAGGGATGTAGTGGTGTGGAGATGGGTATGTGGAAATGTGGGGATGTAGGGATGTGGGGATGCGGGGATGTGGGGATGTGGAGATGCGGGGATGTGGGGATGTGGGGATGTGGGGATGTGGTGGTGTGGAGATGGGGATGTGGAAATGTGGGAATGTAGGGATGTGGGGATGTGGTGGTGTGGAGATGGGGATGTGGAAATGTGGGGATGTAGGGATGTGGGGATGTGGTGGTGTGGAGATAGGGATGTGGAAAGTTTTTTTTGTTTTACAAGGTTTTTGAAATAAAAAATTCCAATTTCTCAAGATTTTGAAATTGACCTTTTCCATGTTGCAATGCAATTGTCACTTCCAATTTTGTGGTCATTTCGTTTCCTTTCGTCGGACAAGATGGTCGGCTTTTGGAATAAAACGTCTGGTGCCTCATTGCTTTGGTTGATTTTAATCGTACGGCTTGGCACCGCTGTTCCTCGTGTTATTGAGGATCTTAACTACAGCAAGGATCACCTCAAGGACACGACTTGTGAAAACGACAATCCAGGTAAGACCTGTGTGGAATTGGAACTGGACGACTTCGGAACGTATTTTATGAACATGTTCCTCGTGCATGAGATTGCGTGGACGTTGGCCTCAACATTCAGTAAGTGAAAGATGCGAGTTTATGCTTTGCTCATTATTTTTTATGCTTGTCCGCGCAAGGCGGAGGTTAGACGCGTGGTCAGGTACCCTAGGCTAGAACCATTAGTACAGGGTGTCCAGAGAAATTTGAAAGAAAGTACAGGCTTCGTTCTCAAAAACTAAGCGTCTGATTGGCCTGATTCTTTTTTTGTTAAAGAGCCAATAGCGGGCGGTTTTGGTTTTGTACCATTTTTTACTGATTCGGCGGACGATCGGAGATAAATATAAATTGAGAATTTTGGCCTGAATTCTTCACAATGCCCTTTTCTAATAGATTCGGTTTCAGGTGTGAACGGTAGGGCTGAGGGGTTTTACCAAGAAGATACCGATGACAAAAGTAGGTTAAAATTTTCTGATTGGTTAAGGTAGGGTATAATAAACCTACTGGTTTGCCTTGTCTAATTAGGAATACTAAAGTTTTGAGCAAAGGAAGAAGAGAAAGTTATTTTAATTATTTTTCAAATTTACCTTTTTTCAGTAAATAAAGATGTTTATTATAAAGGAGGTTACCTACCGCCCCATGAAAACAATCCCTATTTTTTGCACATGGAATATGCACCCGACGACCGTCACGACACCTCTTCAGTATATGAGCCTGACGGTTTTGACACACTGAAATACGATGTAGTGGTAAGTCTTAGGCTACTGTGCATTTTTTGTAAATGCTGTGAAACTACAGAACTTTTCTGTACCCTTTTTTTTCTGTACCAACCCCCCCCCCTTCGAGCAATTTGTTATACAGGCGCTCTACTGTATTTGCTTTGAGAAAAGGTTACGATCAAAAAAGGTTGTTGTGGATTACATTGAACATGCTTAAGGGTTCAGCAAGTGTTCCGGGCGCTTGGTACGAAGGCCCTGTGTTCACCTACAAAGGCTACCTATTTATTGGTCAGTACAATTGGATCAAAAAAATTGAAGATTTGTACAAACATACAAAATTCACAAACCACTACCGTGAGCGTGTTTTGGCGTATGTTTTTAAAACTTAATTTTTGGTTTTTAAGAAACAAAAGACTGTAACTACGTTGAAATTGACCTTTTGATGTAACTATAATATTTACAGACGGGATGCTGCATTTGAATTTAAAAATCAGTACCCTAAGAAGTGGGAGGAACTAGTTAAATGCCGTGAAGTAAGTGTTTAAACATTAATAGTTAAAACTGTAGGATTATCGATTACGGTCAGGGGCGGGCGGGGACTTTTGGTCTGGGCGGGGGTCAAAAAAAGTTTTCCCAAAAATCCACAGGGGGGACCACGTTCAACTTTTTTTTCGAAAATTTTTTTTTTGTGGGTCCCCCCCCCCGCCCCCCCCCCAGGCCCTGATTACGGTATTATAAGGAAATTGATTACGGTATTATAAGGGAATAGATTACAATTTCATAAATAAAGAAATTGATTACAGTAGGGTTATTACAGTAGTGTTAAATTGATTCCTAATTTGTTTGCTTTAGCAATGTAACCTATGTAGAATTGATCCAGTTACCGATGAAATTGCTAAAATGGAATACAATGAGGCTGCTCGGTTTGGTAAACTGATTATCGAAAAGGTTGAAATGACTGCAAAAACAAACTTCCATGGGTTACGGTACCGCATTCATCATGTGGATTTACCAAAGTAAGTTTTACGACAGAAACTACCTAGGAACGTTAAAAAATTCCTATGGTAGTGTAGGGTACGGTAGGGGACCGGGTATTATTACTATGGTAGTATAGGGTACGGTAGGGGACCGGGTGTTACTATTATGGTAGTGTAGGGTACGGTAGGGGACCGGGTACGTATTAGATTGTTCACTTAATTCTGCGCCTCCTCTCAAAGCAAATTTGTAGAGTAAGGGGGTGCAGAATTACGTAGCAAATTTGTAGAGTATAAGGGTGCAGGATTATGTGAACAACCTAATAGTAACATCTTCTATAACTTTTTCTGTTCCAGCCATGTGTTCTACTTTAAGAACGTTGAAAAATGGGACTTTTTTCGAAATCAGAAGCCAAAATGGGCTGATTTGCCGTACGATGAGTATGCGGATGAGAGGTAAGTTTTTAATTTTAAATTTGTGTAGCTTTGGGTTTGGAAATCGTTTGTTGACCAACCTTTTGCTTATGCTTTGTTGTTTCTAGGAAATTGACTGTGGCCAGTTTTGCACCATACCCACGTGATGGAGACAAGATTTGGAAAAAGTTTAACTATTATCTCACCACAACAACCACTACCACCACCACCTCAACCACAACCTCAACCACCACCACCACTACCTCAACCACCACCACGACCTCAACCACCACCACGACCTCAACCACCACCACCTCACCAACAACCACCGAGGAAGAGGAAGTTACGGAACAAGTTGAGGAAGAAGGTCAGGGAGAAGAGGATGAACAACAACCAGATGATCCTACTCAACCTGCGGTTGAAAGTACCACTACCGAGGCTGAAAAGAATGCTGGATGTGGCAAAAGTCCGTGGATTGGCTGGATCGGTTGTTGGACTGGCGCATGGATGGTTGTGCTGGGTTATTACATTCGTTAAGGGATCTGTTTCGCTATCGGTGTTAAAATATATGATGGATGTGTTAATGAAGTAATGAGTAGAAATAAAGTTTTTGTATTTTGAAGTTGTTTGTGATTACCTTAGGCTAGTTGAAGTCATTTTTTGATGATATTTAAGCTATTTTGAGCTGTACAGAAGTTTTTGCTGTAATTTTGTAACGTTTTAGACCTAAAAAATTAGGTTTATATTTTTCGAAAAGTAGGGGGTAGGGAGTAGTTGGGTAGGGGGTATGAGGTAGGCGGTTAGGGATAATAAAATTTTCCGACCGGTCGATTTTATAAAATGAAAAAAAATTTAAGAAAATTTTTTATTTTCTTAGAAAATTAAATTTTCGAAATTCTAAATTTCAAAATGAAAAAAATGTCCAATTTCCCATGATTTTTACATTGACCTTTGCCATTTTGCAATAACACTGTCACTTTGAGTTTTTGGTCAGTTCGTTTTGTGTCGTCGCACCAGACGGTTGGCATGAGTTCAGATTGGAGCAACGTGGGTGTCGGCTGCTCACTGTGGCTAAGTTATAACTCTTTAAGCCTAAAGGTTCTAAGTCTAAACTATAAGTCTAAGGCCTTTAAGCGTAAACAGCCTATGAATAGAATGTTTAAGCCTGAGTGCTCTAATCAGAAAGGTTTTAAGCCTAAAGTCTCTAAGTCTGAACAACAAAAGCCTAAAAGATAAGCCCAAAGCCTCTCAGCCTAAAGCCTCTAAGCCTAAAGCCTCTAAGCCTAAATCCTCTAAGCCTAAATCCTCTAAGCCTAAATCCTCTAAGCCTAAAGCCTCTAAGCCTAAAGCCTCTAAGCCTAAAGCCTCTAAGCCTAAAGCCTCTAAGCCTCTAAGCCTCTAAGCCTAAAGCCTCTAAGCCTAAAGCCTCTAAGCCTCTAAGCCTAAAGCCTCTAAGCCTAAAGCCTCTAAGCCTAAAGCCTCTAAGCCTAAAGCCTCTAAGCCTAAAGCCTCTAAGCCTAAAGCCTCTAAGCCTAAAGCCTCTAAGCCTAAAGCCTCTAAGCCTAAAGCCTCTAAGCCTAAAGCCTCTAAGCCTAAAGCCTCTAAGCCTAAAGCCTCTAAGCCTAAAGCCTCTAAGCCTAAAGCCTCTAAGCCTAAAGCCTCTAAGCCTAAAGCCTCTAAGCCTAAAGCCTCTAAGCCTAAAGCCTCTAAGCCTAAAGCCTCTAAGCCTAAAGCCTCTAAGCCTAAAGCCTCTAAGCCTAAAGCCTCTAAGCCTAAAGCCTAAAGCCTAAAGCCTCTAAGCCTAAAGCCTCTAAGCCTAAAGCCTCTAAGCCTAAAGCCTCTAAGCCTAAAGCCTCTAAGCCTGTTTTACTTCTAAAGAATATATTAAGACCTCTAGGCTTACATCTAAGCCTATGAAAACGTCCTTAATACAGTTTATTCAAGGTTCGCAGAACTCGCAACTATAAGCACAGTACTTGTGCATTTGCTCGGGCACGGAACGACAGTACATTAGCTGGAACGAGCAGTTTATGGCAATGTCATAACAGTTTTGGCTGGGCGGTTTTCGTGTCGGGACCGTCGGGAACAGCGGTGCTAGGGTGGGGCGTGGCGTCAGTGGGGTCGTGGGTGGGGAATGTGGGGTTGGCGAAGTGATGGGTTGTGTAGTTGTTGAAGAGGATAATTTGGTGGTGGAGGGCGAAGTTGTTGATGTGGAATTGGTTTCTTCGTCGGATTGAACTGAAAATTTAAAAATTTCATCTTTTAAGAAAAATCACGTTTCATCGTATAACATGTCCCTTTTTCATCAAAAAACAAGTTTCATCGTATAACAAGTCCCTTTTTCATCAAAAAACACGTTTCATCGTATAACATGTCCCTTTTTCATCAAAAACACGTTTCGTCGTATAACATGTCCCCTTCTATCACAAAACACGTTTCATCGTATAACATGTCCTTTTTTGTGAAAAAATAAATTTTTACCTTCTCGATACTGTACCACAGCCCTCAACGGCCCCTTTTGGCTATAGTAAGAAACCGTAGCCAGGTTCCCTTCACTCAACATAACACCACCAGTATCCTCAATATGCGTAGGACAACATAGCCGAGCGCCAGTCCACGTAAACTCCTCGAACTTGACTTCCAACGAACCGTAGTAACACTCGTTGGTACATGGCCCGGTTATGTTCATCACCTTGATTTCCACTTGGTGACCTGGTCTAGCCTGGAAAGGGTAGGGTGAGATTAGAGAAGAGAGTTCAGGTTTTTTACGGTACGGTTACAATAGAAAATGTTTTATTACTGTAGGATAGGGTTAGGTAGGGTAGGGCAGAGTAGAGTAGGGTAGGGTAGGGTAGGGTAGGGTAGGGTAGGGTAGGGAGGGTAGGGTAGGGTAGGGTAGGGTAGGGTAGGGTAGGGTAGGGTAGGGTAGGGTAGGGTAGGGTAGGGTAGGGTAGAGTAGGGTAGGGTACGGTAGGGTACGGTACGGTAAGGTAGGGTAGGGTAGGGTAGGGTAGGGTAGGGTAGGGTAGGGTAGGGTAGGGTAGGGTAGGGTAGGGCAAGGAAAGCCACGTTATCGTATAGTATGGTACAATAAATACTATAAAAACCCGCTCACCAATGCCTACCTTAATATGATAATGGCACTCAGCCTGTCGCACCGTAATATTATTCTTGTCTTTCGGTCCGGCTGGATTAATTTCGCCATGAATGAATTGAAATTCATTTTTCGCTTCCAAAACTGCACCACACTGACCATTAGACCCAAACGCAGCCAGTGCTCTTTGGTCACAAAGGTCACCGCCAAAGGCTGATGGACAAATGCATCTGGAGCAGTTGTTGGGATTCACGAATCCACCGTTTTCGCAGTCTGGCTTTTCTGGGCATTTGTCTAAATAGAAATTTTATAATTTTTAGATTTTCTAATAAAAATTGTCTTAAAGGGTCAAGGACATGTTTCATCGTATAACATGTCTCCCGCACGCTGCAGAATCGCTTTTTGACACAAAAGTTGTTGAAAATTTTTAAAAATATGCATTTTAGTATTAGGTAAAACATTCTGAATAGCTTTTTCCATTTTTTTTATAAAAGCCATGTTTCATCGTATAATCTGTCTCTCGCAGCCTGCAGAACCATCATTTCCCACAAAAATCACCCCCAAACCCCAAAAAATCAATGACAAACCCAAACAACCATAAAACTGATTGACCAACTTCAAATCCAAGAATGACGGCGCCCTTCTGTTGCCCATCGTATGCTGATACTGCACCTTTTTCGCGGCCAATAGCACTTTACTGTTCTGTAAATCGTCTACACTTTATCATATTACATGGTATCTTCACTTACAGCCGGGGTAATGTAAATCCGACCCGTAGTCGTAATGCACATCCAGGATTGTCGCGGTTTTGTTGTCCACCTTGTCGTATTGTGGAAGCCATGATGACGGTATGTTTTGAGTTACCAGGCTGATATGATCGTCACGGTCTTCACGGCTTTGATGATGAAACAAGCCTAAGGCATGCCCGGTTTCATGGGCTGCTACTCCAAACTGAACATATGAAGGAACTTTGTTTACAGAGCCAGAAGTCAAAAAGTTAGAAAAGTGGAAGTTGAGTGGAAGATTTGTAATGTATTTTGCACTAAAAATCTTCCACTAAACTTCCATTTTTAAAGTGTCTTAAAATGGCATAAAACACGCTCTTGACCATTTTTAAAAGTGGAAATTTAGTGGAAGATTTTCAATGCAAAATACATTAAGAATCTTCCACTCAACTTCCACTTGTAAAAACCTCAACAATGATGTTTTTAGACCATTTTAAGGCTTTTTAAAAATGGAATTTTGATGGAAGATTTTCAGTGTATTTTGCACTGAAAATCTTCCACTGAACTTCAACTTTTTTAAAATATCATAACTTTGTTTCCAAAAAACCAAATGGCTCAAAATTTGATTTATAGGTAAAAAATGGTAAGAACTTCCTTTACAAACCAAAAAATGACAAAAACTTTCTTTACAAAACAAAAAATGGCAAGAACTTTGTTTACAAAACAAAAAATGACAAGAACTTTGTTTACAATACCTAAAGATAAAAAAAACAAAAATATTCATAAAATGTTACCAAATCACATTTCTGACCCAGCGAGACGTCTTGTTCAAAGTCCTGATGTTGTTTTCCCACTGAACTGTAGCATCCACCAGCTCGGAGGTACCGAATCACCGGCTCGGTAGTGCAGTTTTCTTTAAATGACAAACAGGTGTTGGCTTGCCAAAACTTTGTCGCTTCGTGCACTAGGGTCTTCAACCAACTGTCTGAATTTAAAAATTTTTTTGTATTTTATAAAAGTTTAATTATAGCTGTAGAGTAGGGGTAAAGGTAGGAGTAAGGATATGAGTAATCTTACCCATACTGCTGTGAAAAGTGTAGCAGATTGGAGTGTCAGTTGGCCATTTGGTTAATGGAAACCCATACTCCATACTGTTTAAAATCTGTCGCTTTCCTCGATTCTGTTTTGTGTCATTCAAGATTATTCGCTTTGGTTTGATCTTTTTTCGATACAAAATCCGATCCAAATCTTCGAATTTCCATCGATGATCGTAGGCTTTCATTTGATAGTTGTTCAGGAGTAAATCACCCTGAAAATGATAAAGTAAAGCCTGTAAAGAAAGTTCTTGCCATTTTTTGTTTTGTAAAGAACGTTCTTGCCATTTTTTGTTTTGTAAAGAAAGTTCTTGCCATTTTTTGGTCTGTAAAGAAAGTTTTTGCCATTTCTTGCTCTGTAAATAAAGTTCTTGCCATTTCTTGTATTGCAAACAAAGTTCTTGCCATTTCTTGCTCTGTAAATAAAGTTCTTGCCATTTTTTGTTTTGTAAAGAAAGTTCTTGCCGTTTCTTGTTTTGTAAAGAAAGTTTTTGCCATTTTTTGTTTTGTAAAGAAAGTTCTTGCCATTTTTTGGTCTGTAAAGAAAGTTCTTGCCATTTTTTGGTCTGTAAAGAAAGTTCTTGCCGTTTCTTGCTCTGTAAAGAAAGTTCTTGCTATTTTTTGTTTTGTAAAGAAAGTTCTTGCCATTTTTTGCTTTGTAAAGAAAGTTCTTGCCATTTTTTGATCTGTAAATAAAATTCTTGCCATTTTTTGCTTTGTAAAGAAAGTTCTTGCCATTTTTTGATCTGTAAATAAAGTTCTTGCCATTTTTTACCTGAATCAACAGATCGTTGATCGGTCGATTTGCCTCTTCCAAGTTGGGTCCAATCGTCTTCTTCCGTAGTTCAGCATCTTTTTCGGCATTCCTTTGAAGTTTCTCCACCCTCTTGGCCATTCCATAGGAGAGAGGGGGTAGGTCATTGTGGATGGGCGGATGACGAAGACGTTCGATCATGGATTTCCTCATCAATGAAAACTGCGGTTTTGATAAGGTTTCTGATATGAATTTGGCACGCATCTGTAAGGAAAAGTTAAAAATTTTTTTTTATGTTTCGACCGGTCGATAATTGAGTTTAAGTAAAAAACGAGAAAAAATTACATAAAAGGACCCTAAAGGTCTAAAAAAACCTTTATGACAATTTTAACAATATTTTTTTGAAAAGACTTATCGACCGGTCGATAAACAATTTTGTCCAAAGACTGTTAAAAAATTACTTAAAATGATTCATAAAGCCTAAAAATAGCATTTTAAAACAGTTTTAAGCACAGCTTTACAAAAAAAATATCGACCAGTCAAAAAATAAAATTTTGTATTTTTAACTTTTTTTCTTCAAAAACCCTAAAAAGCCTTTTTTTAAGCCTACTCAAAGAATAAATACTCAAAAAACCAACCTTCATGACCTCAGTATGAGCATTTCGACCAAGTACAACATCAACCAGATATGCCAATAGGAAGCAAAGAACGGCCTGTATCATGACTATCAACAAAATTTATTCATCTCACAGCCATCCGATTCTAAAAATACGTCGTTAAGAATGGAATAAAACCATCTGTGCAAACAATAACATGATAGTATCAAAGCCACATTAATTTATATTATCATTGACATCAAAATCTGTCGGTTATGACAATATTTTTGGTCGAAAATTGACGTTTTAGGTAAAATTAATGACCGCTTCTTGTTGAAAGTTCAATAATATGGTCCTACGTACCATAAAAAGTAATAAAACGTAAAAAATTTGCGGTGGAAGAACGGTAAACATGGATATATCCATCTTCATCCACTTGGTGACCAAGTACGCGGAACACAATGTTGTTTGTTCAATTCTGAATTGCGTCATCTGTAACTTTACAAAAAGGTGAAAAAATACCTGGAGAATCTGATAAAATTAATGGTTTTTTAATATCTACACTAGCCGATACACAGCAAAGCGTTCAATTATATTATCCATAGTGATCAACATACAAAACCGCTTTAAAATTTATTTTTTGTATAAGACTAATGACTAAACAATTAAAGATCACAAAATAAGTTTAGAAACATTATATTAAATCTGAAGTATGTCAGTTTAGCTTGTAAAAAGAATAAAACAGGTTTATGTCTGGACATGTTTCAGCGTATAACTTGTCACCATTTATTTATTTTTCCGAAAAAATATTTTTGGTGAATCTAATGTATATTTTACGTTTAACGCCTTGTTTATACCTTGATATACTCAAAAATATTTTTTATAAATAGCTTTTTATCTTATCTACGACATAAACTTATCTATGTCCGAGTTTCGTTCACTATATCAACAAAAAAAAACACTTTTTTCTCAATAGTTTTGCTATTTTTAGTTGATGAGCCTTTCAACAAGCACTGCCAGTACCTTGAACTACATTTCAAATGCTGTCTCAGTTTTGAATCACCCACTTTTACCTGATTCACATCGAAAATCGAAGAAAGCGGAGGTAAAGCAAGAGGTGGAAGATGAAGAACCCAACAAATCGGCTGAATTCTTTGATCCACTTGGCGTTCAAGGTGTAGATGAGGTTGTGGAAAAGTTTTCGACAGCTGCTTTACATCAAAAGAATGGCAAAGTTGAGGATGAAGGAAAGATTGAGCTGTTTGTTGATGGACCTTTGTCGAACACATTAGAAGAGAAGGAAGAAGATGCTGTACCTGAACTGGACTTGAAATTTGTTGACTTTAAACCTTGGAGAGAGTATAAGAAGAAGATTTTGGACAAGTTTTATTCAGAAAATGTGTTTACCCTGGAGTCTAGCTTTTTGAAGCCACCAAAAGGGACGAAGGGTCAACATGTTGGTGTAGGGTAAGTTAATTTTGTTGTTTTTGTTATGTTTTTAGGTATGATCACATAGGAAGTTATGTTCTAAAGATGTAGAATTAAATTCTCTTGCTTTTGATGCATAATAAATGTTGTTTCAGATCAAAACCGGGTTATGGGCATCAAAAACCTTCACCATCTACTTTTAAATTTACGAATTTGACCGAAGAGGATTTTATTCGTAAATTTCGAGATCTACGTGTTACTTTATTAAGATTATGGGCTCAAGAAGAACGAGTGCAATGTATTTCAGTACGTTCTTACATGATTTCCAATTTGGTCTACAGTAACTTAATTTATCTTCAATTTTTGGATACTAATCATGATCTTTGATGAACAATTATGTTTTTAAACACGACTTTTTCAGTTATGTCGTGAAGTAGCTCAAATTATGACACAAAGTTCCTTAGGCAATTTTTATCCTAAGGCATTTGTTTTGGTGACGGATTTTATGGACATTTTTGGACATTTGGTTTATCAACGATTGTTGGAGAAGGCTAAACAAGAACGTCGTCAAGCTGGTCTCTCGGCTTTACCAACACACTTTTCGACCATAGATGTGTTGGAGAAGACTAGAATAGTGGCTAGAAACTGGTTTGGCAAGCTGGGAGAGATTACTGATGTCATACCTCATCTTTATAGTAAGTTAATATGATTTTTTTGGTTTTTAGGTAACAAACTGGAAACATCTTGATCTTATGGCTTGAGAATACAATTTAATGGCTTAATTTTACCTTTTTGACTTTATAGTTGGATGTGCCTTAATGCCAATAATGAAGTTCATGGACGAAAACTCAATTTCCGAAAATCTCGACCGCTTATGTCAATTGGCTGCTATTTTACCACACCCATTAGTAGCGTCATACGCCAGATGCTTTGTTTGTCGGGTAGCCATGAGAATCGAACCTTCTAATCGAGCACCACATTGGAAATGTCTCAATGATTGGATGCAAACCTTCAAACAACAGCCGGTAAGGACATGAAAACAAAGTTTTTGCCATTTTTTGTCTTGTAATGAAAGTTATTGCGATTTTTCGTTTTGAAATGAAAGTTTATTTCATTTTTCGCCTTGATTTCTTATTTTGTGTCATTTTCGTTTTTGGAAACAAAGTTGGAAGATTTGTAATGTAATTTGCACTGAAAATCTTCCACCCAACTTCCATTTTTAAATGACTGAAAGTAGCATAAAAACACGTTTTTAACACTTTTTAGAGATGAAAGTTTGGTGGAAGATTTTTAGTGCAAAATATATTACAAATCTTCCACTTAACTTTCACTTCCAAAAATGGGGAAAAACGTGTTTTTAGGCCATTTTAAGACATTTTAAAAATGGAAGTTAGTGGAAGATTTTTAGTGCAAAATACATTACAAATCTTACACTTAACTTCCACTTTTTTAAAAGTATTTTTGTTGTAAAATTATGGGTTTCAAGCCATTTTTCAACTTAACATTGTCATAATTCTAGGTAAGTCTTCTCTGGCCTCCGTTAGAATACATAATTCAATGCGTAGCCTACAGCGCAGTAACATACGACGACATTCTACCATTATGGGAATATGCCAAGTTACCAGAAAAACGACAATTCGTATTCAAATGTCTTCTGCATGCCTTGCCAAGTCATTATCTAGCCGAATTTTGCGTTGAAACTTGTAAAATACTGGTCGAATCGCCGAACGTCGAAGAGATCACGGCCTTCGGAGAGAGTCTAGAGAAAACCAACATTGCCGAACCGAATCGAAAGCCATTGCTTAAGGCGATTTGGAAAATGCTTCAAAAGTTGGGGATGAAAGAGTTTGTGGAGGGAATGGCAGTTTGGATTGAGTTCGTGGCCAAGTACTTTACAGTATCTGAGATTCAGATAGTACTCGATGGACTGTGCGGAAAGCTGGAGAATGATCGGGTAGGTTGAGGTGGTTTTTGGGGTGGGCAAAGTAAGGTGGGGTAGGGTGGGTTATGATAGGGTAAGGTAAGGTAGGGCTGGGTGGGTTAAGGTAGGGTTAGGTAAGGTAGGGCAGGATGGGTCAAGATAGGCTAAGGTAAGGTAGGGCAGGGTAGGGTATAGTTAAGTATGATAAGGCAAGTTTAAGATAGCGTAGGACAAATTAGGATAGGGTACAATAAATATGGCAGAATGGGGCAAGGTAAGGATAAGTCTATAGGGCTTGGCTTCGTTAGGATTTACGCCGCAGTAAACACTGTATTACTGTAGAAAGAGGCTTACAAGATTACTGTAGAGTAAGAGAAGGGTTGAGTATTCTTAAAACAAGCTTTTGGCAGAGTTGTCATATTACTGGGCTAGGGTTACATTGAGACTGGGATCGGGTAGGGTTAGCTTATGGTATTGTTAGAGCTTTTACAGTAGGTTATCGATTAAGGTGCCTTTAGTCTTTAGCTTAAAACTACTGTAACGATACCATAGGTCGGGTAGGGTAAGATAAGTATAGTATTGCACGGTAGGGTAGGGTAGGGTAGAGTTGGGTAAGGGAGGGTAGGGTAGGGTATGGTAGGGTAGAGTAGGGTAGGGTAGGGCAGGGTTGGGTATGGCAGGGTAGGATTGGGTAGGGTAGAGTAGGGTAGGGTAAAATAGGACAGGGGAGGGTAAGGTAAAATTTAGCGAATGTTTTCTGATTTTTGCCATTTTAGGTATACCTAGTCCCCCAACAACTACTTTTGGGAATTTTATCAAAAATTCTGTCGCAATTACGAGATGTCTCAATATTTCTCACCCTACCAGTATTCTCAAATTTTACCGCATTATTTACCGAGAAAAACATGCGAAAACAGATGAGTGTTCAGATATTGGAAGCGGTAGTGTCAAAACATAAGCTGGGGACAATCAGTGATCTGGACTTGGCTTATCAAGTTGGTTATTTGAGTTCTTGTTCTTTTATGGCTTGTAAAGAAAGTTCTTGCTATTTTTTGGTTTGTAAATAAAGTTCTTGCCATTTGTTGTTTTTTAAAGAAAGTTTTTGCCATTTTTTAAATTTTATATTACTTTAGGTATCAGACGTCTGCAAAATTCTCCACGATTGTCTAGATGTCTTTTCATCGGCCGAAGAGTCTTCAGAAGCCGTCGAATTGATTAAAGGAGCATTAAATCGATTTGATGTTAAGCCAGACCCAGAAAATGCACTTTCATTTTATGTTGCAACAAGAGCGAATTTATTGAACTTGGACGAATGTCAAAAGGTAAGGGTCTTTGAATGATTTTGTTTGTTTTTAGGTATGAAATGGAGTGAAAATGAGGGAAAGTATAAAATTTAGAAGATTTTTGGGGTATTGGAAAGAAAGTTCTTGCTATTTTATGTTTTGGAAAGAAAGTTCTTGCCATTTTTTGGTCTGTAAAGAAAGTTCTTGCCATTTTATGACTTGTAATGAAAGTTTGTGTCATTTTTTGTTATGTAAAAAAGTTCTTGTTATTTTTTGCGCTGTAAAGAAAGTTCTTGTCATTTTTTGGGTTTTACCGTATAACATGTCACCCGCAGCCTGTAGGCCTTTTGGCACAAAGAGGGTCCTGTAGAGAAAGTTTTTGTCATTTATTTTCCTGTAAAGAAAGTTCTTGCCATTTTATGACTTGTAATGAAAGTTTGTGTCATTTTTTGTTATGTAAAAAAGTTCTTGTTATTTTTTGCGCTGTAAAGAAAGTTCTTGTCATTTTTTGGGTTTTACCGTATAACATGTCACCCGCAGCCTGTAGGCCTTTTGGCACAAAGAGGGTCCTGTAGAGAAAGTTTTTGTCATTTATTTTCCTGTAAAGAAAGTTCTTGCCATTTCTTGTTTTTTGAAGAAAGTTCTTTTTATCTTATAGTTTGTAAAGAAAGTTTTTGCTATTTGGTCAATTTTTTATTTTTTGGTCTATTTGTATGATTTTTTCGTGTTAATGCTCTTTTTCAGCACGTTATTGACCTCATCCTCGAACTAGCCTTATATGTCATCAAATCAGCTCGCTTCTCAATCACAAGATCAGCCTTTGTCCAAGCTTGTATAGCAAATACCTTCATCACCATACCCTCCATATCAGACATTCAAATTCGAATGGACTCGGCCATAAAATCGGCCGAAATTGCGTTAGCCGGCCAAGCATACCTCCAACTCGACTCGCTAATGGATCTGATTCAAGAAGAATTGGAAAATCTTCAGAATCTAGACGAAATCGTCCGTTTTATCAACCAATATCTGGGTTTGTTGATGATTGTGCCAAAGTTTGATGAGGAGAAGTACTTGAAATGGGTGGGGACGTGGATCAAGGTGGTGGACAGGTGGGTTTGAATTTTTTTTGTTTTTTAATAAGGTGCTTAAGGGAATTTATAAAAAAAGTTGGCGAATTGGCGTTGACTTATGTACGGGCGAATCAGGCTGAACTTGTGTACGAGCGAATTTGGCTTGACTTATGTACGGGCGAATTAGGCTGAACTTGTGTACGGGCGAATTTGGTCAAACTTGTGTACGGGCGAATTGGGCTAAACTAATGTACGAGCGAATTGGGTTTAACTTACAATTGTTATGTACGACTGAATTACAAAAATTCAATTAGGGGGTGGCTTCTATCTATCAAAATTTTTTATCTCAAATTTTTCCAGAATCTCTGGCCAAATCAAACCCACAGCAATATTATCGACAATACAATTTTTATACGCTTTAAAAATCGACCGAAAATTTATAAAAACGACAATATTAAACAGTGCTCCACTTAAAAACACTACAACGACCCAAAATGATGGTACTGCATCAGACGAACAAGAAAAATCAACGATAGATCAATATTTGAATAGCGTAATGGAAATGGCTAGCCAAATAATAGCGAATGAATCGGAAAATCGACCAGTATTTTGCGTCAAATTTCTCGAACTTTTATCGATTTTTGTGGGGAAGGTGGATGAAATTGTAAGTTTATCGACTAAAAATGATTCAGGGGGTAGAGTTAGGGTATGGTAAGGTAGAGTAGGGTAGTGTGAGTTAGAGAAAGGTAAGTTAAGATAAGGTAGAAGATGGTAGAGTAGGGTGGGTAGGGTAAAGTTGTATAGGGTGGGGTAGGTAAAGTAGTATAGAGTGGGGTGGGGTACGGTAGGATATGATAGGGAATTGTAGGCTAGCGTATGGTAGGGTACGGCAAGATAAGTTAAAGTATACTAGGATAGAGTATTTGACTGTTTGCGACAAAATCAATGGATTCTTCAAGCTGAGTTTCCCTATTTTTAGGCCTACCAAACCGCTAAAAGTGCATTTAAAAAGTGCCGCAAGGCCACTGATTCGACATTACAAGCTCATTTTAATCAAATTCACTTTAATTCCTAACTTATTTTGCGACATTTTTGATTTAAAAAGTGCCAAAAAAGTCTTGTCGTCAATTTGCATTGATTGTTACGGTAAAAAACGACATGACTTTTGATACTTTAATTTTTGAATTTTCATATTTAGTGCCATTTTTAATGCCATCTTAATGGTTATTTTCAATTTTAAACAATATTTTGTTAACATTTTTCACTTTTTTATCGAACTACGAGGTCTTTTTACCGCCAGTCAACACACATACCAAGTATTTATTTATATTGCTATAATATCAAGACTCTTTGAAGACTTGTATATTGTCTTACAATGTCATTAGTTATTATTTTTTAACAAATTTAATAAAACTATAATATGATAATAGTTTTTTTTAAATATCAGTGAATTATAAGGTCCGCCTTCTTGGCTAGGGCTGTGTAGTGGGGTGTATGGCGGGGTTGTTCGATTGTAATAGGGTAGGATAGTTTTGGCTCTTGGTAAGTAAGGGTGAGGTGTAATGGGATAGAGTAGTCTTGGGTATGTCAGGGCAGGGTAGAGTGGTATGTGATAGGGTAGGGTAGGGAAGGATAGGGTGATATGTGGTAGGGTACGGTAGTACGAGTATCGTAGTGTGGGGTATGGTAATAAATTACGGTAGTATGTGGTAGGGTAGTGTGATGTAGGATTGGGTAATTTAGGATAGGGTAGGGTAGGGCTGGGTGAAGGTAAGCTTGAGTAGAGTAGGGATTAGATTAGAACGGTACGGCAAGAGCAATGTAGATTAGGGCTGGGGTACGGTAAGGCTATTTTAGGGGTAGGCTCAAAAGTTGGGCGAGGCGTTGAAATTTACTAAAGGTTTGTCTTGTTTCTTCCTCGACGAACAAGCCCTGATCTTTACCTAAACTTATAGGTTTTGTTCTTATCCTGCCCAGGGTTGTGCAGGGGAATAGTGGATAGGTGTGCATCTGCTCCTCCCCCTCAACCGATCGGAACAGTAAACTTTTTGGCTATAATCTTCCTCTCCTTTCAATTTCCCTCCCCTTCTTACTTCAGGAAAAATTCTGTAGCAACGTTCCAGACCTTGCTCTTCTTTAGGGCTAGTAAATTGTTATAAAATTGTTGGTCAGGGGTTTAACAATAAAACAAAAGCATTTGAATATCTTGTAGCCTTTGGTTTATTACCTTTTTTGAGGATTTATGGCTAGTCCTAGAGTTAGCTATGGTAACTTATGATTCCTAAGAGTTATCGGTTCATCAAAAAACCTAAAGTATGACACTTTAAAACCCGTGCTCTTCATCAAAATTAAAAATCAAAACTTTATTTTACCATTAAAATGTCATAATGCGCGAAAAATTACAAAATCTTTTCAAAAAATGAGAAAAAATCGACCGAAACAAGCTTTAATAGTTGTTTCGGTCGAAAAAACTGAAGTGAAATAATGCCACAACGTATAATATCATCGGAATATATTTGCTTCTACGACTAGACAGGTATTGAAAGGGGTTCTATTGGAAATAATCTACAGTAAACCGGGTCTACTGGTGAAGGGAAAATGGAATTAGAAGGGAAGAATAGTGGTAACTGTAGAGTTACTGTAAGTTATAGGTGTACTGTAGGGTAGAGGGGTACTGTAGGATAGGAGTAGTATGTGGTGTAAGGGTACTACAGGGTAGAGGGGTACTGTAAGATAGGAGCAGACTCTAGGGCTTAGATGTACTAAGGGTAGGGGGTAGTGCATGATGTAGGGGTACCATAGGATAAGGGTACGTAAGGTGTGAGAGTACTGTAGGCCAGAGGGGCACTGTAGGGTAGGGATGCGTGTAGGATGCAGTATGAAAAAAACATACTGTGTGTTATACAGTAACCTTAAAATTTACTACATTACTAAAAAGTACAGTTAGACTATAGTACGAGCCTTACAGTAATAAAAGACTACAGTATGAACCTTACTGTAAATAAGGCTACAGTACTAGAAAATTAGAAAATAAAGTAAGAACTTAAGATTACGGTAAAAAAATATAAAAAAATACAAATTTAATGTAGTTATGGACTTTCTACCATGGAGTGAATTCGGTATATGGCCAAAGATAAAAATGTCATTTTAAAAAAATGGTAAAATTCTTGCCATTACAGAAAAACGTGAGAAAACTTTCTTTCCACTTACAATAGAAAAAGATCTAGCGATCCTAAGAGACATTAGGCCTTGGTTGTGTTAGAGAAGGTTTTGGGGGAAGGAGGGGTGGTTTTTAGCCAGTGGAAGTTGAGTGGAAGATTTGTAATGTATTTTGCACTGAAAATCTTCCACGCAACTTCCATTTTTGAAAAAGCTTAAAATGGCCTAAAAACGAGTTTTTAACACTTTTTAAGAGTGGAAGTTGGGTGGAAGATTTTTAGTGTAAAACACATTGAAAAACTTCCACCAAACTTCCACTCTTAAAAAGTGTAAAAAACGTTTTTTAAGTGATTTCAAAGCGTTTTAAAAATGGAAGATTGGTGGAAGATTTTCAGTGCAAAATACATAACAAATTTTCCACTAACTTCCATTTTTTAAATGCTCTAAAATGGTCAATAATGACATAAAATGGGGTTTTAAGCCTTTGAAAACGTGTTTAGGGCATTTAAATCGCTTTTAAATTTTATTTCTGAGCCAAAAACACCCCTCGAATCCCCCAAAACTTCTCAAAATCCTCCCAAAACCCCCGCCCAAAACGCTTAACAGTTGCAGTTCTGGCCGGCAGGCTTCTTGGCCGTGTCGTTGGCCTCCAACTTGTGGCCCTGAGGCTGATTGGCGGCGGGATTCGATTTGTCCAAGCTCTCCGCCATCTTCTGACAAATGATATCGACCAGTTTGTCGAACACCGACTTGACATTGATATTCTCCTTGGCCGACGCCTCGAAGAACTCGAGGCTCAGCTGATCGGCCAACTGACGACCCCGCTCCTGACTAACCACACGCTCCTCCTCCATGTCACACTTGTTCCCCACCAGCACCACTTGAGCGTTCTCCCACGAATAGGTCTTGATCTGGGTGCACCAGTCCTGCACACTGTTGAATGACTCTTCGTTTGTAATGTCGTACATTAGGATGAAACCCATCGCACCGCGATAGTAGGCCGTGGTTATGGTACGGTAACGCTCTTGACCTGCTGTGTCCTGGAAGGGGAAAATTAATGAGGGCAAGGAAGGGCAGGGTAGGGTATGATTAAGTAAGGTAAGGCAGAGTAGGATTGAGAAATGGGCTGTGTAGGCCCGAAAAAAGTCCGGTCCCTTTGCACGTAAAAAAATCGGGCTGGCCTGAAGTAAAAATGAAAACGGCCCGGGTCTAAACTTTGGGTCCTGGACCTGGGTTGAACCGCAAAAGTGAGCCCGGCTTTTCTAACCCCTAAGCCGGAGTAAGGTAAGGTATGATACTGTATTGTATGACATGTCATGGTAAAATAGGAAGGGGTAGGACAAGGTAAAGTAATTTAGGATAGGGTGGAGCAGGGTACGATAATGTATGTTAGGGTAAAGTAATGTAGGGTAGGATTGGATAAGGTAGGGTGGGGTAGGGCAGAGTAAAGTAGTAAAGAGTAGAGTAGTTTAGCTTAAGGTAGGATAGGCATGGCAGGTTACAGCAGTTTAGGATAGGGCAGAGTAGGGTAAGTCAGGACAGGGTGGGCGTGGATACTGAGGGCCGGCCCGATCTAAATTTTGTTCAAGATTGGCCCGGCTCAGCTTGTTCCCAGGGTAGGGTCTGGTAAGGTAGGGTATGGTATGGTATGGTATGGTATGGTATGGTATGGTAAGGTAGGGTAGGGTATGGTATGGTAGGGTAGGATAAAAAAGAATATGGTCATTTTTTGTTACCTAAATTTTTAAAAATAATTCAAAATTTTGCTGAAAAATTCTAAAAACCTACCCAAATCTGCAATTTGACGCGTTTATCACCACGGAAGACGGTCTTCACTTTGAAGTCGATTCCCACTGTCGATACGAATGCCGACGTAAACGAATCGTCGCAGTAGCGGAACAAAAATGACGTTTTTCCGACCGACGAGTTGCCAATTATCAACAACTTGAACATGTAGTCAAAGTTCTGGTCGGGCTGTTGTGGATTGCCGCCGGCTCCGCTGCTCGCCGCTTGAGCCATGACTAGGGTTTGGTGTTCGAGATGGGTTATATAGGTATGGCAGTGGGGTCTGAAAGTAAGAGGGTCAAAGGTTTTTCAAATAATTCTGTGCCCCTAACGCTGAAGATTTGCTTTGATATCATTAATTAGTTTTTAAAAAAAAATTCCCTCTGCAGCCTGCGCGGCACATGTTATATGATGAATATAAAACAAAAAAAGCTGGCAAAGCGCTGTACAAACAAAAAATGGCAAGAACTTTCATTACAAAACAAAAAATGGAAACAATTTTCATTAAAAACTCCAAAGTAACACTTTTCAAAAGTGAAAGTAAACTGGAAGATTTGTAATGTATTTTGCACTGAAAATCTTCCACGCAAATTCCACTTTTAAAATATCTTAAAATGGCCTAAAAACTTGTTTTTGACACTTTTTAAAAGTGGTAGTTTGGTGGAAGATTTTCAGTGCAAAATACATTACAAATCTTTCATTTAATTTCCACTTGTAAAAACTTCAAAAATGATGTTTTTAGGTCATTTTAAGACTTTGTAAAATGGAAGTTTGGTGGAAGATTTTTAGTGTAATTTGCATTGAAAACCTTCCATCAATCTTCCACTTTTTTAAAAGTGTTGTAACCTTGGTGCTAGTAATGAAAATGGCAAAAAAGTTGTTTTTTGGGCAAAAAATGGCAAGAACTTTCTTTACATATTCAAAAATTGCAAGAACTTTCTTTACAAAACAAAAAATGAGACTTATAATGGAACACTTACCAGTTCGTTCCCAACACAAGAACGGAACTTGTTTTAATGCAAAGGCTGATTTATTGTTGTTTATTCGAATATTAACCCAAATTCGATGGATTCTTCTCGAATGTCTGTCGTCTCTGCAATAGGAACACTATCTCTTGCGGTTAATAATTTATTGTTGTGCTGATGCACTAATATAGATGACATTATTTACCACGGTATACACGGCTAAACAATATTTTGGGTATGGTAATTTGAGGAAAAGGAGAGGGGAGTGCGAGAGGGGGGGGAGGAAGACTTAAAACTGTGCTGTAGTAGGTTTATTTGTGCCCCTATCATTACCCCTGCACCTACTTCTACACCACCTTCTTCTGCCCTTACTCCTAGCATACCCTTACCCCCACTTCCATCCCTACCCCTCCCACCCCCCTAGCAGTAGTAGATCCCTTCATATATATCAATCAAAAAGTTTTGGGCCGGCAAAAAACTGCAATGCAATTTGGTCGAAATGGCAAGATACGTCAATTTACTGTGTAAAAACACAAAAATAAAAAACAAAACGAACCGCTTTAAGCGAGTCCTGAGGCTATTTAGCCGGAATTCCAACTTTTTGCGGCCGCCCAAAAATAGCCACACAGGGGTTTTTTCGGGCCGCTTAATTAAAGCACTAATGTCAGCAGCAAGCCCTCAATTATGCGATTAGAATCCGAACGTGCTTTTTGAAGAAAATGGCAAGAACTTTCTTTACAGAGCAAGAAATGGCGAGAACTTTCTTTACAAAGCGTTAAATGGCAAGAACTTTCTTTACAGAGCAAGAAATGGCGAGAACTTTCTTTACAAAGCGTTAAATGGCAAGAACTTTCTTTACAGAGCAAGAAATGGCGAGAACTTTCTTTACAAAGCGTTAAATGGCAAGAACTATCATTACAAAACAAAAAATGGCAACTTTAAAAAGTGGAATTCAAGTGGAAGATTTGTAATGTAATTTGCATTGAAAATCTTCCACATAACTTCAACTTTAAAAATGTTTTAAAATGGCTTAAAAACACGTTTTTGACATTTTTAAAAGTGGAAGTTTGGTGGAAGATTTTCAGTGCAAAATACATTGTAAATCTTCCACTCAACTTCCACTTTTTTAAAAGAGTTGTAACTTTGTTCTGAGGATAAAAAATGGTATAAAAATGGGTTTTACAATTGTTATAGGTATAAATAACAAGAACTTTTTTTACAAGGCAAAAAATGGCAAGAACTTTCTTTACAGTGCAAAAAAACGGCAAGAACTTTCTTTACAAAGCAAATAAATGGCAAGAACTTTCTTTACAAAACAAAAAATTGCAAAAAAAATATCAAAAATCTAGAAGCGACAAAAATACAAAAAATATCGTATCTGGTTGCCATAGCAGAGATGATACGAATACAATTTGTTGTAAAGAAGGGTTCCCTACAATGTTTGCCCGTTATCATTGTTATACTCGCTTTTTGTCAGTAAAAACACAACACTTGACAGCCCACGTGTACAGCAAATGTAATTTGGATAGAAATTACAAAAAAATGAAATAATTAGAGATCATAGATGAATTTGAACTGTAGGCTTAAGAATATTACAGCAGTTGTTAAGCCTAAGCCAAAAACTTCTAATTTGGCTTAGGTTTACTAATATTACGGCTGTTACACTTACTAAGCTTCAGTTTAATATGCTTACCAAGGCCAAACCTTGTAATTTAAGTTTGCTAAGCATAAACTTGCCACGCCTACGCCTAAGCCTACTAAGCTTAAACCTACCACGCCTCAGACTACTAACCCTAAGTCTACTAAGCCTCAGCCTTCTAAGCCTAAGATTTCTAAGCCGAAGCTTACTAAGCCTAAGCGTGTTTAGCCTAAGCCTACTAAGAGTAAGCTTTTGAAGCCTAGGCTTAGCTATATTAACACAACGCTTATGAACCTAAAGTCTATCGAAAACAGTGAAAAAATTATGTAAATATTAACGTAAGATATCTTAAAATAAATAACATAACTAGATAGCTTTAAGTAAATTGCGAGAAATTTTGTTACGTCACTGTTCTTACATAATATTGTCCATTTTTGCAAAATTTGCCTCGGTGTAAAACGACCCAACAAATGACTGCGAGTGCTCGGTCTTGGGTTCATTTTACTGCGGGATGAATGGTTTTTAAAAGTCACTAAGCCTTAAGCCACTAAGCCTAAAGCATCTAAGCCTAATGCCTCTAAGCGTAATGCCTCTAAGCCTAAAGCCTGTAAGCCTCTAAGCCTAAGGTCTATAAGTTTAAGGTTTCTAATTCCAAGGCCCTGAGTCTAAGGCCTCTAAGTATTAATATTTTAAGCTTAAGCCTATTAAACGAAAGCGTTATAAGCTCAAACCTACGAAACCTAAGCCTACTAAACCTAAGTTTAAACTTGCATCAAAGCCTATGGGGCTAAGTCTAAGGTTGCTAAAGTTAAGGCCGTAAGCCGACTATGGGAGTTATAACTTTAAGCCTAGTGCCTGTGTTCATGTTTTTTAAGCCTGTACTCGCAAAGCCTGAAACATTTAAAGCTAAAGTGTCTACACCTTTCAAAATTCGTAGTCCACTAAGCCTAACGCTATTAAACCGATAAAAATCCAAAAAATAAATAAAACATCAAGAACCCATCGAAACAATAATAAACTTACTGCACCAATAGTATTTATGCAAGATTTACAAACAAACGAAACCGAATGAAACGGAGGAATTGGAAATACATAAAAGATAATTTTGAATTTTAATGGCTCTCTCAAAACGAGCGGAAATCCTCCGAACATACGACGGACATACGACGACAATCGAAAGTGTAATTAGTTATTGGGATTAGCTGTTGGGGCTATTAATATTTAACATCCATTTTGATTAATGAATGATTCCGACCAATTTAAATTTTATAGTTTTAGATAAGAAATTCGTATTTCAATGTAGAGAACCATAGGTGCTTAGGCTTAAAACAAGAGGTGTAGGCTTAAAAGAAGTGTTTTTATTCTTTAGAAAAGTTTTTTAGGCTTAACACTAGAGGTTTAGGCTTAAAAGTAAAGGTTTAGGCTTAAAGGAAGCTTTTTAGCTTTCAAAATAGATTATTAGACTGAAAAATGTAGCTTTAGGCTTAAAAATGACTTTTGCGTTTCAACTGTATTTTTAGGCATAAAAAACACTTTATACTTAAAAAATATTTAGGGCTTAATACAGGATTTTTAGGCTTAAAGCCAAAGTTTTATGTGAAAAGAGTAGACTTAAAAACCCTTTAGGCTTACAAAAACAAAAAATGACAAGAACTTTCGTTACGACTTTTAAAACGACCTTATAAGCCTGCTAGGCCTCAGCTTACTAAGCATAAGCCTCATAAACTAAGACTACTAAGCCTAAGCTTTTTAAGTCTAAGTTTTCTAACCTCGGTAAGCCTAATTTTACCAAGCCTAAGCCTACTGAGGCCAAATCTTGTACACGTCCTAAGCCTAACCTTATCAAGCCTAAGCCTACTAAGCTTTTTAAGTCTAAGCCTTCTAATCTCGGTAAACTTAATTTTATCAAGACTAAGCCTGGTAAGGCAAAATCTTCTAAACCTAACTTTATCAAGCTTAAGCCTAAGCCTACTAAGGCCAAGTCTTCTACGCCTAACATTACCAAGCTTAAGCCTAAGCCTACTAAGGCTCCTTATCAAGTTTAAGCCTAAGCATACTAAGGCCAAATCTACTAAGCCTTTTAAGCTTAACCATACTAGGTCTAAGTTTACTAAGCTTTAGTCTACTCAGACTAAGCGGACTAAGCCTAAGTTTACTAGACGTACTAAGCATAAGTCCGCAAAGCCTGAGCCTAAGCCTACTGACCCTTTAAATCTATAAAAAACTGAAAAACTTTTTTTATTACCTAAAAATTTCAAAAAAAGATAAAATATTGGCAATTCGAAAACAAAAATAAATAACCGCAAAAACCGTTGCAAGGGGGGGAGGGGGAAAGAGCACGGGACATCATTTAAATATATTGTCATAAACTTTAAACTGACAAAAACCCGTCGCTGCCCCCCCCCCCTCTTTGTGTCTCTCTCTTTTTTGGAAAAAAAAATTTTTTCCATGAAAAAATCTCTCCCCTCAAACGTTTAAAGGCCCTGCGGCCAAAAGCCCCGAGGCCCTTACAAAGCGAGTGTCTTATAGGAAATCGAAAAATCGAAACTTTTTTTCGAAAAAATGGCGCGCGCGGCCCTGAGGGGAAATGCCGCCGCCTCGAGGTCAGGGCCCCACCAAAAAAGACGAAAAAATGCAAAAAGAATATGAAATTAAAAATTTTGGGGCAAATAAGGTTTACATACCTACTAAATAGAAACCTAAGCCTAAGGTTATGAAGACTGAGCCTAATAGGCCTAGGTTTTAGTGTAAGGAAAGGTACGACAATGAAAATATATAGCTATGGTTATATAAGGTAGGACAGCAGGAGGGGTAGGTATTTGAAAAAAAGTTCGTTTAGATAAAGCATGCCTAGGTTAAGGAAAGGCACGGCAATGGCAGTGGGGGTAGGCATTTCAAAAAAGTTATGAGCCAAATAATACAAGGTTAAGAAAGGGCAGGGCGATGAAAATATGTAGGCATTTGGTAAGGTAGGAAAGCGGGGCTTAGACAGGGTATGGCAGTAGGAGGGGGTATGAAATTTTAAAAAAAAATTTTTGGTTTGCTATACCTAGACTTGTGAACCGTACAGCAAAGGCAATGTAAAATACAGATATGGACAAAGCAGGCTAGGGTAGAAACGCGAAGGGAAAAAAACAGTTTTTTTTTGAAAAATGTTGAAAATGGTCCCCCTATTGAATTTTCACCTCTTTGTTACAATATTGCAAAAAACAACATTGTAACAAAGAGGTGCATACCTATCCTAAAGTGTGGTATGACTTTAAAAAAATGTGTAGGCTGCTACAAGGAAAGGCGGTGTAGGAAGGGCGGGGATTTGAAAAAAAAACTTTTTTGAAGTATTAAACTTGGTCTCTTATTGATGACATTGGAAAAATATTAAGAAAGGTAGGCACGTAAGGTAAGGTTGGGTAGCGTAAGGTAAGGATAGTGCAGGAAAATGAAACGATGAATGTCAAAGGTAGGGCTAGGGTAGGGTAGGGTACGGCATTGTAGGCTAGGGTAGGGTAGGATATTAATCAAAAAATGGAAAAAAAACAAAATTGCGCTGATAGTTGTAATTTAATTTTTTATGTTCTCCAGTCGTGAGAACTTGCGTGGGAAAATAAAAATTAGTCGTCCATAAACTATTTGTCATATTGAAGCATGTGCAAAAAGTTCTTGTCTTTTTTTGCTTTGTAAAGAAAGTCTTGGCTCTTTTTTTCACTTTGAAACAAAAAATTTTGTCATTTTTAACCCCTGCCTCTACTTTTATTTCTAAACTTATCGCTAACCCTACCCTTAGTTTTACCCTTAACTTTGCCTTTATTCTCTTCCTCCCCCACCCCTCCCCCCCCTAAAATTAATAACTCATAACCTAAAATGGCACGCATTTCTTGTACCAACCGGCTGCCCCTAAAACAAGACTAATATATAAAGGAATCTAGTTGTATATTCTCTAATTTCTTACATACTTAATCCCACCGCCATTCATAATATTTGTGGGGCTCGAATTTAAATAAAAGTGAAAGGACATGCAAGATAGTACGAGGCATAAAAGAGAGGTCAGAGAAACAGAGCGAGGGAAAAAAGGATAAATTCCCTCTTTTAGGGCCTAATTTGCATAAAAGCAAAAGAAAACACATCAACAATCCAAATTTGGGGTTGGACGGGAATGAACGCAATAACTTTCTTTACAAGAGAAAAAATGGAAAGAACTTTCTTTACAAAGCAAAAAATGACAAGAACTTTCTTTACAAAACAAAAAATGACAAGAACTTTCTTTACAAAACAAAAAATGACAAGAACTTTCTTTACAAAACAAAAAATGACAAGAACTTTCTTTACGGAACTTGAAAGGCAAGGACATTCATCAAAAAACTTAAAATAACTCTTTTTTTTAAAAAGTGGAAGTCATGTGGAGGATTTGTAATGTAATTTGCACTAAAAATCTTCCACATAACTTTCATTTTTAAAATGTCTTAAAAATGCCTAAAAACACGTTTTAAACACATTTCAAAAAGTGGAATTTGAATGGAAGATTTTTAGTGCAAAATGCATTACAAATCTTCCACCGAACTTCCACCGGTAAAAATCTCGAAAGTTATGTTTTTAGTGTATTTTGCACTGAAAATCTTCCATTAATCTTCCACTTTTTTAAATTGTCATAACTTTGTTTCTGAAAAACAAAATGGCTCAAAATTTGATTTCTAGGTACACAATTGCAAGAACTTTCTTTCCAAAACGAAAAATGGCAAGAACTTTTTTTACAAAACAAAGAATGGCAGAGACTTTTTTTAGATAGACGAAAGTGACGTTTGTCCGTCTTAAAATTTCAAAATTTAAGCCTAAAGCATTAAAAACAAGTTAAAAAATAAACATTTGAACTAAAATTTCCCCAAAAACTGATAAAAAAGTGAAAAAGTAATGTAAAATGTGGAGAAACTTTAGGCAAAATTCGCTTTTTTTCAAAGATTTCCGCTTCCAAATGAAGCCAATTCACATTTGAAGCCGGCGCACGTTCGACTGGAAACAACTCAATTCCGGGCCTCAAGTTCTTTTCATTTCATATGCAAGAACTTTGTTTACAGCACAAAAAATGGCAAAAACTTTCTTTACAAAAGGAAAAATGGCAAGAACTTTCTTTACAAAACAAAAAATGGCAAGAACTTTCTTTACAAAACAAAATAAGGCAAGAACTTTTTTTACAATATGAAAAATAGCTAGAACTTTCTTTACAGATCATAAAATTGCTAAAAGTTTCCTCACAATGCTTAAAACGACCCTTTTGAAAAATGGAAGCTGAGTGGAAGATTTGTAATGTAATTTGCACTAAAAATCTTCCACTAAACTTCCACTTTTAAAATGTCTTAAAATGGCATAAAAACACGTTTTTAACACTTTTTAATAGTGGAAGTTCGGTAGAAGACTTTCAGTGTAAAATACATTACAAATCTTCCACTCAACTTCCACTTGTAAAAACCTCAAAAATGATGGTTTAGGCCATTTAAAGACTTTTTGAAAATGGAAGTTCAGTGGAAGATTTTTAGTGTATTTTGCACTGGAAATCTTCCACCAATCTTCAACTTTTTAAAATTGTCAAAGCTTAGCTTTTTAAGGTTCCAACTGACTGAAAATTTGTTTTCAAGGGTTGCAAGAACTTTCTTTACAGAACAAAAAATGGCAAGGACTTTTTTTACAAGCCAAAAAAAATAGCAATAACTTTCTTTACAAAACATAAAATGACAAGGACTTTCTTTACAAAACGAAAAATTTGAATTTTTAATAAAAACCGCTCAGGGAGCAGATGAGAAACATCTGCAGCATTTTGAAAATGTTTTACTCTGTTGTTGTCATGGCGATTCCACTTGTCAGCACTTAAAACGAGCGCCGGTATATTATTCATGGTATATTTCGTATAACAACAGGAAATTTCATTTTTAATTTTTTTTTGAAATTTTATGATCTGCCTTATTCAGTAGTAGTACCAGTATCATTAGTAGGTTTGAAGTGTAATGGAAGAAGGCACCAGCTCAGACTATTATGGTATGTTGGGTTTTGTAAAGAAAGTTCTTACCATTTTTTGATTTGTAAAGAAAGTTCTTACCATTTCCTACCTTAAAAACTAATTTTATATCATTTTCATTACTAGCACCAAATTTACGACGTTTTAAAAAAGTGGAAGTTAAGTGGAAGATTTTCAGTACAAAATACATTTAAAATCTTTCACTCACCTTCCATTTTAGAAATGTCTTAAAATAGCCTAAAAACATCATTTTCAAGGTTTTTAAGAGTGGAAGTTGAGTGGAAAATTTGTAATGTATTTTGCACTGAAAATCTTCCACCAAAGTTCCACTCTTAAAAAATGTTAAAAACGCGTTTTTAGGGTGTTTTAAGACATTTTAAAACTGAAAGTTGGGTGGAAGATTTTTAGTGCAAATTACATTACAAGACTTCCATTCAACTTTCACTTTTATAAAAGGGGCGTTCTTGCAGTTTTTGGATTGTAAAGAAAGTTCTCGCCATTTTTTGTTTTGTAAAAAAAGGTTCTGCATTAAAATTCAAACCTTAACGTTAATTTCTTATCATTTTCAGCCCATTCTCGGTCCCAAAAGCGATGGATCAGAGCCTTATATGAACCATTAGCTGGTGTCATAACCAACAAGGATCATGTTGCCATTTTTGATTGCCGTGCTGATGGTGATTACAAGTTGACGTTGGTGAACTCAAAACAGTTACCAGCTGAATTGATGTTGTATCATGGACTGACGCCGGATCAAAAAGTGGACTTGAGCGAGCCGGCGGCCGCTATCTGCCCCTTTTACTCTGGACAGGTAGGTTCTCTCACCTTACTCTACCATCCTTACTCCGCTCAACCCTATCCTACTCTATCCTACCTTACTCTATCCTACCCTACTCTACCCTACCCTACCCAACCCTACCCTACCCTACCCTACCCTACCCTACCCTACCCTACCCTACCCTACCCTACCCTACCCTACCCTACCCTACCCTACTCTGCCCTACCCTACTCTACTCTACCCTACCCTACTTTGCCTTACTCTTTCTTGTCCTACTACACCAACATATGTTCTACACTACCCTAATTTGACCTAACGTATCCTATTATACTCTACAGTACTTTAACCAACTTTATCTTATCCTACAGTACCCTGTATCATCGTACAGTTTCCTAACCTACCTTTCTTTACCCTACAGTACTTTGTCCTGTTTTACTGTGACCTACCGTGCCCTACACTACAATAGCCCTTAATTTACCTTACAGTAGCCTGACTTCCTTTAGTCTATTTTACAGTACCATGTCCGACTTTACTCTATCCTACAGTACTTTGACTTACCTTATCCTATCTTACATTACTCTACCCTCCTCACCTTACCGTATTCTATACTACCTTACTTTACATTTCCCTACCGTATCCTACCTTAGCCTACCCTACAGTGTTCTAAACAACATTGTCCTACCATACCGTGCCCTACCTTACTTTTACCTACTGTATCTTACTGTAATTTATCTTACCTTATCCCACCGTAACCCATTATTTTCAGGACAAAAGTCCATGCGTAGCAATAGCAATGGGTGACTGTATCATAAGCTACCGTAACATGAAGCCCTACTACAAAAGTAAACTGTCTCCGGAGTTTCTCTGTCCATCTGAGATCATGATCTGGGAAGCGGCCAAATCGAACAAGAGCATGACCTTGGATACGGTAAAGGATGGCATTAAAGAATGTCTCAAGGAGGTGGGAATGGCATCCTTATCAACCCTAAGCCTACAATTCTTGGCCCAAGCCCAGGATTCTGGACGAAGATCACTGCTACAGAGAGTCCGTCAGAATCGAGAGCCCTTTAGCCTAACCAACGTTAGGCTTACCTGTTTAGCGTCGATGAAACGACATGAACAAAGGCCGGATGGGGTGGATATGCTGGTGACAGCTGCTGAGAATGGAGCAGTTTACTTTGTGGAGACTAATGTAGGTTGGGGTGGGGATAAGGATAAATGTAGGGTAGGTAAGATAGAGTAGGGTAAGGGTAGGAGTAAGGGTAAAGGTAAGGGTAGTAGGGGTAAGGACAAGGGTAGGAGTAAGTAAGAGAACGTTAAGTAGAGTAGGGTGAGGGTAGAGAGGGCATGGGTAAGGACAAGGGTAGGGCAGGGGTAGTTAGGGGTAAGACAGAGAAAGGTAGAGCAGGGTAGGATAGGATGTGGACATTAGCGTGGGCATTTATAAGTTAGGGTAGGTTATAGGCTTGGGCAGGGGCGTGTGGTTGGACATAGGCATTAATGTGAGCACAGGAGAGAACAGGGCAAGACAGGGAAGGGAGGGGTAGGGTAGGGTAGGGTAGGGTAGAGTAGGGTAGGATAGGGTAGGGTAGGGTAGGGTAGGGTATAGGCAAGAACTTTCTTTCCAAAACAAAAAACTGCAAAAACTTTCTTTCCATCTCATTTTCCTGACTTTTTAGGCATTTATGCGCTTGGACACGGTCAAAATCACCCAAACTCCAGATGTCATTAGAACTGTAGGCTTATACGACGTCGAATTTCGTGTCTTTGTCGTATGTCGAGAAGGCGATGTTGTGATATTGAAGAAGTCGGGTGCCAATGCTACAACTCAAAGTGTCTTTCTGGTTCGAAGTCAGCCAATTTCATTGGTTTATTCGGTCAATCAGGTATGAGTTTTGCTCAAAAAAGGTGTAAAATGGCAAAAACTTTCTTTACAAAACAAAAAATAGCAAGAACCTTTTTTACAAAACATAATTTGACAAGAAGTTTCAATAAAATGTTTCAAACAAGACATTTTTAAAAGTGAAAGTAGAGTGGAAGATTTGTAATGTATTTTGCACTGAAAATCTTCCACTAACTTCCACTTTTAAAATGTCTTAAAATGATTTAAAAACACGTTTTTAACACATTTTAGAAGTGGAAGTTAAGTGGAAGATTTTCAGTGCAAAATACATTACAAATCTTCCACTCAACTACCACTCTTAAAAACCTTTAAAATGACGTTTTTAGGCCATTTTAAGACTTTTTAAAAATGGAAGTTGAGTGGAAGATTTTTAGTGTAATTTGCACTAAAAATCTTCCACTGAAATTCCACTTTTTTTAAAATGTCATAACTTTGGTGCTAGGAATGATAATGGCGTAAAATTTGTTTTTGAAGTAAAAAATGGCAAGGACTTTCTTTACAAAACGAGAAATAGCAAGAACTTTCTTTACAAAATCAGGAATTAGCAAGAACTTTCTTTACAATATGTAAAATTTCATTTCAGCTAGTCTTTTCAACCAGAGACCATCGCCTAATGTTCTACAGTGTGCGTGGTCGATGCTTGAACGAACTCCAACTTGATGACAAGATCAGTGACATTGAGGCCTTTCACTACGAAATCCGCCAATACAAAGGAGTACTAGTTGCCATAGGCAAACAGATACGGCTATACGTGGAAATGTTTCTGGTCGATGTGATCAGGACCGACGAGCCCGTGTCATGGATGAAGTTTGGCAAGCTGGGACGAGAAGAAGGTGTACTGCTCTTTGGTACCATCAGTGGTGGTCTATATACCAAAATATTTCGAAGAACAGCGACGTTGGAGGAAAGAGCACTAGTCTTGGGACCACCTGTCGCACAAAGCCAAAAACTGAATGTGCCCAAGAGGACGAAGGCTTTTATCGACCAGTCGTTAAAGGAGAGGGACAATCCGTTGCGGATTCATAAGGTAAAAGGTGGAAAATTGACCGGAAACCGAAAAAAATTGTCGATTTTTCTCTAAATTTGACGATTTTCAGCCAAATATTTTAGATTTACACCAATATTCCTCCTTCCAGGTATATCAACGAGACTTGTTCATGCTAAAATACAATGTCACAAAAGCCTTTGCTTCTTTACAATCAGGAGAAACTGGTCAAGTTCCATCAAGAGACGTAGAACCGGTCGATGTTAATGTCGAACTCCTCGGCTTCGGGCCCGTTTTTAAGATCGTGGTTAATATATCGGCTAATAAGTAAGTTATCAAAGACTTTAATTAGACAAGTTTGGGCTTAAAATGAAAGTAATAGAATGGGCCTTGATATGCTGTAAATTTTTAGTTATATTTTGAAGTTTTAGAAAAGTTATGATTAAAAATGGCAGGCTGCCTCTATGCGGAATCGAACTTTTTTTTGATTTTTGACAATTTCAAGCAAGCAAATCATGTTGTATATCGTCTAAAACCAAACTCAAATTAATACAGAAAGCTTACAAAACACCCTTCTTCAGAGAGCTACCAGAAGCCCGTCGTGTAGTCAGCTTCGTCTTCGACCACAAAGAGTACAGCATCAAGACCAACATGATCATACTGCCAGACGTGTTCCCAGTCGGAGTTCGAATGAAATTCTACACATTCTTCACATGTTTATATCCGGAAAAGCAAGCCACATCCGAGGTGAAGGTCACAATGTTCCGGGAGAAGTGGAAACAACCCATATTTTCATCCACAATCAATGTCCCCATCAGCGAGCCGGATATCAACTAGTATAATATAGATTTTGAGCGGGAATAAATTTCAGTTGTTGGAAAATGAAATTAAAATGGTTAATATTAAAAAGCCCATCAATACAGTTCTCGTATTTTACACAAAAGGTTTACAATCATTTTACAATAACACGGCAATTTTGGTTGGGTCCCACCACGAAAACAAAGCCCAGTTTTTGGTTTGGTGTTCTGTTGCAAGCGGAAAATCGAAGATCAAAAATGATATTTTACAAGTTTATTGATGTTTATGGGTTGTTTTGAGTAACATTCAATAAGTTTTTACTTGAATAAGGTCTAAAATTATTAAAATAACGTTAATCTGTCTATTTTTATGTTATCCATGGCAAATAATTGGGATTTTTGTGGTTTTTTTAATGTTTAAAGTTAAATTTTGGATTATAATGTTGAAAAACAATATTTTGTTGTTGCTGAGCGTAGTTCCTCGTATTTTACGTTGATTATTGTGTTATTTATTACTTTTAAATTGGGTTTTAATTAATTTTATATCTATAACAACTTTTAGATATGGCACACTCCAGTCAACGTGGAAAGCTTCTGGCCGTTATTGGCGACGAGGACACTGTAGTTGGCTTTATGTTGGGCGGAATTGGACAACTGAACAAGGCCAGGAAACCAAACTATTTCATTGTCGATAAGAACACCACGACCAGTGAAATTGAAGAAACCTTCAAGAACTTTGTCAGTAGAGAAGATATCGCTATTGTATTGATCAATCAACATGTCGCTGAGTTGATTCGCTTCACTGTCGACCAACACACGAGTTCTATTCCGGCTGTTTTGGAGATTCCATCAAAGGAAATGCCTTATGATCCATCGAAGGTATGTTTAATGTTTTTTGTTGTATTTTGGTGTTTAGGTAATACGGAACGGCGTATTTTGTCTTTAAATGTTACGAAGAGTTTGTTAGTGCTTTTGACAATCATCTAGAACGATTAGAGCTATTAGTACTTGAACTTCAACAAGTTTTGGCAGTAACTATCATGGATAATATAATTTTTGACGTTGGTTATTGTTTAGGTATTTTTAGTAGGTGCCGCTGCTTTTATGAGATGGGGAGTAGTTGAGTAGTGCTTGTCAGATTAATTTAAAGTTTAGGAATTAAGTAGTTTTTGAGTTACGGTACGTTTTCTCAACAGCTTTCATAGTCAATATAAATGAATATTAGCTTTTTTTTGTTTTAAAAGCTGTTTTTTGACAATATCTCGCTCATTATATATGAGACATTTTTTGTATTTCAATTTTACACTATTTAACGACATTTATTTTTCAGGATTCGATTCTAAACCGAGCCCGTGGTATGTTCAATCCAGACGATTTCTAAGCCCCAGGTCTTTAAAGTCCAGTTCACTTTGTATTTTAGAAGTTATATCAAAAGCAAATATTGTTTCTAGTGTAATTTAGAAGCTAATCTACATTTAGAAGTCTGTCATTCCTTCCAGCTTGTTCATTTTTCATCAAATTTCGATATTGTTTTAGGTCATGGCTACTCATTTTGATGTCTAATTCAACATTGTCTTTGTTTTCTACTCCGAAACCTCTTATATGGTCTTCATTGTGATATATATGTGTTTAATATGAATAAAAAATTATATATTTTTGTTATTGAATCATTCGGTATGTTGTGATAGATCTGAAAAGTACTTTAATGTTTTAGGTGGTAATTTTCTTGGTGATTGAAGAGTTTATTTGATTTTTTGAACATAGATAGGACATACTATATTCTGTTGTATTGTAAAAGGATTTCATTGTCACTATTTTATTTCAAAAGTTATGGCCCTTTTTATATGGTCATAGAGTATGAAGGTAATGCTATGTTCTTGAGCTCATAACTTATGTTCGACTAGACGGATAGTGTTGATTTTTTCATATTACAATCATAATACATTGTTCTTGCATTTTGTAAATGATTTTGTATTAGTATTGTTTTTCCCAAAAGACATGACCATTTAACATTCATCTACTTCAATATTTTCGCGATTTCTCGTGAAAAGCAGATAAAAAAGACATCTTTTCGTGTCTAATAAAGCAAAAGTAATAATAATACTAAAGTATGATATGTTTAACAGCTTGTTTGATAATTTTATCACCTAAAATTTGTTAAAAATTGACTGTTTTCGATCATTCAAGCTTGGGAACTTTCAAAATTCGACTGAAAATCTTGTTTATTCCAATTTTTCTCTTGAAAATCGACCGATTCTTAATTTTAAACAATGTAAAATGATAAGAAAAAGAAAGGGCATTAAAATCTATACGTCCCTAATTTGCATAAGTCCGATATTTTGGCCTTTCTTTCCCAAAAATCAACCATTTCCTTCAGCTTTCCTCTCGAAAATCGCTTGTTTTTGGGGTTTTCTATCGAAAAACCCCAAAATCCTCGGATTTTCGACCAAAATTCGCAAAAATCTTATCATTTTACAATCCGCGAAAACAATCGGGCGGGTGGCGAGAAGGGCGGAGTCATGGAGAAGATGTTTTTGGTTGGAATAAAAGCGGAGCCCGGCCCCAGCTCCTCAGTCCAGCTGGCTGTGCAGTTGCCGTGCGGCGGTTTTTCGTTCGTTTCCCTCGTCATCTGTGGGCGCTCTCCTCGTTTTTCGTGTTCTCTGCGTCGCAGGGTGAGTTTTGGTCGATTCGCGACGGTTTTTGGTCGATTTTCGACCATTTTGAGTGAAATTTCGAGTGTTCAATTTTGGATAAAAGTTTTGGCGTGAATTGGCAACAGTTTCAAGCTGTTTTAGCTTCGAATTACGTGTCTCTAAATCAAAATATTAAATTCACCTAATGTTGTACCACATGTCATGAATAACAGTTTAAAATAGATTTTTTTAATTTTGTTTAAAGAATCATTAACCTACCACAATTCTTTTATTTTACTCAGAGGAAATGTTAAGATTTACATTTTTTACCTACTTTTTACATGAAAAAGACTTTTTACTATAAGAAATTTGCGACCTGCGGTTTTTCGGCCGCAACCTGCGCAAAACATTCTCTACTTTTTCTGAAAAATAGCTGTTTGTGCGCCTGTTGGTTTTATAGGTATAAAGCCTTGTGTTTATCGAAAAAATAAATTCGTCTTTAATTATATATTAAAATGATGCCAAAGACGTGGAGAAACGTTTTTCATGTTAGTATTTCTATATTTTATTATTATTGTTGCAAAAAATTGGGTTAAAATCCTTCAAGGTGTATATTATCTTCTATACCTCTAAAAACCTCAATTTTTATTTAAAATTGACCGCGTTTTTTATGAACACTTTCTTTGTTATCTTCTCTATATTAGTTTATGTATAATTTTCTTAATTTTTTAGCAGAATGGCCAAGAAGAAGTCGAGTAGAAAAGCCCCGCCAAAAGCCAAGATTATCGTACCGTTAGAAACAGTCTTCAATTGTCCATTTTGTAACCACGAACGGGTGTGTGAGGTTAAATTGTATGTTTATTATTTTTTTATTTGTTTTTATCTTTAGGAAACATTAGCTATGGGCTTTTTCCAGTTTCTAGCTGAAATTCGGACGGAAAGTCTAGTGTAATATAAAAGTTGGTGCCATTGACTTTATGACGGTTTATATTAAAACACGATATTCTTAAAAGGACTAGCTAGGTCTACACAAACTTCTTAAATGGAAAGATTATTGGATTCTGTATCTTTTTGCTATTTACGGTTTATATTACTTTAGGCGGTCTGTGCTAAAACTATATATTTTCTATTAGAAATCCCTTCGTCACAAGAGCTGATTTTGTGTAAAATACGAAAAACAAGTTCATGTCTAATTTGTATTGTCAGGTTTCGTCAAAACCTTAGTTCACCCGGCTTTATGGGTCTTTATATTGTAGTAGGTACAGGTGTAGGTAAAAAGTTATTTTTTAATGCAAAACGAGGCTGCTTCTGAAAGTTTTTTGCTTTGTTAGTTAGGAAATGTTCTTGTTAATGTTTTTAATATAAAAAATGGCCATAACTTTGTCTCCAATCTTAAAACTTATCAATTTCCTATATTCACCATGGCTAATATCTGATAATCATTTTTTGCAGAGACCGACTACGGAATGTGGGCTTTATTCAATGCCGGATCTGTACGGAGAACTTCCAAACCAATATCACATATCTGTCGGAGCCGATCGACGTGTATTCGGACTGGATCGATGCCTGCGAACAAGCGAATGCCTAAACCAACATCCACCAACCTCTCCAACCACATGGTCTCATTAATCTTACAATTTGCGTATCTTTAGTAAAGTAATATTATTTGTTGATGTCAGAATGTATATTTGCCCCCGAAGTTTGATTGTTTCACCTTCTTGTTATTAATAAACCCTCCGCGAGGCTAGGTGTTGGTGATGTTGAGGTGAAAAGGCCTGGTATCTTTAGTTTTTTGATGTCTTAAAGGCTTGAATAGGTAAAATATTGTAGTATATGGTCTGTAGAGTATTTTGAGACCAAACAGTAGAAGGTTAAGATACTTTTAAGCTGTGAAAACACTAAAAATCTAGTATAATATCGCCTGTAAAGCCCCCAGAACAAGAAAAAAAGGCTAGGATCTGTCATTTTAAAGCCTTATAACTACCCAATTCCAGTAAGATACTGACAATAAGATACTTTAATTTATAAATACACCCTTTTACAGTCCGATCTGGCCAATATTATCCATGTTTATTAGGTTATATTAATAATGTACCATATAAGTGAAGGGTATAAAGCCGGTTTTCCAACGGAATAAGGTAGAGTATGACTGGTTTTTGGATGTAAATAGATGTGTTTTACTATGTAACGTAGACGGAATTAACTTATACTACTGTTTAGCTTCGGAAAAGCTAACTTTGGCTACTATAAAATTGACCAAAGCAAATTTTAGCTACTATAACATCGATCAAAGCTAAGTTTGGCTACTATAACATAGCAAAACTTGACTTAAATCACTGATAACTTGATCCAATCTTAACAAATCTACAATATAAGATACACAGTAACAATATACGATGTTTGACACATTTTTAAAATGTAAAATACAGATTTAAAGGCCTAAAAATGGTAAAAAATTTGCAATTTTCTCTATTAGACTAGGGTAGTTTTGGCTAAAATAATATTTAAAATAGTTAAAAGTCAGCTTCCGACGGTACTATTGGTACTACTAAGAAAACTTATGTTAGTACTGTTACCAATGGTACCATTAGTACCATTAATAACAGTTATACGAGCACTATTAGTAGTTGTACTATTAGTGCCATACGGAATAGCCCTAATAGTACCATAAAGAGTATTTCTATTAGTGTATCAAATAATTCTGTGCCCCTAAAACCAAAAGTTTGTTTTTTTATGGGGCACATAATTATTTGAACAACCTATTATAAAGAATAGTACTATTGGTACCACAATACCAAAAATGGTATTACTGGTACCACCCAAAATAGTACTATTGGTACACTAACAAAAGATAAAACACAAAAAAGAAGATATACATATCACAATGACAATATATAATGAATAACATAGTAATTTATAACAATTATACTTATTAATCTCAATTCTTGGACTTCATAACCCTCCACTCCGATCGTGGAATCTTCTGGAACATCTGGATCCGATTGTAGAAGATTTTGAACCAAATTAGGCCTAGGATGGTGCAGATTGCGGATGAAATATAGTACCCATCCACTTCCCACTCACACAAGTCTCCGCCGGCTTTGCACAGGTCCTCCTCGTGCTTCTTCGTGCACGTACCCAGGATTCTGAAAATGAAAAATTGCAAAAACTTTCTTTACAAAATTAGAAATGGCAAGAAATTTCTTTACAAATCAAAAAATTGCAAGAACTTTCTCTACAAAACATAATATAGCCATAACTTTCATTTTAAAACCCAAAAAGACGAAATTAAAAAAGTGGAAGTTGACTGGAAGATTTGTAATGTATTTTCCACTGAAAACCTTCCACACAACTTCCATTTTCAAAATGTCTTAAAATGGTCTAAAAACACGTTTTTGACCCTTTTTAAAGTGAAAGTAAGTGGAAGATTTTCAGTGCAAAACACATTACAAATCTTCCACTCAACTTCCAGCTTCTAAAAAATGCCATAACTTTTTGGACGAATTTTCAAATAACATCAAAATTATTGACAAATGACAGAATAACAAGATCTTTCGTTATGTTAAAACAAATTTTCAAAAAATTTGCGAAAACTTTCTTTACAGCTCAAAAAAACACTTAAAAATCATCAAAAATGGCCTTAAAATCGACTGAAAACCATTGAAACTTAAATTTAAAGCCTGACTGTTTATCAAAAAAGGTTCAAAATACCAATGCTTTCAATTGTGTCAAAACAAATTTTTAAAAATTCGCAAAAACTTTCTTTACAGCTCAAGAAACCTTGAAAAATCATCAAAAATAGCCCTAAAATCGACCCAAAACCCTTAAAAATCTCATAAAACCTCAAAACAACGACAAAACTCACGTTTGGTTAACAGCACTGACACAATTCTTTTTATTAAAGAAGTCAGTAATGGCCAAGACAAAGGTGGCTGGCCAATTCCCACCCAGGTTGTTCAATGTATTCAGCAATGTCATGTAGGTACCACCGATCTTCGGATCCGAGATTTGAGCATTGAAAGCCATCATTGATAAGAAAATACAGTATGAGGAGATTTGGTGAAGGTAGTAGGCACCAATCCAGATCACATAATATAGGTATGGATATTCACCATTGGCTTCCCTGAACGATGGAGTCCAATAGACCAGGGCGGCGAAGGCTACACCCATTAGGATTCTAAAAAATGACATTTTAAAACTTATCTTGTCTTAAAATATTTCAAAATTATTTTTTAAATTGTCAAAACATATTTTTCACAAAAAAATCCGCTTTTGAATCAACTTTTCAATGTTTTTGGACCACAAATAACAAAAATAGTATCAAAAAGTGTACCAGTAGTACCACACCATCACAGGAATGTATCCTTTACCTATATCAACCTAATTAAAAATGTAAAACTAGCGAAAAAATCAGTCAAAGCCTTTTTCCTCCAAGAGAATTCGAACCAAAGCGGTTTCGCGCCAAAATCCAGCGCACTACCACTATACTAGGCCGTTTTTCAGCTATTTCTTCGATTTTTATAGCAAATTTTACATGTTTTTAGGTCTAAATTTCATGCTGAATTTGAATTTTTTATCAGATTTTTAAAATTTCAAAAAAATAGTCATTAATTGCAAAACTTTCCTTCAGTCGAAAAAATACGCAAGAACTTTCTTTACAAAGCAAAAAATAACAAGGACTTTCTTTCCAAAACCATAGGTAGCAAAAACTTACTTTCCAAAGCAAAAAATGACAAAAACTTTCCTTATAGAACAAAAAATTGCAAAAACTTTCTTTACAAAATGAAAAATGGAAATAATTTTCTTTGCAAAACAAAAAATGGCAAGAACTTTCTTTACAAATCAAAATATGACAAGAACTTTCCTTCCAGATTCCAAACCCCCAAACCTTCCACCTACCTATAAGGATAAGCCCATAAGAACACATTCAGTGGTTTTGGTCCGGCCGTTTGTTTCCCCAATAACCACGGTAAAATGATCTGTAGCGGCGTCAGGAATATCGATCTTGAAGCGATCTTATCAGTCGTTATTCCAGCATTGATAAGCTTCAAATCAGTCATGGAATCAGCGGCGGCGAAAGCAATTTTGGCCGTTAATAGGACCACAACCATGACTCGCATTGGCTTTAGGCAGAGGATCTTGAATAGTACTGAGTAGGTCTCGAACACGCCCAGATGCATCTCCTCGTCTGGTTCTGCTGGTCCTCCGGTTTGATCTTCCAGTTTTTCTTGTTGTGATGGTAAGGAATGGTCGATTTCGTGCTTGAAGAAGAAGACTAGGGTGGTTGAGACCACGAACACCCATCCCCAGAAGAAGACAAAGCCTGAAAATGGGTTGAAATTAAATTTTTGGGGCGATCAACATAGTAAAAATTAAATTTTTAAGCTATTTTATATAGTAAAAACTAAATTTTTAAGGACAAATCAACCATGTTTCCCCTCACTACCCAATATATACATTGTCTGCCCTCCATTGAACGTGGTCCCCCCTGTGGATTTTTTCCACCCGCGCCCCCAGACCAAAAGTCCCCTCCCGGTCCTGCATTGTTTGATTTTAATATCCCTTCTATAATATGTAAGCAGGCATATTGTAATCGAAAGCAAAAGTAATGCTCGTTGCGCAATCAATTATAATATAACAGAACGTGCGTCAAACGTCACATCACAAATTTTCGCTTTCGACGCCGTTCCGCACGGTAAGCGCCGGCTTCCGTAAAAATTTTAGGGTTTTTGGGTTGAGTGTAGGCTTGATTTTCGGTTGTAATTTTGATATGCTTTTTGGAAATTTTGTTTTTTTCTTATTTTTTAAATTAAAATTAGTTACTTTTTTTAAAAAAAAATTTTATTGCCATTTTTTCGTTTATAAAAACAAAAATTTGCTTCTTTTAAATTTTGCCTTTATTTTCAGGCTTACAGTGCCAAAATTTAGCTTAAAAAGCCAATAATCAAATGTTAAAAAAGTGTTATCGTTTTTCAACTTGCCAATCCATGTAAATAACCGACGAGACTTTTTTAAACCCCCTGAAAAGATTTTTTTTCTAAATTTCTATCCTACCGTACCCTAAAGTATATTACTCTAATCTGCCATACCCTACCCTTATCTAACCTAAAATACCCTATTCTACCCTACCCTACTCTACCTTAGCCTGCTCTACTATACTCTACTCTACTCTACTCTACTCTACTCTACTCTACTCTACTCTACCCTACCCCATCCCACCCTACACTACATTTCCATACCCTACTCTACTCTACCCTACCTTACCCTACCCTAACATACCCTACCTTAACCTACCCTACCCTACCCTACTCTACCCTACTCTACCCTACCTTATCCTACCCTAACATACCCTACTTTAGTCTGCTTTACTCTGTCCTGCCCTATTCTGCTCTACCATACCCAAAAAAAGATCGATAATTTTGTTCTCATTCTGAAAGTTCAAAATTTCAAAAAATAATATTGTTTTAAAAAAAACCTTCAAATTTAAAAAAATCCTCTTTTCATTCAATATTATCCACCTTTTTTCCGGCTCCATATCTTTACAAAACTCATTCTTCTTTTTTTGTATTTTGATTTCGTGTACAAATTCTATTACGTTCGACTCTTTTTCATTCTTTTCGCTTTTTAAAATGCCCATTTTCCCGCCGTTATGATTCATTTTCGTTCGTTTTTTTGAAACAAATTGCTAGGTATAATATTAGTTTGGGTTGTTAAGGCTTGAAAAAGGTTTTGCTCAATTGGGAAAGCGGTTTCTTGGGTAATTGAAAATGAGTTTTGTCTGGTTAGTCATCGGTTGTATTTTGGTCGATCTTGTATATATTTGGGTCTTTGCCAGAAAATGTAAACTTACTCTACCCTACCCTTCGATATTTTTATTTTTTGTCATTTCTTATCACTTTTTGGCCGTTACTGTAGATATTATCAGGTTCCGACATAAAGAGCCCGCCATTTTTACAGGAAATTACAGGAAAAGTATAACGGGTTCTTTATGTCGGGGTGAGGTTTAAAATTCCAAGAATGTGAGGTTTAAAATTTCAAGAATTTTAAAAGTTTCCTTAAAACTCCCCTAAGATTCAAAAAAATCCCCGTACCCCTCCTTAAGTTCATAAAAACCCCTCTTCAACCCCCGCCCCCTCTAAACTTCACAAATTTACCCCTCCGCTCATCTACTTCCATAAAATTCCAAAAAACGTACCTCAACCCCCCTTAAAGGTCAAAATTTCGATTACCCCACCCTAAAAATTCCAAAAAACCTATCTTAACTTCAAAAAATCTCCCTCCCCCCCCCCACACCCTAAAATTTCAAACCCCCCTCCCTAAAACTTCTAAAAACCCATCACCCAACCCCTTTAAAATCCTCAAAATCCGTCCTTTTATGCAAATTTTATGTGTATTGCCGAAACTTCCCCACTCCCACCGAATTTTGACGTGTTTCGATGGAAATTCGATCGCTTTTCGGGGGCGCTTTTTTGATCTGCCGCTCCCAGCAAAATAGCGAGCGCTCGCTACAAACTAATAACAAATGTGGGCCAGCGTTGGGTGGGTAATTTAGGCTTGGAGTGGGAGTTAAACAGAGCCATAAGTAGATCTTTAAAGAGGCAGGGTTGAACGAAAAGTTATCCCTAGGCCTAGCCAGGGCAACACACTGCTCTAGGGCCGGGCCCAATTTTTCGAATCGGTCCAAGGTCCAGGCCTTGATTTAAAAACCGGGCTTCCGGCTCTCTCTATGGGGCTTAGTATAAGGCCTAGTGAGCTTCACTTACACGTCTATTCATAGATACAGTGGAACTCCTCTATAACGAATCGCTCGGGGACTTGAAATTTGTTCGTTATAAAGGAGTTTCGTTATACAGGAGTTTTAAATGCACTGTGCAGTGGTAGACGGGGATTTAAAACTTGTTCGTTATACGGGAGTTTCGTTATAGAGGAGTTCGTTATACAGGAGTTCCACTGTAAGTTTAAAATAAAAAAAAATTGTTCGAAAAAAATCCACAGGGGGGACCAAGTTCAACTTTTTTTTGAAAAAAAAACTGAAGATTTTCTTTCCATGCCTTCTTTCAAAACAAAAAAAAATGAAAAATGTGATTATTCTTCATACTTTTTGACCACACTTTTACTTTAATCAAAATTTTCAATTTTCAACAAAAAATTGTTAAAAAATCCACAGGGGGACCAAGTTTAACTTTTTTGTAAAAAAATTGCAAAAATCACCGTGCCTTCCCTTGTCCAAAATTTTTTTTATTTAGGAAACACATTTTTCCTCCCCATCCCCCCCCCCTCAACAAAAAAAACGTGAAGATCACTCTTCCCCTAAAAAAAAAACTTTTGCAAATCACCCCCCCCTGACCCAAAAAAAATTTAAATATGCCCTATTCTTCTTACTTTTCTACCTACCTCTCCTATCCTACCCTATCTTCCCCTCCCCCCTCCCTACCCCCCTCCTCCAAGTGATAAAAATTTTAAATTCACAAAAACTTTTTTTAATTCGTCACTTCTTTCATTAGAATGATAAATATACATTAAACTTGGCTATAAACTAGTGGCGGCCTTATTCCTTTTTTACTTTCTTTTTATATTCGTATTTGGGGCGAAATAAATGGCATTTTAAGACTTTCGGCAAAAAAAAAACGTTTTTTTTTCAAATTTCAACTTGTATCATTTTACTATGTCTGGCATAGTAAAGTCATATCGGGTGGGGGTGATGTTAGCAGCTTTTTTCAAAAAGTTTACCCTACTCTACTTTACTCTACCCTACCTAACCCTACCATTTTCTACCTTACCCTGCACTGCCCCGTAAAATATAATTTTTCTGTGATACTGTAATTTTATATTGTCATACTGTAATTTTGTATTTCATACTGCAATATTATTATTGTATTTGATAATTCTGGTCGATTTTATCAAGTGTTGGCTATTAAAATTGTGTTTTTATACCATTTTTATTCGTTACAGTATTCTACCATACCGCAAGCCTAAAACATTAAGGGATGGGGTTAATTAATTAAAATTTTAGGCGTCGTAAGCCATTTTAATATTATATTTTTTATAAAAAATTCAATTTTAGAATGTTACGACATCTAACACTTCGATCTCGAACGTTTTTGGGTTTTCTTGTTTTGGTGCTAATTTCGCTGCCCTTGAGTACGATTCAACGTACTGCACGTGAGTTTTTACAAGCCCAAAATGGCAGAAAGTGCGTATTTTACACTATTTTATCATTTTTTTTATTTTCAAGCAAAGCCTTGTAACAGTATTCTCACCACCGCTTAGTTTTACTTACATTATCCTTTTTATACTATATCCTATACTCCTCTGCCCAAAACTAAATCACTATAATCTATCTTATTCTACCCCACACAACCCTACCTTAGCCTACCCTATTTTGCTATACTCTAGTATTTTACTTTCTGCGCTAAGCCTAAAATGTTTACTTACAAGGGAATGTTACAAACTGCCCATTCGCTTTTTAAAAATGAATGGTACCATGTGAAAGAGCGTAAAAAGTTGACTAGAAATCTATTTTCAAAAACTGCTAATTTTGCTTTACAAACCCGCTAGCGAGCTTTTAAAATTTTTACTATCAAAACGGATTTTTTAAATCCGCTTCCTTTTGGCTTCTTTCAAAAAGGAGAAGTAAATGTGTTCGAATGGCCGAGTGGTCAAAGGCGCCGTGATTGCGCAATCAATGGACTTCAGGTTCGATTCTCTTTTTGGGTAATTGATTGGTATTCTTTTTTATTTTTAATTAATTTGTAAATATTCAAAAAAATTTTTTTTGTTGATAATGGCTTCTTACATCTAATAAAACATAAAAAAAGTAAAAACTAAGGTTTTTAAAAATACAAGAATCCAAAAGAAAGAATAACAACTTAAAAGGCCCTTTCAATAGTGATTTTAAAAGCTCGCTAGCAGGCTTATAAGGCAAAATTAGCAGTTTTTAAAAGCAGGTTTCTAGTCAACTTTTTACGCTCTTTCACATGGTACCATTCACTTTTAAAAATCGAATGGGCAGTTTGTAACATTCCCTTGTTAGGCCTAAAATTGCGTAAGCCTAAAATCTCTCATTTATCCTACTCTACCATATCCTACAGCATGTTACAGTACCCCCATCTCAAGTTACACCATCCCTATCATATACTAGCTGTTCTTTAAGCCTAATACAACTACCTTTGACTTTTTTAAATCTAGTACTACTATCTTTTACCTCTTAAATCCTAGTACTACTATCTTTCATTCCGTTCTCTACGATCTGCCCTAATATCCTACAGTGTTCTTTATAAAACGACCCTTACTATTGTATGTTACTATGGGGGTTTTTGTTTCGCAACCGCATCAATCAATCAAAGATCGGAGATTGTTTTTGCGGCTCGCCGGAAACGGACCGCGAATGTCCGGAACGGTGTTTTACACACACCGTTAACAAGTACAATTTCTTGCAAAAGCGTGTTTTTGTAAACAGTTTGGAGAAGGGGGGGGGGATCACTCCGAAATTTATTGTAATCATTTTTTTGTTTTTTAAAGTTTATTGTTACTGTGAAGAATGCTAATGTTACTACCTTTACCATAGCCCTTACCTATACCTAGTGTTTTGCTGGGCCGTATCTAGTCCGGATTAGACATGAGGAACAGGCCGGGTCTGAAAATCAAGGCCCGGGACGTTTCCACGTTAAAAAAATTCGGTCCGGGCCTGGATGTTAGGCCCGGCCCGTTCTTCGTGCCAAGTCCGGAACGAGTTCCGGTCTAGATGGTCCGGTCCGAAAGAAGATTTTTTGGACCGGACCGGGGTCAAAAACTTGCTAACTACGGCAAAGCACCGTCTATAGCATACCCCCCCCCTACCTCTGCCACTACCCCTAGCTCTACGACTACCCCTACCCTAGATCTACTTTTACCCCTACCCTACCTCTACCTTTACCTCTACCCCAACCTCCACTCCTATCCTTGCTCTACTCCTATCCAAACCCTCAACCCTAACCCCTACCCTCAATGCTTCATCAAAACCCTATCAATTACACCTACAGTAAGATTACAATGACCCAAAAGCGAATTACAATAACCGAATTACCACCAAATAATATTTAAAAAATGCTGGCGCCAGAAAAATTAATTTTTTTAATTCCAACAAAACCTAACTCGATTATGTTATGTATGTGTGGGTAAGGAAAAAAGCGATCCGACCACCTAATCGAGCGTGAAATATGGGTTACGGTAGGTGGAGGAAGTGAGTAATTTGCATTTTTTTACAAAAAGTAGGGGTTAAATGAGGTGTATGGGTACTGTACCTTGAAGTAGGGGTACTGCAGCATGATATAGGGCCAAATGTAACATGAGCTTCATGTGCTGTAGCCTGAGGTAAGAGTATTGTTTTGCCAGACCGGTCCAGATGTGACTTTTTTTGGGTCCGGTCCAGTCCAAAATATTATTTTTCAGACCGGTCCGGACATACCCGACAAAACACTGAATAGGGTTACTGTAACGTGCGGTAAGGGTGCTGATCTCTTAATTCTTTATGCCTGATACTATCACTTTTACTTTTAAGCCTAGTTCTATTATCATTTATTCCTTTATGCTCCGAGATTTTAATGCTTTAAGCCTGATACTCTTTCTTGTACTTCTGTAAGCCTAATACTATCTCTTTCATTCCAACTTTTTAAAACATTCGATGAATGTGTTAATCAATTATATAAAAATTGTTGTCAAGTGTTTAATTTCACACAAGCAGATGTTGTGTGTCACGTGCATTCACGAGGCTCTTTGTCTACGTTGTAAACGTTAATTTTTGGTAAATTCGCGCCGGAAGCACGCTCTTTGACATTCGATTTTCTTGGATCAATTTCAAAGTTTCTTTTCGATTTTTAAAAAAGAGAACAAACAGTTAGTTTAACTTGCAAAGGTACACAATAAACTTCATGAAAGCTTATAAATTGTCATGAGGGAACTAACAAAGAGCAGTAAGCTTCTATATTCACGTAGCAAAGTTTAAAACTCAAAGAAAAGTTGCAGCAATTTTCAAAAATTCAATTTCACTTCAAAACAACAAAATTTTTCAAATTTTTAAGCACTATTTTACTCTTTCCAGATGACAATTGCAAGTCGGATAAACTACGGGAGATTATACTCGAAACCGTCGGGCTTTACCCACATCAATACAGTTATCAAGCCAAGTAAGTTGCAAAGGAAGCGTACCCACTAGCACCTGTAAAGGGGCCATGCCAAGCTATTTCTCGACCCGACCCGCATAATGAACGTTGGTCTGACTCCAGCTCTCTAGCCCAAATGCGCAGGCCCGGCCTTTTCAAATTTGCTTCAGCAGACCTGAAAATGGGCCCCAAGCTGTGCCAAGGCTTAGCAAAAAGCATATTTTTGGCTAAAATTTTCGTTTTTAGGCATATGAAACAAGTGGCCGAGCAGCGATTCGGCAATTGGTGGAGCGCTGTCATTATTAGTGAGCGTGGCGGCTACGGAATGTCCGCTATCTACGATCAATTTCAGAATACCAGGTAAGGTATTATACCAAAAATTAAACTACTCATTAAAAATCTAAAAATCAGCCAAAAATCTAAAAATCAGTCAAAATTCCCAAAAACAAGCCACCAAATAGACCAAAAATTTCAAATTTACATTTTCCCGTCAATACAAAAACCTACGTTGCATTGAGTTTCAATGAGTTTATCGACCATTTTTAGGTCTATAATAAATAAAAATGTCATTTCAAGCCATTTCAACTCATTTTAAATATAAACTTTTAAATTTATGTTTTCCCGCCAAATCAGGCAACGTTTTGGCATAGTGTTTCAATACTAATTTTTGACTTATTTAACCATAAACAGCTCTAGCATAAACTCTTAAATTACAAAAATACCATAAAAAGATATTTTGAATGATTCCCGCTCAAAAAAATTCAAATTTTCCTTTTACCGCCAAATCAGGCAGCTTCTTGGCATTGTGTTTTGACTTGTTATTATTGTAAATACTGCTGTAAATTGTCTTGTTGTATCTTTTTTAAACCTAATTTTTCGTATTTTAGTTGTGAACTCATGTTATTTGACACATTTTACTGGTTGGGAAGAACATGCTGATCCTCAGCTCAAACTTCAATATTAATATCGCCGCTTCCAGTCTGTATATACCCTCAAAAACATAAACTATGAACCCGCATTTGAAGGCCAAGGGAATCTCAGCTTAATTCGCTTTAATGTTTTTTCGATTTTTAATAAATTTTTTTTATTATATTACACTTGGCTTGTTTGGTGATACAGACCTTATTTTATCGTTTCGATTAAATTTTTAGCCAATCTTTGATAACCATCAATTTTCCCTATCCGTATTTTACAAATAAAAACAATCTTTGAACGATTTTTTTTAAATTCTCAGAAAAACATGTTTCATCGTACAACATGACTCGTGCAGGCTGCAGAAAGCTATTTTTAAGTATTTTTGCCCTCAAAATGCCCCAAATTCAGTTCTTAAACAATAAGAAGTCTTTTAAAATTAACAAACTATCATTTTTAACCAAAAATTTCAAAAAATAAAAAATATTAAACCTACCATCAAACTCGACCAGCCCCTTGTCCTGTGGCACTGTGCGAATCCATTTGTTAGCGAAGTCTTTGCTTTGAAGGGTCAGAAAGACCACATTTCCCATGAAAAAACCGACTGTTTGGCCAACAACATTACACGTTGACGCGTATCCAACGTTTTTTCTGAAATTCAAATTATTTTTGTTACCTAAATTTTCAGTTTTTTCACGAAAAACCGTTTTTTAGTCACCTAAGCTAATAAAAACCTCACATTTAGTAGATAATAGTCAAATATAGGCTTTTAGGATAACGTTTAAAAAGTGGAAGATTTTCAGTGCAAATTACATTACAAATCTTCCATCAATCTTCCATTTTTTTCAAATTGTCATAACTTTGTAATCCTACGTTTAAAATCCCTCAGAAGTGCCCAAGAACAAAAGAAAAAACCTTTTTGACCACTATAGCCCTATCCTACTCTATAACCTACCTCGACAACATAGTCAGAGCCCATCCATCCACTGCGATATCTTGAGTTGCAGCCAAAAAGTTCAATGGCAAAAAGACGGCCATTAAGAAGAAGACATTCGGCTGAGTGTCACCTTTTGTGCCCATAATTTCCGGTACGTAATAACTGACGACCAGGAGGAAAGCACCAATCAGGTACTGGCATGGTACCATCCACGATTTCCTTCGGCCAATGCTTTTGAAGTAGAGTGAGTCGACGATGGGGGCCCACAGTAGCTTCATACTGTAAGATTTTTGGTTAGAACTGATTTTCACTACATCCTTACACACTGAGCTCCATCCTCTAACGCTAATTTTATACCTTTTTACATCGAGTGTCAATGAAAAATGACATTAAAAATTGAAAAACCTCTGTTTTTAACCAAAATTAGACGGTATTTTAGAAAAATATTTTTAATGAAAAATGGCATTAAACATTGAAAACTCTATTTTTTCGCCGAAATTTAGTGAAAACCCAAAGTTTCTGCCATTTTCTATGTGACCCTATTGTCCTACATGTAAAAACTAAGTTTATACTAATCGAGAATAAGCTAATAATCATAAGAGGCAACGTTAATTCGGCCAAAAAGTCCTTAGCCCCCTCAATTTTTCAAAACATTTCCTCAAATTTGGCCGTTTCTTACTGATTACTGATTTTGGTCGATTTTTGCCATTTCGCCCCGTTTTTAGCTCAATTTTGCCTTTGAATCTACGTTGTACTGACATGACATTACACTACTTTTGCAATATCATTCATAAAAAGTTGATTACGTTTTTCAATTAAAAAGTACCAAAAGCCCTACCTGAAAGGCCAATGAGCGAAGGAGAATACCGCTTGCTGAGCATAAGTGATTTCTTTACTTTGTAAGATCAATGGAATGGCTGAGATCAATCCGAGTGGAATACCCTGAAGAAATTCGTATTAAAATTTAAAAATTTTTTTTTCAAAAATTTAAAAATACACAAAATTAAGAAAAAACTGCCAATGAAGTAGATAGAAATGACGTATTTTACGTACCTGAAGTAAATATAGGAACAAAAGCAAAAAAATAGAAGCAAAGTCGTCTTTTAACGTCCGCCGCATCCGTTGAATCCATGTGAACGGGCGCAGTAAAAATGGCTGAAAATCGTATTTTAAAAACTAAAAAAAAAAATATTTTTATGAAAACCTAAATTTTATCTTACTTTGCACTTTCAGTATTCATAAAAATCAAATTTTAGACCAATTGTCAATAGTCACAAAATCCGATAAATTTTGTGACAGTTCGTCAAAAAGTACGAAACCTTTGAATTACTTTAAAAGCAGGATTTTATAGCCAATGTGCAGAGTTTGTACCGTATTTTACAAATTTTTTTTAAATTTAAAATGGTTTTAAAATCCGATAGATTTTGTGACATTTCGCAAAATTTTTTAAAAATTTGACATTTCGTTATCTAAAATAAGACAATTATCTAAAATCCCTAAAAAAATCTAAAATCGCACCGTTTTGGCGTACAACTGTGCGTAATGTGCGTCTTCGGCCAGGTGTTCTTTGGTCAAGAAACCGCCGGTTTCGTCGTCTTCGACCGGTCGTTTTTCGGGTGTTGGTGAGACCGGTCGATACAAGTATGGCATGTTCGTACCGGCGGCGTCAAAGTTCGCCTCACGAGCAATCATATCCTGCGCATCGTGCATTGCATCTGAAAGAATTCTCGTTTTTATGTCATCATGACGGAAATAGTGAAACATTTTAAAATTTTTAAATGTAAAGAAAGTCCTTGTCATCTCTTGCTTTTTTAAGAAAGTTCTTGCCATTTTTTGTTTTGTAAAGAAAGTTTTTGCCATTTATTGTTTTGTAAAGAAAGTTCTTGCCATTTTTTGTTTTGTAAACAAAGTTCTTGCCATTTTCCCCCAAACTTTCAATAAAAAAGCTATAAAAAGTCGCTGAAACTTTAAAATCATCGACTAAAATAACATGAAAATACCATTAATAACCACGTCAGCTGATGTTTAATGTTTTTTTTATTATCATAACGTTTTTTCCACGATGACAGACGTATTAATATCGCTCTCATAGTTAATATCGACTTTAAAACAAGCTTGCTTTATAGACAAAAGTACTTTATTTGTTGAGAACGATGTGGGAATTACACCGTTCTGTAATTCCCCCACCGTTCTTCGTGGAATTAGCTTAAAATTTGAGAAAAATAGTAATTTAGATAACAAATTTAGTAAATTTGTTAGCTAAACTAACATAAAATTGGCTAAAAAGGGCCATCTTTAAGTTCCTAACTTGTTTTTGCCCTTTTAAATATTAAAAAAAATTTAAAAATTTTAATTTTCGAAAAAAATTTTAGTCGATATTAACTACGAAAGCAATATTACTAACTCTGTCATCGCGGAACAAACGTTATGATAATAAAAAAACATTAAACATCAGCTGACGAGGTTATTAATGGTATTTTCATGTTATTTTAGTCGATGATTTTGAAGTTTCAGCTACTTTTTACAGATTCCTTATTGAAAGTTTTTGGAAAAATGGCAAGAACTTTTTTTACAAAACAAAAAATAGCAAGAACTTTCTTTACAAAGCAAAAAATGACAAAAACTTTGCTTACAAAGCAAAAAATAGCAAAAACTTTCTTTACAAAACACAAAATGGCAATAACTTTCTTTACAAGACAAAAAATTGCAAAAACTTTCTTTACAAAATGAAAAATATCATAAATTATCATTATAAAATCCCATGTTGCCGCACTATTCAATAAAAATCGCCATGCAGGCTGCGAAAGACATCTTATACGATAAGTATACATGGCAAGAATTTACTTTTTTATTGCCTTATTTTACCGCAATATACTCTGCTTTACATTCTGTCCAAAAACAATTTTTTATACAAAAACGCCCCTCTATCTAATATTTTTATAATAAACCAGCCCATATTATCAACAAACGGTACCTTTTATGACCCATACCATGCCTTTCATTGGCCTCAACGTAGTATTACTTTGTCGGCCGCTATTTTTTCAAGTTTTAGTCTGTAGCAAATCACAAAATCTCAATTTTTTGCGAAATTTCAAAGTTTAAATTCGAAATTTTAAAAATTTTTTCAAAATTTCAAAAATTTTCAAAATTCAAAGCCTCTGTAGCAAAATAAATAAAATATTATGTCGAATCGACCGTTGGTAGAGAGAGCCGGAAATCAGTCTCGCCGCGCGCGAAATTGACAAAATTTCCATGGTTGGGGGCGGGGCTTCGACTTCCGTTCAAAGCCGATCGAACGGAACGACAAAATACCCCCCCCCCTTCCATCAATAAACCGCGGTTTTTTAAACCTTTTTTGTTGCAGGTTTGATCGATTAGTTACAAAAAGTGGTCGTAATTTTTAAAAAACCATCAAATTAAAAAAGGCTTGTGTTTCGCGACAAAAAAACTTTTTCAAAGTTCGCAGACATTTTACAAATTGAAATTACACTCTAATTTTAAAAGTTTTACAAAAAGCAATATTTTCGCTATAACCTTCTTTACAAAATAAAAAATGGCAAGAATTTTCTTTACAGATTAAAAAATGACGAGAACTTTACTTTACAAAACAAAAAATGACAAGTACTTTCTGTACAAACTAAAAAATCGCAAGAACTTTCTTTACAGATTAAAAAATGACGAGAACTTTCTTTACAAAACAAAAAATGGCAAGAAATTTCTTCACAAAACAAAAAATTGGCAAGACATTCCTTTACAAAGCCTTAAATTACTGCGTTTTTGAATGAAAACACCCCGTTTTGTAAAGAAAGTTCTTGCCATTTTTTGTTTTGTAAAGGAAGTTCTTGTCATTTTTCGTTTTGTAAAGAAAGTTCTTGCTATTTTTTGATTTTTAAAGAACGTTCTTGCCTTTCTTTGTATTGTTCTTGCGACTTTATGTTCTGTAAAGAAAGTTCTTGTCATTTTTTGCTTTGTAAAGAAAGTTCCTGCCCTTTCTTATACTGTAAACAAAATTCTTGTCATTTCTTTTTGTAAACAAAGTTCTTGTCATTTCTTATTTTGTAAGTTAAGTTGTTGCCATTTCTTTTGCTATAAACAAGGTTTTCGTCATTTCCTTCTCGCGAATCCTTGATTTCAATTAAATTCGTCGATTAATTTTTAACAAATTACAATTTAAACACATCATAATCGCATTTCCTGTGCGAATACAAAACAGACTACAATCAATCTCTTCTGCTCGACCGACTCGCACGCTTTTCATTGGTCGATTTCGAATTAACTTACCGTATAAGCCTTGGTGTTCGCGGACTTGTCGCGTCCGTCGACGGATCTCGCTTTGGTCGCGTACTCGATTCGTCATACTGTTCAGCACCCGTACTAGCTTTCTGGTCCACGGTCTGGTTAGATGGTACGTTTTGGAGATTTATAGATGGCGCTGAAAATCCTCGTTTCCAATGCAAAATCAGGCTTAAAAGTCACTGAATTTCAACTCGAAGTTATACCTAAACTTCAACAAAAAATCAAAATACTTACCTTCTTCCTCAATATCCAGTCGAATAAGCCAAAATTCGCCCTCAATATTGCCCAAACTTGACGTAGAAAAACCTTATAATCAACCTAAATTCATATAACAAGCTGAGAAACACGTTTTTTGACTAAAATTGAACGATTTTTAATAAAATACTCCAAAATCCTCGCGGTATCAAAGACAATATTGAAAGTCAAATTTAAAACCCGTATTTTACAACCTTAAAATCCTCAAATTATTAACCACAAAACCATATGTAATAACAAAAAACCAATATAGTTCAGATTATAGCCTAATTTTGAAGTAAACGACCTATTTTTGATATTATCCTTGATACCAATTTGTTCAAAACATAAAATAATTTTAGAATTATTTATCTCAACTAAATATGGCTTAAAAGAAGTCAAATGCCAATATCTTTAAACCGTATAAAAAGCAAAAAGGTAATAATCCTCATATTTTCAAAAAATCAAAAAGAATATTATTTTACGTTCAATACCTACATTTTTGAAGAAAATAGTGCAAAAAGCCTAAAGCTGCTCAAATTATTGTCTATGATATTATAAAGCAACCTTTTTTGTACCTAAAACATTGAAAAACCTGCCAAAAACCAGGTAAATTAAACATGAAAGCGATTGAAAACCAATGAGAACTTCGATAATCAGCCCCGTTACCTCTACCTTTATTAACAAGCTTCAAAATCTATTTAAATTCTTGATACTAAACAAAATCTAAACCATAATATAATAGAGCAACATCTTTTCCATCTATAACATCACAAATTTTATGAAAATCCTCCTATATTACCCATGAAAACAGCTGTAGACGAAGGTGAACATCAAAATTCAAAACCAAAAATTTTGTAACAAAAATTAACAATGTAAAACAAAAAAAAGGCTTGTATCACATGTAATTAACAGTAATAACCTTATTTACATTCCATTTTTGTGATACGTGGAATTATTTTTTTAATTTTATATATCTTCGACGAAGTGTCACACATTTATCGGTTTTTTGCGCGAAGAGTCACAAAATTATCGGATTTTGTTTTCATTGACTTTTTGGGATGAAACTTAAAAAAAAAAGTATTTTATAAAATTTAAAAACTAAAAAAAAACATTTTTAAAATTTTTATTTTATTACAAGTTTAATATAAAAATGTAAACCCACCTCTTTTTTTTGAATTTTCACCTTCTTTATCTCCATTTTCAGCATTTGATATGGTAAACTGATGTTTCATGCCCTGTTCATCTTCAGGAGGTAATATCTGAGGTGGAGGCTCGTTACGGACCACTGAGGCTATTTGCGACATCTAAAAAGTATCAGATATTTAAAATAAATATTCAAAATAAAAAAAATTTTAATTAAGTATTTTTTCAAAATAAAAATTGAAAACATATTCAAATTCAATATTTTTTCATTTTGCCGCTCTAAAATTTATAAAAAATTAAAAAATTTTTACTATACCCCGTACCCTACCGTACCCTACCGTTACCTGCCATAACTTACCGTACCTTAACGTTCCCTACTCTAATGTACCGTACCGTACCCTACCTACCCCACCAAAAAATTATGAATAAAAAACCAACCGACTGGTCAATCAGCTCCAAAATCTGGCCGAATAGCCGGAGGGGGTGTTCATTTCAAAAAATCGACGGAAATCGAGAATCTTGTTCCAAATCGGATTAGAGCGCAAAATTTGAGTAATTTTTAGAATTTGTTTGTACAATTACTCGCCTTCGAACTGTACTGTTACCTAAAAAACAATTGCTTTACTTTTTGAGATGAAGCTTGACTTGGATTAGCTGGAATTTTAAAAATATTTTTTTTTGACGAAAACTTTCTTTACAGATAAAAAAAATCATAAAAAACTAAGAAAACAAGCAGTTTTACATATTAATTGCCGACATAAGGAACCCACCATACTTTGCCTGTAATTTCTTGTAAAAAATGGCGGGTTCTTTATGTCGACGCTTAATAAAATGCCATAACTTTTTCGACCAAAACTCAAATGTCATGAAATTTTATAATTTAACACATATTAGCATGCTCTTTCACTAAGTTAAAACAAATTTTTAAAAATTAGGGAAAAACTTTATTTACAGCTCAGAAATCTGGAAAAAATTGGATAAAGTCGGCAAAACTGGTACAAAGTGCCATTACTTTTCGGACAAAAGCTGATATTCCACAAAATTTTGTAAACTAACAAAAAATGTCATGCTTTTTCATTACCACAAAACAAATTTTTAAAAATTAGGAAAAAACTTTATTTACAGCAAAAAAACTGAAAATCATCAAAAATGACCCTAATACAACCCAAAAATTTTGAAAAATCATCCAGTATTACAGTAACCTTTACCTATCTTCGCCATTGATAACTCACCTCTATTCTAGCATATTTGTAGCTTCTTTAGCTTCTTACTGCGCCTCTTCCGTAGTTCTACTCTACCCTACCCCACCATTCCCAATGCCAAGTGAAGTAAAACTATTTTATTTAAAGCTTGTTGATACAATACTATTAACCTAATAGTAAACGTGATAAGGTTTGGCAGAGAGTTATGATAACAATAAAACCGTACTATTAATAGTCACCGTTCCTGGCTAAACAATACGTTATTAAGTAGTAATGTAAGGTTGTTAGAATAGACTCAAGGCTACTGTAATGTAAAATTTGAAGATATTGGGTTACTGTAAAGTAAAATTTAAAAAAAATTCAAAAAATTTTTTAAAAAATTTTAAAAATTAAAAAAATTAGAATAAATACGTTATCAAATAGTAAATACGATATATATAGACAATAGTAATGACAATATATACAGTTTTTCATTTTGAAAAAATTTTAAAATTTCAAAATTTCAAAAAAAAATTTCAATTTTTGGCCTTGATGACACTCCACTCAGACCGTGGAATCTTCTGGAACATCTGTAGCCGTTTGTAGAAGATCTTGTACCAGATCACTCCAATTATGGCACAGATCCCAATTGAAATGTAGTATCCATCCACTTCGAACTCACAAATATCCCCTCCGGCTTTGCACAACTCCTCTTCGGCTTTCTTGCTACAGGTGCCGAGGACTCTGAAATTGAAAAAATTGTTAATTACTTTCTTTACAAGGCCTAAAATGGCAAAAACTTTCCTTACAAAACAAAAAATAACAAGAACTTTCTTTACAAAGCAATAAATGGCAAGAACTTTCATTACAAAGCAATAAATGACAAGAACTTTGTTTACAAAACAACAAATGGCAAGAACTTTCTTCACAGACCATAGAATGGCAAGAACTTTATTTACAAATCCAAAAAGAGATGAACATATAAAAAGCGCCGTAACTTTTTTGACGTAAATTGTAACCCCATAAAATTTTACAATTTAACACACAATGACATGTCCTACCAATGCAATAAAACAGATTTTCAAAAATTTTGCAAAAACTTTCTTTACAGCTTAAAAAACCATCAAAAATAAAAAAAACGAGAAAATTCCCCTTAAAAATAGTGCCATAACTTTTTTTACAAATCCTCTAATAACACAAAATTTTGTGACATAACACAGAATAGAATGCCCTTTCATTCTATTAAAACAAGTTTTTTAATATTATACAAAAACTTTCTTTACAGAACAAAAAACGCTTAAAAATCACCAAAAATGGCCTTCAAATCAGCTAAACCACGTTAAAAACACATTTTAAGCGTCATTTTTAAATTAAAACAAGTTAAAAAAGGCATGCCCTTTCAATATATCAAAACAGATTTTTAAAAACTACGCAAAAACTTTCTTTACAGCTCGAAAAACGCTCAAAAATCATCAAAAATGACCATAGAATCGTCTAAAAAGCTTTAAAAAATCAGTTTAACTTAGATCTTACAAACTGCCATAACTTTTTTTCCAGCCCCTCACATAATATAAAATTTTATGCCATAACACACAATGGCATGCTCTTTCATTGTATCAAAACAAATTTTAAAAACTATGCAAAAACTTTCTTTACAACTCAAGAAACGCTGAAAAATCCCTAAAATCGCCCAAAAACCTTTCAAAAGTCGTTCTAAATGCCATTTTTAAATGTACTTTCATCAAAAAACTTATGACAAAACAATGTCACACTACAACTTACGCCTTAGTAGTCGAACTGACACAATTCTTCTTGTTAAAGAAGTCAGTAACTGATAAAACAAAAGTTGATGGCCAGTTACCACCCAAGTTACTCAAGGTATTCAGTAATGTCATGTAGGTACCACCAATCTTTGGATCAGAAATTTGAGCGAAAAATGCCATAAGTGATAAGAAATAGCAGTAGGAAGCGATTTGATGAAGATAAAAGGCACTTATCCATATACCATAGTAAGTGTATGGGTATTCACCATTAGGTAGGCGGAAGTAAGGGGTCCAAAAGACTAGAGCCGCGAATACCACGCCCATTACTATCCTGAAATAGAGACTTATCAGCCTCAGAGTAATTAAAACACATTTTAAACTCCATTTTTAAGCATAACAAACCACATAAGCCTTTACAAAAAAGTGGAAGTTATGTGGAAGATTTGTAATTTAATTTTCATTAAAAATCTTCCACATAATTTCCACTTTTAAAATGTCGTAAAATGGCCTAAAAACACGTTTTTGACACTTTTTAGTAGTGGAAATTAAGTGGAAGATTTTCAGTGCAAAATACATTACAAATCTTCAACCCAACTTCCACTCTTAAAAACCTTAAAAATGATGTTTTTAACTCATTTTAAGACTTTTTTTAAAATGGAAGTTGAGTGAAAGATTTATAATGTATTTTTCACTGAAAATCTTCAACTTCCACTTTTTTAAAGTGCCATAGCTTTTTTTTCAAATCTCTAATAACATAAAGTTTTGTAAAATAACACAAAATGACATGTTCTTTCAGTATGTAAAAACAAATTTTTTAAAATCATGCAAAAACTTTCTTTACAGCTCAAAAATCGTCAATTTTTGGATCAAAAGTCCTTTAAAAATCAAATATGGCAAGAACTTTCTTTACAAAACAAAAAATGGCAAGAACTTTCTTTACAAAACAAAAAATGGCAAGAACTTTCTTTACAAAATAAAAAATGGCAAGGACTTTCTTTCCAGCTCACATAAACCCAAACCATCCACCTACCTATAAGGATAAGCCAACAAGTAGACATTCAGTGGCTTGGGTCCAGCGATTTGTTTCCCCAATAACCACGGTAAAATGATCTGTAGCGGGGTTAAAAATATCGAAATTGAAGCGATCTTATCAGCCGTGATCCCAGCATTGATCAGCTTCAAATCGGTCATAGAGTCCGCGGCGGCGAAGGCGATTTTGGCCGTTAAGAGGAGTACCACCATGATCCTCATTGGCTTTAAACAGAGGATCTTGAGCAGGATCGAGTAGGTCTGGAAGACATTGAGGTGAATCTCATCGTCTGATTGATTCTCCATCTTGTCCTGAGCTGAAGGTGAAGAGTGATCCACCTCCTTCTTGAAGATGAACACCAGCGTCGTCGAGACTATGAAGACCCAGCCCCAAAAAAAGACAAAGCCTGAAAAACAAAACATATAAGTTATGATACGGTACCCTACCCTACTTTACCCTACCCTACCATAAAAAAGTTAACCTGTCCTAAAAATTACCATGCCCTAAAAATTGACATGCCCAAAAAAGTACCATGCTTTCAAAATTACCATGTTCTAAAAATGACCATGCCTTCAAAATGACCATGCCCTAAAAATTACCATACCCGAAAAATAACCAAGGCTTAAAAATTACCATGCCGAAAAAAAATTACCATGCTCTAGGAAGAAGCATGAACTAAAAACTACCCTGCCCTGAAAATTACCATACCCTGAAACTCTTATAAAACACTTTTTACTAATAAACCACACTGACGTATTTTACAATATTAAAAAAAAATCACAATTTTTTAAAAATTCTTATAAAAACACATTTCAACGTATAAGATGAACCGCGCAGGCTGCAGAAAGCCTTTCTTAAGCATTTTTTCCCTCAGAATGCCCCAAATTCAGTTCTCAAACAATAAAAACCATTTTAAAATTAACATACGACCACTTTTTAGACAAAAAATTTCTTAAAAATTAAATATTGTTGAACCTACCATCAAACTCGACCAGTCCCTTGTCCTGTGGCACTGTGCGAATCCATTTGTTAGCGAAGTCTTTGCTTTGAAGGGTCAGAAAGACCACATTTCCCATGAAAAAACCGACTGTTTGGCCAACAACATTACACGTTGAGGCGTAGCCAACGTTTTTTCTACAAAATTCGTTATTTTTTCAAATTTCAACAACAGTTTAATATAAAATGGCAATTTGTATAAAAGACACGTTTTATCGTATAACATGTCTCTTTTATTACAAAAAAAATAAAATTAAGTTAAATGTATCTTTGTAGTACAAAATATCATTAAATCAAGTTTCATAACCTCTCATTATAAACGGCAGTTTTATATTAGGACACGTTTTATCGTATAAAATGTCACTTTTTTTGTATAAAACGGCCGTTGATGGCCAAAAATGTATTACTATAGTAAAAAATGTTCCTTAAAAAATAAAATAGTTGATTTTTGTAAAATACGTCATCCCCTAACATAAAGAGTGGCACTTGCTACACTCGGACCTGTGTCATCGTATAACATGTCTCCTTTATCACAAAAGGTCCACAATTAAAAGAAACGTATCTTTGTAATATATAATGTCTTTAAATCAAATTTCAAGACCCCTCATTAAAAATGGCAGTTTTTAACCAGGGCATTTTTCATCGTATAACATGTCACTTTTTTTTGTAAAAAACGCTTATTGATGGCCAAAAATGTATTAAAATAATAAAAAATGTTCCTGTATGTCATAAAATAATAAACTTTTGTAGAACAGTTGATGACCTATCATAAAGAATGGCACTTGTTATCCTCCTAGGTCATGTTTCATCGTATAACATGTCGCTCTTCGTATAAAATGACCTTTTTTAGTAATAAATAACAAAAAATTCATATCTAGATCAGATCCAGTCGTATTTTACCATTTTTTTATATCTACCCCCCACCCCCCCCGTTCTTCCCCTCCCCACGATACTCACAATACAAACTACAGTATACCTACCGTGACAACATAGTAAGAGCCCATCCATCCACAGCGATATCCTGTGTCGCGGCCAAAAAGTTCAACGGTAAGAACACACACATTAAGAAGAAGATGTTGGGCGTTCCACTCCCATCAGTACCCATAATTTGGTTCACATAATAACTAACGACCAGTAAGAAGGTACCAATCAGGTATTGACACGGTACCATCCAGGACTTCCTTCGGCCAATTCGGCGAAAAAATAACGAATCGACTATTGGGGCCCATAGCAATTTCATACTAAAAAATGGCAGTTGTGGGGGTTTATCAAATGATTAGAGTTTTGGCGGGAAAAATGGAATTTGAATTTTCAGATTAGTAGAACATAGTCAAACTCAAAAGAAATTGATGTTATGGTAAAATACGATTCTAAAAAAAACTTGTTTATTAAAAAAGTTCAAAAAGTACCATTTTACATATATAAAAAACGATTTTTAAATTTGGCGGAAAAAATGAAATTTGAATTTTCGGATCAATTTATGCTGATCAAAACCAAAACAAGAGTGATTTTATGGTAAAATACGATTTTATAATCACTTTTGTTATTAAAAAATTACTATTTTACATTTATAAAATACGGGTCTTTTAATTTGGCGGGAAAATTTAAATTTGAATTTTTCGAAAAAGTAAATCATAATTAAAAAAAAAACAATAAAAAATTTTTGTTTATCTCAGGCAACAAAGAAATGCTCATACTTTACAAAAAAAAACCGAATTACATCGACCAATCTTAATAATAAAAAATTCAAATTTCGATTTCCCCGCCAAAATGAAAAACTGTACTTTATAAACAAAAATAGGATTTTTTAAATGAAAGTTACTGAAAGAACGTACCCATCGTATTTCTCTCAAAAACTTACGTATTTATTGATTTATCGACCAATTTTCACGTCGAAAAATACAAATTTCAAAATGAACGCCAAATTTAAAATCGTATTTTATAAATGTCAAATAGTAATTTTTTTTAATAACAGAAACAATCAATCCTCGTATTTTACCATAAAATCTTTTTTTTTTGTTTTAGTCAGTTTATGTTAATCCAAAAATTCAAATTTCAATTTTCCCGCCAAAATTGACACAGCCCAAAAACCCTTCAAAATGACAAAACTCACCTGAACGGCCAATGTGAAAATGAGAAAACGGCTTGTTGTGAGTAAGTGATGCCTTTGCTTTGCAATAACAATGGCACTGCAGCTATTAGACCAAGTGGGATACCCTGAAAGCATGGTTAATATAATCTTTAAAAAGTTCGAACTTAAAAAAAATTTAAAAAAAAAAATTTTGAAAACCTAGATTTGAAGACGTATTTTACAAAAAAAAACTAGGTTGCCATCTTTTTAGGAAGGTAGCACTTACTTGTAGTAGGTATAGGAACAACAACAAGCATATTGATGAGATGTCCCCTTTTAATGTTAAATAAGCACGTTGAATCGATCGGAACGGTCGTAAAATGCAAGGCTAAAACATTTATATTGTAAAAAAATTTTAAAAATTATGCAAAAACTTTCCTTACATCTCAAAAAACCCTTCAAAGTGGCCAAAAACAGTCTTAAAACTAATACAAGAAGCTTTAAAATGTCATTTTTAACATTATGCTTTTAATGCAAAATGGTAAAGATATCATTCTCTTTTACCATATTTAAATGATTTTGTAAAAAATGTGTAGAAACTTTCTTTACAGCTCGAAAAAGCAGCAAAAATCAAGCAAAGTCACAAAAATTTTCCTTAAAAAAATTTTACAAGTCATAAATGTTTGTGACAACACTCACATTAACAAGTGTTTTCATTATGTTAAAACACATTTCACAAAATTCAGCAAGAACTTTCTTTACAACTCACAAAAGTCTCAAAAATCAGGCAAAATCGCAAAAACTTTCCTTAAAAGTGCCATAACTTTTTGTGCTAAACCTCAAATCAAATAAAACTTTGTGCCATAACACAGAATGACAAGCCCTTTCATTCTGTCAAAACAAATTTTTTGAAAATTAGCAACGACTTTCTTTACAGCTTAAAGACGTCCTACAAACCAAAAAAAATCGACGATCTTTCCCTTTTTAGTGCCATAACTTTTTGTACAATTCTTCAAATGCCAAACAATTTTGTAACAAAACACATAATGACAAGCCCTTGCATTCTATTAAAACAAATTTTAAAAAATCCGCAAGAACTTTCTTTACATCTCAAAAAAAACAAAAAAATCGCAATAATAGCCCTAAAAATGCTTAAAAATAGCATAAAGGGCCTAAATATAAAATACCCTACCCTAAAAAAACTATACAATTTTCAAAAGTCCTTTTTTAAAAATATATTTAACTTACAGTGTCCTTATCCACTTTTTCCTCAGCATTACTGTGTGTTATGGAGATCTGATGCTTCATTCCGTGTTCATCTTCAGGCGGATGAACTGAAGGCGGCGGTTCGTTTTTCACCGCCGACGCTATTTGGGACATCTGAAAGTGGTCTTAATAAGTCAAAGTAGATCACATAATAAAGTTTTTTTAAATTCGAACTTTACAGGTTTAAAAATCTGACGCAACTTTGTTCAGCTGACGAATAACCCCAAACCCGCCCTTCCCAAGCTTGATTTACATAATAAGGTTCACATGAAAACTATGTGAGATTACAGCTCAAAGTATGTGATCAACGCTACCCCACCCTACCCTAACCTACCCTACCCTACCCTACCCTCATTTACCTCCCTACCCTGTCCTGTTCTTAACCGCTCCGCCTTGCTCTGTCCTATCCCGCCATACGGTACCGCGTTCTTCCCTGCCCTGCATTACCCTACCCTACTTTTTTATACTATACTCTACCTTATACTACCCACTGGAGCGTACCGTGCTTTTCCACTCTGCATTACCCTGCACTACCCCTTCCTGCCTTACCCTTCTTCCCCGTACCGTACATTGAATTGCCCTGCTATATTCTACCCTAGCATTACCTACCTTACCCTACCCGATTCTACCCTACCTTATCTCAAGGTTACCGTTCAAAATATATGATCATAAAGACCCTACCCTGTCCTACTCCATGAGACCTTTGCGTAGCCTGCCATATAAAACCCAAATCTACCCTACCCTAACCAACTCACAAATTTCATGAAAACGTATTACCAAGATGAAAAATGTTATAAAATTGTCAAAATATAACCTTATAAACTCTATAAAGCGATGAAAATTCGTCGAACGAGCGAGACAATAGCTGTTTGATCAAAATAATGTAAAATAATATAGGTTTCTGGACCGGTTTGACGAACAAAAATGGTTGATAAATTTGAAAAAAAACTGTTTTTTGATACAAATTCCAATTTAAAAGTAAAAATTTGTATCACTTCATACGTGATCATACCCTGCCGCCGGAAAGTGAAGAAGGCAAAAAAATCACCCCACCCAAAAATTTTTCTTCCAAAAAAAAAATAAGCCGAGGGGAAGAGAGAAAAAAAACACCCCCCCCTCGAAAAAAATTTAAATTTTTTATTTGAATTTGGTCCCCTCTGTTATACTTTAAAAAAAGTTTTGGAGCCGGTTGTTACCCCCCCCCCCCCCCTCCACGCCGATTTTTGTTCAAAAACTGTTAAGCTTGGTCCCCCCCCCCTCTTGATTTTCAAAAAAAAAGTATTGTGCTCATTTTAACCCACCCCCCCCCCACACACACACACCCTTTACCTTACAAGACAAAAACAACTCGCCCAGTCCAGTCTGAAACACTATACTATACAAGAAAACTTTTTTTGTACATATACAATCTACAACAGTTGAAAGTTGGTATAGACTCAAAAAGATATGACAATACACGAAAAGAAGAGCTAATAAAGGTCAAAAAGAAAGACGAAAAGGCCAGAAAGAGTTCAGTCTGTCAACTTAAAATGACTTTTTTTAAGATAAAATTACCCTCCCCTGCCCTATCTTACCCTACCCATCCCTACCCTACCCTACCCTACCCTGCCCTACCCTACCCTACCCTACCCTACCCTACCCTACCCTACCCAACCCTACCCTACCCTACCCTACCCTACCCTATCCTACCTTACCCATGCCCAGCTTTAAAAATACATAAAAAAAGAAGTCAGTAACTGACCAACTGACCAATGTAATAGCCAATCTGATTACTTTTCTTGATCAAACAAACCCAAAAGTGATTGCAAAACGGCTTAAATCCCCGTTCCAAAGATTAAAAATGTCTACTTTTGACCCCAGTACTATTAATTTTCTTTACAAAACAAAAAATGGCAAGAACTTTGCTTACAAACGCTAAAAAAAGACTTTTTAACAAGTGGAAAATGAGTGGAAGATTTCTATAATAATTTCCACTAAAAATCTTCCACTCAAATTCCATTTTCAGAATGTCTTAAAATGACCTAAAAACACGTTTTTAACACTTTTTAAAAGTGGGAGTTGCGTGGAAGATTTTCAGTGCAAAATACATTACAAATTTTAAAACGCCATAACTTTAATTCCAATAATGATAAAAACATAAAATTCGGTTTCAAAGTAAAAAATGGCAAGAACTTTCTTTCCAGAGCCTAAAAAATCAAATTAAATTAAAAATTTGAAGCTTTCTAGAACCTTCTTCCCAGCTCTTCCATGACCAAATTCACCCTATCTTGACCATTACCTCAAGTCATTTGGTCACGCCCTCCCCCTTTCCCCTCTACCTCCCCCTCCTCCCTCCTTACTAATTGACACAATAACCTACAGTATTCTTTAGACAATACCCCCCCCTTTGGTCAAAAAAAAGTGGACGACAAGCGGAGAACAACAACATGTTCAGCGTGTTTGAGCACAAATATTGAATAATAATCGGAAGGGAAGCGACGGAAGCGCGGCTACGTCAAACATTCAGCGGTCCTAATATATCATAATATGACTCGGTGGTTTGGCTAGACTGAAAGCAAATTTAGTCCAGAAACATCGTTTAGGCAAGAACTTTCTTTACAAAACGAAAAATGGCAAACAGTTGTAAAATGGCAAGAATTTTCTTTACAAAAGCGTTTTTGAGCCAAAAAGCGTTCTGCAGACTGCGGGTGACATATTATACGATGCATATTTAAAAAATAGAAAGAACTTTCTTTACAAATCAAAAAATGGCAAGAACTTTCTTTACAATACCTTTTTTGTGCCAAAAGGCGTTCTGCAGGCTGCGTGTGACATTTTATACGATAAAGACCAAGAATAGCAAGGACTTTAATTACAAAACAAAAAATAGCAAGAACTTTCTTTACAGACCAATAAATTGCAAAATTTTCTTTCCACTATTCTAGACAACCTTATAATCAACTCAAACGAACAGCTAGCCGCGCGTCAGCCGGCTGGCTCGCCAAGAATGGTGTCAAGTGTAATGTGAATTACCGTGACATCAAGTTCGATGTTACGCAATGTTGGAATTCGAAGAGGAATTCAGACATTAAACTAAAAAGAACAAGTTTCTGATTGTTAACACATTCTATAGTATTTTTTGGGTTTTTTTGAAAAAAGTGGAATTTGAGTGGAAGATTTGTAATGTATTTTGCACTAAAAATCTTCCACTGAACTTTCATTTTTAAAATTTCTTAAAATAACCTAAAATCACGTTGCTGACACTTTTTAAGAGTGGTAGTTTGGTGGAAGGTTTTCAGTGCAAAATACATTACAAATCTTCCACTCAACTTCCACTTTTTAAAATTGTCATAACTTTGTTTCTAAACTTCGAAATGGCGCGAAATTTAGTATAAGGGAAAATAATGGCAAGAAAAAATCAAAAATTAGCAAAAACTTTCTTTACACAGCTGAAAATGGCAAGAACTTTCTTTACAAAACAAAAAATGGCAAGAACTTTCTTTACAAAACAAAATATGGCGAGAACTTTCTTTACAATACATAAAATGGCAAAAACTGTCCTTAAAAGTCAAAAAATTGCAAGAACTTTCTTTACAAAACAAAAAAAAATGGCTGAAAGACAAAATTTGTTACCTAAAAAGTTCAAAAACATCAAAAACAGCCAAAAGTCTTGTTAACAAGTATAAATCAAGCTCAAAACTGATCGTTAATAGATAAAAGACTGTCAAAAACATTAACTTGGAGGTATCAACAATATTTTTCATCAAATTTCAAAAAATTTCAAAAAATACAAAAAATTTCGAAAAAAATTAAAAAAACGAAAAATTCACAAAAAAAGTTGTTGCCGTGATTGCTGAGCGCTTAATCACTAATTAGAGCATCTGGAGTGAATCAATAGCCCACTTTCATCGACGTTTTTCGCCTTTCCGCGGCGCAAAAAATCCCTATCATGCCGTGGGGATAATAACGTCGTCGGGCGAATGTTGTAATAGCGAAAGCAATGTTCTTGAACCAAAAAACTATGGAAAAAGATGATGCATGAGTTGGGATTGATTATTACAACAAAATTATTGTTAATATTGTCTATTTTAAGCTGTTCCAAGCAACCATGGATTTCTGCAGCCTGCAAAACATTTTATAAGCGAGGCCGCAGCCTGCGAAAATATTTTTCCGAAAAAATTATTTTTTGGTCATTTTAACGCCTTACCTTGATTTAATGCCTTTTTTAACCAATTTATCATCCAAAACCATTTTAAATATTATCTTCAATTTTTTTTCTTTCCAGCGACACTAACATGGGATCTCTAGTAAAACAATCCAGCCAACAATTCGAAGACGAAGGCGTGGGACAACAACAGAAAACGGGTATCGCGTGTGATCGGCTTCGTCAAGAGCTGAAACGATGCATAAAGGAAAGCGATTGTGTTCAGAAGGATCGACGATCCGCCAAAGAGTGTATTAACGCCCATGATGGCACCGTTCCAGACAGATGCTTCACGTTGTTGACGACTTTTTCCGATTGCAAGAGGTCCATAGTAAGTTTTTTCTTGTTTTTGATGTTTTGAACTTTAGATTTGAAGGATTGGTAATGAATTTGGTGTTAAAAGGTAAAGGATAATCTTGGCTAATTGATAAAATTAGCTTGGTTTGATAAGGGTTTTGAAAATGAGGGTTTTTCCCTATTACACTTAGTTCCTCTGGCGTGTTTATACTTTGATGTTCCAAAGTTTATATAGCACGATTGCAGATGAATTTTGTGTCATAAGAAAGAGGAGATTTTTGTCTTACCATGCTAATCGGCAGTTCATGTTAAGATTTACGAATTTAGGATTTTTCCGGTATTACACTTGCCTCTTTTGATGAGGTTCTACTTTTTTGATGGATCGGGGGTCAAAAATGACTGTTTGATAGTAATTTTGATATAATTAGAAAGAGAATTTTTCGTTCTAGCTAACACATTTGATCAATTTGGCTAAAGTTGTAAGATTGTGATTTTATTGATATTATACTGGACACCTAGGTGATCTAAACTAAAATTTAATCTACCATTGTTGATTTTTCCTTAAAACAATGCTATTTGATTTTAAACGTTCCAAATACTATTCTCCATCTTTTTAAAGGATTTTAAGTTTTTAAAAAGGTATAATTTAAAACTTCCTCGATATTACCCTAACCTAAAGTAATATAATTTCAGGTGGATATGCGCTCACGATTCCGTGGCCGAAAGGGCGATATCTAGGCTTCGTTAGAACTGGTTCATCATTATTGTACATCTTTGTTCGTTTAGTTGTTTACTTATAAATTATACACTGTTTTTCTGCATTTTCTCTTCACTGGCTATGTCAACATAGAAAAGTTTATAAAAATGGTTGAAAACATGTATCAACCAACAAAATATTATGTATAATAGCTTTAGAAATATCATACTTTCCTTTTAAAGTTCATTAAAACAACCATCAATCGACAAGATACCTGTTTATGCGAAGAAAAGAGTGATATAGACAAACTGATAGTTCAACAACATTAACATTTAATTACCCGTTTAACGAAATCTTAATGTAAAATTCGGAGAGCGCATAAATTAATAAATGTACAAGGGGGAGGGGGAGGAGGTACACGTAACAATATTACAGTAGCCGTGGGGTTTTCGAAGATATTGTAGTAGACCAACTCTCGATAATATAGCCAAAGTTTCTGATATTATAGTTGGTTGAAGGGCATGGTAATACTACTTGATTCCACTATTAAAATCCAACAGTCTAAGTCTAATCCTCATGGTTACTGTAACCGGCTACTGTAGCTCCTATTATGCTAATCTTTGTCTTCTTTGTCGTCGCCCATTAGTAGCGCCGTGTCCATGTGGGCCGAGCCGGAGGTCGCCCGCCGCAGGCTGGGGTGTTTCTTGGCCGAAGGCATGTTGATGTTCACCATCAGGGCCATGAATACGAGTAGAGCGCCGAACAGGAACGGAGGCCCTGGGATTAGGTTCTGAAAAGGAAGAATTTAGTATTACATATTATCTTTGAAAAAGCTTTAAAATAGCCATAATGTTCTTTACAGACCAAAAAAATGGCAAAAACTTTCTTTACAAAGCAAAAAATCAAACTTTTTAAAAAGTGAAAGTTGAGTGGAAGATTTGTAATGTAATTTGCACTAAAAATCTTCCACTCAACTTCCATTTTCAAAATGTCTCAAAATGGCCTGAAAACATGTTTTTAAAGCTTTTTAAAAGTGGAAGTTTGGTGGAACATTTTTAGTGCAAAATACATTACCAATCTTCCACTCAAATTTCACTTTTTGAAAATTATCATAACATTGTTACTAGAATTCGAAGTTGCACGAAATTTGGTCTCATGACAATAAATGGCAAGAACTTTCTTTACAAAACATAAAAGGGCAAGAACTTTCTTTACAAATAAAATGGCAAGAACTTTTTTACAAATCAAAAAATGGCAAAAACTTTCTCTCCATTTCTTTAAAACCCCTGTTAAATCCATGTACAAGATGGTGGATCCATCCCACTTAACCGACCTCCCCCCCCTATACCCCTAGCAAGTTCAATGTCCATGACTAACCCTAACATCCACCTCAATCTTATAATAGAGAAACTTCGGAAACTTCAAAATTTGTTGAAAATTGTTCAAATTTTGTATTATGACACTTTTAAACAACAAAAATTAACTTTTTTATTTTTTATATGCGTGGTGTGTCCAAATGGGTCACCAGTTGGATCAATATTGACTTTGTTATGACAGACTAATAATAACAACGTCAATTTGTATTTAAATAACGCTTAATATTATTGTAGCCACTACATATTGCGCTTTGTATTTTACAAAAGTTACTGTATTTTACTAGGTATACATACTGTAACATAGTTGTCCCCTTCCTACTGTACCATACGGTGCTCTTACTTACTGTAATTTTACTACAACAATACAAGCTTAGCTACTGTACCCCTTCTACAGTACCAACGTTACAACAAATATTACTGTAAAAAAGTTACCGTAACAAATTACCACCCATTCTACTGTAACACCATTCCTTCGAAGCCTCTAAAACCCTCTTTCAACCCCAAGAACTACCTAAACCACAGTTAAAAATGAAGTTCATGACCCTTATCTTCACTATGACTACCATCTTCATCACTCTCATCACCGTCATGGCTTCTGAATCCGCTTCCGAGCTCAGCAGTTCAGCCAAGATCGTGAAAACTTTCGAATCTGTGCCCAAGGTCAGTAGCTCTAGCTCGGCCAAGATCGAGAAGACTTTCGAATCCGTGCCCAAAGTCAGTAGTTCTAGCTCGGCCAAGATTGAAAAGACCTTTGAATCTGTACCGTATGCTTCTGCCATTCGAGCCAAACGTCAGAATAATAATGACAAAAGCTGTTTGGAGAAATTACAACAGTTCCTTCAGAACTTGTTCAATTCTTTGGGTAATGGTGGACAAGGAAGATAAAAGACGGTTGGATCGGAGCAAATTTTGAAAATTTTTATCAAAATTTCAATTTTTTCAAATTTCAAGTTGTTGCGTAATAAACCTGCTGCATTAAAAGCTTGGGAAGTTAGACTTTTTAAGCCTAAAATCTAGAAAAAAAATTTTTAGGCATGAAGAAAGAAGTTAGACTTTTTAGGCCAAAAACCTGTGATGCCTAAATTTTTAAGCCTAAACCTCAACAACTGAACTTTTAAGTCTACAGATCTATAAAGATTACTGCTTTTAAGCCTACAGATCTAAAGATATTACTGCACTTAAGCCTACAGATCATAAGAGATTACTGCTTTTAAGCCCAAAACCTTTAGAAACTGCACTTTTAAGCACACAGATCTAAAAAGATTACTGCTTTTAAGCCTAAAACCTATAAAAAAAAGACTTTCCAAGCCTAAATCTTACAATAACAAAGCTTTTTAAGCCTAAAACCCTAAAAAAATACTGCTTTAAGCCTAACACCTACACAACCAAGCTTTTTAGGCCTACAGCCAGCAACAGACTAGACCTTTTAAGCCTAAAACCCTCAAAAACTAGACCTTCTTAACCTAAAAACCTTATAATCTTCCTGCCATGTCCTACCCCAACCTTCCCCTCCACCCCCCCCCCTCCTCCTCCACTAAATCCACACTTAAAACAAGGCCTTTTAGGCCTAAAACTTCAATTCACATCTAATAAAATGCATCCCAAAATCCCCCCCCTCCCTATTTAAACCTACATGAATCTGATCCATCCGCTGTTCCACTATCGTTTCATTCTTGATCGGAGCGATGATTTTGTTATCGAATGGCTGAAGCCTGATGTGAGGCATTGGGAACTGGGGCCCTACACCAATATGCCCGGTTGGTTCGTCGCCATCCGCACTCAGGTCCATGTCAAACATGTAGAAGATGAAGCCAAACACCGCCGGTCCAAAACCTTGACATAGGCCTCGGATGCCGGTCATTACGCCTTGGACCGTTCCTTGCATATCTTGGCTAGTCTGGATTGACACAAAAGCTGATATGGCTGGGTATGTTAAGGATGAGAGAGCTGAGAAGAGGCCGGCCGCCCACATCATCCAGAACTGGGTACCCACGCCGTACCAGGTCAATTGAATGAATTGTGCTATTAGACCAAAGGATATCGAATGCTTGACGCCCCATCGCTTGGTTAGGACCGGTAGGACACCAGTTTGGGCTAGGACCGAGAATCCACCTACAAAGGCTATGTAGGCTGCTACGGCTTCTGGAGAGAATCCTAGCATCTGAAAAATAGAGAATTAACAACAAAATTTAATTTTTAGGTTATTTTAGGCAATAAAACACTTACAAATAACAATAAAATTATTTTTTCAAATTTAAAGATTTTGAAAACCCTCATAAAAATTACCCCGTGCAGTTAATTTAATGACTGCACGGTGCAATCAATCTAGCAAATTTTCGAAAAAACCTACCTGTGCGGATTTTTTGGACCCCTGCCCCCAGACCAAAAGTCCCCGCCCGGCCCTGCAGTCAGCTTAAAAAAATTTCGAAATTTTTTAAATTAAAATTTTTAAAAAATCCTCATTCCTAATGCAAAAACAACTTTTTTCAAATTCTTCATTTTTTTTGCATCGTGCAGTCAAATTTAAAAACTGCACAGTGCAAGCAATTTAGCGACTGCGCTGTGCAATCAAATAGAAAACTGCACTGTGCAGTAAAGTAATAATATCTTTAAAATCTAAACTTACCAATTTCAAATAAACAAAGAAGCATGAAAACTGCCCAGATTCCGGTAGAAACGACAGGAATACGACCGCCGACAGTTGTAGAACGGTGGAGTCTTTAGCGATAATCCTCAATGACATGAATGGATCGATCGATTGCCAGTTGAAAGATTCATTTAGAGTTAGAGGTGATGGCGGTAGTTTTTGGGCTTCCTTTTGCTTTCGATTCACAATTTCTGGCAGAGATTCGGGAACGCACAGTGCAATGAATAACAGGTCCAGGGCGAATACGGAAGTGGCCTGAAATCGAAGTTTTAGGTTATTTTAGGTAATAAACGTAAATTCTTTTGCCGTTTTTTTGTTCTGTAAAGAAAGTTTTTGCCATTTTTTAGTTTGTAAACTAAGTTCTTGCCATTTATTCTTCTGTAAACAGATTGCTTGCTAACTTTTCTCAATTTCCACTCAAAACGCCTTCTATACCACAATAAATCTCCTCCTTCCCTTTCAAATCACTATTTGTTACCTAAAAACCAAAAAACACAAATTCAAAAACTTACAATCCAAACAGCCAATTCGTCGTTGTAAGTGCTGGAAATGTAAGCCCCCAAGGCTGGTGATGTGATCAAAGAGGCGGCAAAAGTTGCTGACACATAGCCACAAGCTCTTGCTCGATTATGCTTCTCGGTAATGTCTGCTACATACGCTAACGCTACGGAAAATGTGACGGAGAAGAAGCCGGACAAGGTGAATAATGTGAAGTACCACCTGAATGAGGAAAAACTATTCAAAAGGACCAGAAATTTAAATTTTAGGTAATAGGTTACCCAAAAATCATATTTTTTAAAAGTTTTAAGCAAAAAATCTTTCAAAAATGCCATTTTAAAGCCTTTAAACCAAAATATAATTTTTAGGTAACAAATTGTTTAAAATTTTAAATTGCTTAAAAAACACTTACCACGCACTGATCTTCAAACAAGGAATAGGCATGCAAGTGAAGAAAACAGTAATAAATAAAAAGTTCTTTCTGCCCCATATATCCGACAACGATCCTACTAATGGTGCACTTAAGAAGGATAACAGTCCTTTTAAGCCTAATATTAACCCGTTCATTAGGAATTTGTTGGTTGGAAAGGTTTCGGCCAGTACCTGAAAGAATAAACTATTAAAAAATCGTGTTGTTTTATGTGTTGTTCAGCGAATTCGAAATTTCTTTGATTTTCGACATTTTCAATTTAATATAACTTTGTTGTAACATAATATAAAGATGTGAAAATGTTAGACTGTATACTGCTTTTACGCTTTTCATAACGTGTTTTATAGATTTATCTCAAATAGTCTTAAAAAGAAATGGCAAGACTTGCTCAAAGTTCACCAATTCTCAAAAGGTAATGAAAAGTAAAACTACCATAACATCCAGATTTTTATAAACTTTAAAGCTCACTTTTTTGCATTAGCTAACAAAATCAATAAACTAAGGTTTGCGTAAATTTTACGTTTATATCTACTTTTTAATGAAATTTATGTGCAAAACCAATTTAAGCACACTTTTGCATGGTTAATATCCAGAAGAGGTCCTATACCACCTTCAAATCTCTAAAATAGTTAAACCAAAGTTCAATAATCAAAGAAAAAGGTATAATGTAGCAAAAGAATAAACAAATCTTCCAAATACTACCTAAAAACTTAAGAAAAACTTCACTATCCGCCTAAAACATCAAATCTAGCCAAAAACCACAAAACTCGTCGAAAATCCTTCAAAATCCGTTCAAATCGTATCTAAAAACCAAAACACAATAACAAGAACATAAACTTACATTGATCACAGGCACTGTCAACAATCCCCACGCGAAATACTCCAGGAATATCACGATCAGGGCGTGGGTTAGGTGAGCGCCGCCCGACCGTCGCATTTTACTCGTATTGTTGGTGCTCTTCGGGCACGATGTGACTGTAGAATGGACGGCGGCGCACGGCCGATGGCATAAAACTGACAACAACGACCGGCTCTTCCTCAAGATCATTCGCTGAAAAAAGGTTTGATTAGAATTTGTGGGGTTATCATGGATAATATAAGAAAATGGGGTAAAATTGTGAAAAGAATAGTTTAAAGTCTTAAAATAGCTAAATTTAGGTATGAAAAAGTAAGTTTAGATAACAAAAAATTACTATTGAGTAAAAAAATCTATTTTTATTAATTTAAAAAGCCAAAACTTAATTTACAGTTCCAAAAACAGACTTTAGCTCAAAAAAATTAAAATTTAGGTATGAATAAGCCAATTAATCTTAAATCCTTACAATAGTAATAAATGGCAATAGAATAATAAACTTTAGGCTCCAACAAACCGGGCTTATAATTTTCATTAGTTTTGAAAATTAGGTAACAAAGTTCTTTAAATTTTAAAAAGTAGCCCTAAATTAGATGTAAAACCTCAAAGCTAAGTTATATTATACAACTTTAGGCTTCTTTAATAAATGTTCAATAATATTTCAATCGAATTTCAATTTAAAAATAGTAAAACAATTTAAAAATGGCAATATTTCAGTGAATTTTAGTGGAAATCCAAGAGTTTTCGTTAGTTTTAGCTAGTTTAGACCAATTTTAGCTCAATTTTTTAAACAAGAATAGTAACTCCAGTATTCTAGGTATAAAATAACAACAACAAGTCAATTCTGTTTCACCATCAAGCCGTGGAATCACAACGAAAAGATGTTTCGTCGTTTTTTCTCGGATCAAAAATTTTTTTTGGTCTTTTTTGCAGTGCGCTCGGACTTTTTTTCGTCTTGCGACAGAAAATAAGCGGGGAATGACATGTGTGACCAAACAAAGCTCTATATTATGAGGCTGTTCATTTATCAGATTTCCAACGTTTTCACAGCTGAAATTTCAGGAAAAGGTCGAGTTGTTTCGAAGAGTTATTAACCTTTTTGTCTTTGTTTGAACATGGAAATGAGCTTTTAAGGGTCTTTTTTGAAAATGGAGTTTGAACAAAATTTGAAATTTTTTAAAAGTGCATTTTAAACATTTGAAAAATTAGTGAAACAGTTTTCAAAAAAAGATAAGAAAGTGGAGAAGGGGGTAAAGGTAAGGTTATGTATGGGACTATGAGTAGAAGTAAGGTTAGGGGTGAGGGAGAAATAGCGGTAGTGAGTAAGGGTAGGGGTAGTACACCCTCTCACAGAATTCCTTTTTCAAAAATGTTCAACCTTTGTTACTTAACAAAAAAAATTATCCCCCCCCTATTCCTTCCCTAAGATCTACATCTATCCCTAGAATGGGAATACGACCATAATTTTCATTTTAAACCTGCATTCTATAAACTTTTTGACACAATGCATTCAATTGCCTTTTTTCAAATTTTAAAACCCTCAAGCTCTATGAAAATTGAAAAATATCAAAAACCTTTTGTCAAAGTTCATGAATAATATCAAAACGGCTTCGCGTAGGTCTTTGAACACTATCATATGATAATATTTAGAAAATCACAATACTTTAAAGCATTATGAGTTTATCAGGGGCTTCGCAACAGATGTTTTGTTTGTAAACAAAGTTTTCACTTACCTATATACAACAACCTTTGCTGAATTTAGGTATGAAAAGCATTTTTTCTCTTATAAAACCCAATTTTAATTCAATTTTTCCCATAAATAGACTAAAAAGCCATAGCAAAACTTGAAGGCGCGTAATACGAAGATTTTTCCCATTTCTTTATTGAACGCCTTTTAGACGTCTAAATGGGTCAAAAAAGGTTTCTTTTTAAATTTGACTGCGAAATTCAAAATAAATGCACTTTTGGCTGATTTGTTATGCCTTACACAAGCCTAAGTAGCTACAGTGATGCCAAAATCTAGCCTAAAATATGGAAAAAATGGCAAAAGTGGCATTCAAATATGAAAAGTTTTTATAGCTGCATGGTGCAATAAAAATTAAAAAAATATAAAAATACTCAATTCAAGAAACACCCTACCTTAATATACAGCCAAATACTAATATTTCGATAACTTTTCATTTTGCTCGTTTTCTTTACAAATTCAAAATATAGTGACAACCGGTTTTAAAAGTTTCAAAATTTAGTCAATTTTTAACTTTTAAATATCTTCTAGAGATTTTAAATGAAAAAAAATTTTTTTAGGATCCTCATAATGCAAAACCAAAATTTAAAAATTTTTCATTTTTCTGCACAGTGCAAAAAAGAAATCAAAGATTTGCACGGTGCAAAGCAATTTGACGACTGCACGGTGCAAAAGATTAAGGGACTGCACAGTGCAAGCGATTTGACGACTGCACGGTGCAAGTCGTTTGCCAATTAAATAATTTAAAAAAATTATAAAATAAGACAAGCATGGTTCATAACCTCAGATAAGCTCCAGAAAACACTAACAATCATCAAACAAAGTTTTAAAATCCAAAAATAATACCTAAAAACCAAAAAAAGGCGTATAACAAAACGATCTTATTTTAAAACTTTTGTAATTTTTACCAAAAAGCAATAAATTTCCCCATCACTATCATTTTCACTTTTCTTTTTACCTTTTACTGTTTTTTTCTTTTTGTCAACAAAGAAGCATGCACAGCGAAGACAAACATCTTATGCTACGTGTGCTTATTATAATATTATCTGGTGGATGCTTTCGATAGAAAATAGGTTAGCTATTTGTTTTAAAACAGATTTCTAGTAATGATATTGTCATTTATAAGATTCATTATCAATTTTCATATCAAAAAGATTATTTTAGGCCAAAAAATCACGTTTTATCATATTATCCATGGCAAAACTTGACGTTTTGACTCAATAATTCCAGTTTTAAGCCCTTCTTTGCTATTTTTAATCTTCCCTAGCCTTGTTACCTAAATTTCACAACAAAACCAATCAAAAAACCTACATTTTGACGTAAAAATCGACCCGGATCCTCGACTATTTGAGCAGCATCAAAACCACGGAGCTAATGCGACCTTCTAAAACTTCAAAAAATAAACAAAAATAATTGAAAAACAGATTCGGAAATTCATTATTTAGCAACGAGCGAATCATATACCATTTTAAAAACGCATAAAAAGTTTTCGATTTAAAAATATTTAGAAAAAGGACAAAGAAAAAGGGCAGAGAAGGGAATGAAGGTGGAGTAGGGAGTTGACAAATTGAGAAATAGAGGAATCATAGCAAATTTGTTGTCCATTTCAATTAATAATAATGTGAAAATAGAAAACAGACAGTCCTAACAATAGAAGTAGTGGTAGAGATAGGCAAGGTAGTGCAGGGTAGAAAAGAGTAGTAAAGTAGGTACGGTAAGTCGGGGTATGATAGAATTGGGTAATATAGTGTAGAATAAGGTAAGGTAGTAGTAGTAGGAGTAAGGGTAGGGGGGTAGGGTAGGAGGGGGGGGAGGGAGAAAAGAAAGCACGGGGAAAAAGGAAGCTCGTGAAAGGAAATACCAAGAAAAATTTTCAGTATCATCCCCCCCCCCCCAAATGTAATATACCTTATCACCCTTAACCCTTGAAAATCAAAAAAAAAACAGTTTTAACAATAACATCTCTTTCAATAGTAACATGTCAAAGAACGCAGCCATAAAGAAACTCGAGAAACGCCTAAATCATACATATCAACTAATCCGCTCGTATCCAGTTTCAACAATCATCGACGTATATTTTCGATTTCATTTTATCGATAAAAACGTTTTTACTTTTTCCATCTCATGCCTTTTATTTAAAAATGTAATTCAAAAACTACGCCACCAAAAAATGTACAAATTTTTTACCCCTCCCCCTAAAAAAATCCAATATACAAAACAAATTAGACCCTACACACCCTTAAAAAACAGAAAAAATTACCCCGTCTTAACGAAATTCTACCCTCCTCACAAACAAAAAAAAATTTTTTACCCTACCCATCCTCCTCACAAAAAAAATTTTTTTTACCCCTCTCCAGAATAAAGCAAAATCATCTGCCAAAAAAACTACTTTTTTAGACAAAACAGAATTTTTTATCGACAAAACTGCCCTCCCCATATCAATAAAAACTGATAAAAGAGGGGTTTTGTGGATAAAAGCTGAACCCATGTGAGCAAACAACCGGCCGTGATAATCACATTTCCCCCTAATTCCGTCTCGTTTTTGCCAGTTTAATCCAAAAACAATAATGAAATCGACGAGCAGGAGTTTGGCCACTCACACCTAGGAGAAGGCATGAGGAACGGGCTGGGCCTGAATGTTAGGCCGGACCCGATCAAAATTGTGCTCAAGCCCGGCCCGTCCCTCATGTCTACCTAGGAAGGTTGGATTGAAACTCGACATGTAAACGGTCCTGGTCCAATTTTTCGGCCAGGCTTACGGGCGAGACGTTGGTTTGGAGCTCAGCCCTCAAGCTCAAACGTGCCGGCCCGGAGGATTTTAATTTTAAAACACAATTTACAAATTACTCTTAAGTAAATAGCTTTAAAATCAGAGCCTTTTTACACTTTTCGATATTTAAATCTTTCGTTGCGAGACCTAAACTGACCCTTGGAACCTTCATTTAGGATCGGCCCTAGAGCCCGCTCGATCCTGACCCCTTTTAAATCTGTATCGACCTGCTCCCACTAGTCGGCCTCCTTTCAGGTCTAGGCTACAACCTCCAGATTTCACCTGTCACCCCAAAAACACTTTTATACCTCTTGAAAAAGTTTTGGGATTTTACAGGTGAAAACTGAAGGATACAAACTAGACCTGAAAGAAGGCCCACTAGTGGGGACAGGCCGATACAGATTTAAAAAGAGTCCGGATCGAGCGGGCTCCAGAGCCGCACCTAAATGAAAACTCCAGAGGTCCAGGTAAGGCCCCGCAACAAAAGGTTAGACTTGCAAAAGGCGTAAAACGAATCTCATTTTAAATCCATTTACTTCAGATAATTTTCGAAGTGTTTAAAAATTAAAATCCTCCGGGCCGGCACGTGTGAGCTCGCGAGCTGAGATCCTAACCAAGGTCCCGTCCGAAAACCTGGCCGAAAAATTGGACCCGGACCGTTCACCTTTACAGATACGAATT